TTTGATGATAATGATCAAAATTAACATACTAATCATAATAAATTATGGTTGCAATTTCAACCATGATGATCATTATGATGATCTTGATCATATTTGGCATATTATTCACGATAAATGATGGTTACCATGGCAACCATTATCATCATTTTGATGAAAATGATCAAAATTAATATATCATTATGATGATTTTGATAATATTTAGCATAAAATTCATGATAAATGATGGTTGCCATGGCAACCATAATTTTCATTATGATGATCTTGATCATATTTAGCATATTATTCATGATAAATGATGGTTGCCATTGCAACTTTATCATCATTTTGATGATAATGATCAAAATTAAAATACTAATCATAATAAATTATGGTTCAATTGCAACCATGATGATCATTATGATTATGTTGATCATATTTATCATATTATTCATGATAAATGATAATTACCATGAAAACCTTCATTTTCATTATGATGATCTTGATAATATTTAGCGTAATATTCATGGTAAATGCTTGTAACCATAGAAACCATTATTTTCATTATGATGATCTTGATTATATTTAGCATATTATTCATGATAAATGATAGTTGCTATGGCAACCATTAATTTTTAATGATAATGATCAAAATTAACATATCAATCATAATAAATTATGGTTGCAATTGCAACCATGATGATCATTATGATTATATTGATCGTATTTAGCATATTATTCATGATAAATGATAATTAACATAGCAACTATAATTTACATTATGATGATCTTATTTATATTTAGCATATTATTCAGGATAAATGATGGTTGCCATGGCAACCATAATCATAATTTTAATGATAATGATCAAGTTAAAATACTAATCATAATAAATTATGGTTCAATTGCAACCATGATGATCATTTTATGTTGATCATATTTATCATATTATTCATGATAAATGATAATTACCATGGCAACCATAATTTTCATTTTGATGATCTTGATCATATTTAGCATATTATTTCTGATAAATGATGATTACTATTGCAACCATAATTTTCTTTATGATGATCTCGATCATAATTAGCATATTATTCATGATAAATGATGGTTGCCATTGCAACCATTATCATCATTTTGATGATAATGATTAAAATTAACATACTAATCATAATAAATCATGGTTGCAATTTCAACCATGATGATCATTATGATAATCTTGATCATATTTTGCATATTATTCACGATAAATGATGGTTACCATGGCAACCATTATCATCATTTTGATGATAATGATTAAAATTAACATACTAATCATAATAAATCATGGTTGCAATTTCAACCATGATGATCATTATGATAATCTTGATCATATTTAGCATATTTATCATGATAAGTGATGGTTACTATGGCAACCATAATTTTCATTATGATGATCTTGATCATATTTAGCATATTATTTATGATAAATTATGGTTACCATGGCAACCATTATCATCATTTTGATGATAATGATCAAAATTAACATATCATTATCATGATCTTGATTATATTTAGCACATTATTCATCATAAATTATGTTTGCAATAGCAACCATAATTTTCATTATGATGATCTTGATCATATATATCATTTTATTCATGATAAAAGATGGTTACCATGGCAACCATAATTTTCATTATGATGATCTTGATCATATTTAGCATATTATTCATGATAAATGATGGTTGCTATAGCAACCATTATCATTATTTTGATGATAATGATCAAAATTAACATATTAATCATAATAAATTATGGTTGCAATTTCAACCATGATGACCATTATGATAATCTTGATCATATTTAGCATATTATTCACGATAAATGATGGTTACCATGGCAACCATTATCATCATTTTAATGAAAATGATCAAAATTAACAAATCATTATGATGATCTTGATCATATTTAGCATATAATTCATGATAAATGATGGTTCCCATGGCAATTATAATCATCAATTTTAATGATAATGATCAAAATTAACATATCAATCATAATAAATTATGGTTGCAATTGCAACCATGATGATCATTGTGATTATGTTGATCATATTTATCATATTATTCATGATAAATGATAATTACCATTGCAACCTTAATTTTCATTATGATGATCTTAATAATATTTAGCATAATATTCATGGTAAATGCTGGTTACCATTGAAACCATAATTTTCATTATGATGATCTCGATCATATTTAGCATATTATTCATGATAAATGATGGTTGCCATGGAAATCATTATCATCATTTTGATGATACTGATCAAAATTAACATACTAATCATAATAAATTAAGGTTGCAATTTCAACCATGATGATCATTATGATGATCTTGATCATATTTAGCATATTATTCATGATAAATGATGGTTACCATGGCAACTATTATCATCATTTTGATGAAAATGATCAAAATTAACATATCAATCATAATAAATTATGGTTGCAATTGCAACCATGATTATCAATATGATTATGTTGATTATATTTGACATATTATTCATGATAAATGATAATTAACATAGCAACTATAATTTTTCATTATGATGATCTTGATAATATTTAGCATATTATTCATGGTAAATGCTGGTTACCATGGAAACCATAATTTTCATTATGATGATCTTGATCATATTTAGCATATTATTCATGATAAATGATGGTTACCATAGCAACCATAATTTTCATCATGATGATCTTGATCATATTTAGCATATTATTCAGGAAAAATTATGGTTACTATGGCATCCATAACTTTCATTATAATAATCTTGATAATATTTAGCATATTATTCATGATAAATGATGGTTGCAATGCCAACAATTATCATCATTTTGATGATAATGATCAAAATTAACATGATAATAATAATAAATTACGGTTGCAGTTTCAACCATGATGATCATTATGATGATCTTGATCATATTTAGCATATTATTTATGATAAATGATGGTTACCATGGCAACTATAAGTTTCATTATGATGATCTTGATCATATTTAGCATATTATTCATGATAAATGATGGTAACCATGGCAACCATAATTTTCATTTTGATTATCTTGATCATATTTAGCATATTATTCAAGATAAATGATGGTTACCATGGCAACCATAATATTCATTATGATGATCTTGATCATATTTAGCATATTATTCATGATAAATGATGGTAACCATGGCAACCATAATTTTTATTATGATGATCTTGATCATATTTAGCATATTATTCATGATAAATGATGAATACCATGGCAACCATAATTTTCATTATGACGATCTCGATCATATTAAGCATATTATTCATGATAAATTATTATTGCCATGACAACTATTATCATCATTTTGACGATAATGATCAAAATTAACATACTAATCATAGTAAATTATGGTTCCAATTTCAACCATGATGATCTTTATCATGATCTTGATCATATTTAGCATATTATTCATGATAAATGATGAATACCATGGCAACCATAATTTTCATTATGACGATCTCGATCATATTAAGCATATTATTCATGATAAATTATGGTTGCCATGGCAACCATTATCATCATTTTGATAAAAATGATCAAAATTAACATAATAATCCTAATAAATTATGGTTGGAATTTTAACCATGATGATCATTATGATGATCTTGATCATATTTAGCATTTTATTAATGATAAATGATGGTTACCACTTTAAACATTATCATCATTTTTATGAAAATGATCAAAATTACCAGATCATTATGATGATCTTGATCATATTTAGCATATTATTCATGATAAATGATGGTTACTATGGCAACTATAATTTTCTGATGATCTTCATTATATTTAGCATATTATTCATGATAAATGATGGTTACCATGGCAACCATTATCATCATTTTGATGATAATGATCAAAATTAACATATCATTATCCTTATCTTGATTATATTTAGCATATTATTCATCATAAATTATGTTTGCCATGGCAACCATAATATTCATTATGATGATCTTGATCATATATATCATATTATTCATGATAAAAGATGGTTACCATGGCAACCATAATTTTCATTATGATGATCTTGATCATATTTAGCATATTATTCATGATAAATGATTGTTGCTATGGCAACCATTTTCATTATTTTGATGATAATGATCAAAATTAACATTCTAATCATAATAAATTATTGTTGCAATTTCAACCATGATGATCATTATGATGATCTTGATCATATTTAGCATATTATTTATGATAAATGATGGTTACCATGGCAACCATGATTTTCCATATGATGATCTTGATCATATTTAGCATATTATTCATGATAAATGATGGTTACAATAACAACCATTATTTTCATTAAGATGATCTTGATCATATTTAGCATATTATTCATAATAAATGATGGTTTAAATGGCAACCATAATTTTCATTTTAATGATCTTCATCATATTTAGCATATTATTCATGATAAATTATGGTTACCATGGCAACCATTATTTTCATTATGATGATCTTGATCATATTTAGCATATTATTCATGATAAATGATGGTTACCATGGCAACCATTATTTTCATTAAGATGATCTTGATCATATTTAGCATATTATTCATGATAAATGATGGTTACTATGGCAACCATGATTTTCATTATGATGATTTTGATCATATTTAGCATTAACAAAATTAACATATCATAATCATGATCTTGATCATATTTAGCATATTACTCATGATAAATGATGGTTGCTATGGCAACCATAATTTTCATTAAGATGATCTTGATCATATTTAGCATATTATTTATGATAAATGATGGTTACTATCAACCTCGTTCCCAGGGCCAATTTCAAAAGAGGGGGAAGGGGGAAATTGGCCCTGGCATCGGCCGGTCACGTGTTTTCAGAACACCCACGTATAGTGGGTGTTCTAAATTAACATAAATTAAACATATGAATAATTAGCGAAAGACATTCAATATGGCGTATTATTCTGATGAAGTAGGGTTCCTTGAACTTTTCAAGAGAGTGCAAGTTTGCCAACAGCGGAGAAATTTTCCTTCTATAAATTTTAAACCTTTGCAAATGAAATGCCTGGAGTATTTGCTTAAAGGATGTGATGTTATTGGCGTACTCCCGACAGGTTTTGGGAAATCTATGCTTTTCCATCTGCTGCCAGATCTAATTCCCGTAAAATCACGAAAAAATATAGTAATTGTGATTTGTCCTCTAAACTCTATTGTGGAAGACCAGCTGAGGGTGCTGAGTGCAATAAATATTTCCGCTGGGGTCATACAATTTGCCATTAACGAGCGGAAACCGGCTGAAGACTTGTTCACGGAAGGTAGTGAAAATCGCAAAATTCACTTGAAGGAAACGCTGATGGATATAGAACAAGAAATAGTAAATGGCAATACTTCCATTGTATTTGCACACCCGGAAGCCCTGTTGAAATCTAAAGGAAGGGAACTGATGGGAAGTAAAGTGTTTCAAGAGAACGTTGTTGGTTGTGTAATAGATGAGGCTCATTGTGTCGAGTTATGGTATGTAATTGTAAGTCGTTCCTTCAGCATTTAACTCTAGTGTGATGTTTGGCCCAATCATGCATACTTGCACGTATTGCATTAAGAATTAGTTGCAAAACGTTTTCTGACGTTTTCTTGATTAAAATATCTTCTGGTGTTGGTGATTGAGGTAAATTCAATCATATATTATTTTGTTTGTTATAAGTTTATAATAGGAGGTAATGTTTATTCAGCCATGGTTAGTCGCTGATGTTGTACTAATGAATATTTTAGGGGGAAAGAGTTGAGAGAAGATTTTGGTGAACTGTCTATTTTAAAAGCATTTTTCCCTAATGTTCCAACCCTGGCTTTAACAGCTACAGCCCCACCTCATTTATTAAATGATTTAAAACACAAACCCCAATTGAAAAAAGACTGCAAGATTGTTACAGTAAACCCAAACAGAGAGAACATATATCTTGGAAAGAAAGTACGTTCAAGTGATCACAAAAAGTTTGAAAGTTATAATGAAATTCTGGGACCTGTTGCAAAGGAACTATTGATTAAAAAAGAAAACTACCCAATGACAATTATCTATATGAAACTGAAATACTGTGCACATGCCTACGATTGTTTGAAAGAATTCTGCAAGATGAAACAGTATGTTAATGGATGTGAAGAACCTATGGCAAGACTTTTTGCCCAGTTTCATTCTCCCCAAACAAGTCGAATGAAAAGGGAATTAATTGAAGAAATAAGAAAAAGGACTCAAGGGTCAGGGTACTGTTTGCAACATCAGCACTTGGTATGGGTGTTGATGCCCCATATGTTGCTCAAGTGATTCACATATCCCCTCCAAGTACTTTAGAAAGTTACATGCAAGAGATTGGTCGTGCTGGTCGTACTGGTATTCAGTCATATGCAACATTATATTACAACAATTCTGACATTGGAAGTCATAAAAAGCATATTCAAGAATCAATGAAGAGCTACTGCAAGTCAAGAGAAGTCTGCTTAAGAAAGCAGCTTCTAGAATATTTTGGATTTACTACACCACGGCAAGAAAATTGTTGCTCTGTATGTAATGAGGGTATACAAATACTGTTGTCAGCTTAGAAGTTTCTAAAGTGAGGCGTCTACAAGGTGATGGTACTGTTTTGGTGAGCCTGATCAATAGTGTCTTGTCCAACTATCAGTCTGAAGAAAAATCAGAGTGTTTGTTAATTCCTTCAATGTTAATTGATGAATACCTAGCTGAAAGGGTTGTGATGCAAATTGAGTACATTGAATTGGAATCAGACCTCCTTAACAATTTTGGCATATGGGATGAAGTATGTTCTTCCAAGATATTCTCTATCATAAATGAGCACACTTGTTTAATCAAGTGATGTCACTATAAGGTATTAGATGATATGTATGTGCCATTACATTGGTGTAGCAAGCCTGATGATTTTGTCCTGCTATGCAAATGTAAGTCATTATAATTATTCATTTCTGTAGAAATTCATTGTTTTCACAATCAATGAACAACAAGATATTAGCATAGGATGACCTAATGTCCGGCTGGCTGCTACTGTATCAACAGAAATTGCTCATGTTCAAACAATTTCGTTGAATAGTTGTTCCAAACAAGTTTACTTAGAACTTCAGATGACTCTTTACCTAACACTTTTGTCATAATCACATATTCTTTTACTTCACAGAGAGTTAATTACCATTTCTTAAACCTATAAAGGGTACTATTTCAAAGAACAACTCAATTTGGAAATTCAGTTTTGTGCTTATCTAGCCATTTATGAAATTCGACTACATTCAAGTACTTTAATGGACTCTTCTTAATGTTTGGAAAACTGTCATGATGCCTTTCTGGAACATGATTAAAAGGATCCAATTGCACAATCTCATTTACCATCTCTTTTTCATCCTTTAGGGAGTCACGGGTTGTATGCTTTACAGACTTCGCATGGATATGTAGAGAGGCATCAAACTGCTCTACAAGAAGATGTATACCAGAACTTGCCTTACAAACTTTGCTTATTGAAGCCATGGTTTTGTTTGGGCCCATTCTTTGGACAATACACTTGCCAATTCGATTTGAAATTTCTTGGGCCAAGTCATCTTCAATATTATTTCCGATGCCCCTCTCCAGTTCGAAAAAAATCCCCATTTAAACTCTTCTGAGAGACGAGGTGTAAGCATGCATTCAATTTGAGATATACTAACGAACATTTCAACCGCGTATTTGGAATATGATCCCATCGATTTGAAAACTGATAACAAGAGCTTTTGGTTGATCAAATTACGGTGACCATCGCCTTCCGCTGAAGTGTCTTTCATTTGCATGATCAGAACAGCCAAAAAAATACAGGAAAGAGCATAGTTTTTTACATAGTCATCTGCACCATCGATCATCAGCATCAACTTTCTGTAAAACATATTTGTCGACAAATTTTCCGAAAGCATCATCAAAATATTCTTTCTTTGACGATACGCTGCCATGTACAATATTGTCGGGAAATTGATGTGATGATGGTTTATCAGAGAAGTTGTTCATCCCGAAAAAATTTAACGCAGCAGAAACAATGTACGCTCTACCCATGCTGAGAAATAATTCTTCACTTCCTTCAAAAGAGTCGAGAACTTTGGAAGCGGTTGCATTTTTCCTGTTATACTTCTCTCTAAAGTATTTAAGAGTGCCTACTTGATTTACAGAATCAGACTTGTAAAGAAATGAATAGGAGTACTGTAGGAGCGATGCTTTAGTGTGCCACATGACCGGTTTAAAGGGCGAGCAATGTTCGAAACGATCAAGGGTGTGTGTGATCCAGCCAGTAAGTCTTTCGCTCCTGCAAACCTTACTCGAGTTAACTGATCACCTGCAAATGCTATCTTCATCTCGCGCATTGGGTCATCGATCGTATCTCGTCTATGAGCATCAGTCTGGCCAGGTGCTGCAGAACCAGAAGGAACAGGTGGATTATCCATCACTGGCATTTCATTAAGCATTCCGGCTTTAAAATAGATTTCTGCAATCCACTTTTCGTAAGTCCTCAAAATCGTTGCGCAATCTTCATACTTCGCTTCGTTGGCATTTATGATAGGTAAGCTTACTATAGTTGACTTTCTTGACATTTCTTTAGTATAATCATGAGGAATATGCGTTGGAATCACAGGTTTCAAGAACTTGAACGAGGGAAAAAATCAAGGATAATCCGACCAACAAGGACCTTAGCACATTCTGCATATTTCTTCATTTCATTTATGTTCAATGAAAATTTGCTTCTTGGAAATTCCTTTATGTTTCCTATTGGCTTGTCATTTGGCAAATGTTTGAAACTCACCCTATTTTCAATTAGGTTACTCGCAATTAGGTTACTCAGCAAACTCAAACAACAGGTAAAGACAATCTAAATATAATTTGCTCTCCAATTTCAACATCATTTGCTCTCCAATTTCAACAACATTTGCTCTCCAATCTCATCATCATTTGTGCTCCAATTTCAACATCATTTGCTCTCCAATTTCAACATCATTTGCTCTCCAATCTCAACAACATTTGCTCTCCAATTTCAACATCATTTGCTCTCCAATTTACTCAACTTTTTTCTATCGAACTTTAGTACGAAGACAGCGATGCAATGGGCATGTTTCTAACACCCAACCAGAGAATTTGGGTGAACACTGTTTGTCGCACATATATGAAGAAGCCACGGAAAACACCCAAAAGACCCAAGGTAAGAAACTACACAAGAACAACAATAACGAGAGAAACAAATAATGAATGACGAACAAACAATAGAACTCGTTTCCCACCAGGTAGTATAACACTGGTTAATAATAACATTTACAAACCGATGAAACACATCCGAACGGTAACAATAACAGTGGCCCTACTTTATATTGAAACTGCAACCACAAAATTATGAATTGCAAACACGTTTCTGTTTAAGGCGGAATGGAGGGGAAAGATATACGACTTGATTCAGAGTCGGTCCTTCGAATTCTTCATCATGGCGATAATTATGTTGAATATTATAACGATGATGGGGGAGCACCATCACCAGTCAGATGGATTTACTAAAGGACTGGACTACCTCAATTATATCTTCACAATCTTGTTCATTATCGAAGCGATACTGCGTTTGTTGGCATTGAAATTTGAGTACTTCAAGTCTGGATGGAATCTCTTCGATTTTACTATTGTCATATTTTCTATCACAGGTTAGTTACGGCATTTCAACCAAAACCAAAGTAGACAAGACTCTGCATGTAATGCAAGTTGATGGCACATGATTAGTAAGATACAACTTGATTTGAATTTCAAATGAAAGCATCCAATATTTTCTCTTTAGAAATCGTTCTTGCCTCGTATGAAATTACCATGCCATTTTCTCCTGGATTGCTTCGGGTTGTGCGCGTCTTTCGCTTAGCACGACTGTTACGATTCTTCGAGAGTGCCAAAGGTATCCGCAGTCTTCTTTTTGCCTTGGTGAAATCGCTGCCTGGATTGGCAAACATTGGCTGCCTGCTCTTTCTCTTCATGTTCATCTACGCCTGCATCGGCATGTCATTGTGGGGTAACATTAAGCACACGGGATACCTTGATGACGTTGTGAATTTCCATACATTCTTCTCCAGTCTCCTTCTGTTATTCCGCATCGCGACTGCCGCTGGCTGGAATACAATTCTTGAGCCGATGATGATCACGCCCCCGGACTGCGATCCAACGCCCAGAGCTGGACTACCAAATGGTAACTGCGGTACACCATGGCTAGCGGTTGTCTACTTTGTCAGTTATATCCTCCTAATATTCCTCGTGACTGTAAACATGTACATAGCAGTAATCTTAGAGAACTTCAACGAAGCCCAACAACAAGACGAAATTGGCTTGTGCGAGGAAGATATGGACGCGTATATCACAACATGGGAGACCTACGACCCAGAAGCAACACAGTTCATTCACTACCGCGATGTTACCCACTTCTTGGACGCACTTGATCCGCCCTTGCGAATCCCAAAACCGAACGAAGAAGAAGCAGCAGCGTTGAATGTCCCAGTGAGACAAGGAGATATGGTCCACTGTCTTGATTTGATGTTGGCGTTGGTTAAACGGGTTATAGGCGATATGGAGGAATTGACCGAGGATGATAAACGAAATATGTACGAGAAGTTTGAGGATCGTTTCCAGTCCTCGTTCCCGCAACGACAACAGACGCCTAAACTTTACACGATCCTTCAAAGATACAAGCAAGAGACGGCCGCAGCGATACGCCTCCAGAGAGCCTTCCGGGATTGGCAGAAACGAGTACAAGCGAGGAAAGAAAAAGAGAAATTCCACAAGTATTCGAGCGAAGAAAAACCGGAAAAAGATGACGTCTGGGAGGAAAAACAGATAAAAAACGAGAGCAGACCAGCATCGAGAATCAGTAGACCACGCACGGCGTCTAGTCCGCGGAAGAGAGCCCCGCTGGCCGAACAAGAAACCGTAGACAGTCCTGTTCCAATAAACAAGAAAAATACTCAAACTAGCCCAAACGAGCAACCAAATAGTAACGGAATTAGGGAAACTGCTGCGGAGAACTTTAAAAACGACCCCTTTGCCGCCGAGGCCATGAATATGATGTGGTTTAGTCGAGGCGGGAATGGACAAAATCCCAAATCGGAATCTGCTGTCTAGTGACAGGAAAAAATACAAGAGCACACTTTAAAAGTCATTCGTTAGCCTTGAAGCACACGTGATGTGACTTGTCAAAGCGCTCGTGACTACCCAGGGTGAGTCAAAGACTTCAAATACCCCGGGGGGTGGGGACAATTTTGAAGAGACAAAGGCTGGCTATAAAGTTGGGATGGAAGAGAAGACTTATCTAAAACTTATTAATAGTCCAAGAAATTTGACATAACAAAAGACTATAATATAGTTCAATTGCTTAAATATCCTTATAACAGGTGCCACAAGGCCTACAGACCAGCTTCGCACCCACCGGCCCTAAAATTTTTCAGGGGCAATATTAACCACAGCATGTAAGTCAATAGAAAAGGAATATGTATTTAAGCCGGTGCCTATATTTTTTAGAATTTACCAAACATAAACCGGCAGATTTTCAAGAAATTTAAATTTAATCTACTCTTCACAAGGATAATAATAATAATATTAATAATATATTAAGCCTAATTATCTTAATCGTATAGTTTTAATCAAGCCAATCTATTATTGCAATGTTTAAAATAACTGCCTAGAGTTATGTTGTGGACCGTTGGGAGGCCACAAGATGTTCAGTTAACCAGAACATGTTTATGCATCTTAAAAAAAAACACATAATAATCAAGCTTGGTAAATCATGTTTCTTGTCCTTAGTTTGGTTTGTGAGTTTCCTCGTAAATTCGGATCTGTAAGACATGTGTTTCCAACAATGGCTTCTTTCGAACTGGCCTTTTACAGGAAATGTAGTTTGAAATTTAGTGAACCTATGTCAGAGTTTTGACATGAGTGGAAATTTTCATCTGGAAACTGAACATCACACTCTACTAAATACTAACGCTTTATACTCCCTAATAATAGACTTGGAGGAAATTCTGAACATATTTGTATATTACAACAAACATAATGTGTTTTTTATGATCATGTGTTAAGTAATTAAGATTTGAGAGTCATTTATTAAAAATTTTCACATTAATTAGATTAACATACATTATGGGGCTTCAGAAGGATTTAAGCTCTTTTTCACCCACCAGAAAGCTTAACCTTTCAAGCTCACTGTGGTAATGCTCTGCATAACCTATGGCATAACTATAAACAACTCAAATTTGTGTATAGCCACAGACATTCGGTGCTTGACGTCATGATGAGAATGGTCCATTAGACGTATCCCTCACAGCAAGTTTCTAGGTAGTTTTTTGGGGTAAATGATGGAGAGCTCTATTCGGTTTCAGAGCTTCAAAATTCAACAGAATATTTCTTAGTAGACACTTTCCCTTCAAATGCACAATTTTCAAACTTTCCTAGCTGGAAATTGCGCACTTCTGACAATAGTTCTCTTTCACAAAATACAATGTATAAATGACGGAAAGTTAAATTCAAAGTTTCTCTTTCACAAAATACAATTCCACGTGTTTTGGCAAATTATTTGGTCTTCCAAGCAATAGTTGTACATGGTACATACAACGTACAGCACGCAACAAGTAATAACAGTGAACAAATCTTAACACGCTTTGGTACTTACGCGATATCTCCGGCAAGGTGAAAAGCATTCCAGAACCTTTTTCAGCTCTCAAATTATAAAAAAATGTCCTCAAAATACGCGCGACATTTTGAAAATCGTCCATGTTATTAAATAACCCACGTTACTTGATGTAAGCATGACTTATTCCTATCCCATGCTGAAGTACATATAGATAGTGGATATCAGTATTTTACTATTAAAAAATAACAAAATGTGATTTTTTATAATATTATAGTTTAGTTTCCACCTCTCTATGATGATTTGTGGGTTGAGGAGGATGTTAGATACGACTAAGAACAGTAAGACTTGCTATATCTGTCTAGTAATGCATATGTAGTATTTTAATACTACAGTTCCATCTATTGCTAAATGATTTTAATTGTCACCAAAATATGACTGTTTGGTAATCCGGGAAATAAAATCATATCTGCCAGTAACTTGTGTTAACCAGCTTGCTAGTTAACGAGCTTGCTAGTTAACCAGTGCGAAAAGATTTGGTATTCTATTTTGAATACCACTATAAACAATTGCATATGTTACTGGAGGATTGCCATCATTATATATGGTGATAGTCCAGATGAATTGCTTATATTCTCATCATAACCTACATTACTTTTTCTCACAATCACTTTAGGGTTCATTCATTATCCCTACGTGTTCAATATTAAATTTAAAAAGTGTCTACGGAAACTACATACCAATGCATCAAAATCCAGAGAAACTGAGTTAGTAAAGGAACTCAAAGCTAAAATCAAGGTAGATAAATTCATGAAGGGAAATGTCCAATCATTTTACACCTGCTTGCTTTCACACATCACTGGTTCATGCAACTTTGAACATTTTCCTGGATAATTCTTTCTAAAATAATGTCCACAGCTAGTTTACCTTTTTTGCTATCCATGATGATCCTTGGAAATACAACTTCAAGTTAAACAGAAATTTCTCTCGTGAATTTTAAACAATTTTTAACAGTCATGTTTTTATGCGCTAAACCATACCAGGTGGAGGACGGACGTCCGACGTCATAATTGTAGAACTCACAGAACACGCTTTTTTGTTCTGCATGCTGATTTGTGAAAAAATACTCATTTTATTTACAAATACAATAGAAAGCGTTACTATGAGTTCCGTAATGTTATATAATTATACTGTTTTGTATTGGCACGTGGTGTTAATTGGTTTTAAGATAATATTTAATTAGAATGACGATAAATCCATAAAATAAATTCCTAACACAGATTAGGATAAATCCGGCTCTAGATAAATGGCTAGCACAGCTAGTACACTCTACATTTTTTGCGTACATGTCATTGTTTCTCATTTTTATGTAGTTCTCGGGGCCTATCACGGTGGCAGAGTATATGAAGGAAGTCCTCTCCCATCCTCTCGTGGTAAACGAACTTTACATGCATTTTTTCTCTGCAGCAGTTGCGTCTTTGATGCGGGGCAGAAGAAGCGATGCTGAGTAAGCCAAGAATCGGCTGTCTCATGCACAGCCCGTTGATCTTTGGACTTAAACACAAAACAGCTCTTTTAGTTGCACGATAAACTATCCAATGCAATATTTGTATGTGGTATATATAGAAATTAACAACCCGACGGACACCTCTATCGTTAGAAGGAAAGAACGGCTCAGTTCGTATTACACCGCACGAAATTCATCCCTCATCTGGTGTACGTATTACTATGAGAGCAATGAGTTTTCCTACTTTTCTTCTCAGGGTTATTACATGAAGAAAGATGTATTTGGTTTGGAGGGAGATTTTATAACATCGCCTGAAATCAGTCAGATTTTCGGAGAGGTACAAAACTTGTTATGATGCTATAGTTCACCGTCAGTAAAAAAGCATCATTTCCGATTGGTTAACCATAAGCTGGTCTTTGTCTCATTCCATCACCCATCCATTCCTTCAGTTAATAGGTATTTGGTTCTACGAAAGATGGCTTTATAATGGTTCACCGCGGGACATCCAGTTTGTTGAACTAGGTCCTGGGCGTGGAACACTTATTTCAGATATTCTCCGGGTAAAAAATATATATTTTGCTCGCTTGATTTACAAACCAGGACCCAGTGGACACAACATATCTTCTCAGTAATTTATTCAGCCTGTTTTCAAACTAGGTTTTCGCCAGATTGGGTAGAATTTCAGAACATCTGAGCTTGCATCTTGTTGAGATCAGTCCTGCAATGAGAGAAATGCAGAAAAAAATTTTATGCATTAGCGATCAGAAGCAAGACGTGGTAAGATATCTGTTTATGATAAGCAAAAATCGTGCGTAAAATTAATGTAATTCATTTATTTCTAAAGCCTATGAACAGCAACACAACCAAAGATGGCATACCAGTAACGTGGCATCATGATATCTCAGATGTGCCAAAAGGTCTGCGTTTATTAGCGTGTTTGACCAGCCCATGCATGCAGTCTCGAACTATCCTTCCATCTTCCTGACTACCAACACTCAAGTGACTCCATATCATCTCCTGATCTTTTCATTCAATGATATGCCTCTTCAGCACTGGCCTCCCAAATCTTTTCTCACTTTAAAGCGCACAAAATCTCAAAAATGCGATGTAAATGTGCACATTTAAAGACTATTTACAAATGGAAAACTGGTTGGGTTTTTTTTGCTTAGGTTGTTCGTTTTACCTGGCACACGAGTTCTTTGACGCGCTTCCCATACATGAATTTCAGGTCAGATGAATAGATGAAAGATACTCATTTCGTGTACAAATTATGACTGGGATATGAGCAATATGTGTATACATATGATTTGATATTTTAGAGGACTCGACATGGATGGCGTGAGGTAATGGTGGACGTAGATGAAGACGGGTAAAGACGGACTCTTACTCAAAATAAACTATCGCACGATCGATTTTTTGCGATTATTTTATTGTTGAAATTTGAGTGCAATCAGGCACAGCTGATTTAGGATTTGTTTGCGCTCAATTCGGGTTTAAAATATTTTAGACCGCATCACTTGAAGTTCTGTCTGGCGCCTTCAAACACGCCGGCATCTGTTTTGCTGCCCAAAGGCAAAGATCTTAAAGCAGACAAAATTGAGATCCGACCTCAGGCTCAAGTAATCGTTGAGGAAATGGCACAAAACATTAAAAAACATGGCGGTTCTTCACTGATTGTTGATTATGGCGATGTTGACAGCGAGAGGAACACCTTGCGGGTAAGGATAACACGGCATAAGAGAATATATGGTTTCAAATGAAAGAGTTCAATTCTGAAGCCCGCGACTGAATTGCCTGCGTTAGATAATCGGACAACAAACAGTTAAGCAATGAACACAGAGCTTTAGAGAAAGTAACACCAAATTATAGTGATGAAAATGCTAATAGATTTCTCGCACATGAGCGGGAACCACCCGAAGCCACCCTAACCGACCGAGATCAACAATAACTGATTATTTTTTGCAGGCCTTTCAAAACCATCAACTTGTACATCCACTCTTTGAGCCAGGTCATTCTGATCTCACTTCAAATGTTGATTTCTCGGCTTTAAAAGAAATATTTTCTCAATATAAAGGTATAGATCTATTTTGTTCAAATTCATTGCCTCCCATTTAATCAAATTTCTACTTTTTGACGTCATATTGTGAATATAGTTTGTTAGAAAAAAACCACACTCGAAACGTATAAAGTCAAAAGCGCATGCAACGTGAACGAATTTTCATGGTGAATTATCTGTTTTTAGTTTCGACATTTGGTCCCGTAAGGCAACAGGATTTTCTAAAAGCGATGGGAATTGATGTTCGAAAACAGGTAGGGATATTTTAGAAACGTCTTGTTGATTGACAAAGCTATATTTCACTTGTTACAGAAATACAAAGTCACATCACAACGCGACGAACCAGTCTCCTTGACGTACGCCGGATTTCTTGCCATTTTTGTTGATCTTTCATTAGGTTCTGCTCAAGAAAGCAAGTGTTGAACAAGTCACAAATATAGAAACTGCTTACAGAATGTTAACTGACGACAATGAAATGGGAAATTGTTTTAAATTTTTCGCTGGCACAGGTGGAAGTGAGAAACCCCCTGGGTTTTAAAACGGTGGTCCTGCGAAGCTGAAATAAATCCTAAACAATCTTGATGCAGATACTACTTTTATTTATTCACCTCTACCGTTACAAGGCGCTATAAATCAACTATAATATTTCTTTTTGATTGCTTTGTAACTTTTACACTTTTCTTCGGCCCAAATCCTAGTTTGTTAGGGTAAAGATTATACGATTTTGTTAGGTAAAGATTATACGATAGATAAATAATTGGAAGAAAGAGAAGTCAAATAAAATTTAACTATATATATATATATATATAGATATATATCTAAATTATATCATATGCGGTCACCTTTTAAATGAATCTCTTAACACATTTGCAATGTTTTTTGATTGCGTGCTTAATTAGAAATCCTTTAAAAGAAATATTGCACAAAATAAGTTGTGATTTCCCATACAAGTAATATACAGGGTTGTACCATAATGTATCATAATGTACATGTTGTACCATAATATACCAAACATACCGTTGCAGACTTTCTTCACCGCGCTTTTCAACTTGCAAACTGCAGACCGCACTGACCCACTGGATCTGCGCCTGCGCCGACTGAACCACCCTCTGCGTCTACGCCTGCGCCGCCTGAACCACCCTCTTTTTTCCTCCTCGACTTTTGCCTCTACAAGAACAAACAGTGTCACTGATCTGATAATGTACTGGATAGAAAAACCATTCCTATCGACAACGAAGGCAGAATAATAAATTAAGTAACGGGCGTTGAAAATTTTTCGCTAAAAACAACGCAAAAAAGCTGAAATGTGATTTCTTTGCATTAGGAAAAAAAAATGAATTGGGGGAGTTTCGACTCAACGAGGTTAATAAAAAGGTAGTTAAGGTTTCACTATGGTTAGTGATGGAATTGGTCAATTAGAATCGCTTAAAATGAGAAATTAACAACGCAAAATCTAGTTAAAAGTTTAATTTATACAACCGGGTCCGATACATATTTCTCCATCCAGATATATAACTACAGAGCTTACAGCCTCACACTATATTTACTCCCATACCCACCTTCATCTCCCATTAAGTGAAGACAATCATCGCATAGACCTTTGATGTTAGCGGGTACTAAACATAAATGCAAGATTTAAAACAAATGAAAAAATCAGGAAAGCAATCGACAATCGAAGATTCGTTATTCATAAAATCACTTACAGCGTCCATATTTGCAAACAGCCTTGATCGCATAACCCAATCCTTTTCTAGCCACAAAGCCAAATAATCTTTTTTCTTCATCTGCTTCGCCGTTGCTAAAAGAAACGAAACTGAAACCCGTAAATTAAGACTGCCGACGAGACATTTTTAAGTTGAATCAGAAGTTTCCTGGTTGCATGTGCATGCATGACCACCTTCAGAGGGCCAGAAAACATCTTGTCCTGTTTCCGTGTAATAATTTATTAAACTGGATGTTTTTGCTCTGGATATAAAGAAGAACAAAGAAAGCAATGTCTACGCCAGAGGTATCGTTGCAGGATTTCACATACCTGGCCGAATGCTCCTCATTTTCCTCCACGTTCGAGGGTAAAGCAAACGAGATTGCCAATAAGGCAAAGAGCAACAAGAACACGTTTCTGAACTTCATCTTTCAAACTGCTGAAAAACGATGACTTTTTCTCCGAAATCTCTCACACAAAATGAAAACTTTTCTTTGAACTCTCAGATCAAAATGCTATCGTGAAATGCAGGACGGTGAAAAGAACACGGCTTTTTATGTCCAGGCGTGTGGAACCAATGTCAATGATATCAGAATTTACATACAAGCTATAATTGCTAGTTGTTTTAAAAATTACTAAAATAAATGGTTTTTCATTCGAATATTTAGCTACGATTATGTATTCAACTCAGGATGATCGTCTCCTTGAAATTAAAAGCCAATTGGTTTTTAAATTGAAAGCAATGGCGTTTTGATCAGTCATTAATCAAAAAACAATTGATTTTGGAAATAACATGCATTAAGGGTGTTTATAGGAATATGTATACTCAATTTCATGAAGATACATATATCCGTCTATTATATAGATGAATCTTTGCAGTTTAAATGTTTGTTGTTTTCAAATTTCCAATTTGCTATAGATAAATGATTGCATGAGATAAAAAAGGTTCGATTGATCAACGAAATGTCTGTTTTCCGATGAATTATAACGAAGATTTAGGCTCGGATGGTAATATTAGCATGATATAATGAGTATGTACAACTGATAACACACGAACTGCCTTATTGAGATGGTACATTATAGTTAAAAAAGATAAAATACGTGAGAATTATATATCATGTTGAAATGAAATTAATTAATCATTTGACTGCGTGAAATACAATGTCAAAATGCATGATAATGATTATGTTTATCGGTTGTGAGAAAGCTTTTAGACATTCCTTATTTAACCTTTCTTTATATAACTGAATATGCAAAATAAATTTAAAATTTTATTCAAACATGAAATAACAAGGAATCAAACTATCCATTATTCTGAAATAAAGCCTGATTCTCGCTGAGAGTTGGCATCTTTCATCTTATAAAAAATTTCTACAATAAATATTCATTATTATATTGCATGTGAGGCGAAATTTGTTGATTAGCAGACAGAAACGACATAGAATAATCTCACATTCGCTGCTTATAGCCTTATAAATCTTCATTTTGAGAAATCTATGCTTCGCGGTTGAGGGAAGGCCTGAGCTCAAGAAAAGAGAAATGGTTTAGATTTACTGTGGAGTTTGCAACAGCGGAAAGAAGGTCGAACCAAATCATGTAATATATAGACTCTCTTGATGCAGGTAATACTTTTATTTATTCACTCATTTTTACCATTACAAGTCACTAAAACAACTATATTTCTCTTTTATTTGCTTGTAATTCTCACATTTTCATCCGTCCAAATCCTGAAAAGAAGACGATTCATTGTAATAATGACATAACCTACGATTCAATAAGCAACATTACACACACGTTGCCATAAAAAAATTCAGTAAAATTGTATCAACGAAAATTTGAGCTTAGCTACTTTATAGTCACTTACCTTCTCTTTAGATATAGGGTTTGATACAATTATCACACAAATTACCAATTACAAATCTCGCATATTCTTAATTGGAAAAGACAACATTTCACAAAATGAGGACAATTGCGATGAAAACAAAAAGGAAAAGTTTTTCATGATACGAGTTCCGCATTGGACTTCGTATGAACAATTATTAAGATCAATAAAATTACACTCACTGTTATTGCAAAAGTCACCAAGTTGTTGCTTGATCGAATCCATACTCATGAACCATCGCTGTTGAATCTCAGACTCTTCATTTGTAAAAACAAAAAAAAAATGTTTCGGAAACAAACCAGAAGTATGTCCAGTGAAGCTGAGCAGGGACAGCCCCCACCCGGCCTGAGAGCTAGAGACGGGTCAGACAGCCCCCTCCTGAGAGCTAGCCGACATTTCAGGTACATCAGCTCCATTTCCCATATGTACGCTCTGGCGGAAATTCAGTCCTGGCAGTAGGTGCAGGGTCAAACTTCAAAGCGTCACAAATTTCCGACAATGCTTCTTAATCCCTTTGCTTTTGACCTATAAAACTATACTAGTTTCCTTTCGTCGATTTTGAGAAAAAAACAACGATTCAGCTATTTGTCAAACTATTTACATGCGATGTAATGTTTGAAATTCCCTTCGGTAAAGCTCTAAAATTGATTTTCAAAGAATGATATCCACTGAAAATTGGGATTTATGTAGGCTGTTCAGCCTGTCCACCAATGTATATGAAATAAGTCATACTTTTTTCTCAATTTCTGTATATTCAATTGTCTTCGAAATTCCGACAAAACCCAAAATTTCCAACAAAGCGCTTATTTTACGAAAGAGGAGTGGGGGGAGCTGAGGGCACGGGGATATTCCCGCCACCGTCTGTACATTCTGGGTAGTGGGTACCGCTATGCATTGTACAAAATTAATTCCTGTGCCTGTAAAATAAACGATTTCGAATATAGTAAAAAATCATATATATATTTATATATATTCACCTTCATCACCGACAAACCCACCAACTGCCGTGGCACACCCGCATATGCTTTGCACATTGGAAGACACTATATAGAAAAAACAAACTTTTTTGGCGCCCCATTGAAAATTTTTACAATCATATAGTCAGCCCAAATTTGCGTGATAATTTTTACGCGACAATAATGTTCGTTTCATGGCATGATAACGGGAGCCATGTTCGAATAACTTCAAAATCAATTAGTCATTACTTACATGAGTTAAGTTTACACACTTGTGACAATAATACGGATATTCCTTTCGACAATGCTTTTTTTATCAGCCAAGCTCCGACGAACCTCTTGTCTTGAACCTCTTTGCCATCATTGCTATATAAGAACAAAGAAAATGCCAATGGAAAAAAAACATGCAACAGAGAGTTGCTTTTCATCACGCTCAAAAAGTCATAAATTTCGTCTAATGCAGAGTTTTGTGGAGATGGGAAGCAATGTTAACGCTATAATATACATGTAAATGCCCTATTTTAGGATTCTTACCTAGCCAACGGCACAGCGAACGACATTGCAAACAACGCGCAAAGCAAAATGAAAACTTGTGAAAATTTCATTGTTTCAGCACAGGTAAATCACGACGGTTTTAAAGACTCTCGAAAAAAAAATCTGGATACTTCCGCTTCTAAGGACAATCCTGAAATGCAGGATGATTGCCAACTCTCTCGCTTTTTATGCAATTTCTAAAAATTGCCATCTTCAAAAATGTACACACGCAACGTTCTTAAAATTACTAAAATAATTACTTTGAGTGTTCTCACTTTAGCTATATGTATTCAGCCAGTTTAAAAGTCTATCTTCTGAAATTGAGGATATACCGCAAATGTAAATACAGACAAATTGTTAACCACTGAACAATTTTTCTAAATTACGAAGAAAATTGCCTTTCCATTAAAGAAATATTTCCTTATTTATCCAGTCGGTATTGGGTGCACATTGATATTAATTTGTGGTATATGATTAGAAATATATTTTAATGGATATCTTAATCGTTTTGAAATCATGATAATGAATTAGCCTCACCATGCATATGGTAGCTATCCACTTTTAAATGACTTGCGAGACTAGGTCCTGACACGAATATAGCTTTTTGAAAAATTAGCTATATAGATATGCTTCAGAGTCGGAGATATATAGCGCCACCGTAGCAATAATGCAAGGATCCAATCAGAATTGTCACAAAAATATTTCGACTTCAAAATCAAGACACATGGCGATTTGTCTTTTCTGAACTTTTACAAGGTTATAACTGGCAATTTGTCTGAACAAACATATTATTTCGCCCACTTAATCGGACTGATAATAAAGAAGCCGACCCTCAAAAAATTAGCATGCATTGCGCACGGCCTGGTGTGTTGTTTACAAAGTGAAATTACTTTATATTTACTCCCAATAAACAGTAATTAATCTTCCTAATATGCACTGTTTGTCGGTGGCGGGAAAATGCACAAAATATTTAATGGTGTTTATAGAAGTTAGAAAACAAGAACAATAAACAGTATTTGTGCCAATTATTAACAGTGAGCTTCCTGTATACTCGTTGCAAAATTACTAATTTTTAATCTATTCATCGATTTTTACAATCCATTTGATATAAGACAAATAAGACCACTATACAAGACTTATATTCCAGTCACTTCCTCGTTTAACTCTGAATAATTCACATGATCCGTATCGGCCTAAAAAATATAGCAAAACAGTTAGAATAAACATAGATTATCGTACATACATACAGAAGAACTTGGAGTACAGTAGACTTTGTCTTTGAGCAAGTCTTTTCACTCGAATAATTTGTGATAATAAAATGGGCCAGGCCATCCTGAATCAACTTACCCAAAATCTTCAGTTGCCATTCTTATAGAGACGAAAACAATCACATAATCCTTTGGCCCTTTTGGGATCAACACCTGCAAGATTTTTTAGCAAAATTACGCATTCGCGTTTCATTTGTATTCATTTACGCCATGTTAGTGTACTGCAGTATCCAAGTATCCAACGAATTGTTTTCCAAGACCTCTTTATATGCATTTAATTACATTAAAGTTTCTATGCTTAAGTGACATATATTGCTCAAACTATCTAATGATTCTGCGTGTGATTCTTGTTTTGAATTCCTGCAGTTGAAACATTTAGAATTTAAATTTCCCCACACTATCAGTAGTCAGAGAAAACTGAGGATATGCTTGATAGGAGTATTTGGGTAAATACATGCAGGTGAGATTTGTAATAAGTTTATTTTGATCAACTCGTTACGATGAACAAACCTTGGTCAATTCTGCGGTTAGCACAAATATCTTTCGCCAGATCAAGGAGGACCCGGATATCGTCATCCTCTGGCCCCAGTTCAACCGTAGCTTCGTCGTTACCACTACATAAAATAACCAGATATCTTTAGCTATAACCTTTGGAGGAATTCTCAAGTGTATAGGTTTAAAACCTCGCGCTATAGTCATGCATTTATGAGCGGAGTTTTCAAACTATACAGGCAAAATGCATGCAAAATTATCTTTTTTTGCATCAATTCAAACTCACCTGTCTTCCAGCTGTTCCACGAGTGAGGCCTCGCCACTTTGTGCTTTTGAGGAGCCAAGAAGAACCACGTGTAAAAAGAGAAAACTCAAAAACACGAAGGAAAGTGAATGCTTCATTATAAAAAAATTAGCTTTCAACTGTGCGGTCAGTCTATAACATCAATGCCCTCGTGAAACTCTCATGTGAAAGAAATCACTGAATATGATGTGTTTATATACTTTCCCACAAAATGGAAAGATGTGAATAGTTGTTCACTCTAATCGCTTGCATTTTTCTTCTAAAATAACTTAATAGGACGTTTATTTGCATTTTTAAACGGACAAAGTTTGGCATGAGTGAATTAGAAAGACAGGGAGGCATGCAGTAAAATGTCGGTATGAACTCTTTGACCCTCAATTTGTTGACATAAAATGTACGGATGGTTTGTCGATTGTGAAAGTTTTGAGGATAAAATGAATAGTTAAAATGGACATTCCAATTACACCGACGGCGATGAATTTAGCGGCGAGGTGTCAACATACTAGACGGCGAAACAAGATGAAGAGAATAGCTTTGGAATTGAAGGGATTTTGTTCATAAAAAGATGATCATTGTCCACAAACATATAATTTAGGGATTTTTGTCTGAATAAGTCTTGCAGTGTTTATATGACAAAATATACGTATCACATTCTAGCTTTCTCCTTCCCTACAATGTTAGAGAGATACTCTCGGAAAAAAACCGGATTGCAGACAGTCCCAGACACCTACGAGGACTTCGATGCTGCAATTATTTTATGGAAAAATAATTGAACGTTTACATGAATGGTTTTAACAAACAAATATCGCTATCTACGGTATTAAATCTGGCTGTATAGCTGTAACAGTTACATAGAGTTGTGTTCACCTCGTGCCTATCAACGGGAGATGTTCCTCCCCCAAGCACGGCAATATCGCGTGATTCAAGTTTGTTGTTTTATATGGTTTAAATAAGCAATGAAAACTGCGCGTTATATTACCATGTAACTATATTTATCAGCCCGGCGTTTTGCAAGTCTTTGTAGGTCATAACTTGCAACAGATTAGATTGCACGACGTCGGCTGTTCCTACTCCTAGCACTTGTAATGTATCATTCAGGATAATCACGAGGGGTTTCGTGAAAGTAACCACAAATGGTAAGTTAATTTGGAGAACGTCTTAGATCTTTTGATATCATGCTGTGTCGTACAACGACATATTTAATTTGTTAACAGATAACAGAATGACTTCATGAGGTAATGTCACAGCAAGTCGCCAATACATGTGAACGCATTATATTAACTAAGGTCGTTCTTAATATAATATCAACTCAGTTGATCGCTGCTGTATAATTGTTTACAAGCAGATATCTGTTTGAAACGAGGTCCGCAAAGATCGCTTCAGAATGTGGAATAACAACAGCAATGCGACCGTATCTTACAGCAGTTTGGATAAACATTAAACACTCCTTTGAAATGGAACAAATTAAAGTGTGTTCATTAACAGATATATCTATTCTGTGGCATTAGCATAAACGTTATTCTGAGCGCTGTGTTGCCCTGAAGCCGTTGTCTTGTGCATGTTGAAGTTCAACGAATTGTTTGGTTTTAAAAGAGCAGATTGTGTTTAAAATTGGATCAATACGGGACATTGATCGCACGTAAGCATGACTTCCGTGCTTCGACGATTCACGTTGGTGCTTTTGGTGACACAGATATTACTGGATGTCAGTTCTGCGTATCCTATTGCGAATGGTAAGAATGATGGTTTCAATTCTAGCGTAAATCAACTATATATCTGCTGCTTTTCACCACACTGACAAATCAACACAAATAATACATATTCATATAGTCGTGGCTTGTCCACTGCCAAATGGACACGTCTGCGTTGAATTTCCAGCACTGGACATGTAATGTTTGTCCAGAATAATTATATCAAATAATCGCGGTAATTTATTAATGTCGCTATCTAGACCATATTACCCTTTTACATGCAAGCGTCTTGAATGAGCGCAAGGGAGAAATTTCACCTCAAGTTTACAAAAAGCCAATCTGAGTGTGCACATATATATTTTATAATGTATTAATGAAAATGGTTATTCCTAAACGATGAATAATGTAGTTAATTAAACAGTTACGAGGATTTGTTTTCATCGTATTCTTCTGTCGTTTTCCGCCTACAAATGACACGAGATTTTGTCTTTTAAAATCAATCATGATTTATGTATTTACGGCATATTAAACCTCATTGACTGTTTTGGTCAGTTTATTGACAAGATAACTGGAGAGCAAGAACAGATTACCACTATTTCTAACCAGAGCTTTGGCCTGCAAATACAATAATCCAACAGGTATCCTTCCATGAAAACAAAGCCACAAAAACACACGAATAGGCCGTTAAACCGGATTAATTTGCGATAACATAAAACATTAAACAAAGAAGCTATCCCATAAGAGATTAGGAAGTTCAAATTACAGAATGGTTTAGTTCCCATGATGCATTTTGTAGAGAAAACCCGAATGTGTATGCCCAGCATACTGCATCATTGGATTTAGAACTAAGAAGTGAAGTTTTATTTAACGATGTGGGACTTGACAGGAAAGCTTTCAAATAAGAACATTTAAATTTGTTTTGGAAAATATTTTTCTGATCGTATCGCTGAACAAAGATGCCGCTTTCTTGATATTTTGAGGAAAAACATCTGGCCTTTTTTACCTTTTGCCAAGATCACACTACAAAATACGTTTCCTAAAATACTAAGGTACGAATAAACAGAAGAGATATAATCTGGACAACGCTACATGAGGTTTATCAACAGGAACCATGTTCATTCGTACAGATTAACCGTAGCACTTTTAAGCCCCGTTTAACACTTGCAATTTTCGCTGCGATTTTCTTCTTTTGATAGATGTGAACGAGTAATAAGTTATGAACGCTCTGACGTATAAGAACTCTTATTTGAACATCAGTAACTAATTCACTCGTTCACATCTATCAAAAGAAGATAATACATAAAATTGCAGCAAAAATTGCAAGTGTAAGGCCTTACGTGGCAAACGTGCCAAATGCACCATAACAAGTGTTGCGTTGTTGTTTTAGGGGGAAATGAAAAACTAAACAGATTCGAGCGTTCGCTTCAACCAGGCTGCGGTCGAAAAAACATCTTCGGAACAAAGATGGCCTGATTGTTGTCAAAGGCGAGGACCTGTGGCAAGGGGGGGACGTATCGTGTTCGTGGATTATACACGTATCGCGCGGGACTCTCGCACAACTTCAGTTCGCCAAATTTAACATCGAGGACTCGTGCCCAGGGATATGTCGGTGCAACTACGTCGCGGTGAAAGAAGATATTGGGACAAAAAGACCGGTTATGAACAAATACTGCAACGAAAGGAAACCTCCCAGGGATCTAGTATCCGGGGCTAACAAAGTTCGTATACACCTCAGTCTAAAAGCCGGTAGTCGTCGAACTGGAAACACAAGTTTTGTGTTCAAGTATGCTATTATGTCAAGCGAAAAACAACAGAGCTTGCCACTCATGGAAACAAGGATATTCCGGGTAATGATAACAGCAATGAACCAAGGAATATTCGCGTTAGGAAACGTGTACCTGGTGACGAGGGTTCTGACGTTACCGCGCAGCGTACACAGCAAGATCCTGGGCCGAGTAAACTTACAATAATTCTAGCCGTCGCTATTCCGGTCGTGCTCATTTTCCTTGGAGTCGTGTTACTGATAGCGTACTATTATTATTACACAGACAAAAAACAGAAGGAAAGCGGGTAAGAACGTATACTTTTTATGACGTCATCATATCATGACGTCACCACTTGTCACGTAATGACGTCACAGCATATGTTGGATCGGTGATAATGATATAACTGGAGTGAACATATTAACTACTCTAAATTTAACAAAGTTGGTTGCCGTGGTAACCCCACGTGATAGGATCTATCACGGAGATGTACAGAGAGGCTGTACCCATTTCTTGATCAGAATAAGGAAATATATTTGTGTACTTTTAGAGAGGACATACCGAAGAGCGGAGCCACTATCAGTGATTTGATCATGAACAGCAGCGTGACACTGACACCGATGTTCAACTTGGGGAAAGCAAGACGTGAATCGACGCAACGAAAAGAAAAGTGAGCAGGAATTATCAGACTGTTTCTTTATAAGAGGTTTAGCGAACGTCGAATAAACCATCGATGCGACAGGAGATTGTTGGTAAAAATGATGCTTGACAAGAGTATTGTTTATTTCTAGAGCAAGTAAACTTTATGACGACATGTTGCAAAACTGGAGGAGAATGAATGATGATAAGAAGAAGCGAGAACTAGCCAGGGTGGAAAGGTAGGAATAGTTATCCTTTTCTAGAACTGATCTAATCTTCTAGATCAGAGGTTATTAAGTGACTTAAAAACTTTTTCAATGGCTTTAAAACTTTTAACAGACATTTCGGGTGAAGATCTTCTTTGTCTGTAGCAAACTCGAAGGAAAATCTCGTAGGAAAATCTCGAAATCTTTTTCATTAGAAGTGGTCCAAGGACGAACACAGTTTCTTGGTTGTTAATGAAGATGCATGTCCTATTTAGTTTAAATTCTTTATATTACAGCGTGAACACGTGGGAATCGTACAAAAACACAAACAAAGGCGCAATACAAGAGATGTTGAAGATGCGAATAACGAAGCGTTTGCAATGCTTGTTAGCAACGCCATTAATGTCGCGGCCGATACAGTCCCTCCTCCGGAAACCCAAGAAAATGGCGAACACGAGGTTAAGGAAACTACAGAGGAAGTTGAGGAAAAGCCTAGAACGAGCAGGTGGGCAGGCAAATATTGCTGAGGTCAGAGTAAACCGAGTCGATTCCTTAAGGCATGGTCTGGAAACTTGGCAAAATATTTTCATAGTGAACAGTTAAGATAGTGGATTCTCTTTTCTATACCCTTTGAAATATTTATGATCAATATTTCAAATATTTGTGCACAGTAAAGCTTGACATTAAATCTTGACTCATAATTATACACTTTGAAGTTGATCAAATTATGTCCGTTAACTATAATTTAATTGAACCTCAATATACAGGAGAAATTTAAGTCCGAATTTCTCTTCAAATGCATGTTTCTTTAGGATAACCAATAAATATAATGATGTTCATTATAGCCATTCAAGGTATCCTAAACATCGTGCATCGTTTTTTGCGCGTCTAAAATCATTTTTGAAAGTCTCTCCCAAAATGATGTTCATTTGGTTCACCCAACAATCTCACGCGATGAGCAACCATCGTCAGCACTATTGATCACCATGACGACAACGTACATACCGATTTAAAATCTTTCTTTAATCATTCCTTAGTATTTTGATCAAGAGAAGCTCCGACAGCATTCGTAACAGCCGTGGCTCCAAGGTCCTTTCCTGGAGCGATGTTTCGTCCAGCAAACCTGAAGAGGAGAAAGTCAATTCATACAAAAGAACCAAAAGTGAAACGGAGTTGAAAACGTTGCCAAGAGGAAGCGGGGGGTAAGCTTAAGCCCATTTTACACTACGCAAACTTTGCGTAGTTTAAACGGGGCTTTAGAGATCATGATTTAGTGCAGAAAACAATCCAAGTTGATACGTATTCTTAATTCGTATGGTTAACAATTTTTAACTATGGTTATGGCCGGCCAGACAACACGATAAACTTTTTCTAAATTCAGCTTTGATTCTTGAATACAGTTTTTTTAAAACTCTTGACTTAATTTAGTAAGGATTGCTTCCCTCAAACATTTCTAGTTCAGCTCATATTCCCGCCATTGTTGTGAGCCAGCCGAGTGTTGATGCCGAGGATGATGAGACTGAAGCTAATGATACTGATAGGTATGGAATTATATCTTTCTACTGCTGACAGATGGAATATTAGTAACACAAGAAAGCGAGGAGAGTATTATTATTCATCAAACACGGATTAATACTGTAGCTATGAACTGCCGAAGAAATCCATTACAACACATACATCAGGTGTAGCAGAATCACAAATACACAGGAACTAAGTATAGATGATGTTTTATAGATTAATCAAAGTGGACAAACACTGTCCTAAAAACCAGAGCGGAGAGGGGAATGAACCAAAGAGTTCCACAACATACAGCTGGTACGTTCGTATAAAAAAACTACCCACGCCTGTGGTTTTACCGTTTTTACAAACTAACGTAAACCATCTTGTTGTTGTAGTTCAGAACATGTTAAAGATATTTTGCGAGAAAGTTATGGCGAAGAGGACGAAGACTGGTTTCAAAAACCAAAGAAAAGCCCTTCGCAAGGCAAGTACCAACTGTATCTTTATGTACTATATTATGTACTATTATGTTCTATTATGTACTATTATGGACTGTAATGTACCATTGTGTACTATTATGCACCATTATAGACTATACAAAGTACTATCAATGTGTACCGTTATGTACTATTGTGTACCGTTGTGTACTATCGTGTACCATTATGTACTATTGTGTAAACGTAATTGAGAAGAAATATTAAAAAATACCAAATGTAAAGAGTCGAACGAACAACTGTAATTTCTCGTTATATTCATAATAGGCAGTCTACATGGAAACTCAGAGTCTAACGTGAAGTACCAAGCCATGAAGACGTCTGAAGATAATGACGACATTGATTGAAACTCTTCCCGAGTCACTGGGCAAAGAATTTAAAAAAGACGCTCTTTCCTTGAGGATTTAGACAGAGGAGCGCACAGTTGATAGCATGGGTTGTATGTACCAATGCAGAAAATTCTGTCCACACAGCAGAAGACCTTTTAAGGAGTATTTAAGTATAAAACTTATTCCCAGCTTATATTAGCTGATATATCGAGATTGGATGTAGTTGCAATCCTTTTTCACTTGACCCCCGAGTTTTAGGGGAGATTTTCAAGCATGCTGTAACCAGCAAAGAAGTAAATATAAAAACAGTCCAATACTGTTGATCATCTGAACAGTTCCCGGAGACGGGTTATAATTAATCATACTGACTTTCTATGAATGAAAATTTATGAAATAAAGTTTTCTTACCAGCTTTTTCCCCTCGCGTCCTTCATGTGTCAATACTCGGAGGCCAATCAACTTCTACTGACTGGAATTGAGAGAAAATATGAAAATCAAGTTGTTTTCTCATTTCCTCCATATCTTCCATAATTCATTCCCAACCTACCACAACGTCCAGTTCAAGTATATCCGTTTCTTTCTTCATAATTGTACAAAGGTTTGGCTGCGTTCTGCCAAAATCCCCGTGAACAAATTCTTTAATATATCTGCATGAAGTTCAGCGGTTAAAGAAAGATTTTCAAGATTTAAAATATCGAGGGATCTCATTTACCCGTGTTCAATCAACGGCTGTACCCTGTTTTACAACCAGCATCCCTCTGTATCCCTACGCCATGCCAGATCACCCGTCTCAGGGTGAGTTAAAGGACTCGATGATAAATTTGTAAAAGGATACGTTCCCGCCTCGGTACATAACTGAAGTGTGAAATGTTTATCATATATATTCTCCAAACATGAACAAAATTTTACGTTGGCGAACAGCTAAGGGACGTCTAGGTACACGAGAGTAGAAATTGATCTGAGTATCTGTATGTATATAGGCATCCACCAGGCCATTTAGAAATATTTTTTAATTCATGATACAAGGTTTTATAAATACCGATGTAGGACTCTGAGCGGTGTCTTTTGATCAAGTGTGACATTCTTAACAAAAAAAGCATAAATGAAATTGAATAATAATAATACTTAGTACAGAATTTCACAGTCGAGGACTGTAAACAGAAGTCAATGCGGACAATATATATTACACAGAAGTTAACACAACTGAAACTTTTGCCTAAAATAGTCCCTACAATATTCACTTACTTTTAAGTTCATTAATGGTTTTAATTCCTCTTCAGTAAAGCCATCAGGAACATAAACTAAAGCTCTAGAAAAGTGATATAATACACATGAAAGATTGGTTGTTTTCGCAACACCAAAACAAAGTTCGTCACCTTTTCATAATCAAAGTTATCTGCTATGATCTACTATGAAAATACCACGGACACTGGCGGAACTTACCGATATGTCTTCGTTTTACTGTTTTCCCCTTCTTTTAACTTAGAGCAATCTTCCCTAACAAAACAGAAGATGCTCTTAGAAAAAAAATTCTCAAAATCCCTGGACGTTGGGTGCATGAACAATTCGTGAAGTTTACAAAACCTTCCAATCATTTGCAAGTCTCTGATCTGTATATCTTCAGTGGATGAGTTGACTCTCGTCTGTAATTCCTTGACTTGCTCAAGAGTTTGAACAACTTTCCGTGGATTGATCAGCTCCAAGATGAAAGGCCGACCTACGGGAAATCATTGAAAACTGATATCTTCTTTCCTTGATCGCTACTTCCACTGGTTCAGTTCTTTTGATTCAAGGCAGTCCGTCTCTAAGCGGACTGTTCACTGGTTCAAATTCATTAGTTTAACTGTTTAATGCTGGATCAAAGTGGAGAGAAAAACTGAAATCTTTACCATTGCCTAGCATTTGTACATCCACGTCTTCACGACCAGCTGATGAAAACTTTGAAGCTGAAAACAATTCATAATTCTTTCTAGCAAGAAATGGTACAACCCAAAAACTTTTATTTCATCAAAGGCATGCAGACAGCCAAACACTTAGTGTAAATTCAGGAACATCGCTCACTGTTTGGTAAAAAAACTTTCTTAATTTCCTCCGCTACGAGCTCCTAAAGTACAAAGTGGTAGAAATAAAGATCAGATGAGGAGAGTGTCTTTCCATATTTGAAGCAGGTTTTTACGTTCCAAGGAAGAAAATTACCAACTTCAACTGAATGTTCTGTCATTCTCTCGCCGTTCACTATCCACGGTGATTGTGATAATGTTCGCGAGTACTTGTTATAACGACCTGAAAAGCAAATGAGAAACGTAAGAGGTAAAAATTTAGAGGCTAAGTGAAGATTTCCTGGGAGCTGTTTGAGTCGAAAATATTTTACGTTGACGAAGACATATTTGAGGAAATTATGAGCTTTGTTCTTTGCTCAACTTTGAGATATCTACGTTTATGTAAAATGCCCAAAAGTTACGACGCGAATTTCTGTAACATGCATGGATCTGAGCATGGCCGGAAACCAGTCTGTAGATACGAACCTGCAAGGAATACCGATGCGTTCGAGCATTCGACTTTTGTAAGTTCACAGTATGTTTCAACCATTGCAGGTGGACACTTGCCAACTCTAGTCAAAACAAAGAGATAAAATAAAATGGTGAGGCAATGTTGACTGAACTTGGAATCTTGCTTTGAACTACAGATTTGAATTTAATTGTATAATTTTCAAAGGACAAATCAAACTAGAGAAATATTTTTCAATTGTAACAATGTAAATGTACAGAAATTGGGTAAGTAATTCAGTCTGCAAACATACTCATTGAATTCCTCGCTAGTTTTGAGTGTCTGAATGCAATTCATGAGCTGAGTGGAGGTAACTGTAGGTTCATTCTCCGAAACCTGTAAGAGTATTATCAAATACACACAATTGAGACCTCATGCATAAAAAGAGAAAATTCAATTCATCCAATACCTTCGTTCTTTTCCTTGGGTGACATTTGAAAACTTTTTTGGTATTTGTCCTAAAACAGGTGAATATCACGAAAATGCAACTGGCCTACATTAAGTCATGCAATAATGTGAGCTCGAGTCTCTGGATCAGCTGACACTGCAGCTCAGTATTAAAATGTTGGTGATACTCACAGAAAGTCCAGTTCTTTCATGGCTTCAGGGTGATCAAGGGTTATGGTAATTGTGAATGGACTCTAGAGATATAATCAAAGATTCCAGGCTTCTGTGAGTCGTATATAAAGATATAGTTGGGGTGAAAAGTTTTTTTCTGTATAACTTCATTACCTTTTTATTGAATTCTACATCCAAGACCTGCTCGATTTGAGGGCCCCAAACAAATTTGAGGCATTCTTTGAGACGAAGAATATCCTCAAGCACTATCTCTTCTGAGTAGCATGAACTATGAAAAATAGCCTCAGCTCAAATACTTTCACATGGTTTTACAGACAGATGAAGAAAATTTACACATGTCTTACCCAAATTCTTTTTGAAGAAATAACCACATAGAATGCTACATAAATTAATCAAAATATGAAATAATTTGTTTTCTTTTAATCAGTGGTAATTACCCTATGGTTAAATATGTAAGAATCTTCTATTGTTCAAAAAATTTAATATTTTTACTGAATTAAAGTGAAGTGCATAAAATCGTTACACAGTTAAATATTTGCACACACACTTACATGACGAAAGGTTAGGATTGGAGGGGAAAAGATCGCTGTTGCAAAATCGAAATATTCATGTTCTGATGATTTGACAGCATCGCAAATCTAAACAAAACAAGCCACATTGAGCAGGCAGTAAAAATTTGTATTTTTTCATTGTCATTGGCATATGATATAGGTAAGGACCTGTTTCACCAAAGTAGATGTAGAATGTGGTTGCAGAAGACCCAGGCAGGCAATACAAATTGCTTCGTCACCAGATGATCCACTTTCTGTGCTGGGCAGGTGACCATAATCTGCATGTACATGATTTATAATTTCCTAAATGATTTAAAGTGAGTTTATACTTGATTTGAGTAACTCTGCATATAATATAGGAATCCTAAAGATGATAATCCATTATCTATATACAGTTTTAATAAGCAGTTAATTCAGTTTGTGGTAACATGCAGTTTCATTTTAGTCATACAATATAAACCCAAAAAACCATTTTTTGTATAAGAAGACAACGAGACATACGTACTTGATATGGTTTACTGTACAACGAAGAACCTTGAACACCAAGATATCTCAAAACACACCTTGCACAACAACGCAACTCGTACAACTTTTTAACAACTTGCGGAAACACAGACGAATTAACCGACATATTTGCACAATTTACTAGTTGATCGGCACCATGTATTGCTGGTAATTTGACTTTTTGTTCACGTTTAAATTTAAAAAAACACTTTTTACACCTTCACGTGGAGACAGAAAAATTTCAAATTTTGGATGTAAATTGTGGATACTTCATGATACTTCGTGTTATAACGAAACCAATTTTGGGTTTTAAACTGATATTGGAATATTTTTTAATAGATCTTTTTTAACAATTATTTGAACATGATACAAATAATTATTAAGCCAAAGTAATGATTGATAATGTAAATGACTGAGGCTTGATAATTCTTCGTATCATGTACATCTTAATTTCCTGAAATTTCCTGAAATTTGTAAGGGCTTCACATTCCAGTTACCTTGAGAGACTGATGTCATTGGTGTAATGTCATAACATATAAGATGGAATACACAAATTGTTTCACATGTTTTAAATAAATAAATAATGCAGTTTATTATGATGATTATATTTCTAGATAGAACTCTAGGTATACATATTAAAAAAAGTTATATTATGTTACACAAACTTCACTACAACCAACTCTAAAATACATATCATATCTCTTAGCTTGTAAGATAGTTATGCATATAATTTATATTGACTTGCTAGAATATATCTAAGTAAAGGTCTCCCATTTGGAGACCATTATATTATACACTAACTTCCTAAATCTAGAAACTCACACTAGTGATTTTTCCGCTTACAACTTTTTAGTTTTTCAAGTTGTTCATTTTGTTGGTTACCTAACAGTGTTGGGAATGTTTTGCTGCTCGAGTCTGGTATCGTCTCATCCACCTTTAGTTCCTTGGTAGGAGATTCAAGTATGGAGTCAAAGGAACTGGGAATTTTTCTCTCGCAAAACAAAGCTCTGTGCAATTCATTGCTCTCCATTTTTAGTTTTAATGTTTTAACAGTGTTTTGTCTTTCTAGATTCTCAGTTACATCTGACAGGGACTAGTGAATTCAAGAATATTACAATTATGATTAATTTTGTTAACACCTGTATTGCATATGAACAAAAATAACTTGGACCCATTTCATACACTGTATTCTACATGCACCAAATGCATTAAAAACAATGCCAGCTCATTATTTTAATATTGTCTTTAATGTACATTCACTAGCACATGTAAAATATGGCGTACGAAACAGGCCTTAAATTCAAAAATAAATGCAAGGAGTACCTTGGAAAACTGTGCAAGGTCTCCGCAAGCAGATTTCAACCGTGGCAAGCTATCATCACAATCTACATAATAATAAAAAGCAAATTTATGTTGTAGAAAACGTTTAGATCAATAATAAGCAGTAAAATTAACACCTCAAAATCACCTGGTATATCAAACTGTACATCAGTACTATCAGCATCATTTTCTTTTTCTTTTATTCTATTTTCAACGTTCTGCAAATTCTTCATTTCAGAATCATTCTTTAATTGAAGACCTTCTTTTATCTTTTGCGGATAAATCTTCCGTTTTTTTATTGTTGATACCAAAAGATCTTCGGATTTTGCGCACATCTCATTAACTTCTTTCGCTCTTTCTTTGTCCAATGGTTCCATTTCTAAATCATTTTCACATAGTCGTAAAAAAATATAAAGAAATAATAAAAAATAAATCCCTAATTTTCGTTCAAAACACTACACCAATAACACCATACCTTGTTTGACATCACTAGTAGCCAACTCGCTTTTGTTCTCACAAATCACAACATTTTCTCTGACCAATATTTCAACTGTGTCCTCGTAGAGCTGCAAAATTATCGGTACAGATTTAATATACACAAATACAGCAACATTCAGCCAGCTTTATGCCTTTATCATAATTTTGGTATTATAAAATGGTAGCCTAGAACAGTAGAACATGCTCCAACTAGACCACACCAGCTACCTCTAATAAACTGCTAATAAAGTCTTCTGTTTCATTGTCATCCTTTGCTTTCTTTTTCATATTATCTTTAAGTTTCTTGTGCAAAGCTGATAGCGTTTCTGCATCGATTTTCATTTGATTTTCCGCCATTTTCAAATATTTTGATTGCACACTGAGCTCTATACCACATTTTGTGTTTTTCAAAACTGGAACATTGTCGAGAGCGCACGAGCGTTCACGATGAGGAGTCGAGAAACTCCGAGGCGAACGCGAATCGAGATTCGAGAGATCAAGAAGACAAGATGGATGGAAGCAAGGTGCGAAAGTTGTTGATCTTGAAGGGTTTTTTATCTTATTTCGTGCGTATTTCAAGACTGTTATTTTTCATAGCAGAAACCGATCGTTCCATTGGATTATGATGATGACGATGAAAGTTCAGAGGAGGAAGAAGACGAGGAATTTTTTGACAACAGGTATAAGGTGCCGTTCGGCGTTCACGATGGCGCCAGTCTTCTCGAAAAGGCTGTTTTAATATCTTAAATATTCCACGCTTCTTGTTTGCAGTACGATATAAGTACGGCAGAGCAACGGCAGAATGTCGTTTTTGGATTTGTATGTGTTTTGTTTACAAACAAATGCAAATAATTTGATGCTAACGAATGCACGCTAGACGCGGTAGAGAATTGTCGTGCCCTGGGGGATCTATCTGGATGAATCCCCCAGGGTAATATACAGCCTTGTCTTGTCAAAAGTTCATGTAATTTCACACATTACTGGAATTTGGTAGGATGCATATGACGCATCAAATGACCCATCTTTTTAACCATCAATTTTATAACCTTCAAATTTGAGGGTTCATGGTTGGAACTGCATGCATTCTGTAAAATTTTTAGTTAAAATTTAGTGCCTAAAAAATGTATATAAACTGACATCACACCACAAATACATTTCAACATGTGCGGTTTCATTTTGACAATCGTAAAAACGGCACCTCTGATTTAAATACATTATCTAAACTGCCTGAATGAGCTGGCTGATATTTTAAAATTCTGATAAATTATTACAAAGTTTTTTAAAAAAATGATTGCCGCTTTAAACCAATATGATTTTCCCCAAATGGGAAAAGACATTGTCCAATGGTAGCAATTTAAGGTAAGTTTCTACCTGATACCATATATACTTTGAAACAGGTTTATGAATGTGACTGTATGGCATTTACATATACATATATATTAGCAACAATACGATCTCTAATTCTATAGATGTGTGTATTTTTCATAGTTGATTCATAGTTGAATACATCAAAATGATCGATACTCCCAGATCTATGCACGTTCTGATTCTATTACCTTGTCAACAAAAAGTCATTGCTATATCATAGTAATATATCACATGAATAATGATCAATAACTTGTGGGATCAATACAAGATTATTTTCTGTTTTTTCTCTGTATTAATGCTTTATGAAAAACTGTTTGTTGTATAATGAAGCATCATTATTGTTCATATTTCTAGCAAAGTCGACTGGCGGGTCAAAGGAAATCTGCTTCGGGGAAAAGATTTTTCAGTGTCAGAAAATGGCAACTGTCCAAGATGCCAAAGCAATATTATAGTTTTTGTAATCCAAGATGAGTATGTCAGTTATAATTTAACCATTTGTAATAAACATTTATCATTGCATATCACAAGTTAAAATAAACTGCATTTTTATCTACCTTTTAATGTAATATTTAGCCAAAAAAAAGCATTTGAAAGATGAACTTCACTTGAACAATTCTTAGGTTATTTCCAATGGGTGACATGCCGGAAATTTTATACAATCTTCTTGCAAAAGGAAAAGCAGTATTGTGGTCTAGCCAAGATAAACAGTCCTGTAAAGTAAGCTGTGATTGTTTCATTCAATTGCCAACTTTCTTTATTTGAAAATTCATCTTGATCCGCCTATTTCGTGCAGAAATCTCCAACGTTCATGTGCAGAGGTTTTTGCCCTCCTGATCCACTCGGCGCTGGCTTCAACATCAATTGGGATACGGTTAATTTAACGAAACTTCTCAAAGACCTTTTGAAATTGGTAGGTAACTTCCAGCAGGTGCACTACTAAGGTTAAACTAGTTTGAAAACGCAATGCAATACATACACTTCTAGTACATACACACATTGGTATTCTGTGGCGATTTTTGCGTCCAATTTTCAACACAATACACATCTCGTATCAAACCTTGTCATCTATCAGTTTTTTATGATATTTATTAATCGTGCTCCAATTATAAATGAAAACTAACAGAACTACTTCTGTAATTATTTTAAACATTCTCCGAAGAACGTCGCTAAAGCGCAGAAACAGCTTCAGGAAAGTAAAGTCAAAGAAGGTATTGTTTTCAAGTCATTGGTGCTTTTTCACTGCACTTAAGTGTAAAGACTTTGGTAGTTTGTTAAATTACCACAAGATTATCTATAAAAACTGCTGTAATTACTTTTCTAGGTGAGAAAACGTATCACACAACTCAAAAAAGAAGGGCGGTAAAATAATATTAAGATAAGAAAAAAAAGATAAATTCATGAAAAGGCTGGAAGATTAGGTATGAAAATTTAACGCCTATAACGGTTGAGAAAATGGTTGATCCAGGACCAGGTAATTTTATCCTATTTTCCCAGCAGTTGTTTATTTTGTTGACTTCTTTGCTAGACAAATTTTATCCATTCCTTAAAAGAGCAGCTTTGATCGCCTTTGAGCGAAATACACTGTATTCACATTGATCTAGAAGTACGAGCCAAGGTGCCGTACATCATGCAAGCGAGATATTCTTGCTCTGTATCCCCTCAAATATCTTTCTTTTTAATAATATAGCAGATGAAAACGAGGAGGAAGAAGGCGTGGATGAAAAAGGTTTAATCAAGGCCATGTTGGCTAAGGAAGAAGAGAAAGACACCACAGAGAAACCCGTTCAAGGTCCTTTGATGGAACATGAAGCCAATGCAGACGAAACCTCGGAAACGCTCGCAACCACATCGGCCACTCCCGTTACGGTGGCGTCACCTACAACTCCTCCCGTCACACCTACGACCGCAGCAAACTATCCTGTTTCTAAAGATGGTTCGTGCCCGCATTGCGGGTCAACTACTGTGAGATATATCATTCTGGTGAAGGATTCCACCAAGGATATCACTCTACCACCAACGCTTGATAAACTATTGAAGATGGGAAAGGCGTTCAAAATGGCCAAGGGTAAGTGCATGTTTACTCCTTTGCAAAATCTCATCACAGTTTTGTTGTTTTTCTTCTCCTTCATTTCTTTAGCTCATCTTCGCGAAAAAGCGCATTCTCAAACGCTAAAACGCACTACCATTCACAACAGCTTGCGATTAAACTAAAAAAATACATACAATGCAAATTCAATTGCCGCATATGCATCTTTTTTCTCCAAAATATTTCCCTTTTTCCGGGACATATCAGATTAAGGTAAGTAGTATGCAATCATACCTTTAACAAGGCCATGTACAGTACCGTATCAGTGTCAATGATGATTACCATAACTTTCAAAAAGGTAAAAAAGAAAGCCACCTCACTGTATAATGATGCACGCAGAATAGTTCTTTAAAAATACGAATAAATAAATCTTTAATTGGTGTGGAATAGATTGAATAAATGTAGAAATTAGTTATACCTGTGATAGATTTACTTTATTTTTATAATTATTTTTATCTTTTATTGTCATTTTTGCAAACCACAACACATTCACTATCTAAACAACATTTACAGTAATAACTGTGTATATTACCTTCCCATTACCCTTCTTTCCCAGGCGCCAACAATCCACCGTCATTTCAATGCTGTACTTGCACGTATGGTTTCAACTTGGACTGGTCTAAGACAAATCTGAAGAAGATCTTCAAACTCGAAGAAGAGTCGTCTAGCAACACTACGTCAGCATCGAGCAGCGCCGTAATCTCATCGTCGACATATCAGAATTATACAACTTCATACCCAGCCTCCTCGCTTCAGACGTGAGTTCGTTTACTTGGAGTGCATGCCCTGCGATACCCCTAGCTAACCCATGAGTAACACTCGTGTATCTTCTCTATGAAACTGTATCCCTGAAGAAGATCAAACACGTCACTGACTGACTTTCATAAGAAGGCTTGTGATAGCTACAGTATATCAAATGTGTTTTATCATCGATTGTTCAACATACCTGATGGTTCTTTCATCCATTCTTTTCCTCCACTTTCAGAAAAGTATTGTAACAAGGCACGACTCAGTTACCTTCCTTCCTGTTGACGGTAATTTCTCAATTTCTACTTTCAGCTCAACGTATGGTTCATACTCAGCCTATACTAGACCACCTCCCATGGGTTATCCCGCGGTACCACAATACGGTTACCCCGCGCCTGCCCCTCTCGTGACTCAACCAATGACGAGAATTATCCCCGCACCCCAAATGGCTGGCATGGCCCCACCTCCTATGGCTGGTATGGCACCCCAACCTTATGGTGTTGCCCCTATACCGTACGCCGGAGCACCTCTTCAACCATATCCAGGTATGGCTCCCCAACCCTATGGCCCACCGCCAACCGGGCTTCTTACGGGTCCGCCACAACCATTCCCTGGAGCTCCACCCAACCAATTTGGCCCCATCCCTCCTGGAAGTATGCCACTAGGTGTACCCCCCGTACCGACCAGAGTGGGAGCCCCTATGTACGGCATGCAACCGCCGGGTAATATGAACTTTCGTGGAACGACAGGCCAGGGCAATATTCCTGGAGTTATGCCTGTCAGTGTTTCTGGACAAACACCAGGTCCGTATTCTGTTCCCCTTCAACCACTTGCAGCAGTCCCAATGCAGGGATCCGGCCCCTACCCTGTACCCCGAGGTCTTGCCCCCTTTCCAGGAACCCCTCAAAATCTTATGCCAGGTCCAAGACTTCGAGTCCCAAATGCAAGACTACGAGGAAGAAATAATAAGCATTTGAAAGGAAAGCCCAAGGAAAAGCAAGTTAACCATGAAAACCATGGAAGCACTGAAGTACAGGAACAGGTGAGATATCCGTGTTCTTCATTACTCCCATATGTCCCGTGTTCTCATACACATCTCCTTGGTCAGTGAAAGCGACAACTCTGCATGGTGTTGTAATTGGAACTAGTAATTGGTTAGATAAAGGGTATTAAATTATTGATATAATACTCACAAGGAAAAATCGCATGGCCATTTACCAAGTGTAAAGTCCCAAAGAATCTCAACATTTTCGCTCATTTCGAGGAACTTTGGCCTCATGAAAATGGTCATGAGCGATTAGAATTGCGTTTTTGAAAAACAGTTTGCAAACACCGACTAATTTCGTTTTAGGAAATCAATCAAAAACATTATCGTTAAGTCGCCAATATGTGTGTACACTCACGTCTGACTTTGTTTCAGAGCTCCATATTCCGAGAGAGGAGAACGAAGAGAATATTAAACAAAATAAACTGAAATATGTCAAAAGATTTTTCTTGTCTTGTACGCAAAATAATCCAATCTTGTGTGAGCTACTATTTAATAAAGGAGTATATACCATACAATATAGTGTACTGCGTGTTGGTGTGTTAAAAACAATCACGTTTTCTTTTATCCAGTGGTCACAAGATGTAGGAGAGTCGCAGGATAATGATGGTGAAGAGGATACAAATGAGGACGTCTATGACCCCGAAGCTGCGACGAGGTTCGAGGAACTGTTGAATAAAATTGACGAAAAGCCGCCCGGGGAGGATACCCAGGCGGAATTTGAAGTAGCCGCATTTACACCTGATGAGAAACCCGCTGAACCAGTAGAGAATATCGTGGAAAATATTGATAAAAGCGATGGAACAATCGAGAAAGCAGCTGCGGTAAGCGAGACAAGGAGTACTGAACCTGAAGCAATGAAACAAGATACATCAAGTGTTACTGTAAATAATTTGAGTGAAACTGCTGCTGCACCTGAGCCTGCGAACGTTTGTGAAGATACCAGCGATGCTGGGAACTCAGGTCAAGGTAATGATTCCAGTGTGACGTCAGGTGTTGAGAGCGGAGGATTGGAGCCGAGTCCCAAGACAGCGTCTCGGGGGAAATCAACGCGGGGTAGAAAACGTCAGGCAACTGGCGGGAGAAAAACGGCGCGAAATACAAGAACGAAGAAAGTTGTGGAGAATGCCGGATACGAGGATAGAATAGGAAATGATAATGATGGATTGACAGGGACAGATGAAGTAAAGAAAGTAAAACTGTCAGATGAACAAACACAGGAAAATACCGACGCTGATGAAAATATTCAAGAAGCGACGATTGAGGAGGACATTCAGCCCAAGAGGGTGACTCGTGCGCGCACACAGAGAAGAAAGAAATAAACATTGATGATAGTTCTTTCTAATGTAGATACAAGATGAAACATTCTTGTTCCTTGGGGAACTCAGCCTCTCTAAACATGGGGAATGAACTCAACATTACAATTTCCTGAATATAGGAATTTACAAGTGCTTTTATAACTGTTCTGTTAAAGGAAGAACCTTTAGTACCAAACTGTAATATATTGTTTTGTTAATGTTGTGATAGGTGTATCACTGAACATTACACACATGAAAAGTTTTGAAGTCTGTGACTATAACATACTACATGGGAAACTAGCCTTGAGTGAAATGGAAATGTTCTGCTTGCTTTGAACACTTTAGCTCATTTCACATTTACAGCTTCGTTCTTAATTGGTCAATTGATGTTCAAGGAAACTGGATTTCGATTAGGATAGATTTTGTTCTTCATTTTCATAATACAAACTTGTGGAACATGCCCACAACTATGGTGCCACAGTGTTTTTTCTTCATTTGGATAAATTGAGTCACAGAACTCTTTATATGGCATTGAGGTTACCGGAATCCCCAAAACAGGCCAGCATAGGCAACAGGATTATCTACTGTTAATGCACTGTCACTGATATTTACCTGAAGTAAAACTCCACGTGATCTTGCTAGCTGATAATGCTGAAGGTGTAATTTCTCGTCATTGCTCATCAATCATGAGCGGTCGATGTATCTCCAGGACAATGCGTATCCAAGTCCTCTTCATCTAAATATTGATCATAAAAAGCATTTGGTTAAAGCTTGAAGTGGGTCCAACAAACTCAAGATGACTCATACCTGTATAAGATGTGCCACACCAAATACAATATTTATGAGTTCTTCTAAGATATTCTGTAAGTATGACAAGTTTCTCTGAACTCTAAATGAAAATCAATAGGAATTAAATCACTTGGGTATCATAGATCACTTGGGTATGAAAATAACAATGACATAATCACCTCCAATTCTTCCACTTCTTCCTCATACACTTCATCATTTTCATCATCTTCATTTTCATTCAACCTTTCAGGCCAGAACCAAACTTCCTTGCAGCTCATGTTCTAACATAATAAATTAACCAGTCAGAGTTTAACCCATGATTGAGATTGAGAGGGATGCAAAGCCAAGTCTGAATCAAAGCTTTACAAAATGCCCTAGAATACGTTAATGTAATATTTTACCTCAGCCTTATCTAGCTGTTCGCATGCCTTTTGACTTTGAAACAAATCTTTTTCGACAAGTTTATTTGAAAATATTTCCTTCTGTTTCTCCCTAAAGTCCTCACGTTGTTTCGCTTCAAGTTTTATTCGTTTATCTCGTGCAACTTTCAAACACTTCTCTTGAAGTTCCTGTTTTCGTTTCATCTCCGATTCCTGTCCCAAACCTCCTCGACCTTGAAAATAAAAGAAACTTTTTGAAATTTCAATAAACATAGCAAAGTATTGAGGAAAAAGTACTCTACCTTCCTTGATTGACAGCGGAATAGGCTCTTTTCTACCCTCTCCTGAAGTTTTGAAATGAAGAAGAAAATATTTTATAAATCATATGAAATCTCCCTTCAAAAACCTTACAATGTAAACCCTACACAGTACCACAAGTCATCATACCCTGTTTTCCAAGTCCCTTTCCTTCTTTATAACCCATTTTCGCCAAGAGAGCAAAGCCTTTGTTTGAACTATCTATCGCATTTGACAATGCCTTTTCCCTGCGTTCGCTTTCTCGTTCTTTCAAAGGCTTTGTTTTGTTCTGTGCATCTTTCTGTTTTCTCTTAGCTTCTTTCTTGTACTCTCTAGCGGCTACACCAAAGGCAAGCCCAGGTCTGGTGTCTTCCAGCCCCAAAAGAAAAGCATCTGACATATAATCGTCTTCTTCTTTGGCCGCCATATTGCTTTTAGTAGCGAGGCCGCTGCGGAATTGCAGGCTCGTGCTGTCGGTTTTTGTGCTAATTTTTTGACCTACCAATAAGTGCGTACCTTCTTCACAATTGACCAGCGTAATGAGAGTGACAGTTGACTTAATAGAGTGCTTGCTAGGAGTCCCCAAGGCCAGACAATGCTCTAAGTGGCACCATAGGTTGTATTCTCTGGTCGCCTCACTTCAAAAACTGATGATCATTAGGGTGTATTGGGATATGATTCATGTGTGGTATTTAGATCTTGGTAGATTTGGGATTCTGCGAAGTCTTATTAAATGCAGGAGAAGAAACCTTTTCTTTCAACTGTTTTTACAGCCCTCAGTTTAAGTAAACATTTACCTCGAGTCTCGTGATTATGAAACATTTGCGTCAAACCGTTCGAGTACTGCCACTAAGAAGCGTTTGGCAAAACTCTCCACTGACAGATTCTTTGACGGTCAAGGTAAGTTACCAGATTCTCTATCAACAGTAGATGCGGCAGTTTGGAATGAGGTCATAGGGAGCAAGCTATCAATAAACAAACAAAGAAAACACGCCAAGACAGATTTCAACATTAATAGGACACGGAATTCTGCCAATCGGTTTTGCCCACTCAAGCTTGACCTTCCGGCGTCTCATACCAGGAGCTGGATTAAATGTCGAATTACGTGAGCTTTCAATTTGCAACAACTTTTGTTCCCAAAAGCTGCTCTTCTATTGTTGCATGGCGTTTGGCCATTATTACTTAACAAGGGTGGTGTTTGGTGCAACAGCAGCAGAAATACGAGGAATGAAGAATAAAAACAGTCTTGGGCACTGAAATTTGATATATGAAAGTTTGATTACTGAACCATATGATCTGGTGACTTGACACAGGCCCTGATGGTTTTGATTAGTGGCATTCAAGGGCAAGGTCAGTCAGTCGCTTGAACGCACACGTTTGACGCATATTTACAGACCTGTTCCACGAACGAATTTACGACGTTTTTTACGAGTCAACACAAAAAATGACAGAATCAACTTCAACGGAACTTGGAATTTAATATGGGTGGTTTTAAAGCGAACATCGGTGATTTTAAACGATACTGTCGCAAGACGGCCTCATGCCGTGAAGAGTAAATTTCTTTTGGATACCAAATTTCAATGGTCTTTTCGCAGGAACGAGAAGGTAAATTGAACATACTTTTTCAATTTATTATTTTAAATAGTGTGTATTATCGTCGATAAGGACAAAGTTGCGGGTTTAGACTGCGCGGTGTGCGACAATCCTATATAAATTGACTTAATAGGTAATTCTATATTTTTCATATATATCTAGTATATTATAATTCTTTGTCCTACATATTAACTAACCGTATACGACCAATCGTATTTGAAAACTCTCGCAGATTGTGCCAATTTTGCTGAAGTTTAGTAATTTGGTACCAACGATTAGGTGCGCAAAGATTGAATAAAGTCTTAACATACAATGCGTATTAAAAAACTAGCGGATATCAACCTTATTTGAACCGACAGTGGTTAAATTTGAACTGTATCAATCTCGTCTTTGCAGGAATAATTGTACATTATGTATATTAGGCTTTTGTAATAAAAACAGGAAATCGCGACGCGCGGGGGAAAAATAGCCTATGCAGACGATTCTGTGTGTTAAACGCGTGATTTAAACTCGTGCGTGTTGCGTCACTTGTGGTGGAAACTCCGCAATTGACTGTCATCGATGATTATTAGAAAGTATTTGACCCAATGCATATGTGAAATGAGATACAGGAATGAAAGATGTATAAAAATTTACATTGATATTCGTTTCAACACTGTCTGCTCTTGTCTGGCCGAAACGTAGGCGAGAACACGTCATATTCGTTGCAAGAGATTTATTAATACTTTTACGACCATTTTGGAAGGCCTGCTGTATACAACAATTTTTTTTTTTGGAATGACGTCAAGTGATCCTCAAACATACAATATATGTGAAAGAAATAGTCAGCCAAAGGCCAAGACTGCCAAAGGTTCAGCTCGAATAAAAGTTGACAAAAATTCCACGAAACTAAGAGAAACGACTAAGGCAAAATATTTACCTATCTATATTCATCAGCGGGGAGTGGTAATTTTTTATTTTGAAAAACACCACGATATGAAAATCAATTCGCTTTTGTCAAACTACCAATATTTTTATCTCATGTCACCGTCACTTCAATATTCAACACAAAAACAAGATATTGGTCTGTTGAAAATGAAAGAAAAGAAGTTAATGATCACTCCCTCATTCTTTATGCAGAAGTAAGCGAAGATCTTTTTGAAGTTATCTCGTGACCCCCGGATGGCAATTAAATAAACACTTAAGATTTTTAAGCATGATAGGTAGTCATGGGACCACACAGTATAAATATTTGAAATATAAAATCACCATGCAGTTCTTGTAAAATTTGGATAGGCATCGCTGGATATGCATGTATAATCGTTTAGTCGAATGCATACCATGCAAAAACTGCGACATTGCACAACACTGGTTGATAATTTACTCAGTATTGGTGAGTGATCACGTGCACGCGAGCCACGTGAACAACTATATAAGTCATTCGAGCAGGTTTTGAGCCAATCAGAATTGTTACGTCATGTTTAAAGTCCAGTAGAACAAACGGAAGTTGGGTGACCGCAAACAACAACAAAACGCCGAGTCGCTTGCCTGCACGAAAAAGTATTTTTATGGTCTGATTTGTGAGAAAACACAAAGGCTGGAATGATAGAGCAGGCGGTCTTTTGGGAAGCTGTCAGTGTTAAACCTCGTGCAAACAAAAGGTAAAACTATCTCAGCTTTTTTTTTTAATTACTTCAATTTCCATGCATCGCCTATTGTACTATAAACGATGCAGGCTTTGAATATTACGATATTCTCGCCAAGAGTTTGATATCGCGATCCTTAGTGAAGTGTTTTTTTGCTAACCTGTTATTTTTTTACATCCTACCCACAAAAAAAATGTGAATTGCAAACATTAATTGGACAAGTGTTGACTTGTATATCATGTAAGGGTTTTCCCTGAGAAGGCATCTTTACCTCTGGAGGCTTACATCAGCTTACATACCGTTCCAATTTTTTTCTCCTAACAAGCTTAACAATTTAATCAGAGTTAGGTGTAGAAAGAATACAGTACTTAGATTATACATTGCTTAGACTGCTGCATATGGATTATAATCCATCGTTCGCAAAATCTGAAGTTATCAGATATTGTTCTGTACAACCGCCTACGGCTGCGGGAAACCTAAATAGTAAATGAAGAAAAGTGCCTATGGATTGAAGAGTGTGCATTCATCTTTTAACTACTATGGGTTGGCCCTAATAACGCATTTTCGTGCTGAGAGAATATTGATGTTGTTGTATAAAGGAATTATACCGTAGTTTAAGCTGTAGAGTTTGCAGCTGACAAGCTAGTCGAACAGGTACCTTAATAAAGCCACATTGCCAAGCCTGCTTTTTGCCGTTTTAGCTCCAGAATTTTGAGACTAGAGAAAAATTAGGTTGATAAGTGAAATTTGCTTTATACTGCAAAATGGGACAAAGAATATAATCTTGAGATGAGGTTCGTTCCAAATGAATAGATTCTTGATTATTTCGATAATATCTCTGAGTACTTCAGGGCATTCAGACTATAAGATCGATTATTATTTTTGAGTTTCATAATTCTATGCCTTAAATGGCTTAACTTATATAATTTAAAGGGTTTTATATGTTTTTATGCGATCAGAAAGAGTGTTTCTGCAAAAATCTGTGATTATTTATATGTACTCACAAGATCTTTCATTGTAAACAAAGCCTAAATAGGCCATTTGACACAAAGACAAAATGATTTGCATATGCAATATTGAAAAAAAAAGCTAATAAATAAAACAAAAACAATAAGATGATTAAGAACGCTAGGCTGCCAACGGTGACACACTAAAGAGTTTTCTTAATTAATAAAAAACTCGTGATATTCAGCACTGTCTCAATTGGAGCTGTTTAGCATGTAAAAAGCAACGCCGGCATATTGTAAAGGCCTATTTAAACTATACGATGAGTTGTATGCAATTATGAGGGCTGATGGGGGACATTGCATGCAATCACGGAGAGATTTACTGTGGATTTTGAACTTTTTTCAGCTCTGCCAATGGAGGAGGAAGGAGGACAGGATTATCTTCAGGTACCAAGTTTCAACACCCCAATGACTGTGGAGCTTAACGAGGATCCATGGAAACCAATGGCGACGAGAAGGCGATATTCCGATACAGGTATGTTAGCATTGAAAATTATTTGGATAAAGAATATATCTCGCGCACGTTTTGGTCAAGCTCAAGCATAGAATTTCTGAAGACCACATATGTTGACATAGCTAACCATTCTCATCATCACCATCACTAAAACCAACGTCGCTATCATAATCCTGATTATAATTTTTTTCTTTGTTCCAGCACATCCATTACCTTTCAGCTCATTTTTTTTGCAGGATCATCGCTAGCAGCAATATCAAATGGCCACATTGATCATATTCCAAATGAGAATTACGCGCAAGAAAAAGATGAATACGGAATGGATGACGAGAACATCCGCTCTTACAAAAGACGTTTCTACATCCTCCTGGTATTTTCTCTCTCTGCGTTCGCTCAGTATTGCGCGTGGAACGCTTTTGGTCCGATATCAGGAACGGTGAAAGCTGTGTTTGGTTGGGGCAACGCGGAGATTGCACTACTTGCGAGTCTTGATCCTATCACGTATCTTCTTACCATGATATTCTTCTCGTGGATGATGGATGTGAAAGGTTGGTATTTCCCAGTTCACCGTGTACCATATATATATATTTCACTGGTGTACCATATATATATTTCACTGGTGTACCATACATATATTTCACTGGTGTACCATATATATATTTCACTGGCGTACCATATATATATATTTCACTGGTGTACCATATATACATTTCACTGGTGTACCATATATATATTTCACTGGTGTACCATATATATATTTCACTGGCGTACCATATATACATTTCACTGGCGTACGATATATATATTTTACTGGTATGTTCTTCCAGGATGCTGGGGCTGGTACACTAATAAATCAAAATAACCCGTTTCATCGTTCTTCATATACAGGTCTTCGTGTTTCCTTGGTACTTTCTGTTTTCCTCATGTTTATTGGAACTGGTTTAAGATGCGTCACCAGCGATCACAGTACCGCTCTTTGGTAAGAGTCTTTTCAGTTCCTTTTGGTCTCTTCTTAGGTTTTGAATTTGTTGGCCTGCTGCGAGCGAATCTTGCAAATCACGAGGGCAATTTTACTAATTTCCATTGCTTTTTTCAACCAAGGACAATGACTGCTGGGCAATTCTTGAACGGTCTCGCAGGCCCAGTCACGCAAGCAGCCCCGCCATTGCTGTCGTCAGCGTGGTTTCCAAGGAGCGAGCGAACAACGGCGACTGCAGTGGCGTCGCTCTGCGGTTCTCTTGGAGTTGCGTTGTCGTTCGTGATTGGTCCGAACATGGTCGGCGGAGTCGATTTGGACAATTTCCAAACTAGCCCAAGTTTTTCACAACTGACTTCCAATTCCAGGTTCGCCGAGTTGCTAAACAATGCATTCTTTGCCAAATATGTCAAGATCTCGAATTTCTTCTCATTTGCATTTACAGTTTTCTATCCAAAGACCTTTTTTTAAACAATTCCACTCCTCTGTCAGGTATGCTATCAATTGATAAACTTTCTACATAAAATCGACTCATTTTAACTGCCACGACTAGACTTGTTCAAAGGTTAATCGCCATATTTATTCAGTATTTTTCTACTTCCTTTTAGAAACACTATACAGGGATGCTGTACACTACTGGTCGATGGACGAAATTATCCAGCCTTCACCCCAAACATCAAATGATAACCTACACTACATAAAGGATGCTAAGAGCGACCTTAGAGGAACTCTCCGTAGAACTGCACACGTTACTGGCCAAGTTGAGAAAGCTTTAGAATTGAATGGAAATGGTTTTATAGACCTTGGAAATTTTGTTAACACCTGTCTAGGAAAGCCGTCTTCATGTCGTAACGGAATGACGGTGTCGTTATGGTTAAAATATAAACCTTCAGAAAAGCGGCAATATTTTCTGGGAACGAGTGGCACTGATATAAAACAGCCTGGTTTTGTTATCTACCAGGATTTGTATAGTAATGGTAGTAATTATATAGCAGTCAGTGTTCGTACGGGCAAGGCAGCATGGACCACGCACGTGACAGTCCCGACGTATACCTGGACACACGTGCTATTCAGCTGGAGTTCACGTGATGGGCTAAGCGTACACACAAATGGCACACTTGCTAGTAGAGTGGAGGAATTCTCCCCAACAGATTCAATTGAGAATTTTTATACGGTGCTGACATTGGGAAGACCGAATAACGAATATAGACTATCTAGGGCAACCTATGACGAGCTAGCAGTATGGTATTTAGTACTCACAGAGCAGGAGGCCAAGGCGATCTTCGCAAGGTCGTCTGGGACAGATTTCGCTGCACTGGACGCGAGGGTAACTAAAGGTGAGAACGGAATGTTCTAAATGAAATATCACCAGAGTTGGTTTTGTTCGGCATGTGTTGATAAGTCGGTCCAAAATCTTTACCAGCCGACTAATTTGATAAAATATAAACGGGACAAATTTTGAACACGTTATCTTTCAAGCTGGAGATTTCAAATCTTGCGATCGCAAGATGGTGTTATAATTCCGAGTCTGTTTCATGCTATATTAATTCATTGCGTTCTACCATTTGTTCAGAGAAAAATGATTTGCTTCAAAAACGGGAAGATGAAATCATGCGTTTACTGTACATAGGTGAGTGGACTCCCCCGTTTCATTTATATTCCACTACAAATTATTGGCTTAATGTCGCAATTTGTTTTCAATTATCCAGAGTTTGGCGTGATTGCCGTGCTGTTCGTATGCACAGCGGTATATTTCCCAAGCAAGCCTCCCACTCCCCCCAGTCTTTCATCTGCAACCGAGCGAGAGGACTTCAGTGCAGGATTCAAGCAACTTTTACGACACAAGCAGTTTTGGACGCTGGCCATGATCTACGGAATCACCACAGGTAGATGATGAAAAAACAAGTTTTAGAAATTTTGTATTCGTGTAGCAAGCAGTAACCAGAAATCGTCCATCATTTTTCAGGAATTTACAGTGGTTGGGGGGCGTTACTAGCATTGAATCTGGAGGGTTTTAACATTGGACAGGTACGTGCAAATCTGTCCACGAGGTTCAAGTCATCTCACTCAATATTATGTATACAACTGAGCAGCAAAAAAATGATATGTGGTGATCTTACCTTGACGAGGATTTCTTTGCTTTGTTTTCATTCGACGATGTCTAAAACAAAGAATTTGCATTTGAGCAAAGGCTAAATCGTCGTATTAGTCCCTTCACACGACTCACCAAAATAGATTCTCAGCGATTTTGAGTGAAATTCATCGCAGTTCTTCTTGTCCCAGAAATAAAACGATTCGTAATTTTCTTCCCAGAATCAAGCAGGCTGGATCGGTTTCTACGCCACAATTGCTGGTATCAGCGCTGGAATATTGCTTGCCAGGTAATCACCGAGAGAAAAAATAGCCTTCAGTAAAGAAATTTCTCTGCAGTATAAGTGAAGCTTTGCTTCATCACTTTCAAAAACGTTCAACACATGCATTTCTTACTTGTAGATTTTCCGATTTCTTTGGCGGCAACATCAAACGACTACTTCTGTTTCTTTTCGTCTGTTCTTCGGCGTCATTTCTCTGGTTTTCGTTGCTCTGCTTGAGAATAATTCCATTCTCTGAAGGTAAGTAACCATAGCCACCTGGCACCAATCCCATGCGGACTCGCTCGGCTTTATTTATAGTTATTTAAAGCGTTGGTACCAGGCTTCCCTTGTCCCCGTATCTTCCCTTTAATACTCTTCCTAATTTCATAATTCTTACCTTGCAGCATCACTTTATCCGTCCAGCATCATTGGTGGTTTCAGTATAAGTGGTACAATTCCGCTATTCTATGAGCTCACCGTTGAATGTACTTACCCCATTTCTGAAGGCGTCACTACAGGAGTACTCACGCTTGTGAATAACATCTGGACTGTCATATTTCTTCTCGTTGTCATGATACCTGGAATAGGTAAGCCAGTGCCGAGAACCTCTATATACTAAATGGTCCAATCATATCAGCTGATCTGAACTGGCGGGAAAAGACTGTAACTAGTTGTCAAATAAAAATCCCTTCAAATATTCGTTTGAAATAACTTATTACTATTTCATCTTTTTTTCTTTTCAGGTACGATATGGATGAACTGGGCGTTATTCGCTTCGTGCGCGGGTTGTATTCCAATATTGCTCATGTTTAAGGAACGTTATGGTAGGCTCATTGTCGATGCTGGTATTGAAGTGAAGGTCGCAAACGGCAGCGATGATGAATTAGAAGATGATGGATTCAAGACGAGAAGAGTCTTTGCATCAACACTGTCAATGGCTGGAGTAGATCAATTCATGGACAGACTTCATAAATCAAAAGAATCAAAACTATGAAAGTCAAGAATGAAGGGTTCAGGATCACACCCAAAGTCAAGATCAACAAGACGGACTTTATCAAAGATAAACGAACTACGAATGTAGGGGCTAAAGGAATTAAAACATTTAATGTTTAACCATAGTGCCTTCAATCATCATACCCCAAAGATTGTCTGGATGAGAACCAAAAATCATGGTCAGAAAAACTCAATCAACTTGTCCGTTTAACTCCACTTCTAACTTCTCCCAAAATTCACAATGTAGTTCCAATAAGTATTAATGATTATTAGGAAGGGTAGGATGTTCAAAACCCTTCGTAAACAATCCCATTTCTTTCACCAACACATGACAACAGCAAAAGCAATATAGCATCAAATGTCGTATAACAACTGCCTAAAATAAACAAAGTGTTTTTGTCTATGGCAATTGTCTTAGGCAGTTGTTATACCACATTTGATGCTAAGTTGTACAGATTTAATTATTTCGATAATGCATGGTGCGGGTGGGCACGAAATATAATCATTTTAAATCCCGGTCCTTTTTGACTTGGCACAAAGTCATCATAATAATCATGTTCCTTCGGGAAAGCGATTTCACTCGAATCTGTCGCTTTCGTCCACGAAGTTCAAAATTGAAAGGTATTTAAAAGGCAAGCCGCAAAATGTCTTGAATTCTCGATGACTTATTTTTCTTTCGTCAACGTTTCAAACCCCTATGTCCAATTTTCGCTTTAGTTTGACCATATGCATAACAGCATAAGGTCGGAAAATCATTGGTTTTTTGATAACGAATAACCTAAAATATTTCAGAAGCCATGTTCTTGTATTTTGTTTTATTCCGTTACGCTGTAACGAGCCGAGCTTACTTCACACACACACAACAGACTTCTGGGGTATTTCTAATCATAAACGTAAATCATTTCACGGTTGTACGTAAAAGATAAAATGAATAAAATTGTGAAATATTCAAAATTCAACACAAGAAAATTCAGCAGAGAAGGTTATCCAGTCTATTTTTCTTTGAGATGAATACATGACATTGACAGTAAACTGAGCACGCTCACGATAATTATTACAACTGGTATTATAAACTATGTACACTAGTCGAAAACTATACCGTATTCAAAGTGATTTATTCCCAAACCAAGCACAGAAGCCCCGTGTAACCGGTTTTATGCTAGTTCCACTTCGTACCCAGGGCCTTCGCGCTTACGCCTCTTAAGATGGAACAGCCGGAATTGAAAATAAACATTTCAATCTCAACATTCTTTCTCACAGTGCTCATGAGTCGTGTTTTAGTCGAAATAGATATAACTACTTGCGTCCTTATCATTGAATACTTGTAAAAATACTTCAATTTGCCGTCGCCTTTTACATAAAACTTTAGTACACAAGTTTCTTTATTGCTTTGGGGCCTTTGTGAGTTCAATACGAAACGCGAAAGTTTCCTTGCTCGGTTTTGAGTTCCTCTCAGGTTTGAGCGCGGACAGTTGATATCTTTGGAAGGTAACTAGTCCATCAATGAACTTCAAGAGGTCATGGAATGCTCACTAGGAGTGTATCCCCAGAGCTTTCTGAGGCGAATTTCCCCAGAGGAGATTGCTCACGAGAAAACAGCGGTAACGAATCACATGATAGGAACATGGAGTAAAGAAAAAGAAGCGCTGTAAACTCCTACGAAGAGCGTTTTGCATTTTAATACGAACAGTCGAACACCATCCAAATCCAGTTTCTGGGAACAGATTTTTTAACGTCAGTCGTCAATCACTATAGGCTCGTCCACATTTGTACCTCCAATACCCCCCTGTTTCCCAGATTCGTCCTGACCTGCAAGTACGCCACCACCTGCAGCCACAGGCCCTGCGGTAGTAACCTCTCCATTATTTGCAGGCAAACCAATGTTCTCAGCAATCCCCGTTACGGGGGGCGTTATACCCTGTCCTTTAACAGGGGGTTTCTCGTCATTCATATTAATCCTGGGTGTTATGGCCTCGGCCAACTCGTTCTTTACCGGAGATGGAATTTTCCCATCGGTCAGAAGGTGATCGGATTTCGTCGGAGTCCCCATGGGCGTTTTATCTTTGCTTTTTCGTGGTTTTCGTACACGATAAATGAGCTCTCTCAGTTCTGGAGGACATCTCACTTCCACCCATGGTTTTCTGGGCAAACGACGCTTTACTTCGTCAGCTATACTCTTTCTTGCTGACCTGGTTGGAAGGGAATACAATTTAGGTGAAACATCCGTCTATTTGCACACAACGGTTTAGGCAACTAGAGCTAACAGTAATCCAATTCAATAGTTTCTAAGAAATGAAGATAATTTCTAAGAAAAATGAAATTTCTAAAAAAATGTTGTCTTCCTCACCTCATCACCTTTGTTGCACTAAAAACAAATTCCTCAGGTGGATCTATAAACTGAGGCTGTCTGGTCGGAGACGACCGGCCCCGAGACTTATTTTGACCATTTACCGCTGTATGGTTTTTCATCAAGGGCGCGGACAACTTCCGGTTCAACCCAGGCCCCGAAACAGGGCTCCCTAACTGCTGCTTAGGAGGTTTAGAGAGGGGTTGGGTGAGAGGGAGCGAACCGGGAGCCTGGGGAGGTGATTTCAAACCTGGATTGGTGTATGACGTCACGGTGTGTTCAGCGTAAGGCGCCATCTTGGTGACCCCAGGCCCCATGCCCGGGTTGACGTCACAGTAAGCAGGATAAGACTTTTGTTTTGGAGGCCCAGACCCCTGTGATGGTTGGTAAGATACGGCGTGAATCGTCTGCATGTGATGAGAAAGACTCGCTGGAAACGAAGAAAGCGTGCTCAGAAAGTGACGTAAATATATCACAAGGGTATTGGTTATAGCCTTATAAATGAAATACGCAATATAATATGTTCACGTTGTATAATCCATAGCTTCTTGCCGGCGGCTCGATTAGGGGATATCCGTGAAAGAAATGCCACGATCAAAATGGATGTTAGTCATGTTACCCTACCTTGATTATGAAGTACTTTGCCACAATGCTTGCACTCACAACCTTTCTTTCCGAGAGGCGAGTTACTGACAAATCTTTTCGTGGCGGGACCTGAAAGTTGAATAATTGTTGAGACCACTTATTCCTCTTCGGCTGGTAGTACAATCACAATGACGAGAAAAATGATAATATGGTTCATTTCATAACCTACCATCTAAACCGTTCTGATGAGGATTGATGTTCTCCAAAGACCTCTTCCGCGACAGCATGTGTTTCGATGAATGTGCCGGGCGTGGCTCTACGACCTCGTTCACATTGACCTGCGGTACATACAACCGAGGCGAGTGAAGCATCTTACGAGTTGGTGACGTAATCGGTGATGGATGCATCCCTGATGTGGACTTTGACCTAGTCTTTGTCACGTGCGTTGAAACTTGAGGTGTGGCCGTGACGTCACTGGTTACTTTGGGTGGTCTGGTTTTCAGGACTTCGACTATGCTTTCCAGCGGTTTTCGTTGTTTTATTTGCCTTTTCGCGATAATGTTCTCGGCAACTTTCCGGGAAATACGGCTGACACCTAGAGCAACACACGAGAGAGTCGTTTACGTACATCAACAATTGGAAAAGCCAATATTGACTGGACAAAAAAAACTTCCCTATCTAAGCTTGGTTTTCAGAACGAGAACATCAGTTGTATATGGGCAAAGAAAACCAGAGGTTTTATAAGAGGTTTTTCTCAGACTTGTTTACATCAAGAAGAGAATCGCATTCAAAATCGGAGCAAAAAATCCGAGTGTATTCAACGGGCGCATTGGAAGAAAATGATCTAGTCAAAATACTCACATGCTTGCCGCACATCGTTGATTTCTAGACGATCGTTAAACACGCGTGCAAGATGCGGAAACTTGAGGAAATCCGGACACAGATATCGTGAGATCTTCGTGAGAGGAAGAACCTTCATGAAGAACGCTGGCTTTGGCTTCGCATGAGGTGGACTGCGAGGTCTCAATGAATGACAGGACGACAAGTGTCGCGTTAGGTTGGCTTCTGTGTTAAACGTCTGTAAAGATGACAAACAGAAGATGATATTGGGGCATTCGAAACTAGTGGTGGTAATATATATAATAATGTATAAAGGAAGCAAAGATTATGGCTTTGCTTACCTTATCACATGCACTGACGAAGCATTTGAAAGGCTTGTGAGTCACCATATGGTTAGAAAGAAGTGCTAAATAATAATAAACACAATAATAGCTTGTTGTTAGAAAACGAGTTCTTGAATGACACCCACGACCGAAGCCGGAAAAAGCGACCACAATGAAAAGGTGAAAGATGGAAAAATAGAGAAACGTTGATTACCTGCTCTGTTGAACACTTTCCCACAAATACGACAAGTGTAACGAACTTCTTCCCCAACCCTTCGACTGGAAAACCCATCTGAAACAAATTAAAGGTAAACAAATGAACAAAACAACAAATTCTATGATACTTCTATTATACTTCTTCTAGTTATACCACTTCGATAAGCTTTGAACATTTCACAACTGTCTACGTATGAGATATGAAGACGTGAAATAAGAATCCTGACTACAGTGGCAAGAGGAACTTCGAGAAATCCTCCCAGCAGTTTGGAGGACTAGGGCAGTTTTTCTCGTCGTCAATGTATTATCAAGGTGAATACCTGGTTTCTTGAGTCCGCCGTATTTCTTCCAGTAAACCCAGCATACAGAACAAACGTAGTGTTTATACTGGGTGTTTGGTGTGGACCATGGAAACCAGTGAGTTGATGTATTCGCTGAGGAGAATTGTAAAGAAATAAAATTAACTTGAAAGAAGACACGAGAAGGCAAAGAATTGGATTGGATACGGCAAATCCTTAACGGTCAGTTTGAGGAGCGTTTACGGTCGAGACTAGGCCGATCTAGGCAGAAATGGAGCAACCCTTTATCAGTTTCTTACCATAGCAACTTTCACAGGAATATCCCGGAGTAGGTGGTTTGGTAATGACCCCAGGAGGAGGGTAAGGAATTGAATTGACAGATTCCTTGTCACCAGACCCAGTCACACAGGTTGTTCCTGGTCTATACACGACAAAAAGCGAAAGTATTAGTGGTTTTGACAGATCAAGTGTCGAATAGGATGTATTAAGGAGTGTTTCCGTTTAACTTACGGGTTTGAGACGAGGATTTGTTTCAAGTCTGACTCCTTCTCAACACTTTTCATTCTTTTCTACAAGAGAGAAAAACTTTCTGTTATTTTTTTGAACCTTTTTGGAGATTGGGGATGAAAACACTGCCCCAGATTCACACAGACATGGGTTTAATTCCCAACAGAGGAACCTAGTTGCACTCCATTAACATTTTGGGTTAGGTCCTGAAGTCATTCATTCTCAGTCACAGTCCTATAACTCATTTACAAACCTGTCTGACGTATCTATCTGTTGTCTTCCACATATAGTAGTACTCAATGATACTGGAAATACTCTTCCACGGAAGCTAAAGGATATTCCAAACATTTAGCAAAAAATATTTTCAAAGAAAACTTGTGAAGTTTTATGACAACAACTTACAAAGTCCTTTTGAATGTCACTGAAGTCCTTTCCATATTTATTGACAGCTTCTTCAAATAATCCCGCTTCACCTGATTTGAGAATATGGAAACTTGGGGATTAACCTAACAGGCACTAAATCTATGTAGTACATCTGGATGTTTCTGCCGAACGCTACATGATTTCAGAAGTAGACATGTTATACCTGCAGACCATTCTTCCATCTCATCTCGACACAATACAGGACCTCCAGAAGGGACCAAACTCCCAACAGCTTTGCTAAGATCATACGAACTCTTGTGTAGAACACACAGTGCATGGAACTGAAAAACGAGCAGAATCAGTGTCGAAGAAAGTGTCAATTACACAGCTGTGAAAACAACTTTATAATAGGCATGCCATAGATAGATGTGTTTGCAATGGAATACCTGTGTAATATCTCTTGACGCTGCTGCGGCACTCATATGAAGACTTGGTTGTTTTACAGAGCTGCTACAGTCTAGTGCTCTAGCAAAGGTACCAACAGACCTGACAGAGAAACACAAAATGCTCAAGCAACAACAATAAAGCTACCAAAGCCCAAATGGTTTAACTACCAACACTCACCTGGAGACAACGAGGAACTGGTCAACTTCACGGTCTGTCAAGTTGTGATTTGATGTCCAAACCATCGTCTCCAGTTGCGATAAATCTCTGGTATCATCGCTTGCTACAATAAAACACACATGTTCATTTAGAATCTCCAATTAGTCTTCCACTACCCTCAAGCGTAACTTCATCTACATACTGTCTTCAAGCTTCAGGGGGATCGTTGGCTGGTAATTCGAGCCAATTCCAATCTCTCCTTTATCAGCAAGCAATGCTTTTTGTTGCGGGTCGTAAACAAGGCAGTAATAGAACCAATCCTGAAACATCAAGTTAATATTACATAGGAACATAATGATACCCTACTTCAAAAAAACAAAGAGAAACAAAGAAAAGATGCTGATTTTGAAGAAACAGAATGACTCCATTACCTCTTTTCCTGAATATCTTGGTAGAACCTCTGTTTCACAGTAAAGAGTGACCAAACACTTTCCTCTATAAAATTAGCCATGAAAAATGAGTCTGAAGTTGGTGTGTCATTTGGCAGGTCAAATGCAATATATATTCCAACAAACCTTATTTGACTAGCATTTATAGTTTCGTATTGCCTCGATAGAAACAGTTCTCTATGAGAAAGCTGATGCATTTTTACATCGTCTAATTCCCCATCACCCATGTCAATCTCTGCATCTTCTTCTGCAGCACCTGAAAATAATCATATCTGATTATCACACTGATTGGCACATGAGTTTTCTTTCAGTAGTGAAATATGTCAACACACCTGCATGCCTATCAGCTTGAGCGATCAGTGGAGTTGATAAATCACGGCGACGATAAAAACATTGTACTTTCGCTTCAATTTGACCATTTCCCAACTTAAAAGAGACAAAGGTTGTTCACAAAAAGAAAAGGTAACAGTAATGATCTCACACTAGCGATACTGTTTCACATCTCAAATGCTCAACGAAAGGACAATACCTTTGTTAGTTCCTCTATTCTGCGAATTTGATATGGATAAACTGGGGCAGTTTCAACATAAACATAATCTGAAGAAAATATGAAAACTGTTAGTTCTTGGTAATGCTTTGTACGTATAACAAAATTGTTAGATAAACAAAGATGTTGATCCCATTGGCTACCGGACCAATATATTACTCCAGGCCATTTATGAGATCAGTTGGATTATTCTGAATGTTGTAGTATCAGGTTGCAGGGTTGGGTTCTAAGAATTCTAACTGCTTTGTTTTGACAGAAAGTGAATGTAGATAACATCATAGTCGAGAAAATTATGTTAAGATGTGAAGTAATCACTGTTAAAACTTGCTAAATAAAATAATTAACAATGTACATTAACAACCCCGCACCAGAAAGAAAATTTTATTTGTAATTCCTATCAGCTTATCGTCAAAAATGGTTTATAATGCGGATCTGGGGGTGAACTTATAGTTTCCACAAATAGTGTACAAATTTCATTAGGATAACATCCAATATTCCCTAAGTTTATATGGAATCTTTAGGGAATTCACAATATGCGATGATGATGTAGTTTTATAACATTCCAGACAAATTTGGATTTTTACGCCATCTTGTACAGTTTTGCTTTAACCTGGTGAGCTTCTAAAACTGGAATCAAGAAAATAGCGAAAGGGTACAAGCCTTTTGTAACAGGCCAAATTCATCTGGTATGAAGAGGTAGGGATGAAGGTAAAAACCTAACATTAACACACAAATACAAAAAAATGTACACACAAAATAATAGAATATAAATTATTACAAATCATCTTAATCTTAAACCATCAAAAATTCTCAATAAGTAATACCCTAATATACGTTTTTCACCCACAGGAATACATTTGGTTAAAATTGTACAAAACTTGCTGATTTTTTTCAAATTCAGCGCTAAAAACGCGAAGCAAAACCCTTGGACAGATTTGATCCGGTATCAACCTAAAGCATTACTACGTCTACCGGTTTAATAGGAGGGGTAAAACTTGTGAATTTGTGAAAAAAAACAACGAATGTGTATTCATTTGGTGTAAATTCATCGCAAAACTTATTACACTAGTAAGAAGTTATGATTTAGGCATCCTCTGCAGTCTGCGTAATGTAGAAGATCAGTTTAGCGGAGGGCCACCTCGACCGCCGGCCCTCTCGTGGTCAGGAAATTCTGACAATTTTATGAAAAACTTTACTCACCCCCAACTCGATAAATCCGTGAATTTGTATTCGCCGACATTTTCAATGCGTTGAGTTGTTCACGCCAAGGCGACGTGACCAAAATAGAAGTTGAAGGAAAGCAGTCTACGAACGAGGCATTTCAATGATCTACGCACACACACCACACTTTTCAATCGGCCATTATTGTTCACTCTCTACCACACTCGCATACCGAACCACGCTTCACGATTTTCCCTCGTAGCACCTTCGTGACAGGCCGTAAAATGGACGCCTCAAATAGAAAGAAAAAATCCAATCAAACTTTTTTAGGAAAACTCGCCTCAAGTTCTGATAACTTGCGCATTCAATCCTACACACTCTACGTAATAAATTCCATGCATTTTGTACACGAAAACTACCTAGCGTTACTTATATTTTATGTTTAATTTTGCAACTGCATCACGTGATCGTCAAAATAGTAATTCCGAGCAGCTCCGACGAAGAGCGAACATCGTTCACACCAAAAAGTAATGACATGAATTATTCATTGCTTTTAAAACATAAACTTCAATTTGGGAAGATAAATCGTTTGGAAAGCAAAATATCATACTCATTAGTCATATTTGTGTTCATACACTTGCTCTTCGTGAGAAAATTGAAAATTGGTTGATTCAATCTGACCGTTTTCGGGGGCGCCATTTGGGGGTTTTCAAAACCGGTTGGCGGTAAATATGGGGAGTCCTATCGGAAACAAAGGGGCTGTGACACATTTGAATATATTTACAATACAACAATGTTAACGACATGTGTGACACGACCGAACTTTATCGTTGCGCGTCTGTCAGTTTGTCTCCCCGGACTACCATTGGGAAACTTTCCATCAGTTAATTCAACGTTAAGTTTCAGTTTTATTGAATGAAAAACAAATCATCTTCTTTATGCAAAGGAGAACAAACATACAACGCCTTCGCAATGTGACATCTGGCTAAACTGGTTCGGCAATCCGGTTTGACCGGTTCATTCGTAACGAGCTGAAGGCATACAGTCGAGGCTGTGACGTAAACGGAGACAAATAATGATCATTTGTTTTGATCAATTTTGGCCATGATCAATTTACATTTTATGAATCGGAGATGATGGTTTGTTAGTTGAGGCAAACCTGAGGAACTGAAAAATATTTATTACCTTTCGTCTCTGAGATATCGGTAATGATTGATAAATTTGATAGGTAGTCATATCAACAATAATTTCGTGATTTATCGATATGCAACTAACGTTCTGTCTCGGAAAGAGTTAAGTACGTTGAAATGTATCTGGGCAGTCTGGGCAGTTTCCGCACCTGCGATTTAAACCGCGGGTCGGTAACTTAATGGGTTCAATAATTTAAGTTAAAGCCACGTAAGCCTATATACAAAGAAGCATCAACGTGATACATCGAATATGCAAATCATTCACATATTTGGTGTACATCTCTTGACACCTCTTGGTCAATTTTATTCCATGGTTGACTTGGTTGTAAAAGCCGCGGGTCAAGTCAACACCAGAAACATGAATTAAGATTTTGCGAAGTTGGAAGTTAATAACTGATACAATCTCTTTATTAGTGATTCACTGCACGTCTCAAAACGTAAGCTATTAGTAGTGCATGTTACCTTGGTAGTTCAATAATGTATCAAAACCTTCTTTCAGATTACGCGGGATTCTATCGACTAACCCTATTTCTAACACCAATGAACGGTGTTTAGGATAATAGAAAAAAACTTGAAAAGTCATCATCTCATTTGAAAGGTTCAAAAATACACTCGAAATTTAATGTTTTACAATTGTTGGAAGCTTTCACTTTCAAAAACGGCAAATCACCAGACCAAAGTTCTATTAAAAAACTTGAGTTTTATTTCGGAGTTGAACAGACACCGATAGACGTAGGCTTTGGCTATCTAACATTCAATTGCATTATATACATATTACAGTTATTTGTCTCGAAATATTACTTAGTCATCCTCGTACTCCTGATCTGAGACTACCCCATGACTATTCTCAGACCCGGATCGAGCGGCATGATCACTCAAAGGATACTCGTCATCATCACCATTGCGTCCCTCGAGATCCCCAGCACTACCGTCGCTGTCGTCAGCATCGATGATGTTACCATCTTTGGTTACCAGTCTGCTCACGAGATGATCATCCACGCCAGCGTCTCGCAGTATCTGTTTGTATTTCTTTTCTGCCTTTCTCCTGGCGTTTTCCTGCGATTCTCTTTCGAAGAGGAGAGGTCGTTGTTCAACGCGGCGATTCATCTCAGCCAGTTCATTCTCGTATTCCTCTTGACGGACGCTTTCACTTTCCCTGTGAATAAAGTTGCACGCATTGAGATAAGTTATTGAAGAAGGTTATGAAATGAAAGACAGGCTAGCTAACTATATGCATGCACAAATGAATGACAAAAACAAGACTCTCGTGAGAGTAATTGGATGGATAATATCACGTGTCGGGTGAACAAAACTATTTTGGAACTAATTGAAAGACTGGAGCAACATGTTGAATGTAAAAGTGCTCGCTTTCATTCCAAGTTATCCAAAGACCATATTACACTATACAGTCGATGCATTAGCACAGCACCGCTTAGGTGTCCGTCCCAAGGCTATCCTATTCATCAGATCATAAATTTTATGAATCTTCTTTTCAAATGAACATCGATATGACAGACTTATTTATTTCTAGGTGAAAACTCTCTACTCCCCATACAACCGCGTGACACGTACTTGAAGCTTTTCAATTTCTGTTTGCTGCTGTTCCTCAGCTGCCAAGAATGATCGTTTGCCATCGCTTTCACCGTGACTTGAGAGCGAAGTTCTTTCTCGCGTTTCTGCCTCGCTCTTTTTGCTTTCAACGTTTCATCATTTTTCTGTTTCTGTACTTCCAAGCTCTTCCTTACGGCGCTGTCCCGAAGCCGTACCGACTCTGTGGTTCTGAAAAAAGAAATCAAATTTTTGCGTATGAAATAACAGAAAACGCAAAAGTCAATTTGCTTGCGATCAATTTCTTTGCAATAACAAAATTCTTTGCAATTTTACGTCCTTGCCAATCACCTCTACCACACCCCGTTTCCCCGAGAGGCCTGAGTTCCGTATAACGTAAGGTATTTTCTTTCGTTCTAGGTATACGACGATTATCAATATATCTCACCCGAATGGCAGGGTATCCTGGGACGATGACAACCGTGCGCTGTAAGGTCTATTCTGTCTTTTTCGCGGGACACTAGGTGAATCCCCAACGCTGCGACTTAAGTTCTCCATGGATCGTGCACGTATCAAAGTGCTCTTGGCTCGAGGTATATGCGCCGTCTTCAAATGAAATGGTTCGACCACAGTCGGTTGTCGTTCTTTCTTGCGTTTCCTCAGCTCTTTCTCAAACTCCCAGTGCAACGCGTCGAAGTCGGGCACATCCGGATTGATGTTCGGTCGAAATTGCGACTTTTGCTCGCGAGATTTGCGACACTTTTTGCGCGATTTCGCCGCAGCTGTGACGTTCTCCCGCGCCTCCATGCTCGGGGGTAAACGAGACTGAGCAAGCAGCTCAGCTGCGCGAAGTTTTTTCCGTATCTTCCTGTATTCATCTTCTTCCGTCTGCCTGTCCGCAAGGGTGAGATCGTCCTGGTGTTTTGGTGGTGGTTTGGCCTTGAACGAAGCACGCTTTGTCTCTTCTCTTGCCTTCTGCTGTTCAGCCTTCCTTCGTTCCTCTTCCCTCAAATGCTTCTTCATTTCCTCGCGTTTAACAAAGCTGAATGGTTTCTCCGTCGCCTTCAGGATGGCCTTGTTGATGTCGCGAATATGTTCGCTCCTTCGTTTGTTCTTGTCCATAATATCATCGTACAAAGGCAGGAATGTCGTCGCTGGGACAGGCTGGGCTCGGAATTTTTTCTTTAGTTCCACCTCTTCCATGGATTTCTTGAGAACCAGTTCTTCCTCAAGCATTTGCATGGAACGCGTCTTTCGTTTCTCTTTCGTCGCCTCCCGTAAAGTCATCGTGAATGGTTTAGGCACTGTGATTGATGGAGTCCATTCCTTGAAGATTGCAAACTTTATGAGCCAATTGAAAAAAAGCCAATTTATTATTGAAAATAAGCCTAGTGGACCTTAATAGAGCTTTGTAATTTTTTTTGCTTACAAAATCAACATTTTGTTTCTGAAGAGTTCATTCTTATATCTAAAAGTCATACATCTACCTTTTCTTTTGCCATTTTCTCTGTTTCCCCTGCAGGTGCTGTCTCAAGAGTGTCATCATCAACAGCTGTGTAATCTTGAACTGAGAAATCCTTCCATAAATGTTCAACCATATCCATTGTTGCAGATCTCTTGGGGAACAAAGAGCTTGAGAACTCTTCAGGAGTGCTCGGTGATGATGCCTTTTCTTCCATTACAACTTCATCTTCACTTTCATCAAACGACTCATCACTTTCATCTCTATCTTCTGCAGTCAAACATTACAAAAATCATTCAAGATATAATAGAATCATAGCGCTATAATCAATTGCGTGCAAGGGAGGAGGTAGAAATTTTCCAGGGACCACCCGGTCCACTCCCTACCCCTAAATGTAGTTATTCAATGGTAAAATAATAAAAATATAATGTACCAAAATTTCATTTCATACCTACTGAACCATTTGTTAGATGAGAGAGATCTTTGACGAAATCACGAGTGGAAGACTTTGGATTTTTACCATGCGACTTATCCATATCACGTTTCTCCATAATATTTGCAGTACTATTCGATTCGCTTAGTCCAACTCCTTCTTGAAAACCCTGCCATTGAAAACTCTTTTCCTTTCTTAATTCGTTATAATATTTCGTCTCCAGAAATTTCAAAGTCTTTTTATGTTCCTCTCGCAATTTTAATAGATTCTCATAGAACTGTTCTTCGCTGACATCGTCACCTGCTTCAAAGCTTTGTATAAATTTATCTCGGCCTTTGTTGATATGTCGCTTGCGGCCAGTTGAACTACGAGTTTTTCTACGATTTCTATCATCCAAGGACACTTCGTCGCCTTCGGAACTTTGAGAAAACGATGTTTGTTCGTTAATTTCCTTCATGCTGGCCGGCATGTCGGTGTTTGAGAGCCTTGGAGCTTTATAACAATTGTTCTTGACAACGGCAAAAGCGTGAGTGGTCGCCATGTTGGTTTCAAATTTTAGCGAAAAAAAATTCAAAATAAACCACTAAAATTACAACGACAGGATTATGTAACAGAGGGGAAGAAGGTAAAAATTTTAAAATTGCATAAATCGGTAAATATTTATAAAACTGTTAACACGAGATTCATAAACTATTTTATACAATTCAGTACATATTTAGTATGCAAAAAACATCCGAAAAAAATTAGTTTAGGGATATATTTAAGGCATTTTTTATTGGTAACTCACCCCTCCCCAGAGGGTAGCGCGCCTTCAGCTGGTCAAAATTTTGTAAAATTGCAGACCCGGTTCATTCGAAAATGCAAAATATTTGACAACCTCTTTGCGCTTGGTCGGTTAAAAAACAGCATAAACAAGCAGAAATTTCGGCCTTCATAACAAAGATGTTGCTCTCTGATACTTATTTATTTATATTCTCACTTGTTGACGCCGCTGGATTACTATTTCTCACAGTATTTTTTGTATCCTTGTACCAATGAGTAATGCATTGTTTTTCACTATTTGTGAAATATGTTTTTATGAAATATGTTTGACATTTATATTTTAAACATATAGCGTCCTTAGCATTCTGTAGATTATCAATCTATCGGATTTAGAATGCGATTATATCAATGCAACAACGTGCTGTGAAAGGCTGAACAAGGTAGGATATTTATAATTTTTTTTAGGTTTAAAAGGGATTTATAGCTAGAAGAATTGGAAGTGGTTGATATGCCTGGGTAGTGGGTACATATTGCGAGTTCTATGACATAAAGGAAGAGCATTCCTATAGCATTGTAATACATGATCTTTTATGATATATGTCTATACTTAGATGTCACAGAATATCTAAGATTTTTCCTTAAAATAAATCACCATTTGTAACCTGTTTTAAATTCTTTCTTTTATAGTTTATAATTCCAGAAATTATTGCCCAGTTATACTTGCCTGTGATGTTTCTCATTCATTTTCACTGGATTTACTTCGTTATAACATCTCCAATAGCTGCATGGCTGATATATCGGTAATATATATACAATATTTAAGACTCTGTTTTACCGTAGTGTTACTTACTCTTAACCCACAAAACTTGTTTATTTTCTTAGATATCTGAATAAACCCTCAGGCAATGTTGGCATCTATGATCCAGCAGAAATTCATAATAGGAGTGAACTAAAAGGTTTTCTAAAAGAGTCCATGGTTAAACTAGGATTTCATCTCATCTCATTCTTCCTGTATTTATATAGGTAAGTAACTGCTTGTCTAGAAAACAGTAACCTTTTGCAGAGTCATTCAGAACTTGGCAGAACACCTTCATTGATGTCCTGTGTAATTAGTAGTCTCAAAGAAATGTCCTTCTCACTTACAGATATTATTTCTTTTGTAGCATGATTTCTGTCCTGATTGCCAAGAAAGATAAATCATAAAATAACGTTCCTGTTTTGCCTTCATCAAGTTGAACAATAAATATTGAAATCTTCATTTAGAAATAACGGAATGTAATATTGCACTTAGGGACTGTACACTATTATAATTGAATTTTGTGTTGCATTTTTATGAAAACGAACATCTTGTTTGCAAATCTTCATCACCAATGTGTTTGTATTTGTCAAGAAATGGTGAAAATGTGTTGTAAATAAAGCTAAGCTTAGCTATCCATATTTATAAAATTATTCAGCTGTATATTTTATGCTGGTGTAGGTATTAAATATTTGTAAGATAAGGATGCTTGAAAAATTCATTTTATCATTTGCCACAGTTAAACCCTCCGTGACCTTGACCTCCACACCTAGCTGATACATTCCTCGGTCTTTCCCGAACAAACCGACCAATCAAATGCCAGTGAACAAAAAATCGCGCGTAATCCAAGTTCTTCGCGGGAAATTTATTGGCAAACATCGCGTCTGCTAGACTCTGTTGGAAAATTTATTTAAATTCTCGTAATTTATATGATTTGAAAACTTGAAAGGAAGAAATAAAAAGATGAAATTACTTCATAGTCTACTACAGCGGGAAACTGTACGCTCGTATTCGCCAAAGAAAAGACGTACGTATATCAATATGGTTGTTTATATCTGTCATACCTTTCATGCCTTTGAAAATTATATAAAGTTTAAGCGAAATTCTCGTGAATCTTAGCAATAATCCTACATTTATTGCCAGAAGTGAATGTGGACTTCATGGTTGAAGGAATAAAATGCCACAAGGACGATAAACACGACGTCAAGGGACTAGACAGTCAGGTAAGTTTCTATTCGTATTACCTTTGGGACTTGTGTCTTTGTTTTATATTATTATTGATAGTTAAATATACATATTATAGTATAATTCTTACTACGATGCACATGTGTGTAAATGTTGCATTCATACCTTCGTTATTAAACCGAGGCGAGAACAAAACCTGAAGCACTCGTCCATGATTCTTCCAGAGCATTTCTTGACTATGTTCCCACAAATCTTTATTCGTTACTGTCCGCTAATGACAGAACCAAATAATTGTAGTGACAGTACTTCATCAGTTCATCCTTTCTCAATCTTTAATATCTCTCTTGCAGGCAGAGGTTCCTCCATTTGCTTGTAGTTTCAATAATTGTAAGTACAAAAACTACAATAAACAATGATTATAAACGTTGCAGCTGCAGGATTATAAACCTTGTTCGACATATTTCCAGCGTCGTTACAAGGACACATGTTAGCCCTTGCTGATGAAGAAGGTGGTGTGTGCCTGTATGATGTGAGAAAACAAGGCCCTTCAGCAAAACTGAAAGGTATTTAGTTTGAGAGGGTATGGCTTTAAAACGGTTTAATAGATCAATGTGAATACTCTTCTTTTCAGGTTGGGTAGCACATAGTAATGCAATATTTGACATTGCATGGGTTTGTGATGAACCAAAACTTGTAAGTAACAAGAGACACAGTTGACTTCCTTGTTTGATACAGGTGCTAACCTGGTTGGCGTAATATGGTTGTAGAACAGTTCACTATATCTTTACAGTTTACAATTGAATTGTATTCCATTGCAGGTGACAGCATCTGGAGATCAAACAGCTCAATTATGGGATGTTCAACAGAGTTCAAGACTTGCTGTCTTTAAAGGACACAGCTGTAGTCTAAAGTCTGTTGATTTTCAATATGAGAATCTATGTAAGGAATTAAACATTTCAAACAAAGTATTGATCAGGAGGATCTCCCACATACTCTAAGTTCCCAAGTAGCACACTAATTTGTAATATTCAATTTCTATTTAGTTGTATTTGCAACTGGTGCACGTGATGGTAATATAATGGTTTGGGATATGCGTTGCAACAAACGTGATGGTCATTACAAACCAGTTAACACCATACACAACTGTCACTCAACCTTGCCAACTACTAGTACACCACAGAGAACAAAAAAACGTGGCAGAAGACTTTCCAATGCTGTTAAAACAGTAAGAAATCATCCATTCATATTTTTGTTTCAACTCTGGCTATTACAACCAGCAGCTTGACCAGATCTGATATTCATTTCCTCGTCTTCAGCAGCAGGACTCACAACAAAGTGTAACATCGGTGATATTCCAAGACTTAAACACAATCATTTCTGCTGGTGCAGTGGATGGAAATATTAAAGTTTGGGATATAAGAAAGAATTACTCTATAATTCGCACTGAACTTCAGCCATACCATGTTTTTCCTTATCCCGGTTCAGCCTCTCGTAAACATGGTGAGCAATAGTTCTGTGTTAAATGGCAAAAAAGAAAAAACAAACATGTTTCCTTTCTTATTCATGTTTTCTTCCCCAAATTGTTTAGGCTATTCCTCCTTAACTTTGGACTCAACAAAATCCAAACTCTTTGCAAACTGCACAAATGACATCATCTACATGTATGACTGTGTTCGATTTCAAACCCGTCCTATGGCGACGTTCCAAGGTCACAGTAATGCAACATTCTATGTCAAATCATCAGTCAGCCCTGATGATCAATATCTGATGAGTGGCTCCGGGGATGGTGATGGATATATATGGAGGGTTGATGATCCAGGTGCAGCACCATTTCATCTGACTGGACATAGCAATGAGGTCACAAGTGTAGCATGGTGTCCTAGGGACCAGAGCAAGGTATAGTATGGTGGTAATTCACACTGACTTGGGCATTCACTGACAATACTCCCACTCCATCAACCGACTATTAATATTATTTCATTAGACTCTACACATTAACTTAACAAAGGCTGACTTTGGTTATTTTATAGATTGTAACATGCTCTGATGATAACAGTGTGAACATTTGGTAAGCCAACATCTGTTTCATATGTATGCACTTTCTTTTCGGGTCAATATTATCTAATGTTACCGCTTCATTGATAGGAGGGTGAATTATGAAGAAAAAAGCAGTGGAGATTTTGTTGGATGGTGTGAGAGGAAACCTAATAATAAACCTCTACCCAAGGGTAGGTAGACATGAGAAAAACATGACAGAATGATTGTAGTATTCTGGCTGGTCTAGCAAGAATATGTAAAGAAATATTCAGTATTTATTTTTTGTTTCTAGAAGATTTACCAGACAAGGCCACAACTCCCAATACCTCACCAGCCAGATCACGAAGCAATTCCACAGCTGGGTCAACAGCAAGTTCACCTGCCAGTCTTTCACCAAACCCATACAAATGCAATAGTCCTCAACAGTTCTTACAAAATTGGTTGCAATCCAAGGAAACCGTTAGTTCTAATAAAAATGAAAACAGCCTGGGAAGTAGCCCAAGGCTTGGTAGCAAAAACATTGAAACTGCTGTGTGTGCAAAACGACCTCGAGATTTGGACGAAGCGGACAACGAAACTAAAAGAGTTTGTCTTGATGGCGGAGTAGAGGAAAATGAAACTCCATTTATGTCTGGTACAGATAAGGAGAATATGGACACGAATATTCAAGTTATTTCAGAACAAAAATCCGTTGATATTAAATCGATAGATCAAACAGAGTTAAGGAGTGAACTTAAGGATAACGGTTCACGTTTAAAACAAACAACCAGCCAACCAGAATGTCGGAGTGATGTGGCAAAACAGCAAGGCAAGAAGTCGAACTGGTTACGAGATATGGGAGTGAGGAAGAAAGGTGTAAATTCTGTACCAAGAAAAGTAAACTCTCCACCTCAACCAAGTTCACCATTGCTGAAGGAACCCTCATCGCCAAATACAGTAAGTGAGGTGTATTAGAATCATTGGCATGCAGAGGCAATGCCAATGGTCTGACCACACCCTGTTCCCTTTTAGTTTCTCCATAACGAATCCATTTGAGGTTTACTGTCTTTATTACTAATCATGGTGTTTACACTATTTCAGGATCTTGGTACGCCGCTAAAAACCGGGAAGTCAATCCGAGATTATTTCAGCCCCATATCACAGAGGAAATTCTGCCCGAGATAAAGTACGCCGTAACTGAGGAAAAGCTTCACTGAAAATGTGTTTCAATGAAGCACAAACTAGTTATAATTTAGTAATAATTTAATTTTACATGTAAAATAATAAAACGTTTCAAATTCATATTGACTGGAAATTTTGTGTCCTTATTAGTTATTACTCTAAAAATGAAATTTCGCTAAGAAAGTGAGCTTTTAGCAAACTACGAGCAAGTCTTCCAGAGTAACTCTAATTACAACATTTTTGCAGTCAGTCGATCACTCTTCACAGTAACAATTCTTATTCATACATTCAAAAGTGTAATTGGGTTTACTGCAATCATTTCACACCTGGCGTAAAATTTCGTCGAAAACTAAATATGCTACAATTAAAAAACATACCTCAGCAGTAAATAATAAAATACCAGTGAAATATCCATATATAACTTTAGTCTTTACTCTTTACCATTAAAATTCAATCATTTTTGTACGGATTCAATGTTTTCTATGTTCAACTGAAAACAAATAAAGAACTTTAATCCTACCATATCAACCACTATCACCGATCAATAGCTTGAAGCGGAAACTTAAAACTGATTTTTATTAATAAAAGGGTAAAGCTGAGGTCCAGTACCTTGCAATCGAAGTCTGCTGGTTTGTATCCAAAAACGTTTGCAAAGAAGCAAAACTCTCCTTGTAAGACTGAAATGATGGTTTCGCTTTTTCGAAATCCGTGTTGCTCACCTGAGTGTAGAAAAGACAAGAATGAGACAAAGAGGAGAAGTAGACAATCTAGTGATGGTGGTCAATTCACACCACTTGTACCTTCAAAAAGAACATAACAACAAGCTATTCCCTTCTCTTTAATAGCATTAAACATAAGTTCAGATTGATTCGGTGGGACAACCTAGAAAGAGAAAACAATCTGAGATGTAAGCAAACCCTGACTCAAAATGAACCAGCCTGTTTATTAAAAAGCATTACCCTGCATGGACCCTCCATTGCATTGAGCATGAAGTAGCATACACTAGAAACCCTACTAATTACCTTATCCTCGTCACCTTGGAAGAATATCATTGGGCAGATGAGTTTATCAACATGATAAATTGGGGATCTTTCTTTCCAAAGCTCAATACATTCTGGCAATGGTCCAATCAAGGAGTCAATGTATCGACTTTCAAACTTATGTGTCTCTCTAACCAAAGCCTGAACATCAGACACACCATACATGCTTGCGCCAGCTTTAAACACCTCATTTCGTTGTGTAAGGCAAGCTAGGGTTGTAAACCCACCAGCAGATCCACCATCGATACACAGTTTTTCCCGGTCGGCAGCCTTCATTGAGTTTGCAACATGCAGAGCTCCATTACAACAGTCTTCAACATCGACTTTGCCCCAGCTGGATGACATGAAAAATATTTTGTGTTAAATAAAAATATAAATATGAAAATAAATGAAATACATACAGTGAAATTAACTACTAAAGAACATTTTTTAACAAGTAAATAAACTTCAAAGACTTACTTCCCATAGACTTCTCTCCTATAAGGCGTGCCATACCCTGTGCTGCCTCTGTAGTTAACATCCAAAATAGCCACACCACGGCTCGTGAAGAATTGTTTCTTCAAATCAAACGTCGGCGAGGCTGCACCAACGGGACCACCATGAGATTGTACAAGAAGAGGTGGGAGAGAACCCTGGGGTGCTGAGAAATCTTTGTTCTTAAAGAGATGAATTGGCTGGACTAAAGAATCATGACAGACTATAGCACTATACATGGTATACCTTGACACCATTTAACACACAGCTAGACCATCTATCTGGCAAACCATCTAATGTTAACTAACCTTTGGTAAATACAGGTAAGCATGTGCTACTTTATTATCTTCAGTGGGGAATGTGATTTCTTTAGGTTCACTAATGTACCCTGGGTCTATATCACAGGTCTTGGTATCCATTATTATCTCCAGCTTTTTACTTTCAATATCCACCTCAATCAAACAGATGGGCCTGGTTGTACTGCCACCAATACAATAGATTTTATCTCCACTTGGTGAAAATGTCGGATATTGATGGGAAACAAATCCTGTGTTGATAGTTTCCATTTTTTCTATCTCAGCATCCAAGATTCCTATAGCCTAATTTGGATATATTAAGAGATGAAATTTGGATTAGGTTTAAATTGAATCAGATAAACACATGATCAAGTAACCTACCCCACCACACACAACTGCTAATTTTTTTGGGTTTTTAGGATGTGTAGCATAACTGCATCGACCAAATAGCTTTTGTGGCATTCCAATCTCCTTCTTAATTGGAAAGACATTATGTTCATCCCTAGTGTCAAAATTGTACTTGTACAAATTCCACCAGCCAGATCTGTCAGAGATGAAGTATAAGGCATGTTCCAATGTCCATCTTGGGCTCATTATACTGACACCTGCATTGCATGAAATCTATCGATCAGGAGAAATTGATTTATGCAAGGTTATATAAATTGAATGTTTTGTCATAGTACTACAATAGTATACAGTAGTAATACCTGTCGAGAAGAACCCTCAGTTAAATATTTTCCATCTGTACTCAGTTGTCCTGTCCACAGTGCCACAGTATCCCATGGCTAAAACATTCAATTTGTGAAATTTATTTTAGAGTTGTCATCAAACCATAAAACAGATCACTACATGTTAATTGAGCAGTTACCATATTTGGATGATTCCACTGCACCCAAGCCAGTACCCCTATTCCAGGAGAAACTTTTGGAGAGGCATAAAAATCAGCACCTTGGGCCTAATTAAAACAAGTAACGATATTGAGTTTGAGAGCATGTGGGACTTCTTGAGCTAGGTTTCAAGCAACAATGATTTTAAGATAAACTGAGGTATACCAGTGTAAATTGTTCCTGTGTTTCTGGATCAATAGACACAATGGTATTCTTAGCTTCCTTTGCTTTCCCAGTCTCTATAACCCCATGATCTTCACGAACACAAATGATCTTCATAACAGCCTCACACATCTGTCCATCAGCATATCTGGGCAAATAATAATAGCAGAATCAGCCTGGTTGGAATAGATTAATTGCAAATAAATTAATATAGTTTTATAACTTATATATTATTAACCTCAATCCTTTGCCGTCCGGTGTTATTGGTTGTGGTATGGAGGTGGGAGATGTTTGCTTATACATTCTTTGGTCATCAAAGTTTGAGAAGTACACATGGCCTTTGTGAACAAACGTTGAACCACCACCATATTCATGAACCTTTGTCCGAGCATTGAATCCCTTTGGGGTCCACGTCACAACATCTGGTTGGTCTTTATTCCAAGAACAAACAACTGTTCTGCCTCCTTCTGTTGCCCTTAGGTCACTCCAAAATACGGTTACTATATTTCAAGGAGATTAATGGGATCTAATATGTTGTTAAACCTCTCACTTACTGAATTGGCAAAATCAATTTTCATCCTTCTCAAAATGAAAGTGATGGAAGAGGCATGCAGTGGATGTATTGGGGGAGGATTATACAAAATATATTGATGTTGGTTGGTGAGGTCATGCAATATGTAAATGCTGGTAGGTGAGGTCGAATGCAAGGATCATGAAATATATCAATGTTGGTAGGTGAGGGATGCAGTATATATTAGGCTTGTTAGGTGGGGTCATACAATAGATGTTGCTGGGGGTCACACAATTGATACTGCAGGGGTGCTGGTCATATGTTAATTGTCAAATAGAGGGAGTAGGTTCTTCTGGGATACAAATTTTTGTTAGTCATCCAGGGTGCATGACACTGTATAAAGATCTGTGGTAAAACAGTACTGACTACGAATTTGTTCATGGAAAGTTCACAGTTTTTTTACTTCAATGTTGGAACCAATGAACTGCTAATTGAATAACGACAATTGCTCAATTACCCGTGCCTAAGTATTTCAAATACTTTTTACCTTCATTCTGTGCATTCAATGAAGTGTGTACGTCAGAAATATTTGGCCAAGGAAAACCACCATTACTTGCAGCTATTTCAGCTGTGATAGGACTGGACCACGACCCATACTCTGCCACTTTCACTTTCCGGTTTATTTCGGCCATCTTCAAATTTGCAAAGTGTCAACTGTCAAATCCCTCATACTGTATTATCTCCTTTTAAAGTAGTCAAATTACCACAGAGCCTATTCAGTATTTACATCGGTGCGAAAACACGTTTTTTAGACGTATTAAAAGTAGGGGAGGTTTGGACAACAAGCTATGTCAATTGCTTAGAGCCTTAGTTTTATTTCGTTCAATACATTTTCTGAGCATAACTTCTTAGGACAGCCATACGAAGCCACCAGGCCAGACATAAATGTATATATGAAGTTGTGCACGTTTCACGTTTATTTCTAATTTGATGTTGTATTATGTTACTAATGTTCAGGCCCAGTTTATACGTTGCACTTTGATCGAATACGATATATCAAACAAGGTGCAGGCATGGTTTGTTGGTACCACAACGCAGAACAAGCTACACAAATTGTTATTCATCACTTTGAAACTAGAAAGAACTTTCTCGGTTTCTCCCATAACTCCCAATACGTCTCCACATTGTTTTAATCACAGTGACTATATATATGCAGTAACAATATTAATCATACATTCATTCAAACTGGGTTTAATCATTTCACATGTGACATAGAATAATATGTTTGTGAACTAAATATGCTACAATTAAAAATCATACCTATCAGTTTATCATAAAATACCAGTGAAATATATATCATATCTAACTTCAGTCTTTACCATTAAAACTCACTCATGTTTGTACAGATTCCAGGTTTTCTATGTTTAACTGAAAACAAAAAAAAATATTAATTATACAAAATAGTCGATAGCGCAGATGTTCATCTTGCAACAAAGATTTACTAATTTTACAATATTTTACCGTGCAATCAAAATCCGCTGGTTTGTATCCAAAGACTTTGGCAAAGAAGCAAAACTCTCCTTGTAATGTTGACAGGATGTTTTCGCTTTTTCGAAATCCATGTTGCTCACCTGAGTGTAGAAAAGACCAGAATGAGACAAAGAGAAGTAGACAATCTAGTGATAGTAGACAATCTAGTGATAGTAGTCAATTCACACCAATCATACCTTCAAAAAGAACATAACAACAAGCTATTCCCTTTTCTTTAATAGCATTAAACATAAGTTCAGATTGATTCGGTGGGACAACCTAGAAAGGCAAAACAGTCTGAGATGTAATTAAGCAAAGCCTGACTCAAGAATGAACCAGCCTGTTTATTCAAAAGCATTACCCTGCATGGAACCTCCATTTAACCCTACTAATTACCTTAATAATTCATTTTACCCTACTAATTACCTTATCCTCGTCACCTTGGAAGAATATCATTGGGCAGATGAGTTTATCGACATGATAAATTGGGGACCTTTCTTTATAAAGCTCAATACATTCTGGCAATGGTCCAATCAAGGAGTCAATGTATCGACTTTCAAACTTATGTGTCTCTCTAACCAAAGCCTCAACATCAGACACACCATACATGCTTGCACCAGCTTTAAACACCTCATTTCGTTGCGTAAGGCAGGCTAGGGTCGTAAACCCACCAGCAGATCCACCATCAATACACAGTTTTTCCCGGTCGGCTGCCTTCATTGAGTTTGCAACATGCAGAGCTCCATTACAACAGTCTTCAACATCAACTTTACCCCAACTGGTTAAGAGAAAATCATTTTTTCATTTTAAAATAAATAATTGTGATAAATGAAATACATTTCTAATCATCCACTAAAAATATTGTTTTTAACGAAGGACGTACTTGCCATAGAGTTCTCTCCTGTAATGCGTGCCATACCCTGTGCTACCTCTGTAGTTAACATCCAAAATAGCCACACCACGGCTCGTGAAGAATTGTTTCTTCAAATCAAATGTGGGCGAGGTTGCAGCCGTGGGACCACCATGAGCTCTTACAAGAAGTGGTGGAAGAGAACCCTGGGGTGCTGAGAAATCTTTGTTCTAGAAAAGATGAGTTAGCTAGGCTGGCTGGAGAATCATGACTATAGTACTTGTACACCAATCAACATACAGACCATCCATTTGGCAAACCATCTAATGTTGACTAACCTTTGGTAAATACAGGTAAGCATGTGCTACTTTATTATCTTCAGTGGGGAATGTGATTTCTTTCGGTTCACTAATGTAACCTGGGTCTATATCACAGGTCTTGGTATCCATTATTATCTCCACCTTTTTACTTTCAATATCCACCTCAATCAAACAGAAGGGCCTGGTTGTACTGCCAGCAATACAATAGATTTTATCTCCACTTGGTGAAAATGTTGGATATTGATGAGAAACAAATCCTGTGTTGATAGTTTCCATTTTTTCTATCTCAGCGTCCAAGATTCCTATTGCCTAATTTGGATATAAGAGAGATTAAATCTAAGCTAGGTTTCTTATAGGTTAAATTGAATTTGATAAACACATGAAACAAGTAACCTACCCCACCACACACAACTGCTAATTTTCTTGGGTTTTTAGGATGTGTAGCATAACTGCATTGGCCAAATATCCAATGTGGCATTCCAATCTCCTTCTCAACTGGAAAGACATCACGTTCATCCTCAGTGTTAAAAATGTACTCGTACAAATTCCACCAGTCAGATCTGTCAGAGATGAAGTACAAAGCATTCTCAACCGTCCATCTTGGGCTTATTACACTGACACCTTCATTGCATGAAATCTATTGAGAGAAATGGATTTATACAACCTTTAGTTTGTTATTATTTTGGTGGTAATACTGTACAAATGAAATACTATCTTACATCTAAATTATACAGTAGTAATACCTGTCGAGAAGAACCTTCAGTTAAATTTTTTCCATCTGTACTCAGCTGTGCTGTCCACAGTTCCACAGTATCCCATGGCTAAAACATTCAATTTGTGAAATTTATTTTAGAGTTGTCGTGAACCATAAAACAGATCACTACATGTTGAGCAGTTACCATATTTGGATGATTCCACTGCACCCAAGCCAGTGTCCCTATTCCAGGGGAGACTCTTGGAGAAGCATAAAAATCAGCACCCTCTACCTGGAACAAGTAATGATATTGAATTTAAGAATGCACAGGACTTGAATGCATGTCAACAGCAAGAAAAAAGTTTTAAGCAACTGATAGTATGTATAGTGAATGATTTTCAGCTGCATATACCAGTATAAACTGTTCCTGTGTTTCTGGATCAATAGACACAATGGTATTCTTAGCTTCCTTTGCTTTCGCAGTTTCTATAACCCCATGATCTTCACGAACACAAATGATCTTCATAACAGCCTCACACATCTGTCCATCAGCATATCTGGGCGAATAATAATAGCAGAATCAGCCTGGTTGGAATAGATTAATTGCAAATAAATTAACATAGTTTTATAACTTATATATTAACCTCAATCCTTTGCCTTCTGGTGTTATTGGTTGTGGTATGGATGTGGGAGATGTTTGCTTATACATTCTTTGGTCATCAAAGTTTGAGAAGTACACATGACCTTTGTGAACAAACGTTGAGCCACCGCCATATTCATGAACCTTTGTCCGAGCATTGAATCCCTTTGGGGTCCACGTCACAACATCTGGTTGGTCTTTATTCCAAGAACAAACAACTATTCTGCCTCCTTCTGTTGCCCTTAGGTCACTCCAAAATACAGTTTCTATATTTCAAAAAGAGTACTCATGCTGAAAGTGAGGCAATGCATCATGCAACAGATATGATTGGGGGACTATGTGATATATATAAATGTTGCTAGACAAGGCCATGTAAAGGATGCTGTTATGAGGAAGGATAATGCAATAGATGTTGGTGGAGCTCCTATATGTTGTGGGAGTATTGTCATATAGCAGTGCAAAAGGAGTATGCTTTTTCTTTCTCTGAACTACATACAAATATTCTCAAGTCATCCAGGGTATATTTAAACAAGGATCTATGTGATAGCATGCAACTGTTTGTATCAGTGACCAAATACTTTGCCATATGCCATAGCCCCCATTTCTAATATATCCCATTCTGAGATTTGTTAACGACTCTCTCACTAGCTGTCATAAATCTTGAACCTAAAACAGAATCGTTACCCAGCTCTACCTTCATTCTGTGCATTCAGACAAGTGTGTATTTCAGAGATGGTTGGCCAAGGCACACCACCAGATTCTACAACTACTTCAGCTGTGATAGGACTTGACCACGACCCATACTCCGCAATTTTTACTTTTTGTTTCACTTCGGTTTCAGCCATACTCAAATTTGCAGCGTGCCTTCGATAGTTCGATTTCCTGTTCATAGGCTACTCTATGGTTACCCCCCCCCTGAGACGAGGTTGGCTTCCCCCCCCCACCACCCCAACTCACGGGTATAAAAAGCTTTGCTTTCCAATTTCCAACATGGCGGCTCTCTCGGGGAGCGGTGGTGAAGATATGACTTCAGGACAGGACGCTCAGTCAGCTCTTCTTGAGTTAGACAAAGGTACTTTCATCTTTTCTTATTACTACGCCATATTATGATGATAACATGTTTAGCGTGTGAATTTTTTAACGACAATCTAGGTTTAAGAGCATCCAAAGTAGGTGAACAATGTGAAGCGATCGTCAAGTTTCCCGCCTTGTTTGAAAGATTTCCATTCCCGATTCTTATAAATTCTGCTTTTCTCAAACTATCTGATGTCTTCAGAGTAGGGTGAGTGAGATTACTTGCGCTGAAGGTCTAGCCAGATCAATATTTATAAATGATTTATCATCTGCTCTTCACAACTTTTGCAATTAGAAACAACTTTCAGAGACTATGTGTACTCAAAGTGACACAGCAGAGTGAAAAACACCTCGACAAAATACTTAGCACAGACGAGTTTCTACGACGCATCTTTTCAGTAATTCACAGCAATGATCCAGTTGCTAGAGCGATTACTCTCAGGTGAGAACTCAGGAAGGCAATACAATCTTTCCACCTGTTTTTTGTAAGGACATCAACACAACAAACATATTTCCCTTACACCAAATAAATTTCATATTTTAGAGTTCTTGGTAGCATAGCATTGCTCATTTCTGAACGAAAAAATGTTCACCATAGGTAGGTACAATTTTGATTGGATAGGTACAAGTATGATTGAGCAAACTTGTACAATTAGGAATGGGTAAGGACAGATAGTCTATACATCAATTCTGTTTTATACCTGTTCTAGCATAAGGATGGGTTTAGATTCACATGATGATGTTGAGATTGATGCTGCAATTTACGCCACAAGTCAGTTTTGTGCAAAGTCACAGTAAGTTACTAAATTGTTATATTCTACTAAAGAACATTGAATGGACTTACTGCAGGTTCTAATTCATTGATGAAATTTTTATAGAACATTCTCTGTTAGTGTCTGTGACAAGCTCATTGAAGTCATTGAAGGTAACTTAGTTAGAGATGCTTAATGGTTGTATGAAACTGCACATTCCACTCAGCAGGACATCTTCTCTTTTAGGACTGGCCACTTCAATGGAAATGAAACTCAAGCTTGTTCCAATATTTCAATACATGTATCATGATACACAATCTGCAACAAAGGTTCAATGCCTAACTGCAAATTCCTGAAAGTCTTACCATATATTGACCTTCAACATCACTTGATAATAACATGAAATATGAGATAATAGCATACCTTGTACCTTATTTATTAGGCGTGGAAACTTTGCACTTCTCTCCTCAAAATATATTCCTCAAAAACCTTCGTTGTTTCCATCCTACATTCCTTGTCTTCGTTGGCGGCGGCTTCGTTGTTCAACATTCCTGCGCAGGTAAAACGTAAAGAGGAATGTCTCGTACCTCAGAGACCGTCTAATATGCTAGAACGATGTGGCGCTATAGAATAATCTGCTCCATATTTCAGATTGAATTGTTGCTGTCGTATTTGGTGGATGATCCACGGCAGAGCGTGAAGCGTCAAGCTCTTCTTGATGCGAATATTCTTGCGAGAAAATCACCCCACGTTTGGGAAAGCAAGCATGTCAAAGTAAATAAATTAAACTCATCATTTTAGACAGAGACCATAGTAATTTTTGTTTGGATCAAACATGTTTACGGAAGCAGGAATCTCTTCCATGCTCTAAAAGATAATCAAAATTTGTCTTCGTAGATCTTGTGCGAGTTTCTATCAAGTACACCATACGGTGGTCTTCAGGTTGGAGTTTTGTTCGTCCTGGTCACTCTGTCTCATTCTGTTGCGGTTGAAATGCTGGATAATGAACAAGGTTTGGTTTTGTGAATCCTAGAACCTGCTTAGCATCTGTCCTAATACCTCAAATATAGTCGAATCATAGATTAATTGAAGATACAAAATATTGTTTGGATGTTTCCTCCACTATTTGAACTTCACGGAGTTTCTTTGATTTGTTGCAGTTCTGGAAGCAATAGGAAACCAGACTTGTTCAGATTCTGTCATGATTTGCGCTCTTGGCAATGAGATCACCGTAAATATTGCCCTCACCCGGCTAAAGAAAGGTAATTTTGAAGATATATCAAGTAATGGGCTACGACGCTTATCTTATCATCTGTCCAAGACATACATTAAATTTTCACTCCTACACATATGATTTTCAGACGTGGGAAACAAGGAATTGTGTGAGCAAGCTTCAAGAAACTTAGAAACAACGATTATCGAGTGCTGTTTGATCGAACAGAGGGAGGCTCTTGAGGTACGCGAGTGTTGAAATGATAGCTATTTTTGTTCTTTTATATCTCTCATATATTTCTGTTGTGTCATTCAACAGAAGTCCCTACTTTGTGTCAACCGACTGGTATCCCAGGATGCTATTTGGGCTCTGAATTTCTCGGAAACTTTCGTTGGTCTTTTGACATCGAGTTCCAGTAAGTTGTGCGGTGCTACAGCAAAAAATCTCGAGGCCTCGTCATGGTGTTCAAATGAACCGTATTTTTTTTTTAATTTCAGGTGGTATTTGCCTGCAGATTGCCAAAGGTCTGGTTTCTATTGCCACTCAGTCGCCCCTGTGTTTGGACAAAGTTAGATCCGAACTCTACAAACATTTTGTCTTTATTTGTGAGCTTGAAGTCAGTGAACGCAGTCCTAAAGCTCAAGAATTCCAAAGCCTGTTGGTATGTTTGGTTCGTTGAAAGAACAAGAATTGTTGATTCCGAGGGTCTCATCGTGTATTTGTGTTTCACAGGTTGCCATAGCTACACTCGTTTTCCAAGCTCATCAGCAAAGTATTGAAAGTCCTGTGAACCAACAAGAGATGAAACAAATGATTCTGCAGAATCTATCAAAACTTCAGGCCTCTTCAAGATATTGGACAATGTACAGGGTTGCCAAACAAGCAGCGAGACAGGTCAGTGGGGGATGTTGGTAATGAATGTGGATGGTGGGAATGTTGATGATTGTGGATGGTGGGGGATGTTAGTAATGATTGTGGATGGTGGGGGTGTTAATGATCATTGTGGATGGTGAGGAATGTCGGTGATGATTGTGGACGGTGGGGGTGTTAATGATCATTGTGGATGGTGAGGAATGTCGATGATGATTGTGGACGGTGGGGAATGTTGATGATGATGCCGAAGTGACGATGGTAGAGGACGATTGTGGTGAATCTCGGGCAGCTGTGTTGACAAAAATATCTCAATCGTCTAGGGGTTCCATGCTGTATCACAAAGTATTTTCTCCAGTCTGACATCAATGGTTGCATCGGTCCATCTACACTGTTGGATAAAATCTTTGTCGGATTTCAGTCAGGCAGAAAATCTTCTTGGTGAAGCCAAAGAAACTTTATCTCGGATCACCGAAAAGACTTCTCAAGCTATTTGTAGTTTTCAAAAGGGATTGGTTGCGCTCAAGGTGTGTTTTCTCTAGCTTGCACCTCATTATCGTAATTAGAACTAAATTGAATGGAATTTCATCGATTAGAAGGAATCATGGCTTCCTAATTGACTCGCGTTCTAAATGTCATATGTGATTTTTATCTTACTTATATTTAACCTTTTCATTGCAGGCAGCAGTTAGCGCCAATCACCAGCTGGATTTTCATCACGAGTTCATCGCATTACGAATGCAAACTTTACAAATCCATTCGTTCCTTTTATCAATCTGTGCCAGTATTCGTTCCTGTCCTCCATCAGCCGTTGCTAAATCCATTGTCATGGCGACAAAACAAGACACTTATATGCACACGCGACAGGTCGTCCAGGTAATGAGCCATTGTAAGTAGTCAGAAAAAATTTCCTCTTGTTAACTCAAGGCTAAATTTCCATCCACAGATGAATGAATGTCGAGAAAAGTTTTCTTCTTTGGCAGCAAGTTATGGAAAACTTTATCGAAAATCTTTTGATGCCGATCCAGTTACACTTCAAAATATTGAGGCGTATCCTTTCATAGGGCGTTGGATGAGTCTTCATGCACGTGCATGGTACTGTAGGATGGATTCATTGAACATGCCACTTTTACAGCACAGGAATGTCTTGCATGAATCCTGAAACAACCCAATCTTCAACTATATAACAAGAATGTGACATATTATGTTGTGGTAACAAGCAGAATAGCGTTAATCTGACTTGAAATGTGCCCTCTTTTCCCGCCGACACGATATATAGTCTATCATTCTCGTTAACGCACAGCACAGACATCAACAAAGTTGCCTACTCTTTGCTTATGCCATAGATTTGTTAATGAACCGTCTTGATTTAGCCAGGTTACTATTCTTTATTTATTAAGTGTTCTGTTGTTATGGTGCCCGCTTTCTCAGAATCAAAACTATTTCCTAGCTAGCAAAATAAACATAAAAGAATATCCCGTGTCTCGTTCAGGTTGTCGCCTAGTTTTGAAGAACCACTAAATCAGAACACTGGAAACAGACTTCAGAGAAAATGTGCGGAAATCTTGGAGGAACTTCAAGTGGGTTTTACGCGTCTAAATTTTGGGTCACCAGAAACTTTTGGCACGTCCATGCAAAATTAGACTTGCTGTTGGCAATGTTTCAAACATCAATTTTGCATGTGTCGATTGCATAAAAAACAATAGAGGATCAGTTGAAATGCCTCTGTCATGATCTGTTGTTGTTCATACATTTGACATATGCGAAATGAAATAGGCTTATCCATTATCAACTTATCCATAAAAAAATCACCTGTATATGCTTGTTCTTTTAGCGACAATATTCCGACACCCAGGATAAGCCAATCTCTGACGACGTAGGTTTGCTTTTATAGCTACTGTGGTAAACAGTATGATGCATGACCACCATGGTGTTCATTGTTTGTAAACGGTTCTCGTTTCTGCCATTTCTAGGAAATCCAGTGTCTCTGTAGAATGTCAGTGTGTATTCTTGGAATTCCAATGAGGCTTCCACGTTATTTCTTCGACCGACTCCAGTCTACGAAAATCAAGGTGACGGTCAGGGGCCAGTTACTGGTACGAAAGCTGGATAGCACTATCCAGCTTTCGTACTACCGGCTCCAGATTTAGATTATGATATGAAAAGAGATATCTCTCTATCGTCAGTGAGAGCCAGCACGCTTTTGTTCCGAACACCACTAAAAAAAATAAACTCGTTTTAGTTGAGGTTACCTTACCGCTAAAATAGAAAAAAAGGAAACTCGCATAATTGTCTTTTTCCTCTCCAGTTGGCCATCTCACCGTCACAGCCTATAAACAATGAACCTCACAGTATATCAGTGGAGAGTCAAATGGCGTTAAAGATCGAGGGTGTAATATGTCATGGCAAAGATCAGGCAGTCTTTAGAAAGATCAAATTTGTGACACTTCTCGTGGAAATAATCGCCGAAGAACGTAAAGAGTCGATGGATGTAAAGGTAGATATTGTTCCTTATGTTATGTTATTTTCCAATAACATTGCTGTCTGAACGTGTATATACTATGAAACATTGTTTTTCCGATCATGTTATTAAACGGTTGTCAAATAGGGAAACATTGCTTCCTGGCCAGATTTATATTTCTGCCAGGTGGTCAAACCTTGAAACATTGCTTCCGCAATCATATTTTTCACATGGGAAACACTTGACTAACAATCAATACATTCACTTGTTTCCGGTGAAGCTAATCTCGCTTCATGTGACACGAATGATAACCTTCTTCATCCTTTCTCTAGGCATCTCTCAACACTCCACCTGGTCCTCTACAACAAACTGTTGAACCACATAATGATTATTTCAGTACTCAGTTTCTGCTCGCATTTCCTTTGCCCAATCTCTACGCGGTCAAGGTGACCGTCGCTGTGGTGGATGACCGAGGACATAATTGGGAAACTGGACCTGAAAGTACATTGAATGTGAAAGCACTAGAAGTCCCAAGCCGAACCCACCGACGGATTCCGTGATAATCTTGTAAATGATGTGTACAATTTTTAGAATAGAATTTTCTTTAATATGATTGAAAGTTGGTTGAAAATAATTTCATGTTAGTGTGTATCCCAATGGTCAGGGGAGAGGAGGGGAAAAGTGGAGGAGAGAGGAGGGGAGAGGAAAGAAGGAAAGAGGAGGGAAGGAAAGAGGAGGCTTGACCTATGACAGAACATTGCCTTAAAGAGGTTTTCAGGAAAGGTGAAGCTAAGTTACCTGATCGTCTCCTTTGGCAAACACAAGCTAAGCATGAAGCTAAAAATAAAATGTTGATAATCAAATTATACTTCCACACAGTAAACCACAGATAGCGTCCTACAACTCTACAGGATACTTGTAATTTTTTTATCTCCTGCGCCATTTCCAACCTCCAAACTTTTCCAATCAACTGAGTACAACCAGGTGAACAGATTGTTTTTCAAGCCAAAAGTGGGCAAAAACCTGCAGACGTAAGAGAATTGAGTGGGATAACGCCTTCGCAAACATAGCAAATGAGACTGAATAATTCATGGCTTGTAACATACTTGAGTGAAAACCTAAATGCTTCTTAGTGTAGATAACATTCATTTAGATAACCTCTGATTGCAAATTAAACTCTAAAGGATAATACAACATAACACACTGCAACGTTTTTAAATACAATCATAAATATTTGGTAAAAGTTAAATCATAACATTGAAAAACAGTAAACTAAGACTAAAATGGCCGACGTCGTGAATGAACTGAAGACACATGCGTTGTATTTCAGTTCTGTGCGTGTGACGGTGTAGGGATTAGTCACAGACTAATATCTAGGCCAGCCATGCATGTAAAATTGTGGTTTTCGAGAACCCTTGTTTTTAAACAAGGAGTGTTTTGATAGTTGCTGTGAGACGCCTGTGTGTGGGTTGTATACAGAGAGCAATTTTACATTAGATAGGGAAATTCCGCTATAGTTTATTTCAGGTGATTGCGTTTTACCGTGCCACCACTACAGGGAAAACTGCGGAGTTCCTGAAGGTTTTTGATTTTCTTGTTATGGCTATTACCTCTCCAGTTGTTACAAGAAAATAAAACTTGTTTTGATTTTGCATGCTAAGCAAAAAAAACAAACTTTCTTTTCGCGCACGTAAATTGCGCAAGTTGTGTCGGAGTACTGTCAATGACATTACACCACAATTTTGCAATAAATATCACAGCTAAACTTCCCGGAAAATAACAGACACGTAAGCTAGAGTCCTTCCTGGAAAATGATTCGCGCTTAGACAGATCATAAACCCTATTGTCAATATTTTATACCTGCATGGGCGAAAAGCAAACTATTTTTGCTTAACATGCACAATTAAAACAAGTTTTTTCCCCTATTTTTCTAATTCATCGTTTTGCAGATGTGTTAGAACAGCTACCTTACGCAATAAACTTCATTTAACTCTCAATAACTTATATATTTTTGAAAAGCATAAAATACACTATGATTTGTTTCGTTAGTAACCTACAAACTTATAGCTATGTTAATTTTACATAATATTAATCTAGATAAATTCCTGCTGATTTTGTGGCATAATTGAAGTGATTAATAAATCTAAAACTTCCGGTAACAATGTATATTGTATCACATCGTTTAGCAAAAAAACCCATTAGGACATCAATAAATACTTACACTGCATATAATTTAAACTATTTACCAAGCCAAATAAATATTTTATCGACAATTAAGTCAGGTTGAACATAGAACTTCTATAAAACTTGATAACCACATATCTCCTTCATTAGCATCTCTCGTTTCAACGGGAGTATTGTTATTTGAGTCCGTTAGCCAAAAATCGCACGGGAATTCCCGTGATAGTTCATCTAATAGATCTTTCAAATCGCCTGACAGCTCATCATCAAGGTTAGCAAAACTTGTGTCAATATCACTGTCATTGTTTTTACATACTAAAGAGTCGTTGTTCAAAGTTCTCGAGCTATCAGTTTTTCCTGAAAGTGAAGCGTTCGTTGTCGCGCAATAACTGCTTTTGTCGCTCGTATCAACGCGCTGACGTTTCCTCAGTGCTTCGTCTCTTTCCATTCGTTCGCGGTTCAATTTTCGAACAGTGCATTCCAAAACGGCATCTAAATACATGTCCGGGTCGCGCTTTCGTTTATTTTGCTGCTGTTTGTTTGCCACGGACTGAACCAAATCTTGAACGTCTGGCATCTCCATATTTGAAAATGCAAATGTTATTGTGCCTGTTATTTAAAAAATTCAAACCACTTTAAAAACTTTACCGACTCTGTGCTCGTTCTTAAGAGCTAACCATAAAAAAGTAACACTTTTCTTCAAAGTTACAACAATCTCGATGTTACTTTGCACTCAACCCAGGTGATCATTAGGTGATAAAATATAATTCGTGACCTTCGCAACAGCAGGTACCGTGCAATATTGAAAGATATTCAAAATTTTTACAGCACCGATACGAAAAAGAAAGCAAGGTTTACAATGGATGTTGTCCACTATATAGAATAACTGAGGCCCATCGGCAACGAGTACTTGCGTTGAATGAGCAAATTGCGTCAGGAACTTGCAACTTTGCCGATTTAAACTTTCTCGATCGTCAACTTCCGTAGCAAATGGACACAGGTGACAAGAGTATTGTTATGAAACAGTACGAAGAAATCGTCTGCCGAGGCGCTGTTGTGATAGAAAATGATCCGATCTCCACTTGGATAAATTTGGATTTAGTTCTAGCTCTCTAAGGCTTTGTACAGCAAATATAATACTTCTCACATCAAAACGTAGCCTCTCTCTTGACAATGAATTGTTTTCTGATGAGAAAGCAAAGCTAATATCCGTTTTTCATAAACAAGACGTGACGTAGGCGGCAAACCGACCAATCCGATTCCAAACTGCTTTCGCAAATGGAAATTTTTACATAATTATGATTACGTGCGATGTAACCACTGTTGGTTGGATTGTTAATTTGTTATGATGTAATCGAGGATGTTTTACTGTTTATTAAACAAAATTGTCTAATTTGTTTCCTATTCCACAATATTTACAGCATTCGGAACGTGTTTTTAAAAACGCACAGTCTGCAACGTGTGAAAATGCGTGAAAATGCACACTATCAGCAGTACACACAGAAAACACAATAACGGAAGTAGGCCATTACCGAAGCTATTAGCCACGGAATGAGCCAATGTCGCGCACGAAATGCGTTTGGAAGCGGCCCACAGTCACCCGAGTAGAATTCAATACCCAAGCTTATCGATTTGACGATGTTTTTTTTGTCGAGTTAGTGGGACAAAATTTAAGGCGTCGGCTTAATCTCGAGAAGCAAGGGATGAATACAGATCGTTCCATTGCCTGTGTTTAATCGTAAATCAGTATATGGGAAAATTGGCGTGCGCACCTTGTTGTTAAATCTAGATGAGAACGTACAGCGTTTGTTCACATCTGTACATAGTATTATCGTAAATACCTGACTCGAAGTATCACATTACAATGTTAAGTTTTAAATTCCACTACTCCACCTTTTGGCTTAAGTGCTAGGTTGAACCGATTAGATTGCGAAATATTAGTGCAATATTGATCCAGAACCTAGTTAGCTAATTCAGAAAGTAGCTAGCTAGTATTCTCTGCAAAATTTCTAGTGTAACAACCAATAATCAGTGTGGTAGCGTCTTCCAACAATTCCTCATCTCTTCGTGACAAATGCCTAAAATATTTTGTCTAATTTTGGCAGTTACACCACAGCTGATGAGAGACGAGTCTGAGTACACGAGACGTGATAACTCCATCGCGTCACATAAAGAGAAACTCTAGAAGAAAGCTATCGTACATAGGTACGTTGGACAAGAAGTTCAATAACGCTTTAAAGAGATGTGATCACGTTTACAGACACATACAAATTGTGGATATTACGGCCACTTGAACAAATCAGCGATACGTGAAATACATCGATCACGCGCACGTGTTTTGTCATCTTGATTGCGAAGGAAAACGTAAATAAAAACGTTATCACTATCTTCTAATAACATCTCTGTGCAGGGTAGTGGTTTTTTTATATTATCTATTTTCTTACTTAAGAGACGATCACGCAAAACTACTTGAAGAGCGTTTCGCGCATGTATTAATAAGTGAAGGCACCGATCACTGACCTAAATAGGTCAGCAGTGTACTGGACTCTCCATCTTAGTAGAGGTTTCAAAACTGAGAGATTTTAGATTTAGTGAAAACTAGAAAACCAAACTTAAATGTATAATCTTAGTATATTTTTTCTAAAAATATGCCTTGGTATTTACAGCAAATATGATAGACTATTGATATCAAGTATACATTTTGTTTTGAATTGTGGCCGGCAAAGAATTATTTCTAACTTACATGACTGAGCAAGTTTTTGTAGAACCATAAACTGGAAATTAAAGAGAACTAAGATAGGAGTAAAAATGAAAGAAAGATTGGACCTATGAACCATACGTGGACAGAGTGAAGTTGCAATCGAATGCACAAACAGCGGAATGGATATTTAGAAAAAGGATCGTTCTCAAACCACTCGTTGGCAACAAGTGAAGGCTCCTTTAACAAACGTATTAAGTCCCGAAAGTCTGAAGCATCTAAAGCACAGGTGGTTTGGATAACCAGGTATCCATGCTATGGTACATTGTTTTCCTGGTATTTTTCCGGGTGTGATATACTTTGGTTCCCAAGAGTGTTTATACCACCGTTAGTGATATGGTACTTTTGTCCCTGGGATCGGTGACCCGAGCATTGTAACCATGGTAATGATCTTTCATGGTCTGTCCAGGGTATATAAATACCCTCGAACTGACAACTTTCTATGACGGTCTCTGGTTAAAAAACCAGCTAAAAACGGTAAATCACCTCTGATTTTTACAAAACACGCCCCTTGCTTTCGCGATGTGCGCGAGAAGGGAGAGATAAGGTGGTGATAAAACATGGGGGTGGGTGAGGGGCAAGCTAATCTTGCATTTCCTCTGGGATATCATGAGGGTTAATTATTCCCGGTACCGTCAATTGGATCTGTCGCTTTTCCTCGTGTGCTTTCTTGAGTTCAGCCTCTCGTTCCAGTAAGAACAGATCACCCGTGTCCTCTCCACGAAACTCCTGGAAGAAAACAAGGCTGAATAAGTTCATCAAGAATGGATATGGAGAAGAGTAAAATTTTGTTAAAAGGATGGGAAAGACTGCTGCCAAGAATCATGGCAGCCTGACCACTGAGAGACAAAGTGAAGAAGATTGAGTGTGGTTTCTTGAAAAGGAAAATCGTATAAAAAACTTATATACAGATGATAGATTATGAGAACCAGAGAACACAGAACATTTGAGAATTAAATACGCAAAACGTCGAGGGGCAAAAAATGGTAGGATGGTCTTCACGTCCATTGTTCGCCCCTGAATAGTGGATAAGAAAATAACCTTGATTTGAACGAGGAAATCCCGGAGATGTTCTTTGAATGCTGGTATATCTTGATTTAACGTGAAAAACCCTTCAACCAATATTCGTACTTGATCTCTGAAAAGAATATAAAATCAATCAGCTTCTCAAGCGATTTCTGAAAAAGACACCCCATGCAGGGTACACCCCTGTCCTGCTACGTAAAGGGGTGTATTCCTCCTCCAGGATGAAGGACTATCGACTTGTTTCCATCTTCAAGTTGAATCTTGAGTTAGCAGGATCAATGAAAAAATTCATTACTTACGATTGCAAATGTTGAAATGCTTGCTTCAGTAGATTCGACACGTATTGATGGATGTATTCCTATAAAGAGACATCAAAGAGTTCGTCGTTTATTCTCTGTTTACGAATGTGGTGCGGGGTAAAAATTCATGGAAAGAGAGAGTAGAATATTTCATCTATTACATGATTGTTCGAGACGCCAGGATGTTGGGCTTTATCGTAGAGAGGCGCGACAACCTTTCCAGCTTCCAACAAATGGAACATGTGAGAAAGAATCGTCGCATGATGATTGAGACCTGGATAATCGAAGAAAGAGCTATTATCGAAATAATGTTCTCGAATAAATATAATCCAAGGAATAAATATTAAACGAATGTAATCGAAGCATTATTATCGAATCAATGTTCCCTAACAAGTATAATCCAGGAAATATTATCAAATCAATACAATCAAAGCAATATATCACAAGCTTTACCGGCGGTGTGCGAAGTATCGGTGACGACAGAGAAGATATGCTGTAAGATCATCGTGTAGTACGTTTGATAGAAATTCTGTGACGAGCTCTCGGATTTCTCAAAATTTCTCAACAGCGAATACAAAATTTCCAAACCTATAAGGGAATGTAGAAAAGGTTTAGCAACCCTGCATTTATTTGAATAACAAATTCCTGCAAAAGAAATCAACAAAGAAGACTTGTTACCTGTGTCAGCAACGTTCCGCATCGTGTGCTTGAAAGCCCAGACGATGGAATCCAGGACCAATTTGAACTGTTCTGCTGGGATTTTCAACAAAGCTAAAAAAGAAAATAGGCACTTGTTTGCATAGGACTCACGACGGATGGGAATATAAACAGATCATACCTGAAAAGCAATGTTCCACTACGGCTTTCAGAAGAAGGAAGAAATTCGTTCGATGTTCTGGCCACTCCTCCATATCCTAAGATAGTAAATTTTGATTAGGAATCTGAAGGAAAATGCAGCGAAAACTCGTAACTTAAAAAAAAACACTTGAATTTCTCGTACTTTGTTGATCATTTCCAAAGTACAGCCGAAGAGAGCATCAAGTATCTGTGGCACTTGGTCTGTCACGAAATGCTGAAAAACAAGAAAACAGGAACTTCATGTTTTAACGAACGAAACAAACAATATTCAAACGAGACAAAGAAGCTGTTTTAGACAGTGAAAAACATTCAAGAAAAACTGTTTTCAATTTCATGAAATTAAACGGCCTTATCTGGCATTCCAACTCGAGCAAAACAGCGATGGCTTAATGGTAGCTGCTGCATGTACATCCTTACCCCCAGTTTATTGGTCAAAGTTGCCATGGTATTGAGGACTTCTGGTTCCCTCGCCGCGGGCAAGTTTCTCTGATAGTCGCCCAAGACAGCTTCCAATAAAGGAGGAATAAAATTATCGCACACAAGTTTAGCATCGCTAGATTTTCCCACCCAAGTCGAGATCAATCGCAAGGTCTCCGTCTTTGCACCGCGCATGGCGCGGATCAGCGGTTGCTTCGTAACCACCGGTCCGTTTGCCGCCACAGCCGAGGAAATGTTTTCACTCAAACAGCGATACACGTTCAACATGTCCAGGTAAATACGACCGAGTTGGGTGACGAAGGGATGGCCGATAGCTTTGCAACCATGGACGTTTGTTTTTAGAATATTGCTCAGCTGCTTCACGATTTCCATGTCTTTCAACGTATCGACATTCTGAAAGATCACGGAAGCACATCAGAAGAAAAACAGTGGTCCAGTTTAGGGCGTGCCCCAGGAATATCTGTTCAATCAGTTCATCGTTTATTTCCTATTCTATCATAATCATATCATAGAGACTGGGGAAAAACCACACGCGTCTTGATTAGAATTCTCATAATAATAGATCGCTTCAAAATATAATTTTACAATCTGTTAGTCTCCTATACCTTGGTGGCGTCCTTGATGATGTTGTCCCACACGTGATTGGGTAAAGACATGTATTTCTCAATCAACCTTTCTTGGACTACTGAATCCTGAAATGATCAATAATCAGTCAGCTTTGTGTGAGGATAATTTTGGCTTCTTCCTGAGAGACTAAGATCTTGAGATACTTACAGACTGTGCGCTAATCATGTATCCAACGGCTTCGTAGAATGTATGAATCTAAGGGAATAAACAATCGGATTCTAAGTACAGTATAGGAAACTTCGTAACCTTGTTTGAGCAGTATTCATAAAGGAAAAAAGCAGCTCACACATCCCGCTATACCTGTTGGGGTTGTAGATCGCATATGATAGTCTGAATTGTGTTAAGTATCTCCTCAATAAATGGCATCACTTCACCCACTTGAACCTAGAAAAAACAAAGTTTCCCTAAACACTGTGTATAAAAAAACATCAGCGTATAGATAGGTTTTAGTAGGACTTGAACCTAGAAAAAACAAAGTTTCCCTAAACACTGTGTATAAAAAATCATCAGCGTAGATGGGCTTTACTAGGACTACACAAGGCTAAGTATGAAAGATACGAAATATTGTTCATTCGACAGAAAAAATGCAGCAAAATTTGACGAATGATTTGAAGAAATATCACGAAAGCAATGTTCCTCGATGCTTACTAAAACGCACTAAACTGAGACTCGGGAAACGACAGATGTTTTTTGTTCACTCGGCTATACAAGTCTTCACTGAGACCACTGATCTCACCTGTTTCATTTGTCCATTTACGATAATGTCTTTCGTAAAATAACCATTTTTCTTTTCAGATCAAAAATCGATAAAAATTACAATTAACTATGTGCGGTCCTAACTATTTGTACTTACTAAAGTCGATCTTATACATTGGCTTTTTTACTCAGCCTTTCGAGAATTTTGCGAGATTTTAACAGGCCAGGATTTCGTGGTCCCCCGTTTGACACTCACCGTTACAAAATGCCGTCGACATTTCTGAGCGATCTTAATGAATGTATCACAAGCCATATCTTGAACACCGTCGTGAGTTTCTGAGAATTGCAAACAGTAAAACATTTGATTTCGAGAAATCTTTCAGGATATCTTCACGTGAATCAATGAAAAATCTCACCGTGCATGAACTCAAAGAGTTTATTAACAACAGTCTTTAGGAACTTCCAATGGGCTCTTAAAAAGCAGGATAAACGAAGTTTAGTTTCTTTTTTGTTACCATGAGGAACATGGCAATGTAGTTATAGCGTGTGGTTATCAAAACTGTATTTTACTGTATCTACCTGAGAAATCTTGGATATTGTCCAACAATGTACATAATATTCGAAGCGATGATAGCCTTGTTATCTTTCCCACGCTTGATTTCACATAAACCAAGCAAGTCCTTTTGAAAAGAGAATGAAATTGGGCTGTAAAATAGCCTCAAGAGCCGGAGGATACATGTATTTCAGATGCACTACAAGTGCGTAGGTACTGTGTAACAGTCTAAATCAACAGCAAACGTGGCAATATATTTCGATATTTACCTTGATTACGGTGACCAAGAACCTCTTTTCATCTTCTTCATGCATCGCTCCACTAATGGACCCAATGGCCCAGCACAACTGTGTAAACAAATAACGATAGTCTAGTCCAACTTCAGTGTGTCAGAAAATCGACATTGATGATTTTGCGAAGCGAATTGTTTTACGTCACAGTCGATTAGTTGATAAAATAAGCTTTTACAAAAGAGTTACCGTATTTAGATTTTTCCAAGACCACTCGGAACCATCGACCTGGGCTTGGAGTTTTTCCGTCATGTGAACTTCAGTATCCTGGTAGTCCAAATGTGTCAAATAGACTGCAAAGGATGACGTGGTATATACATTAAGTGGTGCAAAAAACCGTTTTTTTTTCAAATGAGCAAACAATCCATAGATACCTAAAGTTTCTCTCATATTTTTATACAAGTTGATGGCATCGGTGTCCTTCATAAATTCACGCACAACCTCTCCCTGATCGTTTTCCACAACAAGAACCTGGGCAATGAAAAAAAATGGAATGAGATGGACTCTGAATAGGACAAGAATAGCTTGGAAGAGAGCTAAGAAAGGATAATCCATCTTTCCATACCTCCTCTGGTTTGGCCATACGTGATATCATTGTTATTCGAACCTACAATGAAAAATAAAGAAAAAAATGTTGGTTTTCACTGCTCCAAACTCCACTTCTATATTTGCACCAAGCTGAAATACCCATGCCTCAAATGTTGCCTAAAAATTGAGTTTTTTCTTGTTGATACATGGAGTCAAACATGAAACCTTTTTTTGTTGAAGCACAACATTATTTTATGATAATATATTCTAGGTCTTTCTATTCTAAACGTCTACCTTGGAGAGAACCAGCAGATATATCTGTCTTCTTGGGGGCACATGCTGTTGCTGGATGGTGCCAATTAGCAAGGGGCTGGTAGAGGATGAGAAAGGACTTTCTCTATAAAGATCACCAGCTAAACTATTCCAGTATTCTAAACATATCTTGAATATTTCAATTTCTTCAACTTCAGATATCAAGACCAGGTAGTGGAGAGACTGAAAATGGAACATAGATGGAGTTCATGAGTGTTGAACAGGTAGAACTTCTCATGACAAGGGGTAGCTGGAGGTTTGCTTAAAACTGAAGGGTGGAAAGGATATATGAGGGGGATAGGGAGGTGAAAAATAAGTGGGGATGAAAAAGGGGAGCTGTAGGCAACACAAGCGAGGGGTGGTGGGAGAGGAAAGATAGTAGGGGTGGGAGAGGAAAGATAGTAGGGGTGGGAGAGGAAAGATAGTAGGGGTAGGTGGGGCAAGTTATTAGGGGTAGGTGGGGCAAGATAGTAGGGAAGGGTGAGGCAAGATAGTAGGGAAGGGTGAGGCAAGATAGTAGGGGGAGGTGGGGCAAGATAGTGGGGTAGGTGGGGCAAGATAGTAGGGGGAGATGGGGCAAGTTATTAGGGGTAGGTGGGGCAAGTTATTAGGGGTAGGTGGGGCAAGATAGTAAAGAGAGGTGGGGCAAGTTATCAGAGGTAGGTGGGGCAAAATAGTAGGGAAGGTTGAAGCATGCTAGTAGGGGTAGGTGGGGCAAGATAGTAGGGGATGGAGGAGGAATGATAGTAGGGGGGAAATAGTAGGGGTGGGAAGGATAGGTAAGAGTGGAATAGTAAGGAGGTGGGGTGTATTCCTGTTATCAATATTAACAGTGACTAACCTCTAATAATGTTGTGTGAAGATCAACCTTAATATACAAAATCACATCAGTTAAAAATATTTGATAAATGAATTCATTTATTTATAATCATTTCAAATATACCTTAGCTTCAATAAGCTGTCCATGCTCCTTCAAAAAGCTGCATAAAAACAAACTTAAATTTTGAATAAATTTCTGTTCATCATCTCTTCCATTTGTGTAAGCTTCCTTGATATTGGTGGATATTGGTAGCATCTGAGGTGAGCAGAATCACAGAAAATCATTTGCATACAGACGAAACAGCCACAGATAAAAAAGGCCAGAAAGGTAAACAAAAATACTGGAAAAAGTACAAAATACTGAAGAGTCTGGAAGGGCTGGGTTTTGACAAAAAGCTATTATCCTTCAATTGAAAATTATTTCTCAAAAGATCTTGAGTAAAGCGCAACAAAAATTGTACAATTTCATCATGCAAATAACAAACAAATTATCATCCAATGTTGCTCAGACATTTAGAAATTAATAGTACTTGTGATGTTTGAAAATATTACCAAATTGGACTCTTGTACTCTTGGACTCTTGAGCTTGTCCAATATTGGCAAAATTTTCAAACATCACTTGTTACTATTTATCCCAAATTGTACTCAATTAATTACCATCTTGTGATTTCCTTTTTTTTATGTATTACCTGCTTCAACTGCGTCATAGTTAAAGTGTAAAGCTGAATGAACTGTTCATTATACTGAGAGGCACTTATGGCAGCTGGAAAAATATAGACATATATCTGATAAGCTTTTAAATTGTGACAGCTTCTTGTGCATAAGGATGAACAGGTGAATCACATACCAATCTCTGTCAGACATTTCAGTGTTACATTTCGAAACATGGGTACATTTAGGAACTAAAGAGAAAAGAAGCACTTGCAAAACTGGGGAAAATGATCTGGGGAACATGTACAAACAAATTTGAGATGACAACAAATATACCTTGTATATTAATGTGCTTATCAGTTTGGTCTCAAAGATATATCCAAGTGGAATCCAGTTTAAGAATTTTAGCAGAGTTTGCAAAGTTGCTTCAACAAGAGGAACATTTTGGGAATTTTCCTGACAATAAAAATATGAATTAGACTTTGGTATGAACTCTTTTCAGACCTTAGTATGAAAGAAAAATAAACTGCATACCATTACAAACTGACATAGGGTGAAAATTTGCGAAAACTCGCTGCACATCGAGTCTTTAAGATGCTTAGCTTTTGTTTGTGTGAGTTGTCCACTAGAGAAGTCAAACACCTCCTCGCTATCACAAAAAGATAACAAAACAGAGTTGAGATAAAGGGTAAACTATAACAAGATATGAATCTTCTCTAAATTATTTTGCCTTATCATACCTCAATAATCTTAAAATTTTCATGTTATTTTCACAAATGGTTTCATTCGCTTTGCTGGCTCCAACAATATCACTGATGAATGTTGGCCAATTCTTAGGCCACTCATGCTTTAAGATCTATGGCAAGGAGAAAAACAGGGATTGGCAAAACGTATGCAATTTGATGCGATCTTAAGCTGGCACATTCAGACAAGTCACTTCTAATTTTCCAAAGCTTTCGAGATTTTATATTCCAGTTAACCAAATGAGATCAGTGTTAAAAATTGCCCTGTAAAATCAGATCAGTGTGTAAAATGGATCAGTTAAGTTATTTCCAGGTTGAAAAAATCACGATTCCCCTAGAAAACATGTTTTCAAGGCTGGTTTAAAGAACTTGCTTGCTATGCAAAGTAAATAATAGTCGATTTCATTTTGATGCACCTGTCATATGATTAAAACTTTAAATTATTCTGCCCACAAATTCAAGTAGCCCACTACAATGTAAACTCGTCCTGCCCACAGAGAATATAGAGATTAAAGGAATAGTTCTGTTCAGTTGCCAAAAATTATTGCTCTTTGACATGCCATAACTTGTAGAAAACTCGCACAAGGAGCAACTCTGGATTGCTCAATCACAACAAGCTATCAAACCAGTTTAAACCTCACCTCAACCAGAATCATATTTAGTTTCCCCAAGTAAGCTTTGTCTTTCTGATAAAAAATAATGAAAAAATGTCTTAAAAATCGCTGTATTTAAAACGAGTTCTGGCAAACTGAAGGTATTTTTGTAGCAAACGTATAACAAAAAAAGGGAGAAAATTTGTCACCTCTATTTGATTATCCGCACTCATAGAGTTCTTGATTACAAGACCGACGATATATTTCTTTATTCCTAACAAACGATAGCAGAATATATATTACTAAATTTTACGAAAATTTTTTTGAAGATATTAGGCAATTCTACTCAATACCTTCGCATTGTTCCCGAGGGAGCACTTTCCAGCGAGTTTTTATTACAGTTTCCAAAACTTGCAACGCAAAATACTATAAAATGATACAGGGAGAAGTTATATGAAATTCCCGATGGTTTTGTGCGAAGAATTTTCATTAAACGCTGCTATATTATCATAAATACTTTTGTTTGTAAACTTTTCGAATATTCAAGGATGCTGTCAACTCTAGTCCACGATTCAGGGTGCTGTTTCAACTGTGTTAGGACCTGATCCGCAGCCTTTTGCTAAAGAAATAAAAACATTTAAAAATAACACACACCGTTGAAGTTTATTCGACGGTGGTAGGCCGAAGGAGCCGAGGCAAAGCTCTTGAAAAAGTCCATAGTAGAAAACACAATCAAATTTACCTCGGGTCCTTCGCTGCTATAGAAGCATGAAACAACATTGTCTAATAGGTTTATGTCCAGTTTCTGGTTGAAATCCAACAGTACAGCCGCTTGGTCGACAGTAGTCATTGCAACAGGCATTGAAAACGCTTCAAATTCATAAATGTTAGCTGCTATCGTTCGTATTGACCGCGTTTTCATCAACCACCATTACAAAGTTCATTCACAGCCTCTCACGGATTGGATTGAGCCAGTTCACACCGCTTTTACCCGGTTCTCCGGTCAAACCAGTTTTCCCGGGCTTCGCTTTGCATGCGAAAACATTTGCACAAATTTTATGACCAAATTTCGCACGTAAAATACAATCTCACTTCGAATATACGGTTAGCGTTTCATGTATTTTAAACAAAATGGAAGTTGTGCGAAGAATGCGCTCAGTTTTGAGTTAAACTTGCCGCGGAAATCAATGGAAGAATTCATTATGTTTGTAAGAATTTCTGATCCATATGAAATTCTCCCAACTTTTCATGAAAGGGATTTCCCTCAGAGTTATGCAGAAATGTGCACGTGTACTTGTTTGACGCGGAAGTAAACACACAGGCATTAACATGCTTGTTTTCCTTGCAATCTAACAGTGACCTAATACCTTGTATGTATTTGCACATAAGTTCGTTTTGCATTTGATTTTTACTTTGACAGGTTAGTTTACTTTTATTTTTCATTCATCTATACAGATTTAGACGGGGGATGTGAGTGTAAAATTTTGCACTGTGGTCCCCCTGAACCTTTTCTTTTTGCCGAAGGAAAGTTTGCTGCCGATCGTAATAACTAATAAGCAATTTACCAAGAGTCACACAGAAATCTTCTCCGAACATTCCCGCTCCTCATAGCCATAGCTCGTTTTTTTTGACGAACTTAGGTGCTGGCCGTCACCCCCCCCCCCCCCCCCTCAAAAAAAATTAAATAAGAAGTACGTTTTTTAGTTTAACTTGCTGTAAATACGATATTATGGCGGATTATAGTTATTTATGTAAGAAAATGCCTTTTTTGCCTCTCTCCACTTTAGAAGAGCATGGCAGACAGAAAATTTAAAAACAAATCAACTCGTCTTTTCTTACACCAAACACTTTTGTTTCTTTGCAGAAATGAAATTATCAAATTATTTAGCATGCTCCCTAGTGCAATTTGTGTCATTTAGTTGTCAGTGCAATAAGTTAAGTATGAAAAGAACTGCTTGCTTGTGCTAAAATGGAACTAGTATCAATCATCACTCCTGTCACAAAACAAACAAATTTCTCGACACATCTTTATTTACAATTCACAAAGTTACTACTGTTTTTCAAAATGCGTCTACAATGTGCCAAGATTTTATATTTTACAATACAATCTACACTTGCCGGATACGAAAAACCAGAGTTCTGGAAACGTATTCCCCTACCCCAATGCAAGTGTACATATCGAGCTATAGGGGGTTAAATAGCAAAAGTTTTAATGTTCGAATCCATTTTTAGCGATAGTAGGATTGGAATTCCTTTGTTGCTCTTCATCATCCGTTCAGCTGTGGTCTTCATTCCGCCGAATATCACACGAATTCTTGAGGTTTTCAACGTTTCTCACTCTTCAGAACATCGGGACCATCTCGTCTCTGACAGGATTAGCTTCTGGTCTCCATGGTCAATTGAATTGATGTCTAGAAAAACATGTCGGTAAGTATATTTCGTGTTTTCATCCGTCAATCTCGACAAAATCCATACCTCACCTCTGTCATAACTATTGGACAAATGTGTCTTCTTGCATAGACCAGATTATTTTACTAAACACGTAGACCAGTCACCAGTTCACTGAATCCTACAAAAAGAACTGACAACAAACATATCAACCACACATTGCATCATACCTTATCACGTTGTTTCCCCTTTTCTCTTCATGTTCTTCCTCTATTTTTACTGCATACTCCAACACAATAGGATACCAATACACTGAGACACGGAGACCTTAATTCAAACCATGTTCTTCCTTCCCTTTCTTCAGGATTCTTCTCTCTTCTTTGACAACTATGAAAGAACCTGATCACATATTCCGGACACGTAGACACACGATGAACCAATCAAAACCTACTTCTTCCCTTCCTTCTCTGTACCATATCACGATGTTAGCAGCATTGCTCTTTATCCTTGTATTGCTTTCAATCTCGATACCTAATAACAAATCTAACCCACATCCACTGCACAAAAACGAATGCAACAATGCATGTCATACCCCGATTTCTTCTCTTCTCCCAGTCAACCAAAATCGTTGCCAAATGATTCTTTCTTTTAATCTACGAATTCCCTACAATCACGCTTTAACCATCCTATTCTATTTCCACTCTCCTAGCTGCTGAGAATTCCGGACCACATCCACCTTCATATCTTCATTTGTCTCACTTATATCTTCGGTAGTTCAAGACCGCTCCCACTTACATACCACCTACAGAACAACCTTGTCGACGGCAACAAACAGGTTATATAAAGGATCTTACCTCCCTTAAAGACATATTTCATCGCTGTTCTATGTATGCATCCAGAACTCTTCATCCTATTTATGGTTATTCAGGAATTACCAAGTTATTCAGGTGGAATGAAACTTCATCGAAATACTCCCCGCCGACGTCGTTTCATCCTTAGAGAATCATATCTGCCGAGTGATACACGACCAGGAATCTCTCGTCGCTCATTTACGCCTTCCAGCCACAAATTATCTGCTAGTTCCACGATCCTTCAAACCGCCTTACTCTAACTGCCACGATCCTTCAAACCGCCTTACTCCATCTGTAGAGAATCTCAGCAATCCATACCAACAGATACAAAACCACAAATCTTACCTTCCACACCTCTGTTGATTCAGTCCATAGTTGCCTGTCGAATTGTTTGATCTGTCGAATCATTGCCCCACCAACTGACTTCATTCCATTCCCCTTCTCTAGGCTAATCCTACCATGGATCCTCGTCGTTCTGACAGTTTACACTCTACTATAGTTGACCACACCATTCTCTTCTAACATTCTTCAAAATTCATAGTTCACCACACCTTTCTGTTCTAACATTCTTCAAAATCATTTGCATGTCGAAAATCATAGCTACCAACAGATTCCAACTTCAATTACACCTGCCATAGATACTCTGCTTCCCATTGCCAAGCTCACACCACACACCAGGATACACCAGACCACTCTCAGTCATCTGTAGAGAATCTCGGCTGCCGATTCACGATCCACTAGGTCCAACGTTCTATACCAATCCTGACCGAGAGAACACATACCACATATAGATACATAATACCAATGAAGCTACATACCTCATCCGTCTTCTATATCCACGTTTTATTCCGTTTTGTTCTAGTTTCTACAGCACTTCTCTCAACCAAGCCATTACGTATAATACTTGGTCTTTCATTTCATATGCACAGAGAATCGACGGATACTCCACAAAGAACCCTACCTTCCTCTTTCTTGATCTCCTGCCACACGCACACTGCTATCTCATTTTAGTTCACACTGCACCACAATCGAACAAAACATTCTGCACCACAACACCAACCAGTTCACTGACCTGCAGGAAAGACTGGCGGCCAACGGGAACACAACATTAGAAAGCAGCATACCATTCTCCTTCACATCTGATCTTATATGTCTTCGCCATGGACCTTGATCCCGCCGTGATTTGTACCCACTCATCTCCTTCATTTACCAAGAAATCCTGATCGAAATGGAACGCACCTAGAAATCTGACCCTCCCTCGTTATTGCGTTGTCACCATGTCTTGCTTTTCTCCGACGCTACAGAAAACCAATCTCACCATCTGCACTATTCAACCCAACAGAAGACCTAGCCACAGCAGCATTACCATCTTCATTCACGGCTTCTTCTCCACGTTTTCCACCACTGTTTCCTTCTGTACAGTCGAAGTATCACATCATCCCACATACTAATATATCTTTCTTTGGATCATCCTATTATGACTGCTTGAACCCAACTTCATTTCTTTCACCTGGAATGAATCCTAGTTACAAAATAAGATTATCTTACCTAACCACACTCGCATGCCTCGCCTTGTTACGCTTTCTTCGCCATTCATATTAAATCTCTGTCATCATTTCTCTCAGCATTTCTCTCAGCATTTTTCTAATTCTGCGCTTTACTCACTTGCTGACCAACAGGGATACCATACCAGGAAGCACCATACCTTTCATCTTTTCATCAAATCCTATAGTTTTCCTCACTCACCCTCATTACCATTGTTAAACTCTCATTCGAACAAACCATCTCCTGTAGCACTCTTCATCTTTTTTATTCGTTTATCTAAAAGCGTCGCTCACCACCACCAAAGTCTATTCAACTTTACTCATTGTGTAATTCCTCAATGCCCCATAAAATCGTTCTGCACCACACTTCATATCTTTATTTACCTACAATTAAATCTCAGCAAACAACGCCAGAAATAAAACTTTACCTTTCACGATATTAGTGCCTTCAACACACTCACGTACACCACACCTTTGTTGATCCTTCCTTCTATTCTTAACTTTCTTATTCATGTCTTCTGTCGTCTCACTCGCATACCGCACCAGCAAAGAAAACTCGGGCAACAAGAACACGACATCAAGACGACATCAGGAAGCAGCACCCTTTCTTCTTCATGTCTTACCAACGTTTTCTGGATTTTCCTTGTAGTTCAGACATTATCACCAACCTCACAGCCACTCTGTTTCACTCTTTACCTTTTCCATCAACAGCTCGATAAAGTCCTGCCAACAGCCCACCCACTCAACGAACGCTTCGATATCAAACTGTGCAATTCATTCCTTGCCTTGCGAGATCAATCTACTTTACACTTCGCCTTCTTCATATCTACCTGCAATAAATCTTGGCAAACTAAAAGAAAGAAAATCCTACCTTCTATTCTCCATCCCAATCCTCACTAATTCTTGATATTCCCCTAACTCCTAACTCTTTTTAATGGCTTCTCTTCACTTCACTACGCTTTCCCAAAAGATTCCGGACATCTGCAACCACTTCCACACCGATCACACGCAGAGATGACTGACCAACACTTGGACACCAAACACCACTTCATCAGCAGACTTTTCGTGTTCAGCTAACCCTACATCTCCTTGACTTTTCGTGTTCAGCTAACCCTACATCTCCTTGACTTTTCGTGTTCAGCTAACCCTACATCTCCTTCTCTTCTTTCAGCTCGAAGCCATTCTAGTCGAAGACCACTCTTCACATCCCACCCATTCAGTCTGCTTCATCTTGCTAGTTTACGTATATATCTATTCACCTAGACAAAGGATTCAGGCAACAGGTCCCTCCAAAACTGCAAAGAGCATAAACATCCGACTCCTATCTCCAAATCAATATCTTCACGTTCCATCAGACCATCTTGCACCACATTTTCACCCCCAAATGAAGCTGACCACACCTTGGCTGACCCAAGCTGACTCTCACATGAATCTTGATAACGACCATACTGATAATTTTCACTTCATATAACACCATGGTGTGCACACTCCACAATACAAACATGTAATACCTTTCCATCTTCTCAAATCACCTGCAAGGAATTTTGGCTACTAATAAGAACGAAAAACCGAAAAATCCTACCTTTTACACGCGTTTTTCATCTTTCTCAAAACACGACTTCAACAGTTGCAGAGGTTTTACCAAGCCTATTTGCAGAACATTGAACATTCTCTGCCCATTCTCCTGAAAGAACCTCAGGTAACCAGAAACACCACCGGGGAGCCATATACCACTCGGAACAAAACAAAACACCGATGACAACAAACCCACCACATACCATTTCTTGATTCACGTTGGCCAAAATGATTTAACGAAAACCCAATCGGAATAATACCGAATACTTCGTGCTTTTCGGACGCTAATGTCTCTTTTACGATTGAATCTTTTACCTCCAATTTGACAGGAGTTTCTGAAATACTGGATGCAAAAACAAACGAACGAAAAGAAAATTCCGCATACCTTTCTATCAAAGCGTTCTGATTTCAATGATATATTTTCATTCGGAATTAGTTTGATAGAGGCCTGGAAGTAGAGAAGCAACAACGAACCAAGGCGATCCACACTCAAAACTTCATTGGTGTTTGTTGATCTAGAAAGACTGCGAGCGAAAACACAAACCGCGCACAAAAATCGCGTACCTTTCAGGCAATATTATTATTTGAAACAGTTGTTTTCCATTGAATATTGCGGTATAGCATTCAAGTTGCCATCGACTGAAATAGAATGGAACGCAAATGGAATTTGAAAAGAAAAGCACCTCGTACCTCTGGATTCTTTAGAATGCGACTGTTTTCCGCCGTTTTTGCAATGTTGCCCGATTTTCGAGATAAACTTCTTTAAACTACAAATTCGCAACTGGCTCCTTCATCGGAATTCATTTGAATCTTCGAAAACGCAATTCTGAAACAAACCTTCCGAACACACCCGAATGGAAAATTCGGTCGAAAAATGAATACAAAAAGTATACGAAACCTCTAATCTCTAGAAACTTTTCTTTTTGACCTTTTTCTGTTTACATAAGATCGTATGCAGCATTTTCGACAAGGCAACCAACTTCGGCTTCGGCTTTCTTTAACTTAGGCATCTCTAAAAGGTTACACATAAACACAAACGCACGAAAGCAAAATTTTGAACGTTTTGGGTACCTTTTTATATTCCGAATCATCTCTGCGGCGTTTCAAATCTTTTTATGAAGCTTTCACGATTGAAGTATTTTCACGCGCTTTTCTGAACGTCTGGCGTCTCGCACAAACAAAAAGACAACCGAATTCTTGATTTGTAGTTCATGAAATCTCTCCAACGCTTATTGTAGTACAATTATATTCGAGTATACTTTTCTTAACACCCTCTGTAACGTTTCTCCGTTCGATCAATCATGAGATTCCAAATACGGATTATTTTGTACAGCCAAATTAAGAATATCTTTCTGAAAAAGTGGATGGGAAAGCAAACACAACAAAGCACACGATGTTTGTTTGTACCTTTTTGTTTTCATTCTTCAGAACCGTATGCGAACCACGATCGCGCCTGTAACTATAATATTCGAAATGCAAACAAAAAACGGAATCTCCGCGAGAATGCATACCTTCCGCAAGACTGCCTCGGCTCTTCATTCCTTTTCAATCTTCTTTCAACTTTAAATTTGTTGCTGGCATTTTTCTTAAAAAGCTGACGCAAAACATACTAACGTTCCGCATACCTGTTTTAGCGGTCCCACTTGCACTGGTTTTCTTTCTTGCTGTTGAGTTTTTAGCATTTGACAAATTTAACAAAAAGCAAAATATCCGCATCGGCGAATGGCTGCGCATGGTCATTATTCGCTCTTTTTGGTGTTCCGTCTTCATAAACTTCGTTGGATCCTGCCGATCTAGGCACATGCAAAGCAACAAACACAAAGCGGGAAAAAACGTGTACCTTTTATGATTGCAAAACGCGAAGAACGACGCAATTCAGTGAATTCTTTCAAGCAGCTGGATGTTCTCATTTTCGAGTCGGTTTCACATTAATCGGAAACGGCTTCCTGTCAAGAGACTGGATTTGCAAACGAAAACGAACCAACAAAAAGCAGAACTACCGTGTGATTTCGCGCTGTAAGGTCATTTTCCGCAAAACGCTGGTTTTCCAACACTCAAACCTTCATCGGAGTTGATCGATCTACAAAGACTGCAAGCAAATACAAACACACAAACCGCAAGAAGTTCTCATACCTTTTCGAAAATTTTACTGTATGAAATAGCTGGTTAGCGTTTTCCATTGAATACTTCGCGATTTTGGAGCTGCGATTTATCGTTCAAGTTGACTTCGATTGGACTAGAATTGCATGAACACAAATGGAATTCGAAACGCATAACACTTGTGGAAGCGTACCTTTGCATCTTTTTAAAAATACGTTTGCTTTCCACCGCAGGCGCAGGTAAAATGCTGGGTTGGTCAAGATCAAATACATTCCAGATGAATCTGAAACAAACCTTTTCGAACACACACACAAAATTCCAATTTTGGAAACGAATACAAAAGTACAAATTTCAGGTTTCTAACAGCTGCCACTTAATTTCATACCCCACATTTTACTTTTCTTGAATAGCGCACAAATTTTTAATCTCGAACACACCACGCTGGCGCACCAGTCCCAAGTCCTATTCTTCGACATTTTTTCGTTACATGCATGCCACAGGATGGAACATTTTCAAAAGGTTTATGAAGAGGAAATGGCGTGGCTTTGTCTTTTCGGCAATGTGGACTTGCATTTCTAAAATGGTGTACATAAACACGGAACACGCAAGAGAAATATAAAACCATTGGGTACCTTTTTAAAAACATTTTTCTTTTGTTTGCAACACCAGACTTTTTCGCATTCGTTATATATTCTTCAAATTTGAACTTTTCTGGACACAAATTGCAGTAGGTACCCAAGACTAATAGCACATTTGATGTTTTCAAGACAGCCTATATCACTCCTCCAATGGCAATTTATACATTTTCTTTTCAACCAGAAAGACTGAAATTCTTTTTCTATTCTCAATTCAAACTGCTGTCATACGATGTTCAACGCCAGATATAGATTTTCTTTTGAAAATTTTTAGTTCATTTCTACAAAAGTGAACATAAAAACAACGCGACCAAATACAAAAAGTTCGCATACTCTGTTGTACCTTTCCCAATGAGACCTCAGTCGCAACATGACTAACGTTAACACATCTTGCTGAATAATATCAATTCGATTGGCTGAAGATTGGATCTTTTTTCAATGCTTTTCTGAAAGAATGTTTTCAAGACGACGCACAAAAATGAACATTTTTTCGAAAATAATCTGCATACCTTCAAAATTATACGAGCCGTTCTATTTCATTTTCACGCTTATTCAGATGATTTCTTTCAAAAATATCATAGGCATAGCTAATCGATCTTTCAAATTCCAAAGAACTGGTCGTCTGACATGGAGTCCGGAACCAATAAATTATTTTCTTCGCAGTTGGACGCCTTTTCAAACGGTTTAAAACTTTAAATTTAACCTCTTCAAGTTAATATCAAGAGTCCAAGCCATTCACTTTTAATCCACGCTCGCTGAAAGATCGGATAGGAAAGAACGGGCACGATACAAATTCATGCACACGAAAGCCAGAAGATACAATGTCAAAACCTTTTCCATCAAAAATTTTCACTTCATTTTTTTCTGCAATTTCTTGTGGTGTAGATAATTTTTCTGAAAAATCGTATAAAAATGCAAACCGGAAACTCGCAGCTGAAAGTTTTTCGTACCTTGTCCTTGTTATATTAAGTGTTTTTGCTTGCAGTTTGACTCTGAAAAGTAGGAACACACACAATCGACCGGAAAGTGATTCAAGACCAGCATTGAAGAGACTCACTTGGTTATTGACCGACTCACTCTTCCCATTACATTAAATCATTTGGAAATGATATTTGCGAGCGATGAAGAATGAATGAAAAACATGCTGAAACCATTACTTCTTAGCCGGAACCACTTTGTTATGGATCTTACTTTATATTAGAATGTACAGCTGGACGAGTAGTAACGCATCCTAGAAATTCAACCAAAATAAAAGTTGCCCCATCCCACCCAAGTTACTGTAACACCTTCATTTTTGCATTCTGAAGTTGCATCACCAAATTAGAAAGAAATTGCATGCAAAAGGAACAAAATTGTATATCTCAAGTAATTTCTGTGTGACATACCGACATCTGCAACTGTCGTATTATCTGGATTTCACCTGATAGCCTTTTAGGAATACATTAGAACACCGAGAAACTTGGCACAACACAATGGTATACAAATGATCAGGTACCAATATGACAAAGGTTGTGGTGAGCATGGTTTAACCATACGGGCAGCAATATTTTCACATTTGAAGACACTACATTTTTTGTAACAGTTCACACACTCGAAGCCAACATGCGGTAGAAGAATTACTGAATTTATAGTTGAAGATCAAGGCTGTTATTGACCCCAAATTCCCAAACGGTTGAATAGGCGAAAATAGCTCAATTTCCACTTTTTCTTAAGACAGAGGCTACCGAGACTTCTTACAGGAAATTCACGCGCCATTGGCATTGATGTCCTGCACAATTTATGGATGCAAACACACAAGGTACTTTGCAATTTTTGGTCGCAATAAACACTTGCCTGCCATCCAGCAGCATTAAATTCATATTAGAAGCAATAACTTTAAATGGATGCCTGATTATGATACCGGCCTAATTTTTCATTTGGAACCAACCAGACAACTTGAGAAATATACTGCTTTCTTTGCAATCTTTATTGAGAGAGATGGGACTTGAATGCTAAAAGCAAATGTGTTTGAAATTATCAGGTAAGTGCATTCTTTCAAAGTAGTCTAATCTGTTAAATTAAATCAAATAAATGTCTACTGTATGTCAAATGAATGAAGAATCTGAATAAAGGAATAAGTTTGCCTGAATTTCACATCAGTTGTGATATTCCTTCTTTGGAACATTAACATTATTCTTCAAATTTGTACCAATGCAAACATCAGATTTGACCCTAATAGATTACAATGTACAAAATAGGTATTATCTCCATGTCTAGAATAGATGATTTTTGTAAGGTTGTTGAAATTAACTCTATGCCAGTGGCCTTTTAGAAGATAGGGAATATAATATTTACACTTCATTTGATTTTTTTTTATCAATTTGGATGGTAGTGCCTGGAGCTATATCTATTTTATTTGATGTAAGTAGGATACTTCATGAAGAATAACAGGCTATCTAGTGATCTACACCCTTATACACACTCTTCCCTACACAACTACCAAACCAGTGTGACCACACACTTCATGGACCACCAAATCTACCAACACGACAAATCTACCAAGGCGACACATCAACCATTAATTAGAACACATCAACTTCATCATATTTTCAACATTTGAAATAGTTCACCGCAGGCAAATACTTGAACTGAGGAACTATCCAAGAAATTTCTAAACAAATTTTATTTGTAAAAAAGTTAACATAATTATATCACTATAAGTTGTGGTTGCAAGGAGGGTTACTCTCAAATTTAGTGTTAGGTTTATACAGTTTGTTGAAATGCCAACCTGACTATTTAAAATTAGAAATATACATACCATTTCCGTGATGTTTCTGCAATTGAACAATTCCCACAACCCAACACCCTGTTGGGTCCAGCACTTAAATGATGCCAAAGGCACCTGTATAGAAAACCAGAATGTCTTGAGGATTATTTCAGGAATGGGGATTATAGTTATGCCTAAATACATCAAACCATTTTGAATTCTTGGCTTCTCTTTTGACCATGGACTACAGAATATGTTAAAAGCACTAACTCCCTCAATCTGCAGAATACATCATTTACTTAAACCTGTACTACGAAAAAAGTAAAAAATAAGCACCATTTCACATCTTGATACTCCTCGGCCAACAACTGCTTGTTCCAGTCAAGAACTATTGCCCCTTTCACTGAGTAGCTTTGGTGAAAAATAGAAAGATATGTAAGCATATTTTCAAACATTTATAATAAACCTCTGTTTTATTGAAAAATATCTCCACAACAAATTGTATAAATAACTACAACCGCTGAAATGTCTTGATAAACGCCTGATAATTTTCCATTTTAAACCAGGTAATAAAATCTCAAACCTGTTTTCAAAATTCAAGTGAATGAAAAAAACATTCGCAATAACTATCTACAAAATATTACATTAGAAATATCATTATTTTACCAAGTTCTCATCCCTAACAACACAGGGAATGGAATTTTTCAACAAGTGAAATTTGTGGTTGAAACAGACCAGCGCGCCGGCAAGGCGAAGTCATCTTGGTTTTTGTCCTTTGTCCATCAACGGATTTTGATTTTTTTGTTCTATTCTCCCTAAAAGTTTCGCTAAAGCTAGGCAAAACCGATTTTTGTTGATTATTATTATTTTCCTCTCTTTTAGGCCTGGGTTTTGAACTACTTAGTTCAGAGAGGAAAGAATTTATACCTAGTATATCATCATCATCTTGACTTGTGTCCGTCATACACCAACCGTTTGGTCCATTTTGCCACTCGTATTTTTCTTCATTTTTTCGTCTTTTAGTCCTTTTCATTGAGCGTTCCGTTATTTCATCGTTTAATCTTTGAACAGTTCTTTGAAGTAAAGCTTCTCTGTACATATCGGGTCTTTTCCGTTTCGCCGCACGCTTCTTGTCCAAAGCCGACTCTAAAAACGACCACATTTCTGTCTCTGATAAATGTTCGTCAGGAGTCCTTTTTACATTACCCTGACACATTTTACGCTTCATAGATCGAGAGATACACTTCTGTTTCAGGTTAACTTTACTACACCCAGCGCCAGCCAAAAACAAATTTGTCAACCAAAATGGGAAGTCTGTATGTGTCCGTCCTTTAGCTCGCGTTTTGTCTCTTCGTACAACCTTTTCTTGTTTTTTTTTCTTGAGAATACCAATGAAAATGTTGTTTCCAAGATTTCGTCTTTCAAACTTATGTCGTTCTAGTGAAGAAAGTAAAGAAATTTGCCCTTTTCAAAGGTAAAATTCGATATTGTTGATCAGTGTGAAATGAGCGAAGCTACAAAATGGCGTCTTCTTCTTCGATGATCTTGGAGGTTTAAAATCACTTTAATGATTAATTCACCGCCGAAAAATTACACAGTGCTGTTTCAGACTTTTATTATGTGATTATTAAAAAAATCTTTAAGTTTCGGTTTGAAACCAAGCCGATTTTAGATGTGAAACTAAATTTTTGATACAGAAGCAAAATATAAGCACCCAAGCACAAAGGCAACAACACGCACTCAGCGCACGTCTTTCTTTATGACGCATAAAAATAGTTGCCCAAACCAGAAAAACAGGTTGGTCAACCAATCAGAGAGCGCTATTTCTTGAACAATGTGACGTCACATGACGTAAATTACCAAGAAAAAACATGTTTTTGTCGCATGGCGGGAATGGGGGAGTGCCCCAATGCCCAAATATGGTAATGCATTATATATTGAATCATTTTATCAAATTAGGTAACTAGGTAAATCCCACAACAAAAATCCACCTATTTTGAAGTGTTTTCCTTTTGGGGATGCACCTGTGGAACGTTAAAAAGCAAATGACAAGAAAAAATATATTATTTCCCTTTACTAATGAAAATTATGAAATATCAACTTAGCATCAAATTTAAATGTGGTATAACAACTGACACTTCTCGACGTTTCGACCTGAGGGCCTTCGTCAGGAGATTTAGTAACTCTCCTGACGAAGGCCCTCATCAGGTCGAAACGTCGAGAATTGTTTTGTCTATTTAGGCAGTTGTTATACCACACTTGATGCTAAGTTGTTTGAAGACGCTGCCACGCTGCTCCTTGGTTATTATGAAATATCACATAAATTTTTTAACCAATGTTTTTAAAAATATGCCTTGAGATAGAATCACGAAATCATTTAATATACAGTAGTGTAAACATAGCTAAGTTAAGGCCAGGTTCAAAAGATTGCTATCCATTATAGTCATTATATTATTTTCCGATCAACATACATTTCGCGCACTACAAAGGAATCCCCGATCTTTAGGGCAAGTGAACTTAATGATGGATTAATAGGAAAGGTTTTTTTCCATCCATATAATCACTTTGCTCCCCTTTTCAATATTCTTTGCAGCTAATGACCCCATATTTGCACCTTGAGTTGAAGGTTTACATGAGATTGCCAGTGGTGGTGGTGGTGGTGGTTTTGGTATAGGTGATGATAGTGACAAGGTTGATGATAGTGTGTTTTGAGGTGAAACAGATGGACAAAGCTTTACTACGTCTGTTGTATTTAATTCATTTGCACATTTTATCAGGCTATCTTTCTCTGTAATGAAATTGCACTTATCTTCAATCTGAAAACATATGAAAAATGGTCTTGATAAGTTTACAAAGGCCATATATTAAAGAAAGGACAATAGCTAGTACCTTTGATTTCGGGAAAAATCGTGAAACTTTACTTTCAGCAGATACAGGCGTTGATAAGGAGTAACCAAGATGTTCATAGAATGATTGTTTGTCGTGTGTTGATAGATGCATAATTTCATACCCATACCTAGTAATTAAATAATATATACACCCACTCTAAATGGATATATTATATCTAAATTATTAAAGCTATAATTTTTTAGGTTTGAGTATGCCTGTCAAGGGTAAGTATGGTAAACACGGAGAACATTTTGCCTATATATTTAAATATATGTATTGTGAATCATCCTACTTTGTGGCAAATTCTTCAGTATATTTCATTATCATCCTTCCTAATCCACATCCTCTTAGGCTTTTGTCAACAATAACTGAAAAATATATGGTATTTTCAATACTACCATCAACTGGTGATTCATACATAGGTGCATAATTATGCAGCAAAAGGTATACTTTGCAGCTGTATTGTTTTAAACATACCTGATTCAACTAAACACGACTTTGATTTGTGCAAAACTTTGAAGAGACGGCTGAATCCAACTACTGTTTGCTCATTGCCATCTGCAGAGACTTTTAGTAGAATGAATGAACAAGGTAGATGATCTGATGACTGACCAATTACATCACATCTATAGAAAATAGTTGTGTGACTTGTGTCAATAAAATCATGAGAACCATGCTCTAAGGACTATATTTATATAGTACCATAAAACAGATGGTATCATGTTTAACTGATAACAACCACCATCTGCTGTTTGCTACAGAATGTACCTTGCTTTAAGGGATCTTGGCCATTCAGAATTAATAAGTTGAGCTGTTTCTTCAATGAAATGTGGAACATCATGGAGTTTAGCAACTTTAAATTCATGTTCCATTCACTAAATTACAAAAACACTGGGTTATATGCACCTCTACTCAGCAAACATCATCCTTTTGTAACAAAATGTAGCAACATATTTATTTATTTATTTATTAACAATTTATATTTATTCCATAATTAACATACGAAATTGCATAAAAGATACTTGTTACTTGTACCTAAAAATAACATCATAAATATAAAATTTTTGCAATTTGCATTACGTGCAACCGGCCGGCTGTGTCAAGATTCAAGAACGAGATGGAGAAGACAAGACCAGAACCGCTCTCAGCAAAAGACCAAGGGTAGAAAAGATTATATTCTAAAAAAATTGAATGTTTTATTGGTTTTTTTTGAACTTTCAGTTTGTCATTCGTTTTTTCAAGGTCATTCGCGTTCGATACAGTAAATCGACGTATGCCCGTGATTTTGACACGTGTCATCGATGCTTCCAGCAAATTAGCTTCTAAACTAACAGAGCAAAATGATCATGTAAGTCATAATGAAAGCTATAACAAGTTGAAAATTTGCATTCTTCATAAATCAGCAGTTAAGTAGTAAGTTTCTATTATAGTCAGCTAAGCCTAAGTCAGGTCAAGTACCAAAGATTGAGGACAATTAAGAATAATAAGTCCTGGACCAAAGAGGACCTTAGAGATTGAGAAAAAGGGAAAGTCAAGGTCAGGGAAAGTCTTTTTTTAGAAAAAAGCAGATGATGTCAAAAGTATTTTGAATCAACTGTCAGGACTCAAGTATGAAATGGAAACTAACAAACCTCTGAAGCATATAACTGATGACCAAGATGACACTGAAATCTGGAACAACTACTTAAAAGGAAGACAATCTTTGGTAGCTGGCAAGGATCTTACATTTTACACTGGAGCATGGCTGTTATGTGAATGTTACATGTATCGGAGAATATTTCAAGCTTTTGTTTCAAGGTGATTATAGTTCATTCACAAGAACTTGTGTTTTCCAAAGTTTTATATTTCTTGTGTCTAAGAACTTCTCTTTTTTTGTTTAGTTCCATGTTCAAAGACTATGATCCATTCAGTGCACAGAAGCAAGAATCATTTTTTAGCACAATGGATTCAGTGAAGTCTTTATCAGAGAATGTTATCAATTGTACCAACATGCTTAGCGAGAACTCAAGTGACGAAGCTGTGAGGCTAGAGTTTGAGACTCTGTTACAGGTTTGCATCATAAAAGATTGTCTTTCAGGAAAAAATACATGAGCAAACCAATATTGTCTTATTTCATGTTTGTTTTTATAATTAGTTCTCTCTATGGGCAAACAAGTGTGATTTGTCTGTGTCTGGTGGTGTAATCAAAGATGGTCAACATACCGGTATGGCTGAACAACTTGAGCATCTCAAAGCTTGGATCCTGGTTGATAACACGTCAGAGGTTTGGAAACTTCTGAGAAGCATTGACCGAAGCACCGACCACATGATCCACATAGACTTTGTCTTAGATAATGCTGGTTTTGAAGTTTTTGCTGATTTGTGCCTGGCAGAATTCTTTCTCTCTTTAAACCTTGCTAAAACCATCTACTTTCATGTGAAGAATATACCCTGGTTCGTTTCGGATGCTTCTGAACGAGATATCAATTGGTTGATAGCACAGATGATGCAATCTGAGAATAGATTTATCTTGCAGCTTGGAACAAGGTGGCAAGCTAGGTTTGATGATGGATCATTTCAATTCAAGAAGCACATGTACTGGACTTTAGCGCATGACTATAGTGAAATGGCATTGGCTGCTTCAGATCTGTATGCAGAATTGGGGAAAGCTAAGCTAGTATTCTTCAAGGGTGACCTGAATTATCGCAAGTTGGTTGGAGATCGTAAGTGGCCCCACACAACTCCCTTTACCGAAGCATTGTGGGGTTTTTGTCCTGCGGCGTTGTGTTCATTACGTACCCTAAAAGCTGACGTGGTTGTTGGATTGCAACCAGGGCAGGACACTCAAGCTGAGTCAAAAGATCCACAGTGGATGGTTAATGGCACTTACGCTGTTATTCAATATCAGCTTAATATATGATACGATTGAATATTAATTCATTAGATTTTGTAAACATAATAATCAATGACTTCTTAAAGCTATGATCATCAGAAAACTCTCAGGACAGATCTAAATTTTTAACATGATTAAACTTGTAATATAATTTATTGTCACCAATTTGCGTAGTGTTGTTTTCTACTTCTATGCATGATGAAATGATTTTGTCCCATAAAGAAGCAATGTCACACATATATTGATTGTTGTTCTTGTGAATTCTTGCCCGTTGTGATCTAAAGGATTTCTAGTACAGTGGTGGATCTAGGGGTGTGCAGATAAATTACTTCTTTTCAAATCTATAACCAATAGCGATGTTATTAAGGTGCTTTAAATTTAAAATTAAGCTGTGTAATTTATTCTGCACACCACTGATCTAGTATGCTGTACACTGCTTATAAATCAGAACTTCTCATTTTCCATAAACCTCAATAAGCTTCTCAATATCTTCAATGCTTTGTATCACATTTGTCAATTGCTTTTCATCCATTTCAAAATGCATTGTGTTAATATCCTAAAAAATGTACACAGCATGATGTAAGAGCATGTAAATAAACTAATTAATTAATTAATTAATTACTCAATAAATATTTAATTAATACCAATATTAATATAGTCTCATTAACTAGACCAATTAAATGATTAATTTGTTACGACCAGTATGATTATACCTCTTCATTTCTAGGATTTTGAAATTTCATTTCCACGATAGCAACAGGAGTATTCAACTGACTGACATGTCTGGCCTGACTTTTAAAATCTATTCTCCAACTTAGGTCTTTTAGTTTATCGTTCCATCGGCTTTTGTCCACTAATACATCATGAATTTTGCTCTTTTGGGACTTCCAGAACTTCACAATTGCAGCAGATTGACCATCAGTGATCGCACCTTGTCGCTTCTTTGTCTGTGAGGTCAAGAAAGCCTCCAATTGATTAGAATCCATATCGGCTGCTACAATATTTTTCATTAAACCATCGCATTTCTTTAGCAAGGCATCGAATTCCTCCTGCGATAAGTCTGGAAAGAGTTCTTGCTTTAAAAAATCATTTGTTATGTCTTCTTCCGCAAAATACGTTCTCCTTGCTAAGCCATTTAGTAAACCAATAAAATTTTTGTCTGCAGCAGCCATTTTGAAGTTTCAGCTGTAGTGCTCCCCCCTAAAATACATATCAATTGAACGCGTATCAGGGGGGGGTATGCATACATTATTGCACCAAAATACAAATAGGATTTGCTTGATTGAAAACTGAAAGACAATGGTACCCAGATCTATTGGTATCTTATTGAGAAAAATTTCTGGTAGAGCGAGTATTGGAAAAGCATGGTTCACGACCCAGCAATCACATAATTCAAAGTTTTATGATGCTATCATTGTGGGTGGTGGGATGGTAGGATCCACACTTGCTTGTGCCATTGGTAGGTTTCAATGGTTAGCCACTGGGTAACCCATGGTAGCTGGTTGTGTGACTATTTTTACTCTAATGGCAGTATCTAGTATCATGCTGGTATCTATTATTTATTGTTAAATGAATACAGGTGGAGATACCATATTTCAAAACAAGAAGGTGCTGGTGTTAGAAGCTGGACCACAAGTTAAACTGAAGGAACTACCCGAGTTATATAGTAATCGTGTCAGCACAGTTAGCCCTGGCTCCAAAAAATTACTTGAGAGTGAGTTATCAAGTCAAAATGCAAATCATGTTGAACTTAGAGATAAATGTGTTGTAAAATTTAAACTATTCTACTAATTTAGGGGTTGGAGCTTGGAAACATATTGAAAACATGAGAGTAAAGCCATTTCAAAGAATGCAGGTCCAAAATATAGTTTCATTCTTACCTTACTGTGGTATAGAAACCCAGAGTCCTGAAGAAATCTGTAACAATAGCACAGGTTTTGAGTTTTCCCTAATTATGCTATTATCCTCACCACCAAAGCCTAACTTTAATAAAAGATATTTTCTTTACACAAAAAAATCTGGCTTGGAGGTAAAGACCTAAGAGAGAACCCACACAAGTGCTATTATTAATAAACACAAAATTGTACATAATATGAGTTACCTATTGTACATTATATGGCATAGAGAGTAATAATTTCGTACAAGGAAAACGGTTAACAATTCGTTAATATGTCTGAAATTCATCAGCTTTGCTCATTATGATGTAACGGCTTAGGTCTGGGATGCGTGTGGTGATGGATATCTAACGTTTGAAGCTTCCGATGACCTGGAACAAGCCATAAACATGGCCTATCTCGTGGAAAACAACGTTCTTATCACAGCTCTGGAAATGGAACTGGAAAACCTGAGATCAAATGTTGATGTTCTGTATCAAACGAAAATGAACACGTTTAGAATTCCTTCACCAGACACGAATGATGTTGATAGCCCATGGGCTGAAATTACGTTGGAAGATGGGCAAGAATTTTCGACAAGACTTTTGGTGAGATCCTCAAGTATAGGATTTGAAATCAACTACCATAATCTTTTTATATCCGGTCATGAATAATTGTGACACTCCATCCGCGATAATACTGATTCATCCGCGATAATAATCGATGACGATGTTATCTCCTAAAAGCTCCTTTCAACAAACTAACAATACCACACCTTTTCAATCTTGTTCAATTCGAGTTTTTCTGTGGCGTAGCATCGCTAATCGCTTATCACCTTCTTACAAATCATCTTTGTCAGCTTCTTAACTTTCTTATACTTCAAAGGTTGGTGCTGACGGATTCAACTCTCAGGTTCGAAAAAACTCTGGTATAGATTCTATCTCTCATGATTATCGTCAGAGCGGTGTGGTTGCCACACTCTGTTTTTCCGAGGTAAAATATAAAAAGATGGACCTTTTTAAAACGTCCGTGATGTGGCGTAGTTTGCATGTAAAGTATCTTCGTCGTTAGCCAACAGAGCGCATTGGCTAATCAGAAACATACTTCGTCTGCAAGCTATGACACAACGGAGTCTTTATATGATAAAAATGTTTAATGTCTCACAACTCAACTTCTACTATTAGCCCACAAAAAACATCGTTGCCTGGCAGAGGTTTTTACCGACTGGACCCATAGCGATCCTTCCAGTAAGTTTAACATTTCCGTCTATTGTACAAGCAAGAAGCTTCAGTATTTGACTGAAAGTTATTGCTTGTGTTTTGTTCAGCTAACGGACAGTAAGAGTTCTCTCGTTTGGTCCACGACAACGAGTCACGCTAAGAATCTTGTTTCTTTGCCTGAAGAAAGGTTTGTGGACGCAGTCAATGAGGCTTTGGTAAGATCAAATATATCGACAAACAACGTTGTTTTGATTGAGGCCAATAACCAGTGCCTTGGTTAAAAAAACAAATACATCTTATCATTCACAGACTGATGATATTTCGAAGAATTCGTTGTCAGAAATGGCATCAAATTTATTGCACAACGTGCTTTCTATGGTCCAACCAGGCGAGTGTCATTTACCACTAGTGTCGTATAACACATGCACTACCTACGACCGGAAAAGATATCTTTCAAACATAAGAATGAATATCTTTCAAACATAAGGATTAAATATTTTACTTTAGATTATCTAGGGCTACAAATTCCTCCCAGAATAGCGGGTATTGAGAAGAATAGCCGTGCTTCATTCCCTCTTGGAGTCAACCACTCTTCGTATTATGTCAAACCAAGAATGGCGCTAATAGGGTAAAGAAGAATCCTTCTATACCTCGCCCGCCCAGAGCATGTATTTATCACATGTCCGACTATTGAATATAAATTATTTCTATACAGAGATGCCGCACACAGGATCCACCCGCTCGCGGGTCAGGGTGTAAATCTTGGATTTGGTGATGTTGAGTGTTTGTGGAATGAATTGAGACAGGCGGCCATCGATGGCCAAGATTTGGGTGAGTATTGTCACAATTACTTGATTGTCAACAAAGTGTGGTTTTGGAGTAATTAGGAGGTAAATTAGTTTGTATATGGATAATTTGATACATGTCATGGCGCAGTCAATGGTTCTTTTACCACGACCGTTTCTCTCATTTATGTCACTTGCATATTTCTTATCGTATTTTTTAAGGTTCTTTGGAACATCTACTAAGATATGAAACAGCACGTCAGAAAGATGTGGCCGTTTTGATGGGTGTAACACATGGATTAAACACGCTTTTCTCCACGTCTTTTTTACCTTTCGTCATTGCTCGTAATCTTGGAATTCAAATGACAAATGTCATGACGCCAGTGAAGGTCAACGAGTTATACTTGAATTGTTTATGAAACTTATTTACGAGCACACAATAGTGTATCTTTGGTCTGCAATACTTTTCGTTAAAGTGAATTTATTTTTCTTCAGAAACAAATCATGGACTATGCTATGAAATGAGACAGGGATGATGTAAAAAGGACAGACCGAAATTAGTCTGCAGGAATCAAAGACATTTCTTCATAAACGAAATGAAAAATAAAAAATTAAAATGCCAAAATGAAATCGTGTGTGCTCCTCTAGATGACTAGATCAAAGGGGAGATATGAATAATCATCTCTGAGACTCTGACACATCGTGGCTTGTAAACTGAATTACAGTAGCACAGTAGAGTACAAACCACTGAGCTATTAAATTCCAGGAATTTGAATATAGCTCAGTGGTACAGACTGATATATACAAGCATGCGCAGATACATGTACCCTTGGCGAACCTATTCTTGTGACTCAAATGGTCATTTCCTTGCTAATGTGCTAATAAACATGTAGAAGTACCACATTTAAACACAGACTAAAGCCATTTAGTCACTACCTGTCACTACAGTGACCAGTGGTAGTTAAGTTTATCTTGATTCCTTCTGATGTATGCAAATCCAAGAGATATAATGAAACACTTTTAGTCTATGACCGATCTATCACTTGTTGGCAGCAATCGAGTGAAAACTATAGTAAACTAAACCAAAACGTGAAAAGATTTCCAAACAACTGTAAACTTACTAGGTGTAAATTTATTGAAGCAAGCAAGACTACTGACTACACACAAGCACTCACTATAGATATCGAATGGTATTTCACTAAATCCTAACTATTGCTAAGGGGCGCCCACAGGAGAGATCAAGGGGCAATTTGCCCAGGACCCCAAAATAGGGAAAAGAAACTGATGTTGAAAATATATATTTATTATTTAACGATAAATTTACGTCGTTCAAAAATCGGAGAAAAATGCTACCCTCAAATGGCAGGAAATCTCATTTTATGTATTCTCTTCAAAGTGCTTATTGAGACCCTTACTAAGTCATAAGGCGCTCAAGTTAAAAGAAAGTTGACCAGTTGGTCCCCGATGTACATCTATCGTGATCCCAGGAGTTGAGGGTAATAACTTGAACATAGTGGAGGATGTAATTATGCCTTGGTCTTTCAACGAGTCACCTTCGTTAATATCATTTGTGCTGCCAGCGTCATGAATATTTATCTGTTGTTTTACGCTCATATTCACGGAGCTTCCAGGAACAACTTTATCGGACATTATCAATTTCTTCTGCTTCTTGTACAGAACCATTGTGAGAGGCTGAATGTTTCCCTGGTTGTTAAACACCTGAATCATGGGCGCCGTGTCGTCGTCGAGTGCTTTACCCTCTTTTATTTCATGACTCGGCGGATCGTCGCGACTCTTTTGGGTTATGTAAACCTCTTTACCAGACGAAACTGGAAAAGGGCCAGTTATTCGCTCGCTACCATTTACTTCATCTACGATTGCCAACTCAAATTCATTTGGTAATGTAATATCATGAATTTCCCCAGGATATGCAACCTTATCGACAACCCAAGCGCAAGGATAGGTATTCGTCTCATCCTTTTCTGAAGGTACTTGGAAAAGTGCAAACTTCACAATACTTCCCTCACCAGAGGCTGAATCTTCTCCCGTTTTGTTAGCGACTGTGATTTTCCACTCCGTCATTATATCTAGCGACTATAAACATTCAATGTTTTTTTAAATGTAAGAATTCTTTGTTTTCTAGAATTTTGTATACATTAAGAGGAGGGTGCACCTATTTTGCACCGGTTTCCGGATAAATTTGGAAGATTTCTGACCTTAGAGAAATAGACACGAGCGAAGGAACTACATTGATGTCATAGGCTCTTAGTGTGCATATATATAGTGAAGTATTACGACCCTGAAACTAAGTATATAGCCTTCATTGTAATCATAAAAGTTTGCAAATATACCATCATAGCTCATAACCAGTGCTGCTCAAACTAATTTAGACAGTAAATAGGATAACACAGCGACAGTATAATCATAAAGGTGTTACACAACACCTTATACTATACATGAATCCATTTCTGTTGGTTTGTAATGTACTGTATTAGGATCGATATGACATAGTGGATGTATGAAAATTAGCTGGCTTGTATAGGTGCACCCCGTAAGTCTTTAATACTGCAAAGCTTTCGGTCCATTAAGCCACTATTGCGCTGACGAAGGTCCGGGTTAACAGACAAAAAGCTTTGCAGTATAAAGCTTACCGTTAGTGTACCTACAAGCTAATTTACTTATTGATGTCACCATACAAACATACAGTTGTATTTAAATATTAATACCATGTACAAACATACATGTAGTCACAGAATTACAAACCTTATTGACACCAAGGCATGCAAGAAAAATGCGTGTTTCTTTGACTCGATATACTGATATTATTGTTCAGGAATTGCCCAGGAACTTTTCATGTGTAGAACCTGATGTTATATGTATAAGTCTTTGTTTACGTTCATTTGCATTTTTTGCAACTGGAGTTTTTAATATCAAAAATGTTCTCGACCGTTGTCAAGGTCACTTAATACTCAACACAACATAAATATCTGAATTTTTACATAAATAGCTGAAACACATCTGTTTCTATACATAAATATCTCATAGACTCGTCTGTATCACAATGCATGGTCAATACTGAAAAAACTTCGCGCGAAAACGGTCCCCGCATTATGCATGCATTTATCCACTCCAAATCATGTGCAATTAATTTTCAATGCCGATTCTTGTACAACTTCGCAGAAAATTTAACTATCTATAGTTCATACTTCAAGTTTAAGCTTGAGAAGTTTTCAACTTTGCACACGAAGTGTGTGGTTTTATTAAAGTAATATCAGCCGCCAAAAGTAGTAAAAGTGAATTAGAATCGTTGATCACTGAGCGCAGTCATATTATTGCTAGTATTGCATGAGCTTATATCTCGTCTTCAACGATTCTTTTGAAAAACTTTTTGAGTTTTGTGAATTTGTAAAAAGATGTAATTCCGGGGGTCTTTAGTACAAATTTGAAACTCTTGCATCGACTGACTCGTTTTTTCCCAACCTCAATTCTTCCCAAATTCTTCCTGACCTTAATTCTTCCCAAATTCTTCCTGACCTTAATTCTTCCCAAATTGCATGCATGCGGGCACTCAACTAACAAACATATGCAATTTTGTTACGTTCAACCAAAACTAAATACTTGTCACTGAATTAACCGCTGTAAATGAGTTTACAAATGATAGCTACTAACTTTAGCTAGTATTGCAGGTATATACAAAAAAAAACGCAACAGCGGAACTTTTCAAGGCAAAAAATTTTAGTTTCCTATAGTAATTAGCTTTTTTAATACAGCTTCTCAGTGTGCTCAAGGAGCTTTCTAATCACCTTATTATTCCATACGCTGAAGGGCATCCTGGAGGGCATAAAGCGGAATTCATTGAAGAGGAACCTATGTATTTACGTCATTGAACTCAAAAGAACTTAAAGTTTTTATCAGCCAAAAGAACCTACATAATAAAGTTCTTTGAAAAAGTTCTTTTGAGTTCAATGACATAACAGTAACCGGCTCAAGGGTAGTCTACGCATAGACGGAATAGCTCAAGGGCGAATAAATCAATCTACGATACATTTTGCAAATATAACGTAAATTTTTAAGTAAAGATACAGAATATCAGCTATGCACGAGAAACTTTATCTGTTTTTGATAGCATGTAGTAAATATGGTGACGTCAATGTAACAAATTTCAGCAGTCGAATATAAAGGATCGAGTATGATATTAGTGCTGCTTTTTTGTGCATCCTGTATACAGATATTAAAGATATTTCCTCCAAACAAATTAACATCGAAGTATTTCAGCTCAGTTGTTCAATAGGATAATTGCCATTTTAACTTATCCACCAGCTAAACGCCTTGAAAAAGGATCCGTCAATACTGCAAAAACGTCCATAAAAAGTTCCCATAAAAAGTTCCCATATAAGAAGACAAAGGATTGAGGATATTTGAAGTTTTGCGTGCATGTATAAATATTTAAAGCCACATGGTGATTAGTTCTCCATTTATGGTTAAAAATCACACTATTGGTCAGAATAGAAGATGGTCGATGACGTGTACATCTCACAAAGTTGCTTATATAAAGCGAGTGATGTTTAGCCATGTTTCATTCAGTCAAGTTACATTGCACTGTGACGAAAGGAGAAGGTTGAAGTTGTCTTGATTAAACTTTCAGAAGTAAAACATGGGAGAGTGGAATATAACAATTGAAAATTTGACAGGTCAAGGCGGAACTACTGGCCAACATGTAGAATTCATGCTTTTTCAAACTCGGCCAGATCCTCTAACTCTGGACAGTTATTCCAGCGCGTGGAAAGTTGCCGATGTTCAATACCCTGGACAAATTGGTCCAATCGTTTTGCCAACCGCAGTTACTTTCTATGTGTTGGATACAGCAGGTGGCCTTCCCAGGGAAACTGGCCCGTTTCCCGTCAAATTCGGGCAGGAAATTGTAGTGACGCAGAGAAATCAAGCTGATGCACCCAGCGTTAAGGTATCGGGCCAGGCTCAACCAAAAGGTGCAATCAAGACGACTAATGCTTCCGGAAACGTCCAGCCTCTTCAATTTGCTTTGTACAAAGATGGCAGAAAAGTTGTCTCCTACAAGAACGTCGCTCCAGCAGATGCAGTTTACTTGGATATTAAGCCGTCTATTTATATTGCTGATATAATTGGCAGCAGCATAAAGCAAGGCGATGATTTCAAAGCTGACGTCCAGGCTGCGAAGTCGACACAGTTCGAGCTCTACCCTGATGTCCCTAACTTAACGATTGGAATAGAGAAGTTGCCCTCAGGGCAAATAAACTTTGTCAAACAATGATGATTCATGAACCAAAGACATAAACATGTCCGAGACATTATTAGTTATTTGAACGACCTCATTTTTGCATGAATTTATAGTTTTAATATGATTTTTTTGTAACTCAATTCGTACATTCATTAAAGCTATTTTTTCTTCCGTATGTGCTTCTATACTTATGTTTCAGCATCCATCACAATGCTACTAAATTCCGCAAGAAATCGCTTCAAAGGCACCAGAAGAGCAACTAACCCTCTCAACAACTGTATATAATGCATTAGCATTGCAATCGCATATTCGCGAACTAAACTTCATCTAGTAAAACTGCAATGTTTGTTTGCAAATTGTTGCAAATTAAATAACGGTGATTTATAAAATGCGACTTTTGATTGAACATCGACTTCTTATCCGAATTTCACACACTCGAATGTGTAGGCGTCGCACCCTCGAGTTCATCTCAATGCCAAGCAATATTGGAAGTTTTAGTCTGCCATTGGGAAAATTTATCCTGGCGCTCCCCCAACCCCCCCCCCCCTATGAAAACCAAGGTACGACCCTGAATGGCCCCGTAGTGTATAACTTTTAAAACCAACAGCTGTACAGAAGCTCGAAAACAACACGTTTTGATAAACGTTTATACCAGACGGAACTGGAAAAAAAGTTTTTAAATAATATACGCTAAGCTCCGGGAACGAGGCTGTTCTACACAATCTCGTACCCAGGTTTTTCCTTCGTAGAGGAAAAAATCCTGGGCGGGCAAGCTTGTACCCGGAGTCCGAGGTTGTGTGGACATAGGGATCATTCCCCGGTATTTGAGGTCAAAGTTTGTTTTCCAGGGTGGTTTCATTGGACGAAGGAATCGTACGATGCCATCATTACAGGGGTTCTAGCTTTTTGTACTTCTTCAATATCAACAAATAAACGAATAATATCTTTAACATGATCATTTTACTGTTTATTTGCAAAAAATGTGGAATAAATTGGGTGGAAATATGAATAATCATCTCTCAGATTGTGACACATCGTGGCTTGTAAACTGAATTACAGTAGCACAGTAGAGTACAAACCACTGAGCTATTAAATTCCAGGAATTTAAATATAGCTCAGTGGTACAAAATGATATATGCAAGCATGCGCAGATACATGTACCCTTGGCGGACCTATTCTTGTAACTCAAATGGTCATTCCTTGCTAATGTGCTAATACACATGTAGAAGTACCACATTCAAACAGAAACTAAAGCCATTTAGTCACTACCTGTCATTACAGTGACCAGTGGTAGTTAAGTTTATCTTGATTCCTTCTGAGGTATGCAATTTAATCAAAGAGATATAATGAAACACTTTTAGTCTATGACCGATCTATCACTTGTCGGCAGCAATCGAGTGAAAACTATAGTAAACTAAACCAGAACGTGAAAAGATTTCCAAACAACTGTAAACTTACTAGGTGTAAATTTATTGAAGCAAGCAAGACTACTGACTACACACAAGCACTCACTATAGATATCGAATGGTATTTCACTAAATCCTAACTATTGCTAAGGGGCGCCCACAGGAGAGATCAAGGGGCAATTTGCCCAGGACCCCAAAATAGGGAAAAGAAACTGATGTTGAAAATATATATTTATTATTTAACGATAAATTTACGTCGTTCAAAAATCGGAGAAAAATGCTACCCTCAAATGGCAGGAAATCTCATTTTATGTATTCTCTTCAAAGTGCTTATTGAGACCCTTACTAAGTCATAAGGCGCTCAAGTTAAAAGAAAGTTGACCAGTTGGTCCCCGATGTACATCTATCGTGATCCCAGGAGTTGAGGGTAATAACTTGAACATAGTGGAGGATGTAATTATGCCTTGGTCTTTCAACGAGTCACCTTCGTTAATATCATTTGTGCTGCCAGCGTCATGAATATTTATCTGTTGTTTTACGCTCATATTCACGGAGCTTCCAGGAACAACTTTATCGGACATTATCAATTTCTTCTGCTTCTTGTACAGAACCATTGTGAGAGGCTGAATGTTTCCCTGGTTGTTAAACACCTGAATCATGGGCGCCGTGTCGTCGTCGAGTGCTTTACCCTCTTTTATTTCATGACTCGGCGGATCGTCGCGACTCTTTTGGGTTATGTAAACCTCTTTACCAGACGAAACTGGAAAAGGGCCAGTTATTCGCTCGCTACCATTTACTTCATCTACGATTGCCAACTCAAATTCATTTGGTAATGTAATATCATGAATTTCCCCAGGATATGCAACCTTATCGACAACCCAAGCGCAAGGATAGGTATTCGTCTCATCCTTTTCTGAAGGTACTTGGAAAAGTGCAAACTTCACAATACTTCCCTCACCAGAGGCTGAATCTTCTCCCGTTTTGTTAGCGACTGTGATTTTCCACTCCGTCATTATATCTAGCGACTATAAACATTCAATGTTTTTTTAAATGTAAGAATTCTTTGTTTTCTAGAATTTTGTATACATTAAGAGGAGGGTGCACCTATTTTGCACCGGTTTCCGGATAAATTTGGAAGATTTCTGACCTTAGAGAAATAGACACGAGCGAAGGAACTACATTGATGTCATAGGCTCTTAGTGTGCATATATATAGTGAAGTATTACGACCCTGAAACTAAGTATATAGCCTTCATTGTAATCATAAAAGTTTGCAAATATACCATCATAGCTCATAACCAGTGCTGCTCAAACTAATTTAGACAGTAAATAGGATAACACAGCGACAGTATAATCATAAAGGTGTTACACAACACCTTATACTATACATGAATCCATTTCTGTTGGTTTGTAATGTACTGTATTAGGATCGATATGACATAGTGGATGTATGAAAATTAGCTGGCTTGTATAGGTGCACCCCGTAAGTCTTTAATACTGCAAAGCTTTCGGTCCATTAAGCCACTATTGCGCTGACGAAGGTCCGGGTTAACAGACAAAAAGCTTTGCAGTATTAAATACTTACGTAGTGTACCTACAAGCTAATTTACTTATTGATGTCACCATACAAACATACAGTTGTATTTAAATATTAATACCATGTACAAACATACATGTAGTCACAGAATTACAAACCTTATTGACACCAAGGCATGCAAGAAAAATGCGTGTTTCTTTGACTCGATATACTGATATTATTGTTCAGGAATTGCCCAGGAACTTTTCATGTGTAGAACCTGATGTTATATGTATACGTCTTTGTTTACGTTCATTTGCATTTTTTGCAACTGGAGTTTTTAATATCAAAAATGTTCTCGACCGTTGTCAAGGTCACTTAATACTCAACACAACATAAATATCTGAATTTTTACATAAATAGCTGAAACACATCTGTTTCTATACATAAATATCTCATAGACTCGTCTGTATCACAATGCATGGTCAATACTGAAAAAACTTCGCGCGAAAACGGTCCCCGCATTATGCATGCATTTATCCACTCCAAATCATGTGCAATTAATTTTCAATGCCGATTCTTGTACAACTTCGCAGAAAATTTAACTATCTATAGTTCATACTTCAAGTTTAAGCTTGAGAAGTTTTCAACTTTGCACACGAAGTGTGTGGTTTTATTAAAGTAATATCAGCCGCCAAAAGTAGTAAAAGTGAATTAGAATCGTTGATCACTGAGCGCAGTCATATTATTGCTAGTATTGCATGAGCTTATATCTCGTCTTCAACGATTCTTTTGAAAAACTTTTTGAGTTTTGTGAATTTGTAAAAAGATGTAATTCCGGGGGTCTTTAGTACAAATTTGAAACTCTTGCATCGACTGACTCGTTTTTTCCCAACCTCAATTCTTCCCAAATTCTTCCTGACCTTAATTCTTCCCAAATTCTTCCTGACCTTAATTCTTCCCAAATTGCATGCATGCGGGCACTCAACTAACAAACATATGCAATTTTGTTACGTTCAACCAAAACTAAATACTTGTCACTGAATTAACCGCTGTAAATGAGTTTACAAATGATAGCTACTAACTTTAGCTAGTATTGCAGGTATATACAAAAAAAAACGCAACAGCGGAACTTTTCAAGGCAAAAAAATTTTAGTTTCCTATATAGTAATTAGCTTTTTTTAATACAGCTTCTCAGTGTGCTCAAGGAGCTTTCTAATCACCTTATTATTCCATACGCTGAAGGGCATCCTGGAGGGCATAAAGCGGAATTCATTGAAGAGGAACCTATGTATTTACGTCATTGAACTCAAAAGAACTTAAAGTTTTTATCAGCCAAAAGAACCTACATAATAAAGTTCTTTGAAAAAGTTCTTTTGAGTTCAATGACATAACAGTAACCGGCTCAAGGGTAGTCTACGCATAGACGGAATAGCTCAAGGGCGAATAAATCAATCTACGATACATTTTGCAAATATAACGTAAACTTTTAAGTAAAGATACAGAAATATCAGCTATGCACGAGAAACTTTACTTCTTAACTGTTTTTTGATAGCATGTAGAATATGGTGACTTTGGTGTCAATGTAACAAATTTCAGCAGTCGAATATAAAGGATCGAGTATTTATGAATATTTAGTGCTGCTTTTTTTTGTGCATCCTGTATACAGATATTTAAAGATATTTCCTCCATTGACAATTAAACTATTAACATCGAAGTATTTCAGCTCAGTTGTTCAATAGATAGATAATTTGGTTTTCCATTTTTAACTTATCCACCATTTAAGCTAAACGCCTTGAAAAAGGATCCGTCAATACTGCAAAAAACGTCCCATAAAAAGTTCCCATAAAAAGTTCCCATATAAGAAGACAAAGGATTGAGGATATTTGAAGTTTTGCGTGCATGTATAAATATTTAAAGCCACATGGTGATTAGTTCTCCATTTATGGTTAAAAATCACACTATTGGTCAGAATAGAAGATGGTCGATGACGTGTACATCTCACAAAGTTGCTTATATAAAGCGAGTGATGTTTAGCCATGTTTCATTCAGTCAAGTTACATTGCACTGTGACGAAAGGAGAAGGTTGAAGTTGTCTTGATTAAACTTTCAGAAGTAAAACATGGGAGAGTGGAATATAACAATTGAAAATTTGACAGGTCAAGGCGGAACTACTGGCCAACATGTAGAATTCATGCTTTTTCAAACTCGGCCAGATCCTCTAACTCTGGACAGTTATTCCAGCGCGTGGAAAGTTGCCGATGTTCAATACCCTGGACAAATTGGTCCAATCGTTTTGCCAACCGCAGTTACTTTCTATGTGTTGGATACAGCAGGTGGCCTTCCCAGGGAAACTGGCCCGTTTCCCGTCAAATTCGGGCAGGAAATTGTAGTGACGCAGAGAAATCAAGCTGATGCACCCAGCGTTAAGGTATCGGGCCAGGCTCAACCAAAAGGTGCAATCAAGACGACTAATGCTTCCGGAAACGTCCAGCCTCTTCAATTTGCTTTGTACAAAGATGGCAGAAAAGTTGTCTCCTACAAGAACGTCGCTCCAGCAGATGCAGTTTACTTGGATATTAAGCCGTCTATTTATATTGCTGATATAATTGGCAGCAGCATAAAGCAAGGCGATGATTTCAAAGCTGACGTCCAGGCTGCGAAGTCGACACAGTTCGAGCTCTACCCTGATGTCCCTAACTTAACGATTGGAATAGAGAAGTTGCCCTCAGGGCAAATAAACTTTGTCAAACAATGATGATTCATGAACCAAAGACATAAACATGTCCGAGACATTATTAGTTATTTGAACGACCTCATTTTTGCATGAATTTATAGTTTTAATATGATTTTTTTGTAACTCAATTCGTACATTCATTAAAGCTATTTTTTCTTCCGTATGTGCTTCTATACTTATGTTTCAGCATCCATCACAATGCTACTAAATTCCGCAAGAAATCGCTTCAAAGGCACCAGAAGAGCAACTAACCCTCTCAACAACTGTATATAATGCATTAGCATTGCAATCGCATATTCGCGAACTAAACTTCATCTAGTAAAACTGCAATGTTTGTTTGCAAATTGTTGCAAATTAAATAACGGTGATTTATAAAATGCGACTTTTGATTGAACATCGACTTCTTATCCGAATTTCACACACTCGAATGTGTAGGCGTCGCACCCTCGAGTTCATCTCAATGCCAAGCAATATTGGAAGTTTTAGTCTGCCATTGGGAAAATTTATCCTGGCGCTCTCCCCCAACCCCCCCCCCCCCCTATGAAAACCAAGGTACGACCCTGAATGGCCCCGTAGTGTATAACTTTTAAAACCAACAGCTGTACAGAAGCTCGAAAACAACACGTTTTGATAAACGTTTATACCAGACGGAACTGGAAAAAAAAGTTTTTAAATAATATACGCTAAGCTCCGGGAACGAGGCTGTTCTACACAATCTCGTACCCAGGTTTTTCCTTCGTAGAGGAAAAAATCCTGGGCGGGCAAGCTTGTACCCGGAGTCCGAGGTTGTGTGGACATAGGGATCATTCCCCGGTATTTGAGGTCAAAGTTTGTTTTCCAGGGTGGTTTCATTGGACGAAGGAATCGTACGATGCCATCATTACAGGGGTTCTAGCTTTTTGTACTTCTTCAATATCAACAAATAAACGAATAATATCTTTAACATGATCATTTTACTGTTTATTTGCAAAAAATGTGGAATAAATTGGGTGGAAATATGAATAATCATCTCTCAGATTGTGACACATCGTGGCTTGTAAACTGAATTACAGTAGCACAGTAGAGTACAAACCACTGAGCTATTAAATTCCAGGAATTTAAATATAGCTCAGTGGTACAAAATGATATATGCAAGCATGCGCAGATACATGTACCCTTGGCGGACCTATTCTTGTAACTCAAATGGTCATTCCTTGCTAATGTGCTAATACACATGTAGAAGTACCACATTCAAACAGAAACTAAAGCCATTTAGTCACTACCTGTCATTACAGTGACCAGTGGTAGTTAAGTTTATCTTGATTCCTTCTGAGGTATGCAATTTAATCAAAGAGATATAATGAAACACTTTTAGTCTATGACCGATCTATCACTTGTCGGCAGCAATCGAGTGAAAACTATAGTAAACTAAACCAGAACGTGAAAAGATTTCCAAACAACTGTAAACTTACTAGGTGTAAATTTATTGAAGCAAGCAAGACTACTGACTACACACAAGCACTCACTATAGATATCGAATGGTATTTCACTAAATCCTAACTATTGCTAAGGGGCGCCCACAGAAGATCCCAAAGGGCAATTTGCCCAGACTTTCAAGACCCCAAAATAGGGAAAAGAAACTATCGTTGAAAATATATATTTAAGGATAAATTTACGTCGTTCAAAAATCGGAGAAAAATGCTACTCTCAAATGGCAGGAAATCTTATTTTATGTATTCTCTTAAAAGTGCTTATTGAGACCCTTAATAAGTTACAAGGGGCTCAAGTTAAACGAAAGTTGACCAGTTGGTCCTCGATGTACATCTATCGTGATCCTAGGAGTTGAGGGTAATAGCTTGAACATAGTGGAGGATGTAATTAAACCTGGGTCTTTTAACGTGTCACCTTCGTTAATATCATTAGTGTTGCCAGCGTCACGAATATTTATCTGTTGTTTTACGCTCATATTCACGGAGCTTCCAGGAACAACTTTATCGGACATTATCAATTTCTTCTGCTTTTTGTACAAAACCATTGTGAGAGGCTGAATGTTACCCTGACTGTTAAACACCTGAATCACAGGCGCCGTGTTGTCGTCGAGTGCTTTACCCTCTTTTATTTCATGACTCGGCGGATCGTCGCGACTCTTTTGGTTTATGTAAACCTCTTTACCAGACGAAACTGGAAAAGGGCCAGTTATTCGCTCGCTACCATTTACTTCATCTACGATTGCCAACTCAAATTCATTGGATAATGTAATATCATGAATTTCCCCAGGATATGCAACCTTATCGACAACCCAAGCGCAAGGATAGGTATTCGTCTCATCCTTTTCTGATGGTACTTGGAAAAGTGCAAACTTCACAATACTTCCCTCACCAGAGGATGAATCTTCTCCCGTTTTGTTAGCGACTGTGATTTTCCACTCAGTCATTATATCTAGCGACTACGAACATTCAGGAACATGTAAAGTTTACACCGGAACACGTACAGTTATAGCACAGCTGCACAGGAACATGTAAGAAGAAAAAAAAAGCCTCACATGACAAAGAAGCCATGCCGTGTCCACCAACAAAGGGGAAATGCAACCTCGTACAAATGTTGACCAATCAGCGCCTTTGTTGACATTAGATCAAAGGGGAACTTTTGGCAGCGACCGAATGAAAACTATAATTAGCAAACTAAACATAAACGTGAAAAGTTTCCAAACAACTGTAAATTTACTAATATTTTATTGTAAATTTATTGAAGCATGACTAGTGACTACACACAGCACTCACTATAGCTATTGAATGGTATTTGACTGAATCGGTGAATCCTCACTACTTTGGGGGGCGTTGTTGATAGCTTGCAGACAAAGCTGGGAGTCGAATGTATATTCTAAGAGTATGCAAAAAATATGGATACTAAAAGGAACATAATTTTACTTCACAGGATTTTGGGTAATCCTGGACACATTTTATTTCAACCATCGTTGAAAAAGACACAGATCATTAAGAAAACGAGATCATCCTTTTATTCTCCCTAAAGTTATAGAATGACTGAAAGCTTTAAGCGATGTTTTGTAATAGTTATCTGTTTGACTGCATGTATATATGGGCTAAATATATATATATATACCATTTTATATCATTATATATCAATCTCTTAAATACAGTAACAATAATTATTATATTCTTAAAACAATAATTATTATATTCTTAATATACTGATTCCCAAATCATGTAAAGACACATGCACGTTTGTTTGTGTGTCTAAGTCACTCTAAGGAATATTTCAATAAAGATTCAATAGCTCAAGATCAGTGCTGCTCAAACTAATTTAGACAGAAAATACGATAATACAGCGACGACTGTATATAAAAGTGCTACACAGCACCTTATATACTATACATGAACCATTATTACTGATTGATTTGTAATGTATTACGGATCGATTCACACAGGGAATGGTTGACAATGTTGCATGTAAAAGGTTGACACCATGCACACAATCACAGAATGACAAAACCTTATATATTGACATCAAGTCAAGGGAAGATGCGTGTTTCGTTGAACCGCGATGCTGATATTACTCTTCAGGAATTTCTTTTGTGCAATCAAAATAAGGCGAACTTTTGACGTGCCGAACCAGCAACATGTAAAGTGAGGACAGGGCATGTAAAGTAAAAGATAGGAACATGTAAAGTAAAAGATAGGAACATGTAGAGTAGGGGCAGTGCTAAATGCACGTTATTTTCTTCCAAAAAGATATACAGAGTGTATAAAGAAAACGAAACACTTAATATTCATGAATATTCGCAAAGCATCGAGTATTTATGAATATTTAGTGTTGCGTTTTTTTATACACCCTGTAAAGATATAAAGACCACAATGGTGATTAGTTATGCATTTATGGTTAAAAATCACACTATTGGTCAGAATAGAAAATAGTTAGATGACGTGCACATCTCACATGCCAAGCTTACTTAATGTGCGCAATGTTTAGCCATGTTTCATTCAGTCAACTTGCAAATCCAAGAGATATAATGAAACACCTTTAAGGCTGCTTTCCAGTTACGCGTTTTTCATACGCACGTACACGCACGTAAAAGTCTAAATCCTTACAGATGTTATCTTTGAAAAAACGAAGTAAATAAATCGAAAGAACTTAGTTTTTCGCATATTTTAGTATGCACCTGTAAACTAGATGTTAAATAATAAAAATTTAGAAGCATTTAAAAATTTCCCGTGCGTGCAAGTGCGTATAAAAAACGCAAAACTATAGAAAGCAGCCCTTAGCTAGTCTATTACATCCGTCACTTGTTGGCAGCAATTGAGTGAAAACTTTAGCAAACTAAACCATAAACGTCAGAAGATTTCCAAACAACTGTAAATTTACTAGTTGTAAGTTGAAGCAAAACAACCGAGTGCAAACAAGCACTCATTATGCATGGCTATTAAATAGTATTTGACTAAATCGGTGAATCCTCACTGACGCTATTGCTAAGGGGGCGTTTATAGGAGGGACCAAGGGGTAATTTGCCCGGGCTTTCAGGACCCCAAGTCCCCAAAATACGGAAAAACAGCAATAACAAGCTGTTGTTGATAATATATATTTAATGACAAATTTCCGTCGATCACTATATACAAAATAACTATGATAGATGAGGGATTAGGTCGAAAATTTTTCAGTTCATGCACTATCATTACACAGTATTAAAAACTCAGAGAAAAATGCTACTCTCCAAAATTCAGGTAATCGCTTTCATCATGTGCTCTGAAAAGTGCTTATTGAGAGCCTTGCTAAGTCACTAAATTCGTACCCAACGACGAACAATAGTTTGTAAACGTAATGTCTGCCGCTCTAGGAAAGCGTATGTAGGGCGCAGTTTAAACAAAAGTTGACCAGTTGGTTTCCGATGCACATCTATCGTGATCCTAGGAGTTGAGGGTAATAACTTGAACACAGTGGAGGATGTAATTAAACCTGGGTCTTTTAACGAGTCACCTTCGTTAATAGCATTAGTGTTGCCAGCGTCACGAATATTTATCTATTGTTTTACGCTCATATTCACGGAGCTTCCAGGAACAACTTTATCGGACATTATCAATTTCCTGTCGTTCTTGTACAGAGCCATTGTGAGAGGCTGAATGTTACCCTGGTTGTTAAACACCTGAATCATGGGCGCCGTGTCGTCGTCGAGTGCTTTACCCTCTTTTATTTCATGACTCGGCGGATCGTCGCGACTCTTTTGGGTTATGTAAACCTCTTTACCAGACGAAACTGGAAAAGGGCCAGTTATTCGCTCGCTACCATTTACTTCATCTACGATTGCCAACTCAAATTCATTGGGTAATGTCATATCATGAATCTCCCCAGGATATGCAACCTTATCGACAACCCAAGCGCAAGGATAGGTATTCGTCTCATCCTTTTCTGATGGTACTTGGAAAAGTGCAAACTTCACAATACTTCCCTCACCAGAGGTTGAATCTTCTCCCGTTTTGTTAGCGACTGTGATTTTCCACTCCGTCATTATATCTATAGCGACTATAAACATTCAGTGTTTTTTTACTTTCTAGGATGTATAAATCAGTCATCAGTCATAAGACGGTAATTATATAATCCTATCATATACCTAATTTGCGCACAATTCCTCCATAAAAGGTAATTAAATATTCGAAACCATAGCCTGTCGGTCAGAACGAGTTTTTACTTGTTTGCCTCTGCATGATCCTTCACAGTAAATTAAAAGGGGCTAAAAAGGCTCCAAATAGCTGTTTTGGCTTTTAAAATGTGGGGCTGTTATGGCTCTAGTGTGGTGCCAATAATGCTTCACATGGCTAATTTATCCTTATATGGGCCAGATCGTGAATGAACAGCCAAGATGGCTCCAACGGGCTCTTTTGACTTTTAAAAATTGGGGCTGTTATGGCTCTAGTGTGGTGCCAATAATGCTTCTCTTTTATTAATAGCCATAAAAGCGTTTTAAATAGGCCTAAAATGGCTATTTTTCTCTCTTTTACAATAGTCATATAATAGCTCCATAAAAATGGGGAAATATAGCTTTTCAGAGGCCTAATCAGCTCTTCAAAATAGGGCCCAAACAGAATTTAATAATATCAATATAGCCCTTTTAAAAGGGGCCGCTTCAGGGTCAAAATTTTGACCCCATTTTGCGGACTAAAATGGCGTCTTTTAATTTACTGTGTTGAATTGCTGAAATCATTTTGACGACCATACGCCCAGGAAACTAGCCTTAAACGATACGTGTAAAACAACCAAATAAATAAATAAATAAATAAATTAATTAATTGAGTAACAACTTGTTCCAGTCCTTACTTTACATGTTCCTGCATGTCTTTACTTCACACATTCCTGTCCTTACTTTACACATTCCTGATTGACTACTTTACATGTTCCATTGTTCCTGTCTTTACTTTACATGTTTCTGCACGTCCTTGCTTTACACATTCCTATCCTTACTTTACATCTTCCTCAGGCATTATAATACGGATTTTTTACAAGGACACACATTGTCTTTAGGTTCAATAATCACTCAGTCTTAGAAATTACAACGTGAAATTACAACGCAAGCATATAAAAAAGAGCATAGCCATGCAAAGCACGGTCCGTCAGTCTCTAGCCTTTTTTAATATATAATATATTCAATAATGTCAATTTTATAATAGAAACAATAATTATTTTGAATAGTCAAATTAAAATTATATTAGACATTTTTGTCCATGAGGCATGATTTTTAACTACACACTTTTTCATTTACAAGGACACATTCGCCTTTTACAAGGACACAAAGTGTGTCAAAAACACGCGTATTATAATGCCTGATCTTCCTATTCTTCCAAAAAATGCCACACTTATATAATGTACATGAATATTCGCTTTCTATAGACGAAATAAGACAAATATAGAGTATAAGTATTTATGAATATTTGGTGCTGCGCTTTTCTATATATCATGTATAGATATTTGAAGACCACATGCAGTGGTGATTAGTTCTCCATTTATGGTTAAAAATCACACTATTGGTCAGAATAGAAGATGGTTCGATGACGTGTACATCTCACAAAGCTGCTTACATAAAGCGAGTGATGTTTAGCCATGTTTCATTCAGTCAAGTTACATTGCACTGTAACGAAAGGAGAAGGTTGAAGTTGTCTTGATTAAACTTTCAGAAGTAAAATATGGGAGAGTGGAATATAACAATTGAAAATATGACAGGTCAAGGCGGAACTACTGGAAAACATGTAGAATTCATGCTTTTTCAAACTCGTCCAGATCCTCTAAATCTGGACAGTTATTCCAGCGCGTGGAAAGTTGCCGATGTTCAATACCCTGGACAAATTGGACCAATCGTTTTGCCAACCGCAGTTACTTTCTACGTGTTGGATACAGCAGGTGGCCTTCCCAGGGAAACTGGCCCGTTTCCCGTCAAATTCGGGCAGGAAATTGTAGTGACGCAGAAAACGAAAGCTGCTGCACCCAGCGTTGAGGTATCGGGCGAGGCTCAACCAAAAGGTGCAATCAAGACGACTAATGCTTCCGGAAACGTCCAGCCTCTCGAATTTGCTTTGTACAAAGATGGCAGAAAAGTTGTCTCCTACAAGGACGTCGCTCCAGCAGATGCAGTTTACTTGGATATTAAGCCGTCTATTTATATTGCTGATATAATTGGCGACAGTATGAAGCAAGGCGATGATTTCAAAGCTGACGTCCAAGCTGCGAAGTCGACACCGTTCGGGCTCTACCCTGATGTCCTTGACTTACAGATTGGAATAGAGAAGTTGCCCTCAGGGCAAATAAACTTTGTCAAACTTTCATAAAAATAAAGACATAAACATGTCCGAGACATTAATGATTAGTTATTTGAGCGACCTCATTTTTGCATGCCTTATTTTAAGATGATTTTTTTGTAACCGAATTCGTACATTCATTAAAGCTATTTTTTCTTCCGTGTGTGCCTTTATACTCATGTTTCCCCATCCATCACAATGCTACTAAATTCTACAAGAAATCGCTTCAAAGGCACCAGAAGAGCAACTAACCCTCTCCGAAAAACACTACTGATATATTCATTTGCATTGCAATCGCATATTCGTGTATTAAACTTCATCTAGTAAAACTGCAATGTTTGTTTGCAAAATGTTGCAAATGAAACGACAATGATGTACTCTTGGCGGACCTATTCTTGTAACTCAAATGGTCATTTCCTTGCTAATGTGCTAATAAACATGTAGAAGTACCACATTCAAACACAAACTAAAGTTATTTAGTCACTACCTGTCACTACAGTGACCAGTGGTGGTTAAGTTTATCTTGATTCCTTCTGAGGTATGCAAATTAATCCAAGAGATATAATGAAACACTTTTAGTCTATGACCGATCTATCACTTGTCGGCAGCGACCGAATGAAAACTATAGCAAACTAAACCAGAACGTGAAAAGATTTCCAAACAACTGTAAACTTACTACGTGTAAATTTATTGAAGCAAGCAAGACTACTGACTTGTAGTCACACACAAGCACTCATAGATATCGAATGGCATTTCACTAAATCCTGACTATTGCTAAGGGGCGCCCACAGGAGAGATCAAGGGGCAATTTGCCCAGGTTTTCTGGACCCCAAAATAGGGAAAAGAAACTAATGTTGAAACGATTTATATTTATTATTTAACGATAAATTTACGTCGTTCAAAAATCGTAGAAAAATGCTATCCTCAAATGGCAGGAAATCTCATTTTATGTATTCTCTTCAAAGTTCTTATTGAGACCCTTACTAAGTCACAAGGGGCTCAAGTTAAAAGAAAGTTGACCAGTTGGTCCTCGATGTACATCTATCGTGATCCTAGGAGTTGAGGGTAATAACTTGAACATAGTGGAGGATGTAATTATGCCTTGGTCTTTCAACGAGTCACCTTCGTTAATATCATTTGTGCTGCCAGCGTCATGAATATTTATCTGTTGTTTTACGCTCATATTCACGGAGCTTCCAGGAACAACTTTATCGGACATTATCAATTTCTTCTGCTTCTTGTACAGAACCATTGTGAGAGGCTGAATGTTTCCCTGGTTGTTAAACACCTGAATCATGGGCGCCGTGTCGTCGTCGAGTGCTTTACCCTCTTTTATTTCATGACTCGGCGGATCGTCGCGACTCTTTTGGGTTATGTAAACCTCTTTACCAGACGAAACTGGAAAAGGGCCAGTTATTCGCTCGCTACCATTTACTTCATCTACGATTGCCAACTCAAATTCATTGGGTAATGTGATATCATGAATTTCCCCAGGATATGCAACCTTATCGACAACCCAAGCACAAGGATAGGTATTCGTCTCATCCTTTTCTGATGGTACTTGGAAAAGTGCAAACTTCACAATACTTCCCTCACCAGAGGCTGAATCTTCTCCTGTTTTGTTAACTACTGTGATTTTCCACTCCGTCATTATATCTAGCGACTATAAACATTCAGTGTTTTTTTACTTTCTAGGATGTATAAATCAGTCATCAGTCATAAGACGGTAATTATATAATCCTATCATATACCTAATATGCACCCAATTAAATATTCAAAACCATAGCCTGTCGGTCAGAACGAGTTTTTACTTGTTTGCCTCTGCATGATCCTTCACAGTAAATTAAAAGGGGCTAAAAAGGCTCCAAATAGCTGTTTTGACTTTTAAAAAATGGGGCTGTTATGGCTCTAGTGTGGTGCCAATAATGCTTCTCTTTTATTAATAGCCATAAAAGCGTTTTAAATAGGCCTAAAATGGCTATTTTTCTCTCTTTTACAATAGTCATATAATAGCTCCATAAAAATGGGGAAATATAGCTTTTCAGAGGCCTAATCAGCTCTTCAAAATAGGGCCCAAACAGAATTTAATAATATCAATATAGCCCTTTTAAAAGGGGCCGCTTCAGGGTCAAAATTTTGACCCCATTTTGCGGACTAAAATGGCGTCTTTTAATTTACTGTGTTGAATTGCTGAAATCATTTTGACGACCATACGCCCAGGAAACTAGCCTTAAACGATACGTGTAAAACAACCAAATAAATAAATAAATAAATAAATTAATTAATTGAGTAACAACTTGTTCCAGTCCTTACTTTACATGTTCCTGCATGTCTTTACTTCACACATTCCTGTCCTTACTTTACACATTCCTGATTGACTACTTTACATGTTCCATTGTTCCTGTCTTTACTTTACATGTTTCTGCACGTCCTTGCTTTACACATTCCTATCCTTACTTTACATCTTCCTATTCTTCCAAAAAATGCCACACTTATATAATGTACATGAATATTCGCTTTCTATAGACGAAATAAGACAAATATAGAGTATAAGTATTTATGAATATTTGGTGCTGCGCTTTTCTATATATCATGTATAGATATTTGAAGACCACATGCAGTGGTGATTAGTTCTCCATTTATGGTTAAAAATCACACTATTGGTCAGAATAGAAGATGGTTCGATGACGTGTACATCTCAGAAAGCTGCTTACATAAAGCGAGTGATGTTTAGCCACGTTTCATTCAGTCAAGTTAGATTGCACTGTGACGAAAGGAGAAGGTTGAAGTTGTCTTGATTAAACTTTCAGAGGTGAAACATGGGAGAGTGGAATATAACAATTGAAAATATGACAGGTCAAGGCGGAACTACTGGAAAACATGTAGAATTCATGCTTTTTCAAACTCGGCCAGATCCTCTAACTCTGGACAGTTATTCCAGCGCGTGGAAAGTTGCCGATGTTCAATACCCTGGAACAATTGGTCCAATCGTTTTGCCAACCGCAGTTACTTTCTACGTGTTGGATACAGCAGGTGGCCTTCCCAGGGAAACTGGCCCGTTTCCCGTCGAATTCGGGCAGGAAATTGTAGTGACGCAGAAAACGAAAGCTGCTGCACCCAGCGTTCAGTTATCGGGCGAGGCTCAACCAAAAGGTGCAATCAAGACGACTAATGCTTCCGGAAACGTCCAGCCTCTCGAATTTGCTTTGTACAAAGATGGCAGAAAAGTTGTCTCCTACAAGGACGTCGCTCCAGCAGATGCAGTTTACTTGGATATTAAGCCGTCTATTTATATTGCTGATATAATTGGCGACAGTATGAAGCAAGGCGATGATTTCAAAGCTGACGTCCAAGCTGCGAAGTCGACACCGTTCGGGCTCTACCCTGATGTCCTTGACTTACAGATTGGAATAGAGAAGTTGCCCTCAGGGCAAATAAACTTTGTCAAACTTTCATAAAAATAAAGACATAAACATGTCCGAGACATTAATGATTAGTTATTTGAACGACCTCATTTTTGCATGCCTTATTTTAAGATGATTTTTTTGTAACCGAATTCGTACATTCATTAAAGCTATTTTTCTTCCGCGTGTGCCTTTATACTCATGTTTCCCCATCCATCACAATGCTACCAGAAGAGGCACCAGATGAGCAACTAACTAAGCACCAGATGAGCAACTAACCTCTCAACAACAACTCTATCAGTATATTCGTTAGCATTGCATTCGCGAACTAAACTTCATCTAGTAAAACTGCAATGTTTGTTTGCAAATTGTTGCAAATCAAATAACGGTGATTTATAAAATGCAACTTTTGATTGAACATCGACTTCTTATCAGAATTTCCACACACTCGAATGTGTAGGCGTTGCACCCTCGAGTTCACCTCAATGCCAAGCAATATTCGAAGTTTTAGGCTACCATTCGGAAAATTTATCCTGGCGCTCTCCCCCCTCCCCCCGCTATGAGAGCCAAGGTACGACCCTGCTCTACACAACCTCGCACCCAAATTTTTCCCGTTCGTAGGGGAAAAAACAGCATAGTTCCTAGGCCTCTCAAACGTTCCTTAGTACACGCGGCGAGGCGTGTTTCATTCAGTGACGTCACGGATTTTTAAAACACGCGCAAAGAGGCCTAGGGACTAGGCTGGGGAAAAAATCCTAGGTGGGCAAGCTTGTACCCGGAGTCCGAGGTTATGTGGACATAGGGATCATTTCCCGGTATTTGAGGTCAAAGTTTGTTTTCCAAGGGTGGTTTCATTGGACGAAGGAATCGTACGATGCCATCATTACAGGGGTTCTAGCTTCTTGTACTTCTTCAATATCAACAAATAAACGAATAATTTCTTTAACGTGATCATTTTACTGTTTATTTGCAAAAAATGTGGAATAAATTGGGTGGAAATATAAATAATCATGTCTCAGATTGTGACACATCGTCGCTTGTAAACTGAATTACAGTAGCGCAGTAGAGTACAAACCACGGAGCTATTAAATTCCAGGAATTTAAATATAGCTCAGTGGTACAAACTGATATATGCAAGCATGCGCAGATACATGTACCCTTGGCGGACCTATTCTTGTAATTCAAATGGTCATTTCCTTGCTAATGCGCTAATAAACATGTAGAAGTACCACAGTCAAACACAAACTAAAGCCATTTAATCACTACCTGTCACTACAGTGACCAGTGGTAGTTAAGTTTATCTTGATTCCTTCTGAGGTATGCAAATCCAAGAGATATAACGAAACACATTTAGTTTATGACCGATCTGTCACTTGTTGGCAGCAATCGAGTGAAAACTATAGTAAACTAAACCAGAACGTGAAAATATTTCCAAACAACTGTAAACTTACTAGGTGTAAATTTATTGAAGCAAGCAAGACTACTGACTACACACAAGCACTCACTATAGATATCGAATGGTATTTCACTAAATCCTAACTATTGCTAAGGGGCGCCCACAGGAGGGACCAAGACGCAATTTGCCCAGGCTTTCAGGACCCCAAAATAGGGAAAAGAAACTAATGTTGAAAATATATATTTATTATTTAACAATAAATTTACGTCGTTCAAAAATCGGAGAAAAATGCTACCCTCAAATGGCAGGAAATCTCATTTTATGTATTCTCTTAAAAGTGCTTATTGAGACCTTTACTAAGTCACAAGGGGCTCAAGTTAAAAGAAAGTTGACCAGTTGGTCCTCGATGTACATCTATCGTGATCCTAGGAGTTGAGGGTAAAACTTGAACATAGTGGAGGATTTAATTATGCCTTGGTCTTTTAACGTGTCACCTTCGTTAATATCATTAGTGTTGCCAGCGTCATGAATATTTATCTGTTGTTTTACGCTCATATTCACGGAGCTTCCAGGATCAACTTTATCGGACATTATCAATTTCTTCTGCTTCTTGTACAGAACCATTGTGAGAGGCTGAATGTTACCCTGGCTGTTAAACACCTGAATCATGGGCGCCATGTTGTCGTCGAGTGCTTTACCCTCTTTTATTTCATGACTCGGCGGATCGTCGCGACTCTTTTGGGTTATGTAAACCTCTTTACCAGACGAAACTGGAAAAGGGCCAGTTATTCGCTCGCTACCATTTACTTCATCTACGATTGCCAACTCAAATTCATTGGGTAATGTGATATCATGAATCTCCCCAGGATATGCAACCTTATCGACAACCCAAGCGCAAGGATAGGTATTCATCTCATCCTTTTCTGATGGTACTTGGAAAAGTGCAAACTTCACAATACTTCCCTCACCAGAGGCTGAATCTTCTCCCGTTTTGTTAGCGACTGTGATTTTCCACTCCGTCATTATATCTAGCGACTATAAACATTCAATGTTTTTTTAAATGTAAGAATTCTTTGTTTTCTAGAATTTTGTATACATTAAGAGGAGGGTGCACCTATTTTGCACCGGTTTCCGAATAAATTTGGCAGATTTCTGACCTTAGAGAAATAGACACGAGCCAAGGAACTTCATTGATGTCATAGGCTCTTAGTGTGCATATATAGTGAAGTATTACGACCCTGAAACTAAGTATATAGCCTTCATTGTAATCATAAAAGTTTGCAAATATACCATCATAGCTCATAACCAGTGCTGCTCAAACTAATTTAGACAGTAAATAGGATAACACAGCGACAGTATAATCATAAAGGTGTTACACAACACCTTATACTATACATTAATCCATTTCTGTTGGTTTGTAATGTATTGTATAAGGCCCTGTTCATATGATCCCGCTTACTGAGATGTCTCACCTAGCGAGATGAAAAGTTCCATGTGTTCATATGGTGTTTTCATCCCGCTTGCCGAGATAAAAATTCTTCGTTTCCATGGTAACTTTGTGGAAATAATTTTCATCGATACAGAATAAATCAATAAAACGATCGCTAACGCGATTTTTTTTGCCTTTAATGATTGTTTTGCATCGTAGGACATTAGTTAAGCAATATTTTTGATAATTTGTACTAACCCAAACGTAAAATTTGCTAAAAATCGTGCAAATTAGCGTTAAATCGAGTATTTATAGTGTTTAGATTTCATCCCGCCAAGCGGGATAGCGCGTTCATATGGGAATCGATTTATCCCGTCTACCTATGATCTCGCCTCTCAAAGGCGAGATCCCGGCTAGCGGGACAATTCGTTTTCCCATATGAACGCGTTGTAAATTTTACTAGTAAAAGTAACACACGACGAGATCATAGGTAAGCGAGACGTCCCGGTAAGCGGGGTCATATGAACAGGGCCTTAGGATCGATATGACATAGTGGATGTATGAAAATTAGCTGGCTTGTATAGGTGCACCCCGTAAGTCTTTAATACTGCAAAGCTTTCGGTCCGTTAAGCCACTATTGCGCTGACGAAGGTCCGGGTTAACAGACAAAAAGCTTTGCAGTATTAAATACTTACGTAGTGTACCTACAAGCTAATTTACTTATTGATGTCGCCATACAAACATACAAGAATATTATTATATGGTTGAAAATGTTGTATTTAAATATTAATACCATGTACAAACATACATGTAGTCACAGAATTACAAACCTTATTGACACCAAGGCATGCAAGAAAAATGCGTGTTTCTTTGACTCGATACTGATATTATTGTTCAGGAATTGCCCAGGAACTTTTCATGTGTAGAACCTGATGTTATATGTATAAGCCTTTGTTTACGTTCATTTGCATTTTTTGCAACTGGAGTTTTTAATATCAAAAATGTTCTCGACCGTTGTCAAGGTCACTTTATACTCAACACAACATAAATATCTGAATTTTTACATAAATAGCTGAAACACATCTGTTTCTATACATAAATATCTCATAGACTCGTCTGTATCACAATGCATGGGCAATACTGCAAAAACTTCGCGCGAAAACGGTCCCTGCATTATGCATGCATTTATCCACTCCAAATCATGTGCAATTAATTTTCAATGCCGATTCTTGTACAACTTCGCAGAAAATTTAACTATCTATAATCCATACTTCAAGTTTAAGTTTTCAACTTTGCACACGAAGTGTGTGGTTTTATTAAAGTAATATCAGCCGCCAAAAGTAGTAAAAGTGAATTAGAATCGTTGATCACTGAGCGCAGTCATATTATTGCTAGTATTGCATGAGCTTATATCTCGTCTTCAACGATTCTTTTGAAAAACTTTTTGAGTTTTGTGAATTTGTAAAACGATGTAATTCCGGGGGTCCTTAGCACAAATTTGAAACTCTTGCATGGACTGACTCGTTTTTTCCCAACCTCAATTCTTTCCAAATTCTTCCTGACCTTAATTCTTCCCAAATTGCATGCATGCGGGCACTCAACTAACAAACAGATGCAATTTTTTTACGTTTAACCAAAACTAAAAGCTTGTCACTGAATTAACCGCTGTAAACGAGTTTACAAATGATAGCTACTAACTTTAGCTAGTAGTGCAGGTATATACAAACAAAAAACGCAACAGCGGAACTTTTCAAGGCAAAAAAATTTTAATTTCCTATAGTAATTAGCTTTTTTTAATTCAGCTTCTCAGTGTGCTCAAGGAGCTTTCTAATCACCTTATTATTCCATACGCTGGAGGGCATCCTGGAGGGCATAAAGCGGAATTCATTGAAGAGGAACCTATGTATTTACGTCATTGAACTCAAAAAAACTTAAAGTTCTTATCAGCCAAAAGAACCTACATAATAAAGTTCTTTGAAAAAGTTTTTTTTAGTTCAATGACATAACAGTAACCGGCTCAAGGGCGAATAAATCAATCTACCATACGTTTTGCAAATATAACGTAAATTTTTTGGTAAAGATACAGAAATATCAACTTTGCATGAGAAACTTTACTTCGTTAACTGTTTTTTGATACTATGTAATGAATATGGTGACTTTGGTGTCAATGTAACAAATTTCAGCAGTCGAATATAAAGGATCGAGTATTTATGAATATTTAGTGCTGCTTTTTTTTGTGCATCCTGTATACAGATATTTAAAGATATTTCCTCCATTGACAATTAAACTATTAACATCGAAGTATTTCAGCTCAGTTGTTCAATAAATAGATAATTTGGTTTTCCATTTTTAACTTATCCACCGTTTAAGCTAAACGCCTTGAAAAAGGATCCGTCAATACTGCAAAAAACGTCCCATAAAAAGTTCCCATAAAAATTTCCCATATAAGAAGACAAAGGATTGAGGATATTTGAAGTGTTGCGTGCATGTATAAATATTTAATGCCACATGGTGATTAGTTCTCCATTTATGGTTAAAAATCACACTATTGGTCAGAATAGAAGATGGTCGATGACGTGTACATCTCACAAAGTTGCTTATATAAAGCGAGTGATGTTTAGCCATGTTTCATTCAGTCAACTTACATTTGCATTGTAACGAAAGGAGAAGGTTGAAGTTGTCTTGATTAAACTTTCAGAAGTAAAATATGGGAGAGTGGAATATAACAATTGAAAATTTGACAGGTCAAGGCGGAACTACTGGCCAACATGTAGAATTCATGCTTTTTCAAACTCGGCCAGATCCTCTAACTCTGGACAGTTATTCCAGCGCGTGGAAAGTTGCCGATGTTCAATACCCTGGAAAAATTGGCCCAATCGTTTTGCCAACCGCAGTTACTTTCTACGTGTTGGATACAGCAGGTGGCCTTCCCAGGGAAACTGGCCCGTTTTCCGTCAAATTCGGGCAGGAAATTGTAGTGACGCAGAAAAACCAAGCTGATGCACCCAGCGTTAAGGTATCGGGCCAGGCTCAACCAAAAGGTGCAATCAAGACGACTAATGCTTCCGGAAACGTCCAGCCTCTTCAATTTGCTTTGTACAAAGATGGCAGAAAAGTTGTCTCCTACAAGAACGTCGCTCCAGCAGATGCAGTTTACTTGGATATTAAGCCGTCTATTTATATTGCTGATATAATTGGCAGCAGTATCAAAGAAGGCGATGATTTCAAAGCTGACGTCCAGGCTGCGAAGTCGACACAGTTCGAGCTCTACCCTGATGTCCCTAACTTAACGATTGGAATAGAGAAGTTGCCCTCAGGGCAAATAAACTTTGTCAAACAATGATGACTTATGAACCAAAGACATAAACATGTCTGAGACATTATTAGTTATTTGAACGACCTCATTTTTGCATGAACTTATTTTAATATGATTTTTTTGTAACTGAATTCGTAAATTCATTAAAGCTATCTTTTGCTATCTAAAGCTATCTGTATGTGCTTCTATACTTATGTTTCACCATCCATCACAATGCTACTAGTTCCGCAAGAAATCGCTTCAAAGGCACCAGAAGAGCAACTAACCCTCTCAACAACTGTGTATAATGCATTACCATTGCAATCGCATATTCGCGAACTAAACTTTATCTAGTGAAACTGCAATGTTTTTTTGCAAATTGTTGCAAATCAAACGACGGTGATTTATAAAATGCGACTTTTGATTGAACATCGACTTCTTATCTGAATTTCCACACACTCGAATGTGTAGGCGTCGCACCCTCGAGTTCATCTCAATGCCAAGGAATATTGGAAGTTTTAGTCTGCAATTGGGAAAATTTATCCTGGCGCTTTCCCCCAACCCCCCCCCCCATGAAAACCAAGGTACGACCCTGAATGGCCACATAGTGTATAACTTTTAAAACCAACAGCTGTGCAGAAGCTCGAAAACAACACGTTTTAATAAACGTTTATACCAGACGGAACTGGAATAGACCAGTTTTAAAATAATATACGCTAAGCTCTGGGAACGAGGCTGCTCTACACAATCTCGCACCCAGGTTTTTCCTTCGTAGGGGAAAAAATCCAGGGCTGGCAAACAAGCTTGTACCCGGGGTCCGAGGTTGTGTGGACATAGGGATCATTCCCCGGTATTTGAGGTCAAAGTTTGTTTTCCAGGGTGGTTTCATTGGACGAAGGAATCGTACGATGCCATCATTACAGGGGTTCTACCTTTTTGTACTTCTTCAATATCAGCAAATAAACGAATAATTTCTTTAACGTGATCATTTTACTGTTTATTTGCAAAAAATGTGGAATAAATTGGGTGGAAATATAAATAATCATGTCTCAGATTGTGACACATCGTCGCTTGTAAACTGAATTACAGTAGCGCAGTAGAGTACAAACCACGGAGCTATTAAATTCCAGGAATTTAAATATAGCTCAGTGGTACAAACTGATTTATGCAAGCATGCGCAGATACATGTACCCTTGGCGGACCTATTCTTGTAACTCAAATGGTCATTTCCTTGCTAATGTGCTAATAAACATGTAGAAGTACCACATTCAAACACAAATTAAAGCTATTTAGTCACTACCTGTCACTACAGTGACCAGTGGTGGTTAAGTTTATCTTGATTCCTTCTGAAGTATGCAAATTAATCCAAGAGATATAATGAAACACTTTTAGTCTTTGACCGATCTATCACTTGTCGGCAGCAATCGAGTGAAAACTATAGTAAACTAAACCAGAACGTGAAAAGATTTCCAAACAACTGTAAACTTACTATGTGTAAATTTATTGAAGCAAGCAAGACTACTGACTACACACAAGCACTCACTTTTGATATCGAATGGTATTTGACTAAATCCTAACTATTGCTAAGGGGCGCCCACAGGAGAGACCAAAGGGCAATTTGCCCAGACTTTCAAGACCCCAAAATAGGGAAAAGAAACTATTGTTGAAAATATATATTTAACAATAAATTTACGTCGTTCAAAAATCGGAGTAAAATGCTCCCCTCAAATGGCAGGAAATCTCATTTTATGTATTCTCTTAAAAGTGCTTATTGAGACCCTTACTAAGTCACAAGGGGCTCAAGTTAAAAGAAAGTTGACCAGTTGGTCCCCGATGTACATCTATCGTGATCCTAGGAGTTGAGGGTAATAACTTGAACATAGTGGAGGATGTAACTATGCCTTGGTCTTTTAACGAGTCACCTTCGTTAATATCATTAGTGTTGCCAGCGTCATGAATATTTATCTGTTGTTTTACGCTCATATTCACGGAGCTTCCAGGAAGAACTTTATCCGACATTATTAATTTCTTCTGCTTCTTGTACAGAACCATTGTGAGAGGCTGAATGTTACCCTGGTTGTTAAACACCTGAATCATGGGCGCCGTGTTGTCGTCGAGTGCTTTACCCTCTTTTATTTCATGACTCGGCGGATCGTCGCGACTCTTTTGGGTTATGTAAACCTCTTTACCAGACGAAACTGGAAAAGGGCCAGTTATTCGCTCGCTACCATTTACTTCATCTACGATTGCCAACTCAAATTCATTGGGTAATGTCATATCATGAATTTCCCCAGGATATGCAACCTTATCGACAACCCAAGCGCAAGGATAGGTATTCGTCTCATCCTTTTCTGATGGTACTTGGAAAAGTGCAAACTTCACAATACTTCCCTCACCAGAGGCTGAATCTTCTCCCGTTTTGTTAGCGACTGTGATTTTCCACTCCGTCATTATATCTAGCGACTATAAACATTCAATGTTTTTTTAAATGTAAGAATTCTTTGTTTTCTAGAATTTTGTATACACAAAGAGCAGGGTGCACCTATTTTGCACCGGTTTCCGGATAAATTTGGAAGATTTCTGACCTTAGAGAAATAGACACGAGCCAAGGAACTACATTGATGTCATAGGTTCTTAGTATGCATATATAGTGAAATATTACGACCCTGAAACTAAGTATATAGCCTTCATTGTAATCATAAAAGTTTGCAAATATACCATCATAGCTCATAACCAATGCTGCTCAAACTAATTTAGACAGTAAATAGGATAACACAGCGACAGTATAATTATAAAAGTGTTACACAACACCTTATACTATACATGAATCCATTTCTGTTGGTTTGTAATGTACAGTGGTGATCAAAAGTCTGAGTCCAGTCGATAAATTTTCGTATATTACGATAATTTACAGTAAATGATATCTTGTGAGTTGGAGATTGGATATGTTGATCTGAACTTGCGTATTTTATGATAGTAATGCCTCTCATAGATATTTCCTCTTTGTCTCGCCCAACAACTCACAAATCACGTTGAGTTCAAAAGATTTAATAAAAGGTTCACAGGTCACGTTTTGATTAGATAGATTACTCCGTATCGTGTTACACTTCAAGTTGATTTAGCTTTTTGGTTCACGGTTCTCGGTTCACGGTTCTCGCAGCTCAGTTCTGTTCTAACAGCTCTAACATACACTGGCTATATTTATAGTAAATTAGTGAGAAGTCATTGCGGTTACATGACGAATATCCGCGCGCAAATTATGCTAATTCATCATGAAATTCATGTTCTGCTATCGCTGCGCCCTAATGTTATGCTTACGCCGCGGTTTGAAAGCTCTAGATTATTAAGTTGCATTTATGTTTATACCATGCACTTATTCGGTGGTTTTAACTAAGCCCGTAAATCTTTAATACTGCAAAGCTTTCGGTCCGTTAACCCACTATTGCGCTGATGAAGGGCCGGGTTAACGGACCGAAAGCTTTGCAGTATTAAATACTTATACGTGATGTACCTACAAGCTAATTTACTGATGGGTGTCACCATACGAACATACAAGAATATTATTATATGGTTGAAAATGTTGCATTTAAATATCAATACCATGTACAAACATACATGCAGTCACAGAATTACAAACCTTATTGACACCAAGGCATGCAAGAAAAATGCGTGTTTCTTTGACTCGATACTGATATTATTGTTCACGAATTGCCCATTGCAACCAAAATAAGGCTCGTTTCGGACGTCGAACTTTTCATGTGTAGAACCTGATGTTATGCATAAGTCTTTGTTTAAGTTCATTTGCATTCTTGGCAACTGGAGTTTTTAATATCATTAATGTTCTCGATCGTGGTCAAGGTCACTTAATACTCAGCATAAATTATAAATATCTGAATTTTTACATAAATATCTGAAACACATATCTGTTTCTATACATAAATATCTGACAGACTCGTCTGTATCACAATGGTCAATACTGCAAAATGCATTTATCCCCCTGCACCATGCATGCATTTATCCACTCCAAATCATGTGCAATTAATTTTCAATGCCGATTCTTGTACAAATTCGCAGAAAATTTAACTATCTATAGTTCATACTTCAAGTTTAAGTTTGAGAAGTTTTCAACTTTGCACAAATTTATTGCAAAGTATGTCGGGTTTTATTAAAGTAGTATCAGCCGCCAAAACTAGTAAAAGTGAATTAGAATCGTTGATCACTGAGCGCAGTCATATTATTGCTAGTATTGCATGAGCTTATATCTCGTCTTCAACGATTCTTTTGAAAAACTTTTTGAGTTTTGTGAATTTGTAAAAAGATGTAATTCCGGGGGTCCTTAGCACAAATTTGAAACTCTTGCATGGACTGACTCGTTTTTTCCCAACCTCAATTCTTCCCAAATTCTTCCTGACCTTAATTCTTCCCAAATTCTTCCTGACCTTAATTCTTCCCAAATTCTTCCTGACCTTAATTCTTCCCAAATTGCATGCATGCGCTCAACTAACAAACATATGCAATTTTGTTACGTTCAACCAAAACTAAAAGCTTGTCACTGAATTAACCGCTGTAAATGAGTTTACAAATGATAGCTACTAACTTTAGCTAGTAGTGCAGGTATATACAAACAAAAAACGCAACAGCGGAACTTTTCAAGGCAAAAAAAATTTAATTTCCTATAGTAATTAGCTTTTTTTAATACAGCTTTTCAGTGTGCTCAAGGAGCTTTCTAATCACCTTATTCCATACACTGGATTATTCCATACACTGGAGGGCATCCTGGAGGGCATAAAGCGGAATTCATTGAAGAGGAACGGCTATCTTTAAAAGGGGGAACGGGGAATGGGGGAACGGGGAATCGGGGAACGGGGAATATCGGGGAATATCGGGGAATATCGGGGAATATCGGGGAATGGGGGAATAACGGGGAATAACGGGGAATATCGAGGAATCGGGGAATAACGGGGAATATCGGGGAATATCGGGGAATATTAGATTCACACAGCAAATTTTTAACAATTAATCATCCCAATGTAAAAGTAGCATGGCGTGTTTAAAAAGAATAATGTTAGACTTTTTCGACCGCAGTCCAATAAGTTAATAACACAACATATCAAAGTATCACAACCTACTAATAAATAATGCATTATCTGGTCGTAAAATTAGGAAATATTTAGAACGGAGGACCTAAATATTTGCAGAAGAATCGGTCATAAAAAGTTTCAAAATGATAATTTTTGATTGAAACTTTTAAAGTTTCTGCGTTTGACACTAACTATGGTGGAACTTCATTAAATACCAGTACCTAAAAGAACATAACGTAACATAACGTAACGTTTGCATTTTTCATGCATTAACACAACCGAAGTTATCAAACCTAATAATCAATGTCAATAGTCGATACAAATACTTATATTCATTTTTAAAAGATATATAGTTCTTAAGGTTTCACGGTTCAGTTATTAACGTCTCATTAGTAATCTCTTAATATGCTCCGATCGAAAATAACGTGCGAAATAAGAATAAAGTAATAAAGTTTTTCGTCTTAGACGGAAATCCGTCTACTAGTGCTAAAATAAATTCTGCTGATATGTGGATGTATGAAAACAAGGCTTTTCCGTGCCATCAACGAAAAGGACCGAAGTTGTAAGTGGGAATTTGAATTCCCGTCTGCGTCCAGTTTCCCCGGATATTTAGGTCCTCCGTCCTAAATATTTCCTAATTTTACGACCAGATAATGCATTATTTATTAGTAGGTTGTGATACTTTGATATGTTGTGTTATTAACTTATTGGACTGCGGTCGAAAAAGTCTAACATTATTCTTTTTAAACACGCCATGCTACTTTTACATTGGGATGATTAATTGTTAAAAATTTGCTGTGTGAATCTAATATTCCCCGATATTCCCCGATATTCCCCGATATTCCCCGATATTCCCCGATATTCCCCGATATTCCCCGTTATTCCCCGTTATTCCCCCATTCCCCGATATTCCCCGTTCCCCGATTCCCCGATTCCCCGATTCCCCGTTCCCCCTTTTAAAGATAGCCGAAGAGGAACCTATTTATTTACGTAATTGAACTCAAAAGTACTTAAGGTTCTTATCAGCCAAAAGAATCTACATAATAAAGTTCTTTGAAAAAGTTTTTTTGAGTTCAATGACTTAATAGTAACCGGCTCAAGGGCCATTGAATCAATCTACCATACATTTTGCAAATATAACGTAAATTTTTTGGTAAAGATACAGAAATATCAACTTTACATGAGAAACTTTACTTCGTTAACTGTTTTTTGATAGCATGTAGTAAATATGGTGACTTTGGTGTCAATGTAACAAATTTCAGCAGTGGAATATAAAGGATCGAGTATTTATGAATATTTAAAGATATTTCCTCCATTGACAATTAAACTATTAACATCGAAGTATTTCAGCTCAGTTGTTCAATAAAAAGATAATTTGGTTTTCAATTTTTAACTTATCCACCGTTTAAGCTAAACGCCTTGAAAAAGGATCCGTCAATACTGCCAAAAAGTTCCCATAAAAAGTTCCCATAAAAAGTTCCCATAAAAAGTTCCCATAAAAAGTTCCCATATAAGAAGACAAAGGATTGAGGATATTTCAAGTGTTGCGTGCATGTATAAATATTTAAAGCCACATGGTGATTAGTTCTCCATTTATGGTTAAAAATCACACTATTGGTCAGAATAGAAGATGGTCGATGACGTGTACATCTCACAAAGTTGCTTATATAAAGCGAGTGATGTTTAGCCATGTTTCATTCAGTCAACTTACATTTGCATTGTAACGAAAGGAGAAGGTTGAAGTTGTCTTGATTAAACTTTCAGAGGTGAAAAATGGGAGAGTGGAATATAACAATTGAAAATTTGACAGGTCAAGGCGGAACTACTGGCCAACATGTAGAATTCATGCTTTTTCAAACTCGGCCAGATCCTCTAACTCTGGAGAGTTATTCCAGCGCGTGGAAAGTTGCAGATGTTCAATACCCTGGAAAAGTTGGTCCAATCGTTTTGCCAACCGCAGTTACTTTCTACGTGTTGGATACAGCAGGTAGCCTTCCCAGGGAAACTGGCCCGTTTTCCGTCAAATTCGGGCAGGAAATTGTAGTGACGCAGAAAAACCAAGATGATGCACCCAGCGTTAAGGTATCGGGCCAGGCTCAACCAAAAGGTGCAATCAAGACGACTAATGCTTCCGGAAACGTCCAGCCTCTTGAATTTGCTTTGTACAAAGATGGCAGAAAAGTTGTCTCCTACAAGAACGTCCCTCCAGCAGATGCAGTTTACTTGGATATTAAGCCGTCTATTTATATTGCTGATATAATTGGCAGCAGTATCAAAGAAGGCGATGATTTCAGAGCTGACGTCCAAGCTGCGAAGTCGACACAGTTCGAGCTCTACCCTGATGTCCCTAACTTAACGATTGGAATAGAGAAGTTGCCCTCAGGGCAAATAAACTTTGTCAAACAATGATGACTCATGAACCAAAGACATAAACATGTCCGAGACATTATTAGTTATTTGAACGACCTCATTTTTGCTGCAACTTATTTTAATATGATTTTTTTGTAACTGAATTCGTAAATTCATTAAAGCTATCTTTTGCTATCTAAAGCTATCCGTATGTGCTTCTATACTTATGTTTCACCATCCATCACAATGCTACTAAATTCCGCAAGAAATCGCTTCAAAGGCACCAGAAGAGCAACTAACCCTCTGAACAACTGTATATAATGCATTAGCATTGCAATCGCATATTCGCGAACTAAACTTCATCTAGTAAAACTGCAATGTTTGTTTGCAAAATGTTGCAAATGAAATGACGGTGATTTATAAAATACGACTTTTGATTGATTGAATTTCCACACACTCGAAGGTGTAGGCGTCGCACCCTCGAGTTCATCACAATGCCAAGGAAAGTTTTTGTCTGCCATTGGGAAAATTTATCATGGCGCTCTCCCCCAACCCCCCCCCCCATGAAAACCAAGGTACGACCCTGAATGGCCCCATAGTGTATAACTTTTAAAACGAACAGCTGTACAGAAGCTCGAAAACAACACGTTTTGATAAACGTTTATACCAGACGGAACTGGAAAAAACCAGTTTTAAAATAATATACGCTAAGCTCTGGGAACGAGGCTGTTCTACACAATCTCGTACCCAGGTTTTTCCTTCGTAGAGGAAAAAATCCTGGGCGGGCATGTACCCGGGGTCCGAGGTTGTGTGGACATAGGGATCATTCCCCGGTATTTGAGGTCAAAGTTTGTTTTCCAGGGTGGTTTCATTGGACGAAGGAATCGTACGATGCCATCAAACAGGGGTTCTAGCTTTTTGTACTTCTTCAATATCAACAAATAAACGAATAATATCTTTAACGTGATCATTTTACTGTTTATTTGCAAAAAATGTGGAATAAATTGGGCGACAAGGAATTGATTGTTCAATTTCAACGGTTTTGCGGTCTGCGATGGAAGACGCCGATGGTTGATAATGAATCGAAAAACATTCACTATGATTTTGAGATTGCAAACCCTGACAAAAATTTAGAAAATGGCAATAATCTCGAGAAATCTAATACTCAACAAAGTGATTTCGAGTACAATGCAATGGTCCATGTGTTCTTTTATTTATGCTCGGCTCTTGGCGATGAACAAGTTCTGATAGCGCTATTGTCATTTATTTTGTGGAATTTTGATCCTAAAGCTGTGATTAGGGCATATATGACATTGACAATATCTCTCTATTTTGGCCAGGGGGCAAAAGACACTTTCCTAGCCCCACGGCCCCCCTCACCTCCAGTCATAAGGGTAGAAAAAAAGTATGCAGAGGAATATTCCACGCCGTCAACTCATGCCATGATTGGATTGGTCGTTCCATTTTCATTGGTTTACTTCACTTATGGAAATTTTCAGGTAGTTGACTATTTCCTCTGTGACCCAGCCAACAATTTTAAGATAGATTGAATACATGCATACTTGTAGATCACCTTAAAACTGCTTTTTTCCCAACAGTTTATAAACAATGCTTGCCAAGTTTGGACACACTTTAAATGCTTGTGTTTTTGCAGTACAACATTCACTTGGCGTTGTTCATAGCAGCAGTTTATTCCTCAATGGTTGCAGCAAGCAGAGTTTATCTTGGAATGCACTATGTCAAGGTGGGCATTACATTGACAAGTCTTTGTTTATAATCACTAAAATATCTATGCAGTTTAAATCCATCTTCAAATCAACCCACATAATCTCCTGAACACTTTTAGGATGTGATTTATGGGCTACTTTTTGAGATCATGATCATGTTGGTTGTATTTCCAATTCTGAAAGATCTGCCATTAGAAACTTGGTGTCGAACATCTCCAAACATCCTCACCCTCGTTGTTGTCTGTCCAATTATGCTGCTGTACCTGTATCCAACATCAACACCAATTTCATACAACACTTACTCTGATACAGCATTAGTATTGGGTTGTGCTGCCGGTGCATTAATAGGACTCAGGTTTTCTGCAAACAACGACCAGCTTATGTCAGAGTTTCTTCTAACAGCTCTGCAGATGACAAGTTTCAAGCTAACCATGTTGTATATACTCCGGTTCGTGGTTGGGACGATGATTTTGGCGTTGACCCGAATTGCATCAAAATGGTGTGTTACATCATGTCTCACCATGATGCTTCCAAGTTACAGAACAACAAAACCATTGAATTACAAGCGCCATGTTGAAGTGCCGCACAAGTTGATCACGTATGGATTGGTGTCATTCAATGCTGTCTACCTTGCTCCACAATTTTTTAAATATTGTGGCCTCAACTAATATTAATTTTGATCAAAGATCATGTTACAAATGTCTTATCCTGTTGTCTATTTATACTTGATTGTTCATTGTTGACTTTTCAAAAATGTTATAAACAAAAAAATTTCATATTCTCATGCGGAATGCATTAGCTATATATAATTATGACTATATTGAAGACACAAATTATTCTGACACAACTATTATATATCATGAAGGGAACAGTATAAATAGTTGGAAATTAATGGATGGAAATTAGTATAAATACCTTTGAATTCAAAATAAAGTTCTGTATGAAGCAACAATTCAGGATAGTTATTTGTACACCCTTGCAACACCAAGCCCAGCAAGTGCTAAAGATGAAAAGAATGTCATGACATTGTGTTTAGCTTTGTTCCAATTTTGTTGGATCCTACTGACTTGTGATGCATGGTAATTTGTATGGAAACTATCATATAGTCAACAGACTACAAAGCATCCATCAAAATCAGATTGAGGAGCTCAGAAATCTCTTGCAAGTAGCAAGTAACAATGCTCCTGTTTATCAATTTGCCTTGGGGTGTAAAACAATGAGAGGACTGGGAAGATGGTGAAATAGGTTGTGTAACCAATGCAACATATGCAACTACATTCACATTGAAAGGTTCAAATCAAGTGGTGCTTCTAGTCCTCTCATTATTCTATGTCTGGGCTCATACAGAGCAAGGTACCAAATCCACCGAGGCACCATCCATCATATGGGTTGCTCTAGGATAAGATAGGCATGTTCTACAAGATGGGAAAGTTGTCACAGGGTATGTTCAAGATGTTTGTCAAAGAATTTTCTACACATTTATCTCTATAATTTCATTAGAAAACTGCAAAATAGGAGCATTGTCAGCAAGCATATAATATAATGAACACGTGTGACGCAGACGTACCAGCAGCAACAATCCCAATTGCTGATCTTGCTGTGGGAGTCTGTCCAAATGTATTTCTTTTAAGCAAAAGATACGCCGAAGATCCAAAACAAGTTCCAGCTCCAATTACTTTACACGATAAACAATCTGGAAGTTCAATATTTTCCAGTTTTAATTGAGAATTTTCTAAGCCTTTTAAATCGCGTTCAGCCATTATCTCATTACTCCTAGCAACACTCCCCCCCTGGAATCTCAGCGGGCGCTGTCTTGACTTTGCAAAATTTAAATAAATTTATAAACTCTAACAAGAACTTGACTACTTCTCAATCCTTTTGCATCCTAGTTTCGAATAGTATTTATTTGCGATTTTAAGAGTTTGTCGTACGAAAGTAGTACTTTTCCAATATGCCCGAAGCCAAAACTACAGCAAAAGCGTCCAAGTCGAACCGTGTAGCTTATAAAGACAAGGAGAAGCCGACTGAAATTCGCTTCACAAACATAAATGCAGCAAAAGGTTGGGGAAGTGTTTATAATCGCTGTTTTTGTGTTTTATTCGGTATAATATGAATTGCATTGGGATGTTTTCCTCACTTTTATTTAGCGGTCGCCTCTGCTATTCGTACAAGCCTTGGTCCAAAAGGGATGGACAAAATGGTATAAACGAAATTGACATTTGTAGTTTGTTGTGTCAAAAACACATGTCTTTGTGCAAATGAAGCGTAGCAGTTACATTTGTACAATTGTATACATGTTTAACCCATTGTGACGTACGTTTTAGTACTTTATTATACAAAAATCATGGGTGAATCCTATCTTAGATCCAAAGTGGTAATGGGGATGTTACGATCACCAATGATGGAGCTACTATTTTGAAACAAATGCAAGTGTTTCACCCTGCAGCTAAAATGGTGAGCATTGAACAACCGAAATATTTGTGCACAATGGTGCAGTGAGAATAAAAACTAGACATTTCTTGAATAGCTACAATGTCTCCATGGCCAAGTGTATATCCTCTCATTTATCCTCAGAAAGATCACAAAGATTTGCCATGAGAGTTCTAGAAATGACTTTGTAGTCCTCCTTCACTCAGGGTTAATGCATTCTGAAAACGACAACTTTTCCCTATTTTTAATGAAACTCTTATTTCAGTTGGTAGAACTGTCGAAAGCCCAGGATGTTGAGGCAGGTGATGGCACAACGACTGTTGTTGTCATCGCTGGAAGTCTTCTTGATGCTGCAGCAAGATTGCTTGAGAAAGGTCCTAAACGTTTTGTGGCTTTAAAAGATCCAAATTCATATTGAGTCAAACATGAGTTCCCAATAAAATAGCCATTACCATTTGCTTTCTAGGTATTCATCCTATGAACATATCTGATGCATTTGGTGTAGCATGTGAAAAGGGAGTTGAGATACTAAAAAACATTGCAGTCCCTGTTGAACTGAATGACAGAGAATCCTTGTTAAAAAGTGCTTCAACTTCTCTTAATTCAAAGGTGACTTAATTGAAGGTTAAAAATTAAAAAGGTCTATATCCATATATTCATTAGATTTTAAAAGACTATATATTTTGTTTTAGGTTGTGTCTCAATATGCCAGCCTTCTTGCACCAATATCTGTTGATGCTGTGTTGAATGTTATTGATCCTAAAACAGCAAATAATGTTAACCTAAAAGATATTAGAGTCATCACAAAATTAGGGTGTGTGTCTTCACTCCATCAAATGACGTTTACACAAAATCATTTCACTGCAGATGCATGGAGTGATGAGTATTTGCAAAATTAAAATACTCATCAGTGAATTCTCTGTTATTTACAGAGGGACAGTTGAAGATACAGAGATGGTTGATGGTTTAGTTTTAGAGCAGAAAATATCTCATCTAGCTGGTGGAGTTTCAAGTATAGAAAAAGCAAAGATTGGCCTGATTCAGTTCTGTTTATCAGCCCCTAAAACAGATGTATGTCAAGACATGAACCTTATGCACGCATACCTCTTATTTAACAAATTACCTTGTTATACATAAGAAAGATTTTAATTTGATACATGCATGAGCGACAATGTATGTGTGCTTAGATCTATCTTTATCATTTTAGATGGACAACCAAGTTATTGTGTCAGACTACACTCAAATGGATAGGGTGTTACGAGAAGAAAGACAATACATACTAGATTTATGTAAAAAGATAAAGAAAGCTGGTTGCAATGTACTCCTAATCCAGAAATCTATTTTACGGTAATAAGTGCCCCAACAAAAAAACTTGAAAACAAGTCAAGTTTTGCTACTCTTTAAAACTCTGTGGAATATTGAAACTCTGTTTTATTCTCCAGGGATGCTATAAATGACCTAGCACTACATTTCTTAACAAAAATGAAAATAATGGTTTTACGTGATATAGAAAGAGATGAGATTGAGTTTATATGTAAGGTATTGTGCACTTACTGGTATTGAAGTTTTCAGAGAAGAGGCAACATGTTCATTGGGTTAGGGTGTGTTGAGTCAGTCATAGCTCATGTTTCACTGGTGTTGTTCAATATTTTTCTAATTAGAGTCTTGGGTGCAGACCAGCTGCAAGTGTAGACCATTTTACACCAGACGTCTTGGCATCAGCAGAGTTAGTTGAGGAGGTTTCAACAGGAGCTGCTAAAGTTGTAAAGGCAAGGATCTTTTGGAAATATGAATAAAATACCAGATCAGTGAACAGCTGTGGTACATCTCGCTGTTGTAGTACTTACAACAATTGTCCATATGTTTCTCATTGCAGATAACAGGCATACAGAATCCTGGCAAGACAGTGAGTATACTGGTTCGGGGATCAAATAAACTCGTCCTAGAGGAAGCTGAACGCTCTCTGCATGATGCACTGTGCGTTGTAAGATGTCTTGTAAAAAACAGGTAATGTCAAATTCTTGAACTTCCAACATCTTTCCTCTCTTTGGCCGACTGTTCTAAACTAGTGAAAAATATCATGTTTGTAGGGCACTCATAGCAGGTGGTGGTGCCCCAGAAACAGAACTCTCCATAAATCTCGCACAATATGCAAACACTCTCTCAGGCATGGATTCGTACTGCGTGCGAGCCTTTTCAGAAGCATTGGAGATCGTTCCATATACCTTGGCTGAAAATGCTGGCCTTAATCCCATCGCGACCGTCACTGAACTGAGAAATAAGCATGCGCAAGGAGAGAAGAACGCTGGTATAAATGTTCGTAAAGTAAGTTTATAAGAGCACTTTAGTAGGAGGATTGAAATATCCTCTATTTACCTTAGCTCAGTGTTGACAGTTTGATCGATTGTTTTAGGGAACAATAACCAATATTTTGGATGAGAACGTCTTGCAACCATTATTGGTGTCGACCAGCGCTTTGACATTGGCTTCAGAGACCGTTAGAAGTATCCTAAAAATTGACGATATTGTAAGTGTTCAGAATTTATGAGAAATTGACAGTATATGCAAGGTGATTCTGCTTTTAAAACAGTCAATTTGAAATATCATTTCAGGTGAACACAAGGTAACAACATCAGACCATATTGCTGTGGAGATTTCCGATTGTTGTCAAGCTGGGTTGTTGAAACGGTTGCTTAGTCATTATTAAAGAATGTGTAATTTTGATTGTTAAAAAGAAATAAATATATTAAAAAAAAAATAACTGATACTTTTATTGATCTTTTGTCTAAAGACCTAGAGTACATATATGAAACACGACGACGTGAAATTTGCAAAATTACACATCCCTAAAAACAACTCGGACCGTCTTGAGATTCAATCATTCCAAGTCCTACACCTGTACCCAGGGAACTGACCTATATTCTTATATAGGTCAGTGGACCAGGGTCAACGGTTACTGTGATGTTCACGTTGTGTGCAACCGACGGTAATTACAAACTACACAGTACCACCTTTACGAGAAATACCTCGGAAGATGTCGTAATACTTCGGATTCATTCGTAAAGTCACAAACACATGTTAAAGAAGAGTGGAAGTATGGCGGAGACGAACAACCAAGAAAATGTACGAAATTTTTGTACTATTTTCATTGAAAACTTTCACAAACTAGATTTTCTTTCGAATTTATAACATTTGGTGCGATTTTTTCATTTTTCATTAGGCGACAAAATTTAAAGAGAAAGGGAACAAAGCCCTGCAGGCTGGCAATTTGGACGAGGCCATTCAGAATTACACCGAAGCTATAAATCTGGATCCAAATAACCACGTCTTCTACAGTAACAGATCAGCTGCATATGCCAAGAATGGTTGTTACGATGAAGCATTAGTAGATGCGCAGAAAACAGTGGCATTGAAACCAGATTGGCCAAAGGTGAGTTTACTATTGTTATGAATTCTTGTATAAAAATTTTTCGACCCCCCCCCTAGCCTGAAGAACGTAGGGAGGATTACAGGGGGGTGAAGTGAGAACTAACCTTATCCAATGTCATTCCATAAGGAAAATGAAATTTTATTTTCATTATAACCAATATTATGATGGTCAATGACATCTCCTAGAAACATCTACACACTTCCTAGAATGTCAGACCTCAATAGCATGCGCAAAGGAAAACTAAAATTCTGACTGTCATATGGTTGACGTGTACCTTATTTGTTTTTAAGGGGTATTCCAGGCTTGGGGCAGCATATGCATTTCTGTCAAATCCTGAAGAAGCAGAAAAGGCATATCAAAAGGGATTGGAACTTGATCCTAATAATGCTCAACTCAAAGATGCCTTGGAATCATTGAAAAAAACCTTCTCTGGTGAGTATCACCATTTCAGTGTTTCGATTTTCTTCGATTCTATGCATCCTTACCATTATTTTCATTGTTAATCCATGCCACCATCACATCATCACCATCACATCACCATTGTTTTATTCTTACCACAACTGTCATGATTATCACCATTTTTGTACCATTATGATTTCTTAGGTCCAGGTAAAAGTGTTCCTGTGGATAATCCATTCTGTACTCCAGATCTCATACCAAAACTTGCAGCAAATCCAATCACAGCAGCTTACCTGCAAGATAAGAGCTACTTGGAAATTTTGAGTGAGTTAAGGAAGGATACCAAAGCACTAGGAAAGTAAGTTGTTGTGTAACATATTTCTCACCAAAGTCCTCTCACAAACATTTTTTACTTGGCTTTGGTAAAGATATTTCCAAGATCCACGGATAATGAAAACTCTAGAAGTTGTACTTGGTATTTCTTTGGTAAAAACCGAAAGTCCAGGTATTTATTTAATTATAGCTTATTGGTTTGTAACTAAAGAAATACAGCTTCCGTCCAAGTGTTTTCTGTCCTTGTGCAGTGTTTTCAAGTTCAATGAAAGGCTTCGTAGTGAAATATCTACACTTGTTGCCATTATCTTCTAGATGGCAGCTCTGCCCAGTCAACAGCAGAAGAAAAACCAAAACCTGAGAAACCCAAAGAGGAGGTGAAGAAGGATGATATCCCCCAGGAAAAGAAAGATGTATGGCTGTAAACAAACTTTTCTTTTGTGAATTATTGAAAAAAATAGAGAAGCACCTGTTGTTAATCCACATGAAGACATCCCTTCTCACTTTGGTAGGCTCTTAAAGAAAAGGAACTGGGCAATGCTGCTTACAAGAAGAAAGATCTGGACACAGCCATCCAGCATTACACCAAAGGTTACGAGTTAGATCCCACAAATGTTACCATGCTAACGAACCGTGCTGGTATGTAATTAAACACAAATAATTATTCATCAAAATGTTTCCTGTAGTAACTTTCATGACATTAATTCCAAAATAGCTGCATACTTTGAAAAAGAGGAATATGAAAAATGCATCGAAGATTGTGAAATGGCTGTGGAACGAGGGAGAGAACATCGGGCTGAATTTAAAATAATTGCTCGGTCAGTTGTTTTTGTGTGCATAAACCAAGTGATGAGACATGGTTTTAAAATATGCTGTATATACTCATTTACAATTTTTAGTGCCCTTGAGAGAATAGGAAAAGTCTATATGAAGCAGGATAAACAAGAAAAAGCATTGGAGTACTTTGAAAAATCTTTGACAGAATCCCGCTCTGATGCTCTTTTACAAAAAGTCAACAAGGTACAAAAAATATTGTGATGTTGAAGAATCAGGGTGGGATACAACTTCGGGAGTTATGGCAGGAAAAATGAAACAAAATCTCTATAATTTATATGTAAGCTTAGGAAGCAACCAATTGCAATTTTTGCACAGCTAAAAAAAGAAATCAAGGAAAGGGAAAGACAGGCCTACATCAATCCTGAAATGGCAGAAGAGGAAAGACAGAAAGGGAACGAATTATTCAAGAAAGGTAAAGTCCAGGAAGATAATGATGAAGTTGCACAATAAACCTTTCAGATTGTCTCATCCAATGAGCCATTGCAATTATTTCATCTAACATCCTATTTCAGGGCAGTTTCCTGAAGCATTGAAACACTACACAGAAGCTATTAAAAGAAATCCAACTGACGCAAAGCTTTACAGCAACCGCGCTGCATGTTATCAGAAGTTAGCTGAAATCCGCCTTGCCCTTAAGGTATTTAGGAAGTAATTTTGCTTACTTTGAACATTTGATATCCCAATGGTAAAGTAAGATAAAAACTAAGTTTACCTTTATATATAGGACTGTGATGAATGCATCAAGCTTGACCCAACATTTGGTAAGACTTGTGGTTACAATTTTATGTAAAATATTTCACATCATTGCCAATCAATTTGCACATCATTCATTTTAGTCAAAGGGTATACAAGAAAGGGTGCATGTCACTTTGCCATGAAAGAATTCAGCACAGCAATCAATGCCTACAGTAAAGCTTTAGAACTGGATAAAGAAAACAAAGTGAGAAATTTGCCGTGGGTGGGAAAATTCAGTACAAAAAAAATTAAATATACTTACTCCCTCTGATAATTCTAGGAAGCACAAGAGGGCTTACAAAGATGTTATGTCAGTTCAACTACGCCATCCTCAGATCCTGAGGAAGTTAAAAAGAGAGCAATGGCTGATCCTGAAGTTCAGGTAGAAATTATTGATAAACAAATCAATTATCCTTGACATCTCCCCACCACCACTCACCAACAAAAATTATTCTGATTACAAACCCTCCAGGAAATTCTAAGTGATCCAGCCATGAGAATGATCCTTGAGCAAATGACAGAAAATCCAGGAGCAATTCAAGAGTAAGCTTCCCTTTGCTAGATGTGTTGTACCCCTGCTTTTTGGTTCAAATTGGAAACACCAGGTTTTGGGGCTAAAAAGACTTAGATAGAGATGCAGATAATCACCTTTCTATTTTAGGGAGCCAAGGGGTAAAAGCAAAAAAATATGTATTTATATGAATGTTGTTTAATTTGCCAAAGTGTTGAATTAACTGCGACATTCTGTTTTTAGCCATCTTAGGAATCCAGATATAGCAAGGAAGATCCAGAAACTAATGGAAGTTGGAGTATTGCAAATGAGATAACTGACGTTCCTCCAAGAAATCTACGTGCATCTCACTCTATGAGAAGAATCATCACTAACTATGCTTGATTTACTGTTATTGCTGCTCAGATAAATGTATATGGTTGTAGGGAGTGTGCGTCAAAACAACGAGACTAAGGAGATACTGAATACAAATTGCATGGAATATGTTATGTAATTATATATTAATTGCTCAGATGACTCTACTTTAGGCATTTTGTTTGTTCATTTTCACAATAAAAAAGACAAAACAATTGGCAAATTTAAACTACAATATTTATACATAACACAACTATATTATGCATCAACACATATTAGATATACTGGTTATCCCTTATCAAACCACAGAAAAGGTAATATTGTTAATAGAAGTATTTAGTTGGATTTTTTTCTTGAACACAAACCACCAATAGCATTTCCTATTCTGTGATAACATAATTAAGGCTGATAAGCAAATGAAAATACAACTTATTGATTTAAGAGAATGTGAACACCAAAGGCATCCCAGCACAGCGATATCAGTGTGTGACTGCTACACCAGAGGTTGTGATGTATTAAAACCATGGTCTGCTGCTCACCAACCATGACATGTTGTAAATGAACAGCACATCTGGCTCAGCTTGAATAATAAAAACAGACCATTTGAGCACTACCTTCATATGAATCATTCTCTACACAATCTGATCGAACAAGTATCCAGTACATTCATTACTAGTCCAGCACTCCAGGTAATAATACTACTACTTAATGATGCTTTGATAACCAAATGCTTTTGTCATTTTTCTCACGGTTCAAAGTTCTGAAGCTAGAATAGAACTGAGGTGATCAGCAAACATAAAAACTATAAGCTGAGATGCACTGCTATGGATCTCAGATATTTAGCAAACATTTGAAAATTTCAATCGGAAACTGTTTTCAAACAATTACCAGCAACACTAGAACCAAAGGAATATTTACCTTGTGAATTTATTGTTGCAATAGATAAATCCACAGCAGGTGGTCATCAGGGAATTTGACACTGCCATCTAGAAGAATTCTGAATCATTAGACCTTACAATAGCAGAATTTAAATTACTTACAACCTCTACAATAGGATAACACAATTTGAGTATTCAAAATATCTTTCACACAATGTTTCACGCTACATATTCTCTGAGAATTCTGTTCATTGTACATAACAAATGTTAATCAATAAGTTAAGTCAATTTCAAAAACTGAGAAACTATTTCCACATATTGCTTTGTCATATATTAAGGCAATGAGTCATGATTACGAAATTGGATACCAATACCTCCCTCACGGTAGATTTTGGATAATATGGTGTACATATTGTGAATTAAACAGTCAACAAAAATAGCTATATTGTTTGTTACCACTTTAAACAGTTAAACAGAACAGAAATTTTCAGTTGTTTTCATCATACAAATTGGTGAATCAAGGTATATTTGTGCTCGGTTAATCATCAAGAATTTCAAACAAACCTTTTTGGTTACTGTTTCGCTTGGGTTAGTTTTGTTTGAACATCTGTGCACACAGGTTGCCATGTTGAAAGCACTTGTTCACTTCTTACTTTATGCAGTTGTCCTGTTTTGTTTCAAGACTTCATTTTCTTGCTTTAAAGAATAATTTTCTTTTTGTAACTGTAAAAATTCTCTTTCCAAGGAATCAAGGTGACACTGTGATGGTTCCTTCTTCAATCTGTTGTTCACACTTTCACTTCTGCTGCTGTTAAAACACAACTGCTTTTCTTTCTCCAAACTATCTGTCTGGGTCTGCAAGTCTTTCACTCTTTGTAGAAGTTCAATTTTTGAAAGAGAGTGAAGATTATCGAGATGTAACTGCCGATATGTGGTTTCAAAATCCTTCAAAAAAAACTGTTCATTAAAACTGTCAAGTTCCTCATGTATTACAAATTCATCTTCTTCCTCTGTGCACGAGGAAGATGTTGGCGATAAATTAAGTATTGGTTCAACTTTTCCTCTGTCTTCAATAAGGAATTGTGTAGTATTTGAAGGTGCTACTCTGTGCTTTCGCTGTTTCATATACTCGTTGATATACTTTTTCTTATCTTCCAAACGCCATCGTTTACCTCGACGCGTTTTCTTTCGCTTCGAAACTCTTGAAACTTCGCCCAAACACGCTTCTGACATTTTGAAACAAGTAAGCGAAGTAAAATACATCGAATTGGTTTGATAAAAATTACTTTTAGGACCAAGAAACAGACAAAAGACAGCTGTTTAGACCGACCTTTCCCGCGTTCTCTTGCGACTTTTCGAGACGATATAGCGAGGACGCACGCTTGGTTTCAAATAACTCTTAGAAAAAATCACTTCTTAGTTATTTAAAAGAGTAATTTACTACCTTCAGTTTTTAATTAACTTTTAAACGTCTTCTTTGCACCAAAAGTTAAAGTTTTCTCCAATTTATTACCAGACAAAACGACAAGAAACCACTCTATTCGGGTTGCAATCTTTGAATGACGATTAACGAACGATTCTGCAACGTTCGCGGGTAAATATTTCATCACCAAGGATATAGCACCATATTTGGTCAAACGTGCCATATATAGTCATCGCAATCTTCCCACAATCCTCACTTTGTTTGATGACGTCAAAAATTACTGTAAGAAACTGACAATTTCTATTTTTAACCTTTTTATTACAGTTTCCGAACAATATAAAATTACCGCTTTAGTGTATTACAAGGAAATACTAAGTAATTTTGAAACCTAACGTTAATCTTTTTATTTAGTTTATTTTAGTTTCAGCCTTGGTTTCAGACCTTGGTTTCAGACTTTTGGGTGATTTCGGCTTGTATTGATCGCGACAGTTTCCGAATTACCGGAAATTATCGAACCTTACCCGAAAGTTTCGCGGATAATTCCGAGATCATTTCTATTTGTAATTCCTGTGGTAATTCCAAAACGTTGTTTTTCTTTTAATGAATTTACTTGTATTTTCAGTCATAACCTTTCTTGTAGCGATCATTGATCAACGATTTAACCTAAATAACAGTCTGAATACATTGGTATTCAAAGGAAAAATTCAAGAAAATTGTAAAACGGATGTTTGAAAAAATACTGAAATGCAATTATTCGTGTGCCTCATCAGTACTGCGTTTTTGCAAATAATCGTTTAAAACATGCTTGAAGTAAACATCATTTGGGAAAGTAACAACAGCTATGGGGCTGAGAGGCCGACGCGATAAACTTTTTTACTTTCTCTTTGTCTGTTTGTTATTTGGCTTGATACTAACAGCATTTAATGTTTACGAACTCAGTTCTATCAAACATGCTGAAGGAGTGCCTTCGAAAATGCAGAAAAATAAAAAATATTTAGCCTGGATACATGCTGATCATGTAAGAAACTACTTTTATTTAATTCCATTCAGCGATAATAGTAAATATCCAGGGGTTAAATTTGTACTCAAATAATATATATTTTTCAAATATGCTTTTTAATTTCTATGCATGCTGTATTATTTGTATTTGAAAACTTGCAAGGCATTTTTGTGATGTTGGGCAGGTGGCTTTAAGAGTTTGCAAGCTCGTTTGCAAGTACGTTGTTGACATATAAGATAAGATAAAAAATTTAAAAATCTAGATGAAAAATGGCACACAGAAAATTCAGAGTAAACAGGGGGAATTAGTAGTAGCAATGAAGTGCGTAAAATCTAGAAGCTCTACTATTGATAGACTGAGAAGTAAAAAAATTTAAGCCATTCTTTAATATTGCTTGGCTAAACACATGACAGCATATATATTATTTTTTGGGTATCAGATAAACAGTGGTTACCTAAATCATTTAATTGACGTCCTGGATCGTCTTGGGTTTGCATATACCACAAATGGTGATAGTGATTGGGACCTACTTTGGTCTCACAACTATCCCTTTACTACATTAGCTACACAGTTGAGGCAAATGAACCCATATCAAAAGGTACATATCATCTTTCTTGAGTATCCTATTTTAATTTCAAATACAACAGAAAACCAAAAAGGATCTTCTTATTTTCAAAGGTGAATCATTTTCCTGGCTCAGGGGTCATCACAAATAAAGCCAGTCTTGTCACCATGCCATTACCAGCAATTCCACCTGCATTTCAAATTCCAAAAGACAAGAATGCTTTTCTTCAGGAGGTCAGCTACAATTTCTAATACTCAATATTCTGATGGCTTACTTTCCATTCCAATATGAAACTGTTGAAATTTTAGACCAAGACGCATCCAGAGACCTTATGGGTAGTAAAAAGCAATGGACACCGTGGTATTGCAGTAAAATCCCCTAATGGTTAGTAGTACATCAAAACCAAAATTGTGTTGATGGTCAACTCTTGCGTTGCTCAACTCAAACATTCCTGATGCATGACTGACATGTCTCTCTCATCATTCCTTTGTAGAAATAAATCTTGATGTCTCAGAAAGTGATAGTTTCATTCAAAAGTTTATTTCAAATCCGCTTTTAATCAATGACAGGTGTGTATTGTGATGATGCAAACAAAACAAATTCCATAACAAATTTTAAAAAGTACTTGCTTTTTTAAGAATGTTTGACATAGGTGTCTACACCGTCATGACATCTGTGGATCCGCTCAGAGTGTATATTTTTACTGCTGATGTACTTTTAAGGTAAGAGATCCTTGATATGGACAGTTGTTCAGAAAATTAAATACTTAATTGCATAGGAAATTCTGAAATACCAGTGTTTAGATTTTGTACAAAAGATTACCATCCATTTGATGCAGCTGATCTGAAGAAGTATGTTGTTGGTGATGACTATACCCCACCAAGAGAGGTAATCTACACATTTTAAGGACTTCTACATAGCTTCTTCACACTCCAAAGAGTGTTTGAAAATGACTACAGTTATGTCATTTCTTCTCAATATAACTCATTCTGAAAGCTTCCAATTTGATCATTCTCTGCAGATTCCAGGCTTAAAAGAGATTTACTTAAAAGGAAAGTTTTCACGAATTCATGCACTCCGATTATACTTACGACAGCAAGGTAAGGAAGGGCATTAAAAAATCTTAAAATTTGACTGTAGATACTACAGTTTTCTAATTTCCAGGTAAGGATGACACCAAGATGTGGAATTCTATTGAAGAAATTATTTCTGAGGTAATCTAGAGGTCTTGCAGATCATCTGTGTCTTACAGATCTTACAACATCAGGAACACATTTTTACAATAGGTTTATCGGTTGAAGGAAAAAGACTTCATTTCTGCCTCTGCTGCCTTTCAATCAAGCAGGTAAGACCTGAATCTGACGAAAGTCCTTCTGCATGTTTATAGTTCATGGTTAAATTTCATGACTCATTCCATTTTGGTTTTCCATTAATCCCAAGGTATCCTTTACACTCCCATATACAGCAGTGAATCCTACTTTTTTGTTTCCTTAGAAATTTCTTTGAGTTGGTTCGTTTTGACTTCCTGCTAGATGATAACATGAAAGTTTGGTTACTGGAGGTATACTGCATGACAACTGTTTGTTTAATAAAATGAAAAATGTTCAATTAGATTTAGTAGACGTCACCATTCTTGCGTTTCTTCAGGTAAATATGTCGCCAAACCTCTCATCTGCAGCTCACAATCACAATAAACTCATGTATGAAAAGGTATTTCTGAGTTTTCCTTTTCATTAGCTATTTGAGGAATACAATTGTAGATGCTCAAGACAACGGTGCATCTTCGTCCAAAACTTGACTGTCATTTCAATTCTATGCTGTTTTTTATTTTGTGTCCTCTTCCAGGTCATTTTCAATATGTTTGCGTTAATCGACGTCACTCACTTTACCAGAAGACGAACTAAGGATAGGTTGGTAATATAATCCAACTCTGGGTCTTGTGGGTGGATAAACTGGTTCTCAAACAACTGTAAATTTATCCTTGTAGTTCGTCGGAAGAGTACGACATGCGGGTCAGCGATGAAAATATCCAAGCGAATGCTCTCTGTGCTAGCAAAAAATGCATCAGTTCTTGTTTCAGTGAGGTAAACGACGATATGAAAGATCCAGAAAATGTTATTGGAATGATATTAAACTCTTGCTTCTCGGATTGAGGATCCAACGGATTCTTTTTTTCATATTTCTAGGAATGCGAGTTGTGCCATTCTTGTTTAGAAAGAGGTGAACGTGAATTTCTCAAAAGGGCATATCTTGAGCACGTTCACAAGAGAGCTTACAGCAGAGTCTATCCTTCACCAATGGTAATATAACTGCATTGAAACGCACAGCTTTGACACTTCTAAAATGTTCTGAAAGTTTATTACATGAGCTCCTATCATTGGTCAGCCCTACTAAATGCACGCCTTATTGGAAACCAAAGACATTCTAAAGAAGTCTTCAACAGGGTTTAAGTAAACTGGTTTTCTCCATGACCATGAACTGGTAGTGCATGCAGTCATGCAGAATTTCTCAAACCTGACAATTTATTTTTCATCTTAGACACAAGAGACTGCCAAGACACTTTCCATGGACATGGCTTCTTTCAAGACTCTGAGTCGGGCAAATCGTCTCATGCACACCTGGTTTTTGTATAAATGTCTACACGATGCATCCTGGTGTTCGTAAAACACCCGAATTACGATTGGATTATCGTCGGGAGAATGTCGCGCCAGCTCGTCGTTGGCCCACTTTGCAATGAAGTTCATCACCATTCCGACTTCCAAGCAACTTTAAGAGCAAAAGCGTGAAAAGAGTAAATTTAATTTGAAACCATTGGAAAGTTATTCTGTTGTTCAAGTTTAACCCGCAATTGAGGCTTTTACTGAATGTTAATTTAATATTTGTAGCTTTATTTAAACTGAAATAGGAAACAATTGGAAATAATATTTCAACATTACATTATTTATTAAAACATATCTGAAACATATTTTTGAGATCCAGAGTAAAAGAATAATAGAGTTAAGAATATTTAAGTGTTTAATGAATAAAGAAAATTAAACGAACACTTTCTAATTCGGATATGTATTCCTAGAAAATCAAACGGGTGTTTCAGAATTTCGTGTATTTCAATTATTGTATATTATCCATTATTCCGGATATTTTTCTAAGAATAGCGCTCATGGTGCTGCCGCTGCTCTGTCATACCCACAGACGCAGAACACTGAAGAATTATACTTCATAAATTCTTTGCATCTTTCGAGAGTCCTTCCCGGGTCTCCGTTCCTCATGCAGAACTCCCCGTAGGAGTAAAAGCCCCCGGACAAAATGTTCGGAAAATTGTCTCGGAATATTCCGTGAGCACTCGAGAAATACGAGTTTCCCCGATGTACAAATCTCGATGTAAAAACTAAAGCTACTGCAGGCCGAAAATTGTCCTGCTCAAGTTCCTGGATCATAGCTCGAGCTGGTTCGTAAAAGTCCGTTCGTTCTTCGCCTATGGTCGTCACTGGTTGGTTGAGGAAGCCCGCGCGTACTCCAAATGCAGCACCGCTGATCAAGAGAACAAGGGCTCGTGTTCTTCGTACCGTGCCGTCCATAAACAGGCGATCATGACCAACTCCTCCGAGAACAGTCACTCCTTCACCAAACGTTTCACGAACACCTGAAACGGGGGGCCTATTCGTGAGAACATGCGTTAAGTTAAAAGGAACAGCTTTCCTTCTGGCTCTGGACAGTTCTGCGCGCATGGTTTTATGAATAACACGAGGGAACCAAAGACTTCTATATTATACCTGAAGCGATATGCGCGATCATATCTCTGCTGTGTGGCAATGCAAGGACTATGGCTAGTTTGACGGGAAGATTGACGGCAAACCTGAACAATCTCGACCAATCACGGTTGTGATATCTCAAATGACGCACGTGAACAGTATGATACTTCACTCCGGCAACTTCCGGGAATGATATAGCCACGTGACCACGCTTCTTATGCACGGGCCCGGCAGGGTAGTTCTCCGGTATATGGTAAATAAGCTTCTCCGTGGTACAGCCCAGAAGCTGACAGTCCTCGGGAAGTTCATCGTATAAGTGTCTTACGGATTTCACAAGTTGTCTCTCGATTCCTCTTCTCCGGGGCTTGTCTCGTCTACTGAGCCAGACGTCCTCGTATGTAAACAAAAACACAACACTGGGTTTCGAGTTCAAACTCCCGCAATATTCCTCGGCCTCCGAATGCTCGATGCAGCGCTCCTGAACGAACACCGCGCTACAGCTGACGCGCTTGCGCAGCACGGACGATGCCACGTGATACCATAGACGGTTGACCTGCGTACAGGTGTAGAGGCTACGAGCCGGTAAAACATCGAGAACTTCGTAGACTAGTTCTGGTATACAAGCAATGGTAGTGGGAAAATGGTCGCTACTTGTTCCTTCCATACGGATCCATTCGGTTTTGCTTTAATTGCAATTTAAACGTCACCTAATTGCAACTGTCGTTGCTAGGATACCGTCGTTCGAACGCTAATGATCTCCGTGCATGCGCATTCAAATGGCGGAGCAATTGAAGATTTTATCGGCTTTTCACTATTTGCACACTATCTCAGCAACTTATTATCAAGTTTATCTCCCTTTTTGTATTTATTTAATCTGTCATAAATTTTTATAACGACGCTTCAACGTTCGTTTTTGTTCATACTCAACCCAACAAAACTAGCCTGAGGCTGAGTGGTTTCACTCATCCTTCATATTTTAGTTCACATATTCTTTTAGTTCACATTTTTGGCAATCATTTGAAACATACAATTTACTCTCATTCCATCCGGAACAAAAATATTATCAACCACATCACCTTTAGTAAATTAGTTTAAATTTTCCTGACCGTGCTTCCTAGTGCATGAGCATCCAGATTCTCGCCGTTGTGATACAGCCCACCGTCACGTCGAGGTTTTGACCATGTCCGCCTGAAAACCATGTTGCAAAAACCCGATAATATCTTTGGCACGTTTCAGGGACAATGTCTTCACCTTTTTGGCCAGATCTTCAGGTGAACTGTTAAAAGGAATCACATTAGTCATATTTTAGAGAATTCTTTACTTGTAACTCCATAGCCTTTTCAGGAAGATAGTTCTTATACGGTCAACTGCAAAATATTTTCTTAGAAAAATGGCTTGCCTGGTAATGATCTCTTGCAAGGTTTTGTTGTGATAACATAAACTGATTGCGCTAATGTAACTTGTCCGTGGGATGGAAGTCAAGAACTTTACCATCTGGAAATTGATAAAAAAATTACAGATTCTAAACAGAGTGATATTTGGACTTAGGTTTTATGTGATTTAGTTTAAACATTTTCTAATTTCAGTTTGAACATCAGCAGTAATACGTAGTACCTTTTCCTTTTCTTTGCTCAGAGGTAATGGATAAACTATCGCATAGTTTTTCTTCTCTTCAATTTGAGCTAAGGATGCCAGAATATCGGATGTACCCTCTGAAAAAGATTGTGAAAATTTCTTCTAGTCGACGTAGAGAATTCGTCTAAGAACTTGCAGGTTTCGTTCTTCCGAAGTTTGTTGGATAAAACAACGGCTTATTTCATGTTATAATACCTTGATTCTCCGTGAAGAGGACCTTGATGCGTGTCTGTGCCAGCAAGGCAAGGATTCGATTGAAATATTTACTGCGAACTCTAAACAAAGAAACTTCACATTAAACAACAACACTCTCGTTTGCCAGCGGAGAGAGTTGATAGAAATATCGTGAGACAAACACAACTCACTCGCATGTAACTTTAGTCTCGCCATTTTTCACGCGATCTCTTTCAATCACAATACAAGGTCGATCGTAGAGATCGCATAGTTCTCGAACTCTTGCAATCAGTTTGTGAAAATTCGCTTGACAAGAGATATCTGTTGAATTACGGACATTGTATGTTATTGCGTGGTTCGAAGACGCATCGTAACGCAGCCGACAAAGAAATAAGTTGGTAAGAAAAAAATGAAAATACATCGATAGTAGTTGATCTGGTGGAAACGATCAATGGTAACGATTCGTAAAACATTTTCTGCGATCTCATCAAATTACCTGAAACAAACTTTCGTTCGACAGCCATACGGGTGCTGACGATGTAATCACATCCAGTTATTTGGGAAACAACAGCTTTGATGTTGTGCTTTCGACGTAAGAAAGAAACAACCTGGAGAGAGACAAAAATACTCATTGTCTGCCAGTGGAACATAGTGAGAAATTACCCAGGTGATCTCGCTTTCTGGACAGAGGAAAACAAACCTGACAATTTGAAACTTCTTTCGAGCCAACCAAAATCGTAAGTTTGTTCTTATCACGTTGTGCAGCCTAGATATAACAAGCCAACATACCGTTAAGGCCGGACTAGAATTCGTGGCACTCTCGGTGTGTTCCATCGATACAACTTTTGATGTATCGCATTTAAAAAATCTAACTTGAAATAAACATACCGTTGAGGCCGGACTTGACTTCGTGGCACTATCGGTGTGTTCCGATACAACTTTTGATGTATCGCATTTACTCTGTTCAGAAGCTTGACCAACGGTCCTCTGTAAAGAGGAAGAATCGTTGCGGGACGAAGAATCGTTTGATGACGTAATATAGGATAATGGCGGGAATAATGGGGAAACGGTGATTGGTTGATTCAGAACCTTGCTATTGCGCATGTTCTGTGGTTGAAATGTTGTCTTTCCAGTACTTAGCTCTCTTCTTACATTATTTTCTTTTGAATTGAACCTACTTCCAGGCTCAGTAGCTCCTACATTAGGAGTTTTCTTGCGATCAGGAAGTTTTGCAAGGCTAATTTCTGTCTCACTTTTGTTTTTTAAACACGTTGAAGTGCTGGTGAGATTTCGTTTCACACTCGTCCTTCCACTACAGTTGCTTGCCTGGGAAATGGTTTCACATTTTTCTGTTCCGGTCTGACCTAAATTACCAATCCGAGATCTTTCTTGCCTGCTATTAACACTGCATTCGGCAGCGGAACGTCTGCAAGAGCTCTGTCCAATATTTGATTTCCAATTTTCTGTTCTATTTGGATCGCATTTCGATTTATTTAACTCCCTGTTCATATTACTCTCCAACCTTAGTTTACTTCCAGCTGCTAAAGTAGTGTTGTTCTCCAATGCGTTCATTTCCATCATTAATGACTCATCGTCACAGTCATTCAAAACAGCAAGAATATCATCCATGTTCTCGTTTTCTCTTAAATATCCAGCGTTAACATTTCCAATCCCTTCTTCTCTCCTATTCACATTTAACGGTGCGGTGTTTCCAGGACGTTTGAATATGGCGTCCTCGCTAATGGATTTTCTACAATCATTCGCCAATATGCTTTTAGTATTTTCCGGTTTATATTCGGAACCGGTCGTCGACCTTTCGGGATCGACTGCGTCCGGACTAGCGCAAAAGCTTTCGGCTAGCACACGTCTTTTACCAAAACGTTTTCTTCGCACCACTATTTGACTTTGCTCTGGAGATGCAAAAGAAGAATCAGCTCCACATTCGTCCTCAAGTTCTGTGTCGTGGTCCTCATCTCCGTCTGTTGCTGAGGTGGAGGTAGTGGAGGTATCATGAGCTGAAGGCAGCTTATCATAGACCATCTTGTACCTTGCAAGGAAAATAGAGGTTGAAGTTGGGGAAATGAGTAAGAATTACGTACGCCTTCAAGTAGACCTTTCTTAACAGTTAGAACAGTTAAAAAATCATGGAATTAAACTTTTTAATTGCTTTTCCTATACCTGTTAGTATGGCGCTGAAATGCTGGTGTTCGAAAACGAAGTTGTTGACGATGCGGGGTGAGAAGGGATATCCTGTATATATCCATCATGTTCACAGACGTGTCCCTGTTCTTCTCTTTCATGGCAGTGAGAGGACTTCGTTGTGTGAGCTGACTGCGATCATCAATAAAGCTATCCTCCATTTCATCAAGATCTTCCTCGACCATGTCATAACTGTCGTTTATCTCGTCTTCTGTTACCTCTGCTTCGTCGTCCAGGAAATCATCGACTTGTGGGCGTCTTTTCTAAAACAAGAATAATTCACCGATTTCGGTATCCTTGCTTTTACAAATTTTAACATTTCCAAAGTTACCCAAAAGATACACAGAAATCTACAAATTCTGACCAAAATACCTTTGATTTATTGTCCTTTGACTGTCTATGAACTGATAACTTTCTTTTCCGCTTGACTAAAGTACAATAATAAAGTTACTTCTTCGCCATGATAAATAGTAAATCTAATCTGAAGTAGGACTATAGCTATAACTTTAGCATATCAAGACAATCTTACCGTTCAAATTCTCCTGCAGGTCAAACTCATCATCGCTATCGGGGATTTGATGAATCTGCTTAGTTTGATCTCCAAGAGAACTGGGTCCAACATCCTCTCCATATTCACCATCGCTATCACTAAATTCAACTCCACATTCGTCATCACTTCCAAGGATTCTACTCTTCAGAACCTTAGATCTAAACTTTCCTTTACGTCTCTTCACAAGCGGGGAGGCCTCTACAGATTCCTCTGAGTTTTCTCTAGATTCACCAAACTGGTCACCACATTCGCCCGGTGATCTTCTTTCAGGATTAGAAGGCTTTTTAAATAACAAATTTTTGTTCGAAACTTTCTTCGCATGTTCCTGGTTTTCTTCATAGCAAACGCTTTTCTCTCTGCTTGATTTCCGTGTCGCATTGACGCATATTCCTGTATGATCTATTTCTCCATCCGCAAGTTCCTTGGCAGAACTTGTGCACAGTTTTACATGGTGAGATTCCACTTTGTTTTGGGTGCGGCCAGGCAAAGAAATCCTCGCCACAGGTGAAGATTTCGTTGCGAAAGCTGAGTACTTATCGTTTTTTATCTCATCATAACTTATTCTTTCTTTAACCTTCTTCGGACTACAATCATTTTTGGTTGCTGACAGCTTGTTCTTGTTGAGTGATACGCTCGCCTCCAGAGAGGAAGAGCTTCCTTTCTGCGCAATGTCCTTGTCAGTGTTGCCCGCTTGAGTTGACAAAGAATTGCTTTGAAACCGAGGTTCTTTTATCAGCGCAGCACCACCAATCTGTACAGCTTCACTTGATCTGTTTTCCATACTCGTTTTTTTAGATTTCAATTTTAACATTCTCCTCTTACACTGAGATGTTCTCATTTCTCCATCTTTCTCGCTACAAACACTTTTCATCAAAAATGACTTTCCGAAGCAGGATTTTCGGTTTACCCGAAGCGGACTGGGAGCGACTACGTCCGGACCGTATTCCTCAGGTGAATTAGGAACATGCGGTTTCGACATTGTGGTTTTTAGAGACAAGGATTGATCACTGGTGGCCGACTTAGAGAAGCAAAAAGATCGGATTTTATCCAAGGATCGTTCGTTCACTCGAGACCAACTCGACATATTCGAGTTCCTCTTTTGTTCAACCAGAGGTTGCCTTTGAGGCAAGCTTGTGTTATCAAAACTTAAACCAGTGCAACTATAATCTCTTAAAGATCGAGAAGGGAGATTTTCACTTTTCCCTTTCGTAATCTCTTCCTCGGTCCTCCTATTTTCAATGTCGTCTTCATCAAACAGCGTACGAGCGGCTTTGCTTCCTGAATTTAAGTTTCCGTTTTCTGAACGTTCAATTGTACTCATTTCTTTTGACATCCGTTTCTTCTTCCTCTGCAAAGTTTCCTGCTCGTCATCAAACACACACGGAGTTTTAACATCGCAGACCACACGATCTTTTGACATCCGTTTCTTCTTCATCTGCAAAGTTTCCTGCTCGTCATCAAACACAAACGGAGTTTTAACATCGCAGACGACACGATTTTTTGACATCCGTTTCTTTTTCTTCTGCAAAGTTTCCTGCTCGTCATCAAAAACACACAGAGTTTTAACATCGCAGACGACACGATCTTTTGACATCCGTTTCTTCTTCATCTGCAAAGTCTCCTGCTCGTCATCAAACACACACGGAGTTTTAACATCGCAGACGACACGATCCAGATCATCTTCAAAAAGCGAGTTGAGAAGTTCCTCATCAAAATCCTTACTTTCCAGCATTTGCTTCCGTGAAGTCTTTTCTTTGGAGATGACTTTCTTTTCGAGATAGAAATCATCTCCATCGTAACCTTTGTTTCCAATGTCCCTGTTGCATTTCTCGGTGTTTCTTGAAGGCGTACTTTCTTGTGGTGGTAGGTCTGGCCTCTGAAACCTATCCACTGTTTTCCTGATGCTGCTACTATTTTCATATTTATTCGTCAGCATGGTTTCTTTTTCATTATTCTCTGAATCCATAGGACTTCGGCGTTTATTGAAGTCTGCTTCCTTTATTCCAAATTGTTCATTATTGCCGACTTCATCAGAAAACAGTAGCCTGCTCAGATCATCCTTACCAAATTCCACAACATGTTTCCTCCCGTTGTCACATGTCTTATTTTTACTTGTTTCATGTGTTTCTGCAAACATAACAGGGAAAAAATCTCGATCAGATTCCTCTTCCTCAAGATTACTCCGATATTCTTGATTGCCTTCAGCAATGCATGTGCTGAGGTCCAGCAAGGTATCTAATGATGGCGCATCAGGCACCACCTCGGAGATATGGTCCTCGGATATCCGAGCCTCGGAATTCCGACGCTCCGATGCCCTGGTATTCTTCCGTTGCCGTTGAGAACTTGGTATGTCAAAGCCGGAAAGATAACCGTCGGAATCAACAGAGTGCTCTGATCGACTCGTGTTTGGTGTTTTATCGGATACTAATTTTCCATTGACGCTAAGACGGTGAGATCCTGAGTGGTTCTCTGTCATTTCTCCAGGTTCTAATTGCTTCTTTTTGGGAGAATTTTCTTGAGGTTCTTGCTCCAAGGATGGAACATCGCAAAGCTCGTTCTGAACGGTATTTACCGCTTTTGTAGACACATTCGTTTCACACTCAAAGTCATCATCGATGTCTGAACCAAAGTCTAAAGACTTTCTCTTCCTGCTGGATTTACCGTCCTTTTTAGTCATCTTATCGCCGCATTCGTTTATTCCAACAACGTTTGTTATTTCCTCATCGCTATCCATAGAGAAACCCGTGGATTTACTCAGGCAGCCTTTCTTCCTGGCAATATTTGCCACAACACTGCCTTCCTCCTCATCATCAAGAACAATAACTTTTTTGCGTCGTCCTTGATTTCCGTCCTTTTCACCATTTCCTGTCGCGCATGCGTAGTCAGCTTTCTTCTCCCCAGGCTGCGGAACATCCTCGCGGTTCAGGAATGAGAGCATCTCCAGATCGTAACTATCGTCGTCGTCGCCACAGTCACGACGAAAATCACAGAATTCCAATATCTCCGCGAAATTCCGAGAGCGCTTCGAGTGGTCGACGTAGTGAACTTGCTGCAACGGAGTTTGCCACGCTGTCCACTCGGTTAGCGAGAGCGTGGGCTCAGTTCGTGGTTGGATCGAACCTCGCGACCGCACGTGGATCGCCTTCGACGGAGTTAAACCAGCGTCGTGGTTTGGAAGCTTGAAGTTATCGTTCCAGTAGCGAAGTTCCTCGGGCGATAGAAAACCATTCTCTTTTCTCGCACAAACTGAGAATAATTTTTTGATATTTCCTTCAGCGCTCTTTCTAGTAGGTTTGCTTCAAAGAGAAAAATGGAATGTCATTGAAAGTTAAGAGAAAATCAAGATTGCGTGGAGAAGATGAACGGTGGAGACGTCATAAAGCAGGCAAAAAAAGGACGCGGACTGGGAAATGTTGACGAGTAAATATTCCAGGAGAATTGAAGGAAATGACGAGAAAAAAAGCACTGAAGAGGGGATGAGTGTTGCCAAAGTATTTACTGTATAATACCTTTTATTCTTCGTTGGTTTAGGCGCGACAGTGATAAACATCTTTTGACAAACAGGTTTGATATTTCTTGGAACCATGCGAGGATTCTCCATGTACAAATCAAGTGTTCGCGCAGATTCTAAAATCGTCTTGTGAATGTTGGATTTGTTGCGCTGGCTTCGTTGGTAAATCTGGAAAACAAAATCAAGAAGTTGCCAGATTATTTCTTTCGCCATGCAATTAGAGACCTAATTAAGAACACCTCCACACCTGTTCTTCTTTGCCTTCAGTGACCAAGACAATAATCCGACCATCTCGCTTACGTCCTGTCCTTCCCATCCGCTGAACCAGGCGTATTGGCGAGGCGCTAGCGTCAAAACAAACAATAAGATCCACTTCTCCAATATCCAAACCTTCCTCGCCAACACACGTTGCAGCCAAGGTATTGTAGCCTCCGTCTCTGAACTTCCGGATTACCTGGTGGATAAGTGAAAAATACCACATTATTATGTAGTATGAAACAATATCGATGACCCTAAAAGTTTTAAATGACAGAGTAGTTGTTCCTCCACCTCTAGTTGTTCCTTCTGTGTTAGGCCTTTGGATGCATTCCCTTTGCTCTGTTGACCGATGAAACTCATTACCTTCACCAGCGGTTTATACAAGGAGAGCATGCGTGAAATCTCTTGAACACTGTCACGGTACTGCGAGAATATCATCACGCGCGATCCCTTCGTGTTTCCCGAGTGTTGCGCGCCATCACACGCGCGAAAATGCTCCAACACGATGTCCCTCAGCTTCACCAGCTTTGGGTGTCCAATAAACGATGGGTTCACATTCGATCCGTTCCTCTCTCCATTAGAGTGGGGCGGTTCTATTTGGTTCCTGAGATCGTCCACGATACCAATAAAGTCCGGATTCCTTGCGAGTTCAGTCTTTGCTCGAGAACCTCCCTTACTACCGTCAACTATTCCTGAAAGTGAAAAAAGATTTCCAATACGGCAATAGCTTTAAGATTGAAACATGAAAAACCGAGAATGTATTACTCACCTTTAATGAAATTATAAAATGGTAACAGTCCATGTTGCATGAGAAGATCATAGCCATGATACAAACTAATTGCTACGGCAAAGTCACCTTCGATTGGACCTATCTGCTGTCGAGACTGTTGGGGAATATTAGAGCGTGATTACTTTCGAGATTGGTGACATATGTTTGAAGAAAATGTGTATTGTTCTACACTGTAAGGATCATAATGAAATCAAAGCAGCCTTACCTGCTGACCCTCAGCACATTTTTTTCTGAATTGCTCTCTGGCTGCAAGTAAGAGACACTTGCTCACTCTCTCTGCATCACGCATCCACAACACTTGGTGACCTGACAGACGATTCACTACAATTCTCAACACCTGCAAATCAGTTTTAAACCAGAATATATTCATTGAAACAGGCTCTGCCAGACAGCACTATAAAAACAGCATCCCTACCCTGAGAAATTTCGTTTTAAAGAATCCCAGTTCATCTCCCAACTGCACGACTATTTTCTCCACTTGTCTCTCGTGAGTGTACGGTTTAATGTCAGCTGAGTCTTCCGACCTCAGTTCAATGTGGGACACAAGTAGGTTAGTGATAACTTGCTGTACAGCCTTAAAACCAATAATAAACTACCATGTAAATATCAGTGGCTATATATACATAGGAAAGGTGGATTGGAAAAGTGAGATGTACCTTAATGCCATCACCAGGGGTAGCACTTAATGCTAGAATTCGGAAATTTTGAGTGTAGCCCAACACCTCTCTCACAACCTAAGAAGTGTAAATTTACTACATTACATATTATGAAATATTAACAATCTTGGGAGAGTTCTGGTATGGCAAGAGTACCAAAACCAAGGCCGGTACCAAAGGTCTACCTGACAATATGAATAATTTCCAAGAGCTTTGTGGGCCTCATCAAACACAAGGCAAGCAACATCATCTGCACGACAGGAGCCTCGACCCAAATCATTCTGAAAGACTTGTGGTGTGAGAAAGAACACTCGTTTCTCCTTCCACAATATTTCTCGTTTTGCAGGAGTCATGCTACCTAAGGAGAACATATAAAACATTGAGCAATATTAGTTAAAAACATTTTAAAATAAACAGAGAAAACAAAGTATCCTCAGCATGAAATTAACCTGTCATTTCTGCTGTATCTTGCGGTGGTATACCCATTATGTTATAACAGGCTTCAATTTGCTGGGCGACAAGTGGCTTAGTTGGTGCCATAAATATAATCTTCCCCTGCGGGTACCACCTGTAGAAATTATACATCACAACTGCAGCAATAAAAGTTTTGCCCAAACCAGTTGGTAGAGTTACCAGCGTGTTGTGGAACAAAGCTTTCTCAACAATATTGAACTGGTAATCTCGTAGCGGGTAGTTTGTCGGATAAATCCAGGTATCACCAGCGTTGCAATCAAAACCTGGTATGACGTCACTAACATCATCATTTGCAGCGGCAGAAAAAGAGAGGTTACCAACATCGTTGCTACTTTTAGCATTTTCACATTGTTCAATTTGGTCAATAGCAGCTAAAAATTCATTATCATTGTCCTCATCATCAATATTTAACAGATCTTTCAAACTTTCAGTGTCAGGCTTTCTTTGATGTACAATTGAGGTACTAGTGTTTTTATTCGCGCCTGAAAGGTAATTTAAACTTCCAGTATCACACTTCTCGTGACGTACGACCGATGTGCTTCTGTTTGGACCCCATGTTTGAAAAAGACTGCTAGACGTTTGCGTTTTCTTTCTGTTTTGTTTATTCCACGTTTGAAATAACGTCTTTTGACCAGAAAGGTGGTTATTAGTTTTCTTCATCGTTTATTTTTTGAAGCAGGGAAGTTATTCTTCCCCGTACATTTCGGGTATAAAGAAGAAATCTATGAACAAATGAACCGTACTTTTTGAACGTTTTTTCCGCCATGTTTAATTCGCCATATTTACAAAATTTCGCGCCACTTCCCGCGCGAGGCTCAATCCTGGAATACACGTGTTACAATCATTACTGATAATTACATAATTATTCAATAAATTGCTGATATCAGATTAAAAAATTTACAAAAATTTTTTTTTATATAGAATTTATTTATTTTTGAAGTTGTGATAGGATATCAGCAGGAAGTCCAGTTTCTGAAAAGTCCTGCTTCCAAACAAATTCTTCGTAGTAAGAAGTTCCATTGCTGTTGCAATTTCTAGAGCAAGTATAAACTGCCAGAGTGCCCCAGTCAATGCTAGCTCCCAATGAGTCACAATTCATATTGTTCAACAACTGTGGCAGTATCTATGATGACAAGAAAAATGGGAATGTAACTAAATGAAACAGTGTAAAGGGGAAGGCAAAATAAGGGCTGTGCTACACCCTATTTTCTATACCTGAAACTCAAAAGTTCTAGTAGCCCCACAAGAACACTTTGGTATGTCAGTTTCTTTAGGGATATTCAACTTTGATACCCAGAGTGGATTTCCATGCTGTTGATAGCGCAAGACCTAGAAGTATGAAAAAAACAATTGAAACAGAATTGTTCCACAAACAAAACCAACAAAGTCCAAAACATAAACTACATTAACAACCTGTTTTATCAGAATTTACAAACCTGTTCTGGTTCATATGAAATTCGTTTCTTAAATTCACAATATGTTTTGTCCTCTACAACATCGTTTATCTTCTTGCTCTCAGCTTCCAATGAATCCCAATCATTTTTAGCTCCTGCATTATCCTTTTCATTATCCTTCAAAATGTCTTTATACTTTTCCATATCATTTTCATTTCCACATTCCTGAATTTCTCCATCAATTTCCTCAGGTTCCGTCACAAGTTCAAACTCAGGAAAGAGAACGTTTGAAACCTTTCCTGGAGAGCCTATAAATGCAAATCTTAGTTCAACTACTGTTGTTTTGTCATGTATAGCCTGTTTTATGGTTAAAGGGTTACATCTTGCACAAAAATTTTAACATCTGATCCCATTTCAGAATTTCCTATCTTTCGTTCTTCCTCAGATTAAAAAAATCTGGCACATTATTTGAGCTGGTGGTGATATAGTTCCCCCTTCCCAACCCCCCCCCCTTCCACTTGACAGCATCATGTATACTTGCCCAATGTTACCTTTCATATCACACACCTGGCTGCCTCTGTTGTTCTGCATTACCACATACTAGTTTGTGTCCAGTTTTCCAATCAACAGTTTGATGATCTCTGCTGCAATAACTCACTTGACGACACTTGCTACACAACTTTTCACCCCTGCATCCGCAAACCTCGCATAACTTTGTCCAGCTAGCACCCGCCCCGGCTTTCTTATCCTTAAATTCCTGGAATATTTTGTCCTGATCTTGGAAACTCGAGACGGCTGGGTAGAAGTCGTTACTTCTGGGAAGTTCACATCGAAATGCCTTGAGACTTTTATTACAGTTCGATTTGTAACATGAACCATTTCGACAGCAAAAAACAAAGACCGTTCGATGATATGCGGGACTTTTTTCATCATCTGCAGGAGTGTAAACTTGAAGCAAAAAAACCAATGGTTTTTCGCAAATTTTGCAAAGAATCTGCGAGGGCAGTTCAGATAATGCAAGCCACGCCGGTTTCCCTCCAATTTTACTCGGGAAAAAAGGGCTTGTCAGTGTAACAGGGTCTTCTACTTTTTCTAAAAAGCCAAGTTCAATAATATCGACAAAATCACAATGTTCCTGATCGACTTTAACACCAGCTAAATTTGCGCCCTCGTCCGCCATTTTTAATTTAACCGTGCACGGCCTGAGGCGAGTACAAGAACAAGAAAGTGCACCCTCCCCCCGTACTAGAAATATTTGATTGCAGCCCCCCGTACTAGAAACATTTGTCTGAAAATTCTTTTTCTATTTAATTAATAAATAAGATATTAAAACAACTGCTATTTAAAAGGTTTGCCATTGTTAAAAATGTCTTTGTAAGTTTGACGGCTATCGTCTATTGTATTCATCGCAACTATCATTATGCAACGTTTCACCTAGCAATATTTATAATTTAGGTTCGTTATACTACAACAATACAATTCTAAACCTGGAGTTTTGTACATGATCTTCTTCAATGTTAAATAAATATACTTTACAGGGAAAACATCAGAATCGGCTCAACGCTCAAATATCTCCTTGCTCTCCAATATTTACCACAACACGTAATTCAAAATGAAAGCAAGTAATGAGATGATTGGGATTGTAAAGTTTTTGGAAATGCTAGAAGAACCGCTTGAGTCCAATTCCTCATTTCGACATTTCATCCAATATGCACGAGTCATCATGGGCTCCGTATGTTTTGTCTGGATGTTCACATTATCAAAAATCCAGAATCCAGTTCCTTGGAAAAAGTAAGTTCTTCCGTTAATCCACGTCAGCGCAGAGTCCAGGTTTGACGGCACACCCGTCCAGGACACGTTGATCTTCGCAGGGTAACCCATGTCCATCACCTTCAGAGCTTGGTTGTATTTCCAATAACTATCACCGGAGAAAAGATATGTCTTGCCATTGGCACCCCAAATAAATGCAGCATCGATCTTTTTAACAAATGAGTCAAGACCTTTAAATTGATCGTGTATTGGAACAGGACCTGCGAGGAGCTGTGTTCCATTATAAATCCAGCAGCTGTGTGGAAAAAAAGGATAAATTAAGAGAGAGAACGTCATTCTGTTGCATCAGGCAACGTATAAAATTGGATGAAAGTTGAGCACATCTAGCATTTGAGCAATCCTCGAGGGCCCGAGCAGTCTAGGGAACATTAAGCAATACACAAGGGAACTGTAGGGCCCCAAATTCTCATCTTTTTCCAATCGTAGCCAGTGGCGAAGGGTTACAGCGAGTATTCGACTTTTTGTTATTAACTAGCAAGAGAGGACAACGTTCTTTCAGCAACGAAGACAGTCAAAGTACTGTGTAGCACTTCCTAGTTCCTACTTTAGTACGAAATAATCAAATAAAAAATAGCTTTACCTTTCCCCCTTAAAGAAGGTTGTATTCCCCTCCGAGTAGTAAGCGGCATCAACGCTACTGGGAAGTTCTGGCCAGAAACTTTTTACGAGGAACGGTCCTTGTCTGTCCACGTTCTCGCGCACGATCCAGAAATGTTTCCCGTGAAGGAAATACGTTTTTCTGCTTGCATCAACAAAAATCGCATCAAATGAATTCACAGAACAAGCGTGGGGCATTCCTGGAGCGGCGGTTGGCATCGTTACAGATGGCGCTGCTGTTTCCATTTTTATCACTGGCATTCCTGAAGAGAGAGAGATGGGATCAATCATCAATTTCTTTAGTTATTTTCTTTCAGTTTTATTTACAAGTTATTTCATAGAAATTTTGTTCCTAAATGGAATATCACTGTTTTTCATACCGTAAAGATAACGAATTCCCTTCACATCATCTTCATTTAACTGTAAATTATCTTTGAAACCAGTATAAAATGGATACATCACAGCGTTTTGATAATTTGAGTGATCCAATCCTAAGGCATGCCCGATTTCATGGAGAGCAGTCCAGTAAAAGTCTGTTCCTATATCTCCCTTCTTCAAAATCCAAGTTTCGTCATCGTCAAAATGCACATCCCCGGCAAGTCCTATTCGGAAAAGGAAGATAAAAATATGATATTGAAATTCTATACAGTCTGAAGCGATTTTCGTTAGTTTATCATTCAATATTAAAAACATGACTATACCAACCTGTGTTATCATGCGGATAAAATCCATGAGCCAGGGTTCCCCCCGGGCCATCGAATGGATAACCGTCATCATGCATCCCAGATTCAAATCTGAGAAGAATGTCTGATTCTTTATCTTTGCTTTTAATGAACTTTAACGTTGACACTCGTTCCCATTCCGCGAACGCTTTATCGACTTGTTGTTCAACTTCAGTTTCCGAGATGCTGTTTCTGGGGCGTCCATCGTTCATGTAGGTGAGTTCCTGGAAACGAGAAGGATTTCTTAACAAAATCTGGAGTCACCATTCTGGTTTACAACACGCTTGTAACTTTGCATGGTGAATTTATAACAATCAGTTTGTAGGATGCTTATTCCTGTTTGTTGTGAATCAGTCAGAGCAATTAAACGACATGCACATGCAAGTTTGCAACAAGAGCGAGGTTAAGATATTACTTCCAGTGACCACCAGTTGCCACTGAGGAAGATGCATGAACCAATCAAATGCGATAAAGGAAGCATGAACCAATCAAATGCCATAAAGGAAGCATGAACCAATCAAATGCGATAAAGGAAGCATGAACCAATCAAATGCGATAAAAGAAGCATGAACCAATCAAATGCGATGAAGGAAGCATGAACCAATCAAATGCGATCAGATTAAACCAATCACAAGCGCAGACTATAATTCGTTTGTACAGGCCTACCTTTTTTTGCCAGATGGTTCCTTGGACTGCATATCTTCTTCTTCTCTTTGTGCTGTCAGTTCTTCCAAAGTCGGGCATTCCACATCGAGGTTTTGCCATCATTTCCATCGTTTTCTTATCAACAACGCCAGTCATTGGAAGGCCGGTGTATAATTGAAACATTTTAATGCCTTCACGGAGTTCTGCGTTGCTACGAAGTCGACCAGCACGAGGATCAGGCATGCTGAGGTAGCCAAGCCTCGTCAGGTAATTCTAATAAAACAGAATCAACACACATCAATCAATTACTCAACCCCGACAACAATAATCGATCACGAGGTGATTCCTATACGAATTAACTCGTGAGAGTCACATGAAAAAGCACTTGGCCGCGACACAAGAACACGATTAATATCTAATCATCACTTTCTTAACTCTAAGTATTCTCCTTGCTGAAACTGGCAAGCTATATAGCAACCATGACTCAGTCATTCAGCACTGCACCGTCTGCATGTAGTCCATGAGTTTTCACTCACTGTACGTACGATGGTTCTCCAACAACATTTCAATGAAATTTTCTCTGTATTCTTCTTATTTTTTAACAAATTACTTGCCACATAATGCTATTGTCAGTGTCTCCACGCGGACAATAGACGTAACTCAGCGTGATATCCGGCCTAACAATCCGGAAATTCCGCGTGCAACCATTTTAATACGATTCGTTTCGTGCGGCTTTAAACGCGTTGCATGTTTCTCTTTAATTCGTTTGATCCTCCAGCAAACAAGTCATAAAAATCTATTCTTTCAAACATGCAAATGTTTCCAAAACTACATGAGAATGATGGTTCAACACATGCACTTCAAGTACTCAGTCTCTGAAGATTACAAATATGAAATATTGCAAATTCAACGACTCTCCAACGAATTAATACCAGGCAGAAAGATCTCACATCGCTTTTGGTTAATCTTCCGAATATTATACAAAAATAGTACTTGAAAAAACCACAAAATGCTAGAATCTTTTAAGGATGGGCTTGTCTTTAGTTGAACAACGTCAGCGTATAGATAAACTTCGCACAATGACTCAAAGAGACGTGAAAGAGTGTATTTTTAGTTGAAAAATTATAAGCAAGCGGATCCAATGCAATATATTTGTTTCAACGGGGTTTCGAAAATGTATCTTCCCTCGAAACTAAAAGAGGTTATGATAACAAAGAATCAGAAATCGCAACATAACCTTGTCGATGTTATAAATTATCTTTCCATGCATGCCATGGTTATCAAATGACGTATACCTTCTGGTAATTTCAAAAGAGACCGGCATAAAATAACACATACGATCTGCTTTGGATATTTCGCAACATAAAGCTTGACAGTTTTGTAATACTCTTAAACACTGATTTTTGATTAATCAAGAAGGATATAGTTTAAAACTAACACTCTATTGTAACGACCGCGACTATATGTGTTGAAACATGTTAACAATGTCAATACGTAGTTTACGTACATACTGACAGTGCATGTATACATGACATCAGCGTAACAACCTCCGCATTTATGCTTGGTCTACATTAAAGTTCAGAACACAAGCTTTAATATTGCAAAGCCAAAAGTTAAACGTTATGTATTCGCCAAATCTATTGAATTATATATACGTCGGCTATTAAAACATATCCAGCAAGCTTTCACTCGATGGTGTAGAGACAACAGAATACGTTACTCACCACGGCTGTGTTTTGATCTTTTGCGCTTATTCCTCTACCAGGTAGAGGGACACTTTGGATGCTTGTCCATAGTATACAAGAGTAAAACGCCAGCAAAATATGTAACGTTTGGCACGCCATTGTTGAGGTAGTTATGGACTCACAAGCTATATTGAATATTGATTATATAATACTGTGACAGCAATACAAATTGTCGTGTTTATACTTCCTGCATGGAGTCAGAGACAAGAATTTTGATGTCGGATGTGTTCAAACAAATCGATATATACGGAATTTTAATAAGTCTACGTCTACGAACACTCCCCGAAAGAAAGACTTCCCTAATGCAATCTCACTGTGACAAACATAACAAAACGGATGTGGGCTATGTATATTTGAGCGAATGCAAATCAAGAATCGACTTTGTTACGAGACCACAAGACCTTAGCCCACGCTAAGGAGGGTCGGATCAAGTCACATGAGGCAGAGTAAATCGTGGAGCGCCATATATGGCTTTTTTAAACAAGAAATAAGTCGTTAAGTGTTTCTGGTTTATGAAGGGATTATATTTTTCTTGCATCCATCAATGTCCTTTTCAAACTGGTTTTTGCATTTTGATAAAGATTTGTAAAGTCTGCTATGGTCTGCGTGATCAATGAACGTGTTTCTGATTATATATAGGAGTGGCAAACATCCTTTCGATCCAGTTTTCAACTAAGCCGCCGAACGTGACCAAACTACATGCAATTTATCATCGCTAAACGATGCTTTTATATAATCCATTATCACACAGACTAAATTATGAAAAAAGACAGACTTCCTTTCGTGTTTTTTCTCAGTCGTTATAAGCAAAAGAGCAGCCAGTTTGTATATACCTGCCAAGTTTCAATAGGCATAATTTTCTGGCCAGCGGCTCCTTGCCGAAAAGGATGTCCGACAAAAACTATTCCGCATGTACGTCTTAACCATGTTTAGGCATTGTCATGCAGTATGAACTTAGTTCACTTTTTATCGGGAAAGGCAAAAATAGAAAGGTTTCTTTATGTAGTTAAGTTGGCTTGAGTAAAAATAGAAGTTGGCTTCCTATCTGATTTTGTGATGAGCTCTCATTAACTAAAATACTTTCTATTATTCAAACAAAATTGTCAAACACAGATAAAATCTTCGCATCATCAAGTGTGGATAATAACTGCATAAAATAGACAAAAACTTTTCGACGTTTCGAGCGTTTTGGTCTACGGGAATACGTCAGGAGAGTTATGAAAGATATTATAGTCATATCTGACTCCTGACGAAGGTCCTTAGGTCGAAACCTCAAGAAGTTGTTTCGTCTTGTTTAGGCAGTTGTTGGCAGATTTGATGCGAAGTTGTTTGGAGACGTTGCTTCGTGGTTATATTTGAAACAGATTTTCTTTACTTACATCGCTCATCATCCTCGTCTTGTACTTCTTGGCTCAGTCAAGTAAAACCGTTGACTTGATTCGATTCGACAGCCGTTGACTTGAATTTGACTTCTTTCTTTCTTTGTTGAAGATTATACTAAGATATAATCAACATACATGCAGTTGTTTGCAGGGCCTAGGGCCTTTAAGGCCTTTCTATATGATGTTTATATATAGAACTGTTCATGTTATCATGTGTATATATAGGGCCATATTCATGCAAGCATACTTTTTGACCTTGTGCAAAGTCTTCCTGTATAAGATAACAATTTCCAGTTTCCATCTGGTCCTTGAAAAATATAGCCTCCCCCGAAACGATATCGGCCTTTAAACGCAGGGCCAAAATATATCTTCCTGGTGTGAAGACGAGGTGAAGCCAGTCTTTCGTGATTGAATAGGAGTTACCACTTATCACACTACCCAACAGACGTGGTTACGTAACGCCACTCAAATTATGGAGTAATTGAGACATTGTAATAAGATGTGATATCTGACTGCAAGTAAGGACAAAGCAGGGCGTATAGAATAATAATAGAGGAGAGAGACAAACAGCGGAAATAAGTCGGCAGTAAAGCACGTTTCCAATGGGATATACGTGACAGATTAATATATTTCAGCTACGAAAACAAGGACAAGCAAGACTATTCAAAAACGAATATTATATTTGCATATTTTAAGTACTGTAAAAGTGGCCTAGCTGGAAAAATAATGAAAATTTTGCAAAAATATTAGCTATATTGTATTGCAGCTGAGGTGGGGAAGTTAACTTTTGAATCGCAATGCATGGAACAAGAAGGTTATTATGCATGGCTACATTTGATATTTCCCTATTTCTGTTCCTTCCAACTAAACGAATCTGTTAGACCCCGTTTACACTGGAACGAAAGTTTCCAGATTTGTAAAATTTTCCGGATTCATTGTTACACACATGTATCGGATTCGTCAGGTGTTTACACTACACTTAAGTTGTCTCTGTATGCGGATTTGTCCGTTTACACTCACATTACTTGTTCTTGGAGAATTGTTTGGTCGTCATATTGAATTTCTTCGGATTCGTCGTGCAAAGCGTTTACACAAGAAAATTTTCCGGATTCAAATGTTTCTGGATACGAAGTTTCCACAAACTTTTACGGATTCAAAGTTTCCGGATACGGCTTAAAACCGAGTAAATTTTCTATCGGATTCGTTGCTGCGTGTGTAAACAGCAACATGAATCCGGTACTAAAACATTCCTCTTTCGTGATTAATCCGGAAACTTTCGTTCTAGTGTAAATGGGGTCTTAATAGTAGAAATGAAATGAAATGAAGGATTGAAAGCATGTGATCTGAAAAGAGCAACTCTCATCTCCCAGCAGGATCAAATATGCATGCATCACATGAACAATGGTGTTACCGCTAGGATGAAGGGAACGTGATTATACTGATTAATTTATGATAGGATTATATGAACCGGAGATTTATCATCGACTGATTTCCTCGAGAGGAGGATATTCTACCGTGAATATATTATTTGATAGACGACAGCAACAAGAAAGGAGAGAACTTATACATGAATGCATGTAACATCTTGAATTGAATCACAAACAATATTTTGAATCACAATTTAATATAATTATAAATAGTTCTAATGAAGATCTTAAATATTAAATAGACTATAAATACCATGCAATATTTACTTATTATTTGTAATAATATCAGACGTGACGCTTAATTTGACAATTGTGTAGTGGCTCTCAAAAGAGTGTGACGTATTTGCAGATTGTTATACTGACTTTTTTTATAGTTATACTGACCTATTTTTGTATTTTTTTCTCATTGAATGAAGAAAAGAACATTCTTTATTTATACATTTTTTGTAAATTATTCACAAACAACATTACTGCTTCAATATAAATTATATTTACAGCTTGAATATTACAATAAATTACTATTTAGCTATATAAATATGTACAAAAATATGTGCATTTTTTGTACTTTGTTCGTAAACAATTTTCTTTTTATTGTTTTGTGTGTGAAATTCCAAATCTTCTGGTTTAACCTCGGTCGATCTTGGAACTGTGGTGAACACACAGCATGGATTATAGCTAGTGTTACCAGCTGCATAAGGAAGCAATAATGGCAAGAAAAGCGATCAATGGTGCGAAATTGGATGTCTTTACGACGCCATTTTCCTGTTCGGTAGGAAGATTCTTTTCCGCAAAATTTTGGTGACACGGTTTGAAGAAAACCTTGGAGATCTCTTCGGGTTTGTATAAATGCCAGTTATGCTTCGCAACGTTGGCGCCTTTGAAGAAGTAGGTTTCTCCATCTTTCCATGTCATCACCGAATCAATAGGATATTGCACAGCCCCCCAACCGTCAGAGATGTTCTTCGGATAACCAGGATCAATTCTATTCATTTGTTCGTTATAACGCCAATATTTACTGCCTTTGAAGAAATATGTTTTACCATTGCCTCCCCATGTGAAAGCTCCGTCCAATCGCTTTAGTTCGATCGGAAGACCATACTCGGTTATGTATTTCGGTCCTTCAACGAGTGTGGTTCCTTCAAATACCCAGTACCTAAAAAACAATCCATAATGTCAATGTTTGTTTTCATGTTTTGCCAAATATAAGCAAATGATTATGACTACATGGCAATTCTTTTCCAATAAAAGCTGTAAATTTAATTCCTCCGTTTCACAAAACGAAACTATATGCACATTTAATTTCACTGGAAGGCGAAATCAGTACAAATCTAGAGAATATGAACTGGCACAGTCCGCATAAAGACAGTGAAAGTTAACACTTACTTTCTTCCTTTAAAGAATACAGTTTTCCCATCGCGTCTTGTGTACGCGGCCTGGACCCTAGGGTGAAGTTTCGCCCAGTGATCTCTGATCTTTCGTCCAGCCAAAAGGTTGTCGTATTTATCCAATGTCCAGAAATAAGGATTTTTGAAAAAGTACGTGTTTCCATCGCTGCTGTGGACAACAGCGTCGATGGAAGTATCGCACGGACTCGGACCATTCTTCCAGTGAAGTTTTGGATCAATTGTTGGAGCTGCAGTGGAAACTGGTTTCTTTCCTAGAAACGTATATAAAAGAATGTCAGAAACAGACAGTCACGCACTGGATTGAATATGATACACGAATTCTTCGCTGTATATTTTTACAATTTAATTCTACAAAGCTAATTGCTGCTTTGATGAGACAAAATAAGGAATTATACAGTCATGTTCTTACCATATTGAGCCTGAATGGCCATCACGTCATCATCGTGGAGTGCCAGATTCGGACGGTAACCAGTATAATACGGATACATGATTGCCTTTGCATATGTGGTATGGTCCAGTCCGATTGCGTGGCCTATCTCGTGCACCGCTGTCCACATGAAATCTGTGCCAGCTTTGGGTTTGTCTAGGGTCCAGTGCTCTTCATCGTCAAAATGGATGTCGCCAGCTTCGGCGCCTGGAGAATTCACACGTCATTTGGTCAATTTAATACGATTATATGCATGTACTTGATAATCGGATCTCTTAAGATCTTAGGAAAACAGTTGAACTGAAATCATAGGTTAAAAATCTGAACTTACTAGCTTCAATGTCAGGGTAAAAGGCGTGAGCAATCTTGTCTCCTCTCCCATCGAAAGGATACCCATCATCGTGATTACCTCGCTCAAAACTAACCATCAGATCAGCTTTCTCGTTTCCAAATACTTCGGTGAATCGTAGAGGAGAGACTTCGCTCCACATTTTAAATGCTCTATCTAAGGCATTTCTCACCTCGCTTTTACGCAGCTCTGTTGTTGATGTGTTTAAAACTTTGTATGTCAGACTCTGTAAAAAAAATGTCGTTTATCAAATATCTGATCGGATGGAATAAGATTTCTTACGTAATATGTATTTACGTTTAATATGACTAATATCGGGATCCTGAATGTCATGCAGTAAGGAATTATCCAGTAAACACCCTTCTCAGTTCCTATTTTCCAAGAGGTTTTTCTCAAATACGCGAAGGACCCTTTTTATGATGACGTCAACCGTGGAGAATTGATGTTACATGAAATTTGATTGGTTCAAAAACGATTTGCATTATCAACGAGCCAATTAAAATTGGCGTAACATCTTACATCAAGCGTGCTCGTAACTCGTGATGGAGAAGAATCTAGAAAACGAACCTTAAGGAATACAAAAGGTGTTTTATACTGAAAATGAAAACTTACAGGGTTTTTCCATTTTGCGTGATGTAAAGCGTATCTTTTTCTTCGTTTCATTTTGTCGCTAGGTCCAAAATCAGGCAAACTACATCTTGGTGATTTGATCAACCTTACAGTTTCTTCATCTATTTTGCCTGTTACTTTTATTCCAGCGAACTCTTGCATTTGTTTGATACCTCTAACCAGTTCTTCTCTGGTACGAAATTGACCTAGTCTCGGGTCTTTTGGTTCAAGGTACCCATACTGATCCATAAAAGTCTAAAACAACATCAAGTCGACCATGAAATTAATCCAAATGTTGTTATTAACACATGCTTGTCAATTTAATGTCATTCAATCAAATGGCAAAGATACAATCGCTTAAATCTCGTATTAAAATAAAATTCCAGATGTCAGTATTGCTGTTGCGTAATCCTAAGTTCAAAGCGTGTGGAATATTTTTTGCACTCAAAGATAGCAGCGTGTCTATACGCACTTGAGACTCACGCCCTGTATTCTAGTGCATCGTTCCGACATCAGGAAGGTCTAATAGTCTAGGTCTTTGTCCGTTAGACTTACAGGAAAACAGGGCTGAGAGCTTAGGAAACGATTAGGAGGAAATATTAGATCCGTCTTTGTTGAAACATCGGAAAATAAATGTTTTTTTAATCCTACTGCGCTGAATTCAGTTTCAGCGTGCTGATTCAAATAAACATAATCAAAATTGAGCGAAAGCTAACAAAATTCTTTGTCTTGAGACTGTTCTGGGCATGCACTTGAACACAGTTAGTCATGCAATACTTAGGATAATCTATTAATACAGTATAGCTGGAGGGTTTTGTTTTTTATAAGCTTTGTTTTGTGTTACTTTTGAATATGAAGTTTGTTTCGAAACGGTCATAACCGGATAGCTCGCAAATAATGTTTGCATAAGAAGATTCAGTCACATTGTCAAAGGTGCGTCTCAGATGTTTAAACCGTAAAACATTAAAATTCAATGTTTGAACGTCAAAGTTTAGAGTACTGGAGTATGAGTGAGTACGTTTGTGGAAGGGGGGAAATAGGCAAGTACCGTACTGTCCTCGACAGAAGACCCTCGACTTGAGAGCTTAGTGCATGATATATATCATATAAACGTTGGCAAGATACCAACGATCGGATAAAACTTTTAAATAAAACCTAAAAAAATCTGGCAATGATACAATATGATTGTCATTGACATTGGCGGAGCAATTTGACCTTTAGAAGTATAAAAACTTCATATTGGGTAAACATGCACTTATATAAGTAGAAAAGGATAACCAAAATAGTATATATAAATAGTTAACCTTCGATCTGGCATTGGCTAGATGCTGTTAGGGGTGAATGTCAGTGATTGGGATTTGGGAATCCAAATGCATGTTGGTGCTTATCTCATCGCGTGTGGGAAATTACCTATACTGCTGCTTGTACATGATACATAGCAACTAATTAATAGAAACTTCTATTGTTGGATTAAAATGTTGCCACTTAATTCTAAACATTAAGACGGTAACTGCGTACCGATATGCTGTTTTCATGGTGAAAAAAATATAAGCTATGACAGATGTCTGCATGAGACTAAGTCGTGTTTTATTTAGGATCGACTGAGTTTGTTTTTCACACGGAACTTGTACGGAAACGCTTCAAATTTATATCTGGTTGTTTTGAATGCATGATATTTAGTTAATACGAAATTAGCCGTCAGCCATCGGCATCGTTAAGATAATTAAGCTCTTAATAACACAGCTAATGAATAATGTGATGTTATGTTAAACCTAGGATCACTGAAGGAAATACCCGCCGAAAAGTTCGCTTTGTTTGGCTAGCTACTTCCGAGACAGTGAGATGTTATGTTATTTTATATTATCAAAAGCTAACGAGGTTAAACTCACCACGACTTGTGATTCCTCTCTACCGCTCACGCCAAGAGGGTTGATTGTGAAGGATTGAACAGAATCCAGTAACAGTAACGAGACCAGTGTCGCCAGGAAAATAATACCACTATGGTATATCATTTTGAAACTTCACTTCGTTCTTCTCTTCGTAAATTGCAAATATTTAATCTTAACTGCAATATAGAAAAAGTTCAAATTTAGCTAAGGTGAGCTATATGTATCTGCATATTGGTGTATTCAAATACTGAGTGATATAGCTACTTGACGCTTGTGTAAATAACCTGCATAGTTTATGCTCATGTATAAAGTTGTTTCAAAAGAGCTATGCGCTCTAAATAAGGTATTTTCCTAATTGCCACATATTGGCTGAAATGTAACAGTACAAATATTTAATAAAATGAGAAGTACTTTAATATGAATATAGTTCAGACGTTCTCTGGTATAGAAGCACACTTACTTGTTAACACTTTCCAAAGACAACTTCTATCGCGTCTTTACTCCGTTGTGTTTGCTGTAATATGATATTTCTCAGCACCCAACGCTTGGCTTATATACACACAAGCAAAGGTCAAAGGATGTTCCGTCTTCCGTGCAGACTGCGTGGTGTCGCCGTCCTCCGTAATGTGAAGATGCTAGCTCACCCTTGGCACGGACGACTTTTGAATCGAACACAACGATACAGAGAGACCGGAAACCAACACGCCCCTTTGTAGCATCGTGTGCGTTTGCCTCGCGGAACAATAGATACCCCGGTCAGATTAATCTCTTAATATGGTCACCGTTTTTCATCAAAGATAGCTACAAAATTGAACATTAGCCAATCGCTAATGAACTCACATGATTTTAGACTAGCTTGCTAAAGACGAGCGTGAAAAAGCAGGTGGTCTGTTTAGTTCATTGTGTTTGTATCGGTATAGAAATTATAATAAGTTATCTATTAGTTGATCAAAAACAACCCTCTTCACTGCCAAGGATCACCTCTTATCGTACCTTCCGATGACGTCGTTTGATGCTAACTTAGGACCGCATTCTATAGTGTTTTGAATAATTTATCGCTAAAAAGAAGTGTTGTTTTGCCATGGATTGTTGAAATTTTGCGAGTGTTATGGCACATTCGTAAAATTTATGACGTACATCTCGTTAAAGTTTAACGAAACTACGATCTTTCGACCTTTTTCTTTCTGGCTATCGACAGACGATTGTGCTTTTTTTTTTCGCGGGTGAAAATATATTGATTGATTATCCTTATTTCTAGAACAAAAAATTGTTTCCTAAACTGTAATATGCATGACCTCCTCAAACTTTACAGAACGCAGTAACCTCGTTTTTTTCTACATGTAATGTTTCAGCGCAGTTCAGAAACGCTTGTATCAAAACCTCAGTAGATTTCCTTATCCAGTGAATATACGCACAATTTTGCTGGAAAGGTCGATAGATTATTCTAAATTTAACCCGCGCCGCGGGCTAATTTGTCGTCGTCAATTTTTTTCCAACTCGTTGAAAAAATAAACGATCACAACATTGAAGAAAAATCATGATTGTATCGATTGTACTTCCTTGAAAGACTATGTTAAGGCATGTTCACACGATCCAATTTAATTTTGTCGGTTCCAATGCACTTCTGATGGATGTTTTATAGTCTCAGTGTTGATTTGCAAAGTATATGGACAGCAAATCAATTAAAACCAATGCTGTACTGCTTTATCAATAACAAACTTCATTCCATACGTCAGAAGTGAATTGGATCCGACTGAAAATTGGATCATGTGAACAAGCCTTTATGTAACGTTGCATATACAGTATGTCTTGCAACAAATTCAATATTTTTTCCGGCGTCTGTAGTCTGTTTTAATTGCGAAATCGAAATGAAATGTTGATCGCACGCGTTTGTGGTTGAACGCGGCAAATTGCACGCCGTTAGACACCATCTGTCGCGACGGCAGGGATGTGTGTCATTTTCGTGAAATGGTCTTTCCGCTTACGTTATGGAAAGCCGCAAACAGATAGCTATCATCCTGTTGAGATCTCAAAACTATTCGCCGGTGAAATATTTTACCAATGAGGTAATGCAAATGTGGTGATCCAATTCCTCAAAATTCCTCGGTAATTACATGAGGACATTAAGTCGGCAAATTCAAGCATCATCTTTTTTTTTTTACCCAATCATGTTTTTAAATTAACAATATCATGACTCGAGTTATAACACATTAATGAACTTAATGGAATCAGTTTAACATTACTGATTTCAGACACAAAAATCAGTATTCTCCAGCAGCATTTCCGAAAAAGCATTGATTCTAATATTTCCAGGATTTTATTATGAAAATATAACAAGTTTCATCAATGAACTGTCGACTATAGTTACAATCGGAAACACGTATGTAGTGTCTCATTATCATACATATAGTTCTTGACGAACTCAAGTTTTTTTTAACCAAATTTTGAAGTGGAATGAGGTCTCTTGGTTCTATACTGGCCGAGGAGATATTATCACGCGCATGCATTGCTATATAATCATTTCAATAAATTATGCATGAATTTAGTCAACACAAAATATATATTGATGGCATTTCTGGCGGAAAAAACGTGTTTGGGCATTCGTTCAAAGAGGTGCAAAATTTGCTTGCATCTGAGAATCTCGAATGTTCCTCCGCAAATCCGATATAATTCCGTTTGATATATTCCTGTTATGCTCAATTACACAACGGTTATGAGCAGAAATAGAAGTGAAATTTCTGGAGAAATTAGTTGCATACTTCATCAAGATAATTGGCAGTTCTTCCAGAGTTTAAAACAAAAAGGATTTTCACTATAGGAAGAAAGAAGTTGCTTTGCAGCTTAAGAACTATAATTTTAGTATCCTAAAAAACCACAATGCTGATGATCATGCATTATATAAATAGGTATATATTTAGAGAATAGCATGGACAGTTTCTTGAAGAATTTAATTTAATCAAGGTATGCTTTTTCAGGCATATATAAGGTTTGAAGGTATCTTTATTGTTAACTAAATCCGTCATGTTGCATGTATTTTTCCCACACGAAAATTTTTGCAAGTCAGCATACCTGACATTATAAGACTATATTATAGCTTAAAGCAATGTTGAACGATATATTTTTAAATCACATATCAATGTTCCCGAATTCTATAGTTTAATTGCATACATGCACGAATGTTCCGTATGTATATCAATTAAAAATATTAGATGAAAAATAAGATATAAGTTAGACCATACATGAGTCTAATTTTTTTGTCCAGCGTCACCCTTCTACATAGACTTTAGTCAGACAACGGGAAACAATCCTCTATCAGATGAATATCTGAAAACTTGCGATTGTGTTTAATTGTGAAAGTGATGAGGTATAATTGCCGAAGTACGTATATCCTGACAATGATATATATGCGTGATATAGTGTGGATAACATGACGCACTGCTGGTGTGTTCTGCATGAAATAATGGTTCATGTAAACATGCACCACTTCCCTGTCATCTTTTGTTCAATATGACAATCTGAGAAACGTTTTACGTAATCCACATGCACCGTGCGTAATCTAAAGCAATATCCTTCACAACCTTCTTGGGTGTATTGCAATTAATGACATAACGAATCCTGTTTCACGAAACGTGACTTTGAATGAACGACTGCGCACAACTCAATATTTGCGGCATCTTTGAGGTAACTTTCTGGTTGCGACCTCTAAGTGTTACGTGGGTTAGCCTAAGAAAGAATTTTTCTTTTAACGAAGGTTTCGTGTGGAACCACGCCGAAATGCATGGGCAGGACCCTTGGCAAAAACACGTTCGATCAGTCAGACGCAATAAATTTAGACATTCTTCGGCGCGCCAAATTCATCGAGATCCTACCTGAACAAGTAGCTATATATGTACATACGAAATGCTGAACAATTAACTTAGATCACCTGCATGATTGACAAAATCTTTGAAGGGTCGATTTTTGATGATTTAAAAAATAAGCCAGTTTTCTTTTATGCGCATGCAGCCCCGTTAAGAGGGTTGAAAAAACTCCTCCGCCTAGCGGCCTGAAAAAGAGATAACAGTAAAAGCAATCTTTCAACCAATTCTTCAAAGTTTGAGTCCAGCGACTGTATTTCATTGTTTTAGCAGCATATATTAATATCTACAGAAACCTTAGCGATCACTAACTACAAAAAAGTAAATAAGTATAAACTGAAAAATACATGCTGTACAAAAACTATAAGATGTTATGATATTAATTTAACGTATGTTAATGTGCAAACATGCATTACATGTCAATGCTTATAGTATCCCTCTTTTTTGCTCTTGAAACGGCCTTTATTCTTGCTGGCATAGATTCCATAGGTTTTTTAATGACGCACGTTTAATACCTTGCAGGCATTCGTTGACCACTTGTCTCAAGCCATCCTGGCTGGTGGGTCTGTGCCTCACCCTTTTGCGGTTAAAACGGTCCTACAAGTGCTGCATAGGTTTTACGTCTGAAATTTGAGGTGGAAAGCTATTAGAACGAGATCACCAGAACGAGTTTGCTTCTAAAAGTTTTCTGGCACCTAGTAGATGTGCATATGCTTAGGGTGATTATCATGTAGTTAGACGCGCGATCATCTTTGTACAAGATGAAATTCCATGTCCTTGAAGAATTGGATGATACTTTCTTTTATTATAGGATCTTATAATATCTTTCAATACTGCCAAACCCAGCATGACCGAAGCTGCTAAAAGTTTGCTTGAGTAGGATTTAGTTTCTTCGAACCTCTCCAAGGTAAGTTGCATATAACCTTTTGAAATTCTAAATTTAGATCATTAGAACCAAAACAGTGAGCAATTAATATAGTTTACAGTACTGAAACACTAGCACGCATGTATTAACTCGCATACGCTGCCGGTAATTAATACTGGAATTCTACAACAACTGGACTCAAACTTTTGCACCCTACTGTACTTATTGAATATACTCTACAGTTGCACACCATTTTTTAAACTTGCTTAAAATTGGTACATATAGTACGTGCATGATTGCCCAAAATATATTATCATGGATTATAGTACAAATATATACACAACGTAAATTACACGGAACATGAAAAATATATTTTACAAAATGATGTTGTCTAAACTAATTGGTAGGAAGTAAAGAGAAATCGATGTTTCGGGTAAACATTTTCGTCTGGAAGGAATAAGAAGCGAGTGGGAGAAAGTTTGATAGCAATCCTATTATTCCAACCCACACTGCATGGGCCACCTTTTGACTGAGATATATAAATGGTTACATCAAAACATTAGCCGTTTAAACGATTACCCAACAAATAGTCCGATTTGCAGGACAAGACATGTCGCGTGGGAACAAATATTATCATAATCATAATTACACCAATACATAAATCATCAGAGAGAAAGGATTGAAAGATGAAAACAATGAAAACATATCATTTATAACAGTCCAGTCGCTATACCGACAGTTCAATGTTTGTTTTAGTGTGGTAAGATACTAACATAATACTTTCTTTAACCATTTATAGCCTTTAACGTTGGTGTAGATAATAGATATAGACTGATATAGCTAAATGTGATGATATATGTATTTAAGCAGTATTTTGTTACATAATAGTTCAAAATTTCCATATTTTAGTGAAGATCAAGTCAGTATTAGACATAAGACATTCGTTATCTCTACTTTTGTCATTTGAACCACACAAGTTTCAAAGACACAAATTCATGAGATGGGTGCAACTTCAAATCACCAGTATATATAGAGAATTACAAACACATTCGATGACCCATTGGGAATGTTACAGAATTTCTATTCAGAAATGTTCGAATCAATCTTAAATCAGTTTATGTGTTAGAAAACTGCCGGTTTCAATAGCTACTTATTTATTTATTGAAAATTCTTTCCAGTCAAAACGTAGAATAAAATAAAGATGAAAGAATAATTCAGTTTCTTCTTAATTGTTACACCGAACTGTTTGAAATGATTGAAATATTTGAGATGTTTTATGAGCTCGTGTTTATATATTATTTGGTTTGTGGGCCAAGGGCACCAACGCGTTGTTCCCAAATGTTTATCTGTATCCAAGCACATCAGTAATGTTTGACTTGAAGGCGATACATTGTTCTAGCGAGTTAATATAATACTATCAGTATGGTAATTTGTTATGGTAACCAGTCT